GCAGCGGAAGAGGCGAAGCCGGTGGTGACAGGGACCAAGCCAGCGCCGGTGGCGATCCAGCGGGAAGCGTCGGAGGCGAGGTTGCCGTCGTCAGTGGTGGCGTTCCGGCGACGTCGGAAGCGACAGAAGCGGCGTATGTTTGTGCGCTTGGTCGCGGCGGCCGATGCGCTGGAGGTGGTTCTGCCCGAGGCGTACGCAGAGTTCGCTGATCGTTTTGAGCCGAGCGGACCCAAGAAGTTGCCCGTGAGCCGACCTGGTTTTGATGCGGTGATCCGTATTGACCCGTCCAAGCAGCTCAGGTGCGACCCGAACCGCAAGTTTGGCCGTAGCAAGGAGGAAGCTCTGAGGAAGTACGTGGAGGACGGCCTGAAGACTGGCATGATTGTGGAGTCCGAGTCCGCGTTCTGCTCCCAGCCCATGTTCGTCAAGAAGGGTGATGGCTGGCGCGTCTGTATGGACTCCCGGCGTCTGAATGAGGCGACGATCAGGGATCGGTACCCGTCGCCTGATGCCTTGGCGCTGATTGACAAGCTGAAGGGCGCGAAAATTTTCAGCAAGTTTGATCTCACGAGCGCGTTCTGGCAAGTGAGATTGAGCGCCGACAGTGAGAAATACACGGCGTTCCCGTGCGACGGCAAGCTGTACCAACACAGGGTCATGTGTTTCGGGTTGGTCAACGCGCCGGCGATGTTCCAGCGTCTGATTAATGAGGGTCATGGGCCCGCTCTCCGCTTTCGCTGGAGGGTACTTTGACGACATTATTGTGTTCTCCAAGACGCCGGAGGAGCACGAGCTCCACGTGAAGCAGATGCTGGCTCGGCTGAGGGAGTTTGACCTGTACGTCTCCTTGAAGAAGTGCGTGTTTGGCACGTCGAGTGTCGACTTCTTGGGGCGGCGGGTCAGCGAAGCCGGAGTGGCGGTGGATCCTCGCAAGGTGCAGGCGGTCCTCAACTGGAAGCCGCCGACGGACGCGACTGGTGTGCGTGAGGTCAACGGCCTCGCGTCCTTCATGAGGCGTCATGTGCCGAACTATGCCGAGCTGGCGCGCCCGATGACGATGCTGACGCGGAAGAATGTCCCATTCGTCTGGTCGGCAGAGTGCGAGAAGTCGTTCCGCGCGATCCAGCAGGCGCTCGTCCAGGCGCCGGTGCTGGCGTACCCCGACACGTCGCGGCCGTTTGAGATTTTCTCGGATGCGTCAGATCTCGCGTTGGGTGGTGTGCTGATGCAGAGGTCGGAGTCCGGCGACGGTCTGCACCCGGTCGCCTACTACTCGCGCGTGTTCACGAAGCCAGAGATCAACTACTCGGTCTACGACAAGGAGCTGCTGGCTATCCTGGAGTGTCTCCGCGAGTGGCGACATTACGTTTGCGGTTCTGGCAAGATCACCGTTTGGTCGGACCACAGGAATTTGCAGTGGTTTACGGAGACGCGGGAGCTGACGGCGCGCGAGGCTCGGTGGTGCGAGATGCTGGGCGAGTTCGATCTGGTCATCAAGCATCTGGAGGGCTCCAAGAACGGTGCGGCGGATGCGATGTCCCGTTCGGCGTCGGGAGCTGGGCCGAAGGAGAAGCTTAAGGGCCGGGTGTTGGACCCCGAGTTGTTGGTGGCTCCAGTCGCTGGCGAGGCCGATGACGAGCAGAGCGAAGATTTCGTTTTCTCGCCCGGGGCGACTCTGCCGAGCGCGCCTACGGTCATGACGCCTACTGCCATTCGCGAGGCTTTGCAGAAGGCGGTGGCCGAGGGGGAAGAAGAAGGAGTAGAGCTTCTATCCTCCAAACGATACCAACTTCACGACGGTCTCATCAAGCGCGAGGACCGAGTGTTCGTCCCAGAACATTTACGTCCACAGATCCTGCGATACCGCCATGACGCAGCGACAGCACGTCACTGCGGGAACCGAAAGACACTTGAGGACTGTTAGTCCAACGCGACTTTGTCTGGCCTGGAATGAGAAAGTACGTGGAGCAGTACGTCCACACTTGCCCAGTTTGCCAGATGGTGAAGCATGCGAGGCACGTACCATACGGTCTCTTGACTCCTAATGAGGCCGCAGACAAGCCTTTCGGCGACTGGTCCATCGACTTTGTGACCGGATTGCCAGATTCTCAAGGGTTTAACGCAGTCATGGTCTGCATCGATCGACTGACTCGAGTTGCACATTTCATTCCGACGACAAAGTCTGTCACGGCGGAGGAATCGGCTCAGTTGTTCCTGGAGAATGTCGTGAAGCTGCACGGCGTTCCGGTTCGTGTCTTGTCTGATCACGGACCTCAGTTCATTGCAAAGTTCTGGAAGAAGCTATGGAAGGCGATGGACATCGACCTCTCCTACTCTAGCGCGTATCATCCACAAGGAAACGGTCTTGTGGAACGGGTGAATCAAGCGCTGGAGTCATACCTGCGAGCGTACGTCGGTGAAGCCGAGGATTGGTCAAGACTCCTCTGGTTGTGCGAGTTCACGTACAACAACACGGTGCACGCGGCGATCCAGTGCAGTCCGTTCATGGCCATGTACGGGTTTCAGCCGGAAATGGATGAGATTAACTTCAAGTCGCCGAAGGCACCTCAAACGGCAGCTGATCGCGTGGAGGAACTCAAGGCACTGCGTTTCTCGTTGAGAGCGAATATTCACCGAGCAAACATGTCCGCAGCCAAGTTCTATGATCGACACCACAAGGCAGCACCTCCGATCACGGTGGGCAGCCTAGTCACAGTTCTGCGTCGCAGTCAGACGGCCGAACAACCGTATGCCAAGTTGGCGTACGTACGCGATGGTCCCTTCAAGGTCGTGAAGCAGATCAATGAGCGTGCCTTTGAGCTGGATCTAGGTGAAGCATCCAGCAAGTCCCGCACCTTCCATGTATCTGTCTTGGAATTGTTTGTCGCTGATGACGTTGAAGGTCGGATTCGGCGGGTCCTGCCTCCTGTCAAGGACTGGGACGGAACAGTTCGACATCGAGTCGAGGCGGTGATTGATTCGACTCGTCACAGCGAGATTATGTACTATCGCATCCGAGGGTAGCACACCACTGCTCGTGAAGATACTTGGGAGCCGGCCAAAGATGTGTGGGCTCGCTTCCCCAGGGCCGTTCGTTTATTCCATCTAGCCGAACCTTCTCTGCCACAGCCTACGCGAGAGGAGTTTCACGAATGGATCGCCGTCGGTCCAGGCGAATCATGTTCAACCCACGGCTAGTCGCACGCCCGCTACCCCAGCTGGCCAAGCTCCACCTCAAGCTAGTGCGACACCCGTTGCTACGCGTTCAGTGGCAACCCCACCTGCAGTTGCTGCGCGTTCCGTGGCAACCCCGCCTACAGCTGCTGCAAGTCCCGCAGCAAGTCCATTTGTCAAGTCGGCATCGGCGTTGCCGACGTCGCGTCCTGGGTCCTCACCGGTGGGCCCGTCACACTCTTCTCCGCGGGGAGGACCGGGAGGGGGTAGAGTGTCAGGACCCGCAGGCTCTGCGGTCCCGACTGGGTCGTTCTTTGCTAAGAAGACTCGGCGTTGAGTTTCGCATTTTGACTTTGCCCAATTTCCCGCAGGCAAAAAATTAAGCGCTGCCTTAACAGTCTAAACGCCTCACAATTGCAAGCACCGCTTTAGTTGAGTTTGTTCATCAAAGAAACGAGGAAAATATGACAGGGAGAAGAGGAGATGCAACAATGATTTTCTCGCATCCCGTCGACCCTAGCCCATGCCTACTACCAGCGTATTACCTTCACTCACATAACTAAAATGCAATTAAAATAATATTTCACACCGTTCTATCGCGGGAGGAGAGTGCCACGACCACTGTTGTAGCAGCAGTGGTGGCCAAACTTCGTTCGTGAAAATTCACGCCACTTGGATACTTTGACGCTTCTGCACCTGCACTTTTGCCACAACCAGACTGCTACTTCAACACAAAGCTCACTGAATCGAGGGTCAAGTTAAAAGCCTCAAACGAACGTACATTTGCGAACAGATAGAAATAAAACAATTGCACATTGACAAAAACACTTAAAACACTTCACACAATCACTCGCTAGTCGTCCTTGCGACAGGTGATGAAAAAGCATCGGGTACAAGAACCCCCTGGTCGGAAAACAAATACTTGACCACCCCTCTTGCGTTAGCTTTGATGGGCCACACGAAGCGCCTCAACAAACTCCTTGCCGAGCTGGTCTTTGGTATCGAACAAACCCAGTTCGATTCGCTGGAGCTTGAACAAAAGGCGTGGATAGCTGAGGCCAGCTGGCGCAGGTGAGACGACAATGCGCGTCTCCAACGTGCCAGACTCGATTGCGGGAAGCTCGCCTTCGACGGGCTGTTTGGCGAGGCGAAGCAAGTAGATGCCGCACTGGCCCGTGCACAGATACAGCAATCGACGAATCGACCGCCCGTCCATTCGATGCAGCACCGTGTGCTTGAGCCAGGCAGGACTATGGCTGGACGCTTCAAAGCCAACAAAGTCCAAATGGTTGCTCAGCCAAGCGCGCAAGTCCTCGACAGAGTCACTCACGCCGCAGCACAGGGACTGCAGCTCAAAGCTGGATAGACTCGTCAAGTGATGGAAAACGTTCGAGATGGCAAAGCCACGTCGAAGAGCCTCGAGCTCGGGACGACGACTGTCAATCAACGCTTGAACAAGCTCGCGCGCCTCCTCGCCCAAGCCCGATGTCGTCATGTCGTCGAGTGTGAGCTTGCCAGTGTAGCTGGCAATGTCGCGAGTGGCAGCTGGTGCATTCAGGAGGAACTTGAATACGGCGGACGATAATGGCAACGTGACACGACAGCCGTCCAAAACGCACTTGATCAACAATCGACCAAAGGCCTCATGTGTTTCAATCAGCGCATCCGGCGTGGCTCCCGCGGGGGTACCAAAGCGGATCTCCAGCCCCGTAGGCACAGGAAGCAATGTCACGTCTTGGTCAGCGACTGTCGATGCCCATTCAAACAAGCGCAGCGACCGGTGAGAGGAGTCGGTGCTCGAAATGGTTGATTGGTGGGCTGATCGCGACACGGATTGCGCCGTTGCACACTGCATAATCAGACCAAACAAGATGGGATAAAACTCTTCAGACGACAGCAAGAGCTTGCGATCCACCCGGAAGACAAGTTTCTTGGCAAGGTCCGCCTCAAACAACGAGGCAAAGCACGTTAAAGTGGTTCGAATGAGGCGCTCGGACGGCGACCAGTGCGTGGACTGCGGAAAGTGGGGGATGGACTCTTGGTACTTGACATCCACCACCAAGGTGGTACGAGACACGCCCTTTTCGGCAAAGGAGCGGACATACAGGCGCTCCATCCAGAGCCCTGCGCTCGAGCCCTGGTCGCCAATCGCTAAATGGTGTTGCGCGGCCGCCATCGCGCTCGGGAGGACATTGCGCGACAGACTGCTGTTGGACCGCGCAAGTGTTCCCTTGGCTTTGATCGGGGAAGACGGTGCAGAGCCTGCTGGGCCAGTGGCCGTTTTGGCCTTATTGAGAAGCGGGTTGGCGAGCGTGCCATTGCCACCATTCCCACCGGATACGTGACTGCTGCTGCTGCCGCTGCTGCTGCTGCTGCTTGGCTTTTCCTCCTCCAAATCAGTGCCTAGAGATTCATCATCCACAAAGTAGCCGTGGACGAGCGCGGCGCGACAGGACAAGCGCTTCCAGACATCCTTGTGCAGCAGAGCCCGAATGAGACTGCGCAATTGGGGGTCGCCGCCTTTCTGGCGCGGAAGTGTTGGCAGCTGACTGTCCCCATCAAACACGGGTGTGGTCTGGAAAACGGCAACATGCAAAAGCGCACCGAGGCACCAGGCGTCGGCCGCATAAGCAGTTGCGTACCAGGGGTCTCCCGAAAGCCGCTCAAACTTTTCCACTTCTGGCGGGACGACGAAATGTTGAGCCTGGCACGTGCGCAAAGACCCCAGCTGATCGCCCAAGGCAATTCCCCACAGTACTGGCATTCGAGCAGCAAGCAAAGCGGGGATGCTGCCAGAGGGGTCCTTTTGCGTACCGAGGCGCACGTGTGCAGCAGTGAAGCAGCCAAAACTGGTACTGCGCTCGTGCAGAGACGACAAGCCTTGCAGCAACTGATACACGATCGATTTGAGCTGCAACATGTCCGTGCGGTTTGCCGGCGCGCTGAGCCAGGCTTCGAGTGTTTCAGCGAACACTGGGGTCGACACTAGAATTAAATCGTTGTTTGCTTGATCAAAAAAGGCATCCGAAATTGGAGCTAGGGCATAGTGGTGGAAACTGCAATGGAGTAGTAGGCAACCAGAAGTGAGTCAGACGAGAAATGGCAAAAGGCAAGAGGCAAAATCAGAGAACCAAGAACACCATGGTGGCAAAAAAAAGTGGTCGAGGAGCCAGCATGTCGAAAGAACATTTTCAGAGCAGCATTCTCACCTGCGATACCGAGCAAGATCTTCAGCGAGAAGCGACCCTTGACTCGGAGAAAGAAGCCCAATCGCAATACGATGAAGCAAAGCTGGTTGCTTATTCTGCTGCAACGTGGCTGTATACAACGACGAGCTGGGAAACAGCGGTTGCACCGCGGAAAACTCTTGATCCACGCTCTTGGTTCCCAGTGCAGCAAATGCTTGATGCGCGGCCTGCTGAGATTGACAAGTCGCCACGTGAAGCAGCTCGCTACGCAGCGCAGCTGGCGTCAAAGCTCGCACAATCTTGGAGGGTTGGCGAGCTAGTGTGGATGAGCCAGCGACGGCCTTGGGAAGTGCAGCGGGGACCGAGTTGGGAATAGGTGCTGCAGGAGTCGCAGCCGCTCGCAGTGTAGCCGTTGCCACCGCAACCGACGAGATTCCGGACTGAGTGGTGGTAACCTCCGTACGGGTGGCGGTCTGTGCAGGCGGCGACATGACGGCAACGGCAGGTTCGAGCGCAGCAATTTTGACAGCGACTGCCATCTGTGACTGCGGAGTGGGACTGACAGTCGCAGGTGGTGGCGCAGTGCTGACAGATGATGCAGGTTGCGGCGCAGTGGTGGTGGTTGTAGTAGCGGGGGATGCGGCGGCCGTTGCTGGTGGCGTGTGGGTTGCAAGGAACATTTCAACGCTGGCCAAAATATCTCCCAGAGCAGCAGTGGTTGCAATGTCCTCGACTGCAGCTGGTTTTGCTGAGGCTTGAGAGTCTGCAACGGGTGTCTCAGCGACAACGCTCACAGCAACAGGCTCGGACACGGTCGGGGCGGTTGCGACCGATTCAGGAGCAGAGATGGGGGCCACCTCCATGGCCGCGCTCGACGCTAGAGTAGCGACCGCAGGAACGATCGGCGTCGGAGACGCAGCAGGAGGAGTAGGCTTGGTATCAAACATATCGAGAGCCGCCATGATTTCACGTTCGGCGTCGCTGTAGAGCGCGTTATTTTGATTGATGCGCGAGACAAAGGTCGCATGTGTAGAGTCCGAGGTTGGCGCCAAAGGCTTTGCCTCCGGTTTCTCCTGGGGAGCGGCGACAACTGCAGCTGGAGCATGACTGGGACTGGCCGCGGCGGCTGGACGAGGTGCGCTTGATCCCTCCGACGAGGCGACTGCACTCGAAGGGCTCGATGTACTAGATGTGCCTGTTGCACTCGGAATAGTAGGCACGGCGGTGCTGCTGCCGGTGCGAGCCAGCGTGCTTGGTTTGGAGCCAAATTGAGGCGTTGGCTTGGGTGACGACGGCATCGCAGGTCGCGCCAACCCAGGTGCAGCCGGCGACCCGATGCGACCCGACTGGGACCTCCCGAGCATCGATGGTGACGACACTGGCGCAACCGGCAGGGGTGGTTTTGAGGGTGAGGCCGCGCTCGGCTGAGCAGAGGGGTTTGCCTCTGAGTTGGCAGCCGCGGCATCCTGAGCGAGCAGCGCTTGGAGCGATCCCGACGAGTAGAGTCCAGTCACGGGGTTGACTGTGCCAGACGCGGCTGTACAATCCCAAGACAGGACGGTCAGTGAAAGTACAACGAATGAACGGAAATGAAACAGGATCGACCGTTTAGTATGCGAATTAAACGCGGTAAAAACGAAAATGAAATGCGATACGAAAGTTCATCCTTTTCTTTGTTTTTCTACCCCCTTGGTTTTCGCCTTCAATTTTAACAACGGTCAAAAAGCTCATCGAACCGAACCGAACGAGGGGACTCACAGCGAACGCGTCCACGCTGCAATGGTGCGTCTGACGCCGAGCTCGATGGGCCACCGCCCGCTGGGGAGTCGGGCCGACTGATTGAGGACGGCGTCGACGCATTGGAGGCAGACGCACTGGAGCCAGAGCCAGAGCCAGCGCCGGCAGCGTCCGAGCCGGAGCCCGATTCGAACTTGCTGCGGAGGTTGCGGACACCAGGGAGCTTGGCTTGCTGCGGAGTGACGACGGGCGGCGTCGCGGTCGACTTGAGCGGCGCTGATGCTGAATCCATCAACGACAACTGGATGGATGGATGCACGGCTCAGAGCTGGTTTGATGTACACAAAAGAAGAAGATGAAAGAAAAAGATAAAAGAGTGAAAAAAATAACTATGGGATGGGGGTGGTGGTGGTGGATTACTGTAGAAGTTAAACACTGTTGAAAGTGCTTGAACATGAGATGAAGGAAGTGCTGCTGCTGCTCATTCGACGTGTCATGCAGATCCTGTTGTCATTGTCGAGCAATAGACACATTAGCTCTAGTGGTGGTTGCGGTGGTGATGGGAAGTTGGGGACACAAGCAGCACTGTGGAGTTTGTTTTTGAACAGGTTGTTTTTGTTCGTGATGATAAAGTACGACAACAGTTTGTGAGAAACAAAAAAAAGTACAAGGTGATTTGAGCATCGATGAGTTGAATCACCGCGACAGGGCCTTTTCGGTGGGCGCATCCACAATTCGCATTTCGCTTCAGTTGAACTTGGCGTTGGAAAAGTCCATCTCGGGATGTTGCTCCATGAATCGCTTGAGAGTCTCTTGCTTTTTCATCTCGTCGGACGTGGGCAAGCCCATCTCCTTCTGACGTTGGTCAAACATCATCTTTTCAACCATTCCGCGCGTGTCGCCGTCCAGATCGGTCAGCTTTGAGTTTTCGGGCTCCACCTTCTTGAGGTCGATCTCTTGGTGTCCCTTGATGACGCACGGCCACCATTCCATCGTGTTGATCTACATCACAGAAGCAGAGCATGCCAGATGAATGAGACAAGGCCCTTTCCGCCGCCTCTTACTCGTCGTTCCTTCGACAGCAAACAAAAACCTACCTTTTGAAGACTAATCACAACCATCTTGCCATCCTCAATGTTCCAGAACGAATCCTCCTTCTTGATGTCGTTGAAGAGCTCACCCTCGACCATCGGCGGCTTGTTCTTCAGGCCCAGCTTGAACGATCGCTTGCCAATCTCGCACACAATGTCGCGCGACTTGACGGCAAAGCTGACCTTGAGAGGGATGCGCACTTCCACATCCGCCAGCGACTGAGCCCAGTTGTACACATCGGTCGACCCGCCATTGCCAGGGTTTGGCCGTTGCTTGCCAGCCTCGAGGGGCTCTTCGTCAGCGTTGGCCGCAGACGAGGTCGATGATGGTGCCGACGGATTGGCGGACGTTGCCGGCGCGGCAGCAGCGGCAGCAGTTGGAGTAGACGTAGACGTAACAGATCCACTTGCAGCAGTAGCGGGAGCAGCAGATGCAGCGGCAGCAACGGGAGCAGGCGCAGTGACTGGCTCATCGTCGGGAAGCTCGACCAAGCCAGATGGCGCGTTCGCTGGCAGCCGTGTCGTCGTGGCCGCAGCGGCAGGCGTTGCAGTGGCCGCAGCAACAGGAGCAGCAGCAGGAGCAGCAGCAGGGGCTGGCTTGGGCTTGCTGGCTGCCGGCTGCTTGGTTTCGACGCGCTTCTGCACCGTTCGAAGGGCCTTCAGGACGGTCGCCTCGCCGACCTTGGCATCCTGGCCAGTGAAAAAGTCAGTCTTGCGCTCGAGAAAGCCAAAGAACGTGTCCAGGAGCGACGAGATGCCGTCGTGCTGCTGCGCAATCGAGAGCAGCAACGCGTCCATGCGATCTTGCATTGCCATGCTGTTGTAGTGTTTTGTGCTTTGGTGGAAACGAACAAAAGAAAAAAGAAGAAGAGTGAACTGGTCGTAGTGCTGACATTGTCATGGAGAAAGAGAGCGCGCACACACACACACACGCAGATCTGCAGCCTCGTTTCCCCAAGCTTTAAAACTTTCAAAGGAAAAAAAAAAGGTGTCATTGTAAGAAAAGGACAGCAACATGGCGGTCGTCTATATTCCATTTGGAAAACAAATGCAAGCACAAAGAAACAACGACCCAACCACGCGTTTTGCCAGATAGAGGGCTTGTAGGAGCAACAACACGACAAACGCTTTTAATCGAGCTCGAGCTTGCTCTTGGCTCCACCACGCAGGCGACCAGTGCGACGGGCAGCAATGAGACCGACCTTTCGGCCGGGAGGGCAATCGCGACGGACGGTACCGGGCTTGCCGATGTGCTGGTGGTTACCACCACCGTGGGGGTGCTCAACGGGGTTCATAGCAACACCACGAACGTTGGGCCAGTTGTTGCGCTTCGCCTTGAACTTGTGGTAAGCAGCGCCAGCCTTGAGGAGGGGCTTGTCAATACGCTGGCCACCGGCAACGAGGCCGACCATGGCACGGCAGTCTGACGAGAGGACCTTCTTGGAGCCAGACGGGAGCTTGATGCGGGTCTTGTTCTCGTCGGGGTTGTGGGTCATGATGGTGGCATAGTTGCCAGAGGTGCGGGCAAGACCGCCGCGGTCGCCGGTCTTCTCCTCAACGTTGCAGATGACGGTACCCTCGGGGAGCTGGCCAATGGGCAGGACGTTGCCAATGGCAAGGGCAGCCTTGCGACCGCAGTTGATGAACTGGCCAGTGTAGAGACCCTCGGGGGCGATGAAGGTCTCCTCGCGGTTGGCGAAGCAGTAGGGGTCGCGGAAGTGGACGCGAGCAAGGGGGGCACCACGGCCGGGGTCGTGGATGATTTCCTTGACGAGGCCGCGGATGTAGCCGTGACGCTCAGCAAAGTCAAGGGTGCGGAACTGAGCAGCGCCCTTGCGGTGCTTGGTGTGGGCGGTGAAAACACCTCCCTTGCGGCCTTTGCGCTGTGCGAGAATCGGGCGGCCCATTTCGAGGAACTGCAAAGAAGCAAAAAAAAAAAAAAAGGAAGACCAAAAGCAAAAAACCAAATGTGAATGGGATGGTTCCGAAGCGAACGACAAGCAAGGCAACGAGCAAAGAGCACGAGTTACAAGGAGAGAAGAGCGAGAAAGGGAGGGGAAAAAAAAAAGGACGAAAGGAAAAGGGCAAAAAAAAAAAGCGTTGCTGATCTTTTTCTCTACATCCGCACACTGGCGCACAAGGATGGAGTGCAACTCTCACTATGAACTCGCATGCAAGGACACGCATGTCGGCGCGACGTGGCGATGCAGCGCAAGAAGACGAGAAGGAGAACGGAAAAAATAAAAATCATCATAAAAACATCAAAAAAAAAAAGCGTGTGCTGGAAACGATTGTCAAAGTGCTGCTTGTGCTGCTGCGCTGCCCAGTGCCCTTCACCGGGGGGAGGCGAAACAGCAAGATCGCCTGAATAGGTGTTTAGAAACAGGCATGGCGACGGTCGAGGCGCAACAAACGGCCGGAAGCGAGCGAAACAATGCCGAACGCCCGAAAAATTGCTCCTGTCGCTCATCCCTCTATCCCCGCCTTTCACCCCTCGAAACGCCCCTTCGTCACATTGCAGCCGCCCATCTCTGCACATTATCGCAACGAGCATTCAATTTCACATCGGATTGGGTAGGGTTGGGGACGGTCGGGCAGCCGGATGGTCGCGGTACACACCTAAAGGGACGAAGAAGAGAGCGAGCAAACCAATTCAGCCAAATCAAGTTTAGCTTTTTTTTTTTTTTGTATTGTATTTCGATTATCGCTTTTCGATTTTGAGCTCTTGCTGGGTTCGGGAATTGGGATGCCGATATTTGCAACATTTGTGTTCGTTTTTGGCGTACATTCTCAGAGCAAGTGCTGGTGGTCGGATTTTTGCTCCGTTGCTCCGCCAATTCTGTTGCGACTTCGCTGGGCATACAACGTTGCAAGCTGCTTGTGGGGACTTGCCCCAGCTGGACAAGCCCTTCAAAGCTCTTGGAACTGAACGACACAGGCATGATTGCAAACAAATGCTCAGAAACTAATACCAAGTAGATCTACAGAACCCAACATCCAAATCAATCAACAACTTCACAAGGTGGCATCCATTTCACGGGCTTGAAACGCGCACAGCAGATGACGCACACGCACATGAAACACCGCCACAATCAAACAGTCATGAAGTGGGGATGAAATGGGGACGGGAGGAGAGAGGAAAAACCAATTTACAACAATGAAACCACCAACAACAATAAAGACATCGCGCAACCCCCTCCCCCAGCTGCTCACACGCCAAAATCATAGGTTGGCTTCAAGGGCTGACATCCTACATTGTTGCAGTGATCAACAATCGTGCCGGTCGCAAAGAACTCGGCCATCTGGGCCTGGGCACGAGGATCGCGGCGTGGAAGCTCGTGCGTGTCGGTGGCAGCGGACGGGGGCGTGTTTTGCATGGGAACGACGGGCACGCCAAAGTCGTAGCCCTGAATAATGCTTTCGGTGGTTGGGCCAGTGATGTACTCAAACCCAAAGAGCGTCTCGTTGTTCTCGCGGACGTTGTTGATGAACATCTTGGAGCCGACCGATCGGCCAGCTGTGTAGGCTCCGAGATAGTTGACCTGCGCGTCGCCGAGGCCGTACTGCTGGATGACCACCTTGGGTTTGGTGTTGGGCAGGGGGTTGTTCACGATCGAGTCGAGGTAGCCGGCGGGTTCTGCGCCATCCCATTGCATCTGCAGCACTGAGAGAAGCATGATGCGGTCGATCGAGTCCAGAATGCGTGCCTTGACAATGTCGAACAGCTTGGAAAAGTCCACGCTGCGCGGGAGCAGCAAGCCATAGGGACCGCCCATCACGCCAAGCACGCCACGCTCGACGTCCTGGCTGGCCGCCATGTAGACGTGGCCGAAAATACCGCCCTCAGAGTTGCCATTGTAGAAGCGGCGGGTGGGGTCAATCACAGACTTGCCGTTGAAAGTGACAGCGGGGTCGCTTGCGAACGCGCCCTTCATGACCTTCATGAGCATCAGCGCGTTCGTCATGCCCTGTTTCAGGCGGTCGGGCACAAAGCGAAAGTCCGACATGTTGCCCGCAATCATGGCAATCACGTACGGCTCGTCTTCGTCGCACAGACCCCACCAGTTGGTGGCGGCCATCACGTAGCCGTGTTCGTTGGCCTCGTCCTGCAGGTAGCCCTGCTCGATTTCAGACATGTCGCCAAACAAACCGTGGCCGTACTGCAGAATGGGACCCGTGGTGCCGTTCGTCACGAGGCTGCGCGGGATGAGCACCTCGAACGGCACGGGAGTCAGCTTCTGGTAGAGCGGGGTGCCGTTCTCGTCGCGCACAATGTACGTGCCGGGCGTCGGAGCCGTCATGTACAGCGGAACGTTCATCGTGCCCAGAATTCGGCGGTACATGTCTGCCGAAAAGTTGTCGGTGATGTTGGTGATGGTGTAAGTGGGTCCGTCTGCACCCGAAAGCAACGACAAGCAGACAAGCGAACAAGCGGACCAGCAAATGAGGGTGAGTACTCTCTCTGAAATGTATGCCACCCCCAAAACAACAACACAAAACAAAAAAACAAAACAAAAAAACAAAACAAAAAAACAAAACAAAAAAACAAAAAAAAAAAAACAACAAAAAAAAACAAACCCAAAACAAAAAACACGTACTGGCGGGAATGCGGGCAGTCGCATCATCGCGCATAAAGACAAGATCGCCAGTGACACTCTCCTTGCTGGAGGTCGTAAAGTCCCAGGCAATCTGGAGGTTGGACTGGGGGACGTTTGCGGACGCCAAACGGGCAAAAATGTCCTTGAACAGATCGCGGCGGCCCTCAATGTCGTAGTTGTCGGTGGAGATGTTGTCACGCAGCGCCTGGAAGCCGAACGACGGGGCAACCAGCTGCATGGTCGTGTTGCGAATGTTGCGAACGGCCACAATGTAGCGCGTGTTGAAATCGAGAGCCTTCAGCGGCCAGATCATCAAGAGGCGTCGGCTGGTCAGGTCGGTGCTCATATCCAGCTCGACAAAGTGGGGCAGGTGCTCGAGCGTATCGGCGTTGATGATGACGGTCGGGCAGTCGGGGCTGAGCGACACGCTTTCGTTCTGGCCAGAAAGGAACAACAAGACAAATCAGAGAAGACCGTGAGCCCGATGGCAATGACACTGGCACTGCGATGACGACAAGCAAAGCTTTCACATACCCAGGTACGCGGAACCGTGGCGTCGAGCACAGCATCGGCAAGATAGGTGGTCATTGCAGGAATAATGGGGAAGCCATCAAGCTTGTTCCAGTCGGACGGGTTGATGTGGTCCTTGTAGGGCAGAGTCGTCTGGAGCGTCGTGGGCCCAAAGTGAACACGGCTGCCAGAGTAGGTGGTCGGATCGGGGCGCAACCAAAAGCTGTTCGGGAACGGCAGGATGCACGCCGCAGGGTCGATGGGGTCGCAGTCGCTGTTTTGTGTGCCAAACGCAAAAGTAGCAACTGCTTAGTACAAGCAACAACAGCGAGGAGTTTCGCTCCATCACAAGCGACAGCTGCTCAGACAGATGGAGTTCGGTGGAACATTTTTCCAACAAAGTGCAGCGCTCGTGGTTTGATGGTCGGTAAAATTTGTCAATGGTCGACACTTGATTTCCTGCACTTCTTCACACATTCTCACCTGAATTCTGCGCAACACACAAAATTCAGACAAACCGAAACAATTCAATGCAAAATCCAAACAAAAACAAGAACAAAAACAAAAACAATTTCAATTACAAAAACAAAAATCCAAAAGACTCAAGATTAAATGAAGAAAGGACAAAAAAAAAAAAAAAACACAAAGATCAATGATGACCCAACAACGTGATAAGCGAGCGAGAACACATGAGCGTCAGGGTGAGAGGCACAGAGTGGATGCGAGTGAGCGAGTGCACCGCTGAGCAAAAGGACGCGCTGAGCAACAAGTTTGAAAGCGCGGCTTTTTTTTTTTTTTTTTTTTTTTGAAGATCATTTTTCAATACAAAGTGGCTTGCACAGACACCACTCCACTCCGGGCAGCCTTCTTGGTTCGTGTCGACTTGCGACTTGGCCAGCGTGTGTTGGGGGACGGGGAAATGGGAGAGAGCGATGATGCGGGGGAGCGCGGAAACTTGCCTTGCTGGACGGGGCGGGCGACGGCGCTGGCTGCGAGTGCCAACACCACCACTGCGGCGATGGCGGCGGTTGACCGAGCACAAGCCATTGCAGACAGAAAGGAGACTGGGTTGAAGTTTAGAGTGAATACAGTACAAATAGTGAATTTTGGGAAGAAGTACAGTATCGGGCGGTGATTGAGATTGAGATTGAGATTGAGATTGAGAGGGAACATTCACTTGGCAAGAGCTGCACGTTAACGGCAGCTTTCTCAACGACGATGATAACGTCGCTTGATAGAGATGGACTCGGATATCAGACCCCGAATCACGATCATCGTTGAGGGTTTGCATTCAAGTTGAGCTTTTGGGTTTTGATCCAGGATTGCTCCTCTGCTCCCTGATTTGATATCCCTCCTGTCCCTGAGACAGAACCGACATGCAGATTTGTATGAAGACCTGGTTGAACCACTCGAAATACCAAAAAAACACCACCCAGTCCTTTCACAAACACAATGGTAACGCAATGCAATGCCATACAATGGAGATTTGGCTCGGCTTCCCCTTCGTCCTTCGCAGCTTGGACTTGAGTGCCAACCATCCGCCTTCGCATCGGTTCATGCGTAGTCGACAGACACACTCTCTCCACCAACACAGCGCCAAACTCCCAGCAGCAAAGGCCAAACACACAGCAGCAGCAATGGAAGCAGCAGCAGATTCGAGATCTCGAAACTTTTCCTCGTTCTTTCTCTCTCTCTTTCATTCGTTTGCGCTTCTTCTTTGCTCTCGCGCGTTGCACATTCCAAGCACTCGTGTGACGCAAACACACACTCCGAATGACTGCTGGTCCACCAGCACGTAGGAACGCACACGCGTATGGTTGAAGGACAGGGACGATGGGCAAATTTCGAGATCTCACTCTCTCTCTCTCTGACCCCCATTGCCATGCCATCGCACGACCGGCCGGCACTCGACCCACCCCCCAAAACGCTTTGTCTGCTGGCCGTTTGAGTGTGCTGTGTGGAGCTGGTTTGAGCAGAACTCTGACTTGTTTGATTCAAAATTCGTCCCATTTTTGCGTTCTGTTCTGGCTTGCAGGCACATCGCTACGATTCGCGCACAACCATCTTCTCGCCGGAAGGTAAGACGCTTGTCAAGTCCGTCAAAGGACAAGCACGGTGGCGCCTTGGCATTTCGGCCAACCAACGTCAGGATTTTGCTGCTGACTCCAACTCGATTCACTGCGTCCCTGCCCACCAGGTCGCCTGTACCAGGTCGAGTACGCCATGGAGGCAATCAGCCATGCCGGTACATGCTTGGGCATCCTCACATCGGAGGGCATCATCATTGCCGCCGAACGCCGCGTCACTTCCAAGCTGCTCGAGCAGAATTCTCTCAGCGAAAAGATCTACAAGTTGAACGAGTACGGGGGTTTTTTTTTTTGATCCCTCTTGATTGTCTGTGCATTCTTCAAAAACGCAAAAGCACGGCAGAACGTTGTTGCGCTCACATGTATTCAAAACCTTGCCTCCACACAGTCACATGGCGACAAGCGTTGCTGGTATCACTGCCGACGCTAACATTTTGATCAACTGGATGCGTCTTGAGGCGCAACGGTACGTCATTCTTTCTCCCAACCTCGGTCTTGTTTTCTTTGCAAGGACTAGCTGTCTACATCATTGGTATTGATCTTGTCACACCCCCACCCCCTTCCGCCACTTTCACAGATATATGCTCTCGTTCCATGAGCCCATCCCTTGCGAGCAATTGGTTCAACGACTGTGCGACATGAAGCAAAGCTACACTCAATATGGTGGTACGTGTTGTTTGATGCGCGCGCTGTACCTTCTGGTGGGCGAAGTGACCAACTCTGCTGTTTTTCTGGTGTGTGTGCGATTTTGTTCTGGCCAGGTCTCCGACCTTTCGGCGTCTCTTTCCTGTACGCCGGCTGGGACCAGCACTTTGGCTTCCAACTTTATCAAAGCGATCCCAGCGGTAACTATGGCGGCTGGAAGGCTACTTGCATTGGTGCTGGCAGCCAATCTGTGCAGTCGTTGCTGAAGCAAGATTACAAGGTGTGGCATCGATTCGTTTCATACTCGCTCGCATTGCTTGAATAGCGTGTCGTTCATCAGTCACTCATGTTTTTCTTTTGCATTGCTCCATCGTTTCTCTCTATCTCCCGGGCTCCGTTTCACAACAATCAGGAGGAGTTGACCCTCCAGCAAGCCAAGCTTTTGGCCATCAAAGTTCTTAGCAAGACCTTGGACAGCACGACCCTTACATCAGAAAAGCGTACGTGTTTGTTTTTGTTGTTGAAACAGCCGCAATGGCAACTGAATCGCGAACAAGATGCACTCAATTTTTTTGTTCTGTTTGGATTTTTGACAGTCGAGTTTGCCACAATCACACGCGAGGCAGGCTCCACCTACTTCCGCATGCTGAAGGACAGCGAAATTGACACCTTGCTGGCGCAGGGCAAGCTGGAGCGCGAGGAGGAGGAGAAGAAGAAGTTGCAAGAGTCCGGCGCCTCGACGTCTGGCACTGTCAAGGTTTGAGAGCGCGTCCGCCTTTTCCAAGTTGATGTGGTCGATAATCCAACCATGTAGCTTCTCCTTGTCAAGTCATTCCTGTGCCACTCGTGCTTGTTTTCCTTGTTGTCGTTTTTTTTTGTCTTGTCTTTTTTTTTTTTTGTTGGGTGTTGTAACCATGTGAATGAAGAAAAATCAGCTCATCTGACTTTTGCTCCCTTGTGTTGATTCACATTATCGAAATGATGTCCAACGCGTCATTGGCCTTGCGCGTCGCTGTGCTGTGAATTACGACTCGCGCGGCGGGTCGCCGAGATAGGTTCCCAAGTAGAAGAACGGACGCTGGATTGGCGGCCATTCGCCAGGATGCTCGTCCCAATGCTTCTCCTACAACATTGTATCGGTGATATACAGAGGGGTGGTTAGCTAACATCCATTGCCTAGACATGGTTGTATTGAGCTCAGTCGGCGCTTTTACCTTGTGCCATCGCCGACGCAGCGTCACTAGAGTCACCCCTGCGTACAACCCAGCCAGGTTTGCAAGCAGATATGGCAGCCACGGAGCAGGCGCGGCGAGCAGTTTGAGGTTGGGAATATGCCGCGAGCGACCGAATGCAATCATGCTGCTGTATGCAATGCGGTCCACGATGATGCTCCTGACAGAGCGGATTTTAGACTGAGGTGTAAACACAGATCGCTTATTAACAAACCAATAAAAGATCAATGTTGATGCATTGAAAACCACAGCGCACCGCAAGAAACGACGAATGAAGCATGTCAATCTAACTTTGACGCTCGACGTGAACAAGTCAACGCGCAGTACTGTAATTTCAAAAGGTATACAGTACATACATACAAACTTGTATAATATACTCATAGGGAATCGCTAGCCATGCCTGGGGGAAGCTCCATCGACACTTTGGTCGGGAAATGATCCAGCATCTGGATGCCCTTGTCGTGGTCGACGTTGAGCTCGTCAATAAAGCCAAACCAGTAAATAACCATGCCTGGGCCATACCTGTTGAGCGAGACAAGAAGTGTGAGTGGAAGTGGTCCAATCCATGATGGCACAAACCCCAACCAAAACACCTACCGGCTCAGATATCCAAATAACTGCGCTTGATTTCGTGTGTGGTTTGGCCGGTCTCCAAAATACGCCTTGCTTTCTATCCATAGGACGACGCTGCCGTTGACCACTGAGAGATGGGGCACGCAATGAGAAAAAAAAAAAACCCAGACCAAAAGGAAAAAAAAGTCAGTTCCATAAGTTCAACTGCTCTTACCGATTGGAGCTTGCAGCTTGATATCAGGGGTTTTATGAGCGTCGGCTTTTCGCATGTCTTCTTCATCTGTGGGGGTTTTGCCAACGGGACCAACCGTAGGGGGGGGGGGAACACATATTGAGTGCTCGAAACTCCACACTCAAAACCACTCGTTCATTTGGTCAAACGCGACGCACTCAGAAACGGAATGCCCAAGTTTCGAAGCTTCTCTTGCAATAGTGCTTCGTATTCGGCACCAACGCAACTACAAAAATGGAACGCCGACGGCAGATGTCAGCTTCAGTTCCAGTCTGAAAGAACTTTCAACAACAATAACAACAAATACAATCGAGAAGCAAATGAATCCCAGGGGCACCTGTCCAGCTACACTTACTGTTTGACGCGCTCAACAAGAGGGGAAGTCATGTCGTCGTATTGAATGCAACACTGCACTTCTCTTCGCAGCACCAAGTCTGGAATGAGTTCTGGCCGCTGCATCAACTCCTTGACCCTTGGGTTTTTCTTGGAAATGCCATCTCGTACATCTGTCAACCACCATGCATTCGCGTACAAAATAGGAGAGCATGAATGAGCTTTTCAGTTACCAGACGAACTGATTCTGAGAAGTACAGCAACAATCCAATACAAACCTCCTTGCGCTAGAAAGAGTGAAAGCAGCACTCGGGCCAATGTACACGGCGGAATATTATACCGCATGCACAATTGCCATGCAATAGAGTTCTCGGGTGTGAGCTCGGTCGGCGATGGTGCTGATGGCGCTGGACTTGGGTTGCTCGCATTCACCTGGTCTGCAGGGAAGGCCATCGCTCTGTGGCCGACGCAACCCACTTCCAGTCAGTAAGCAGACACACAGACATGGCCAGTTTGGCAGCGCGAGAGGTCGTCTGGAGATTGGGGCGCGGGGGGTCTCCAAAGGTTCAGTTGGAAAATTTTGGCGGGAGATTTTCGTTTCATCTTACGTGAATGCGCGCCAGTAGAGCAGCATTGCCTCTGGGCTCGAGTGCTGGTAGGCAGTCTTCTTGAGCCACTCTTGCGACTTTTGCGCACGAATGCTGTGGATTGCATTGAGCGTGATGCTATTTTCAACGAACGCATGCACACAGAGGGCGGAGTTGCGGGGTTTTGTCAGCGATTTCTGAGCAGCCAAGGGACAACAACATCAAGAAAAGCTCACGTTGAATGACGTTGCACAATTTCCATGGGCGGAAAGTCTGCTTCGAGCATGGCTACTATTTCGTGATAGACAGACTCGCGCATTTTTGGCAGATGAAAGCAAAAGTCAAGACTGAGAAACGTAACGTACTTTTGACAACAATTGATTTCAAACAAGAGTCTAAAGCACGCGAGGGCATCGATACAGCAATTGTCGCAATACCAACGTGCTGAAGGAGCGCCGAGGGGGCAGAGCAGTGGGGTTGGGCACTTTGGAGTTGTTGCGATTTGGTGGGCTGGCTGAAACCCCCTCACTCGACGGCCGAGACAACGTCGCGGAATTTTGCGGCGCAGAAGGAAGGGTGAACTTTTTGTCTGCGGCTTGGCGGAGTCGAGCATAGCTCTCCGATTGGCTCATTTTCTCATAGTAGATTTGACGAGCGACCTTGGCCTGGGTTTCACGCACGTCACGGAGCAAGGCCATCTGCTGCAGCCGCGCTTGAGGATTTGAGACGCTGGCGGCGGGTTTGCTGCTGCTGGTGACCGGGCCAACGGGACGATCGCGGATGGCTTCCACCAGGGCATCCTTCAGCACTCGGTTGAAGCAGACATCGGCAGCCGTGTTTCCGTCGCTGTCTCGCGCTTCTGGGTTTGTTGTGGGCGCGGCTAGAAGCGTCTTGAGCACTGTCACGGAATCGGCAATCGGTACATTCGGCATTGGACTGCAGGCGGCGTGCAATGGGGTGTGTCGCTTTTGATCAACAGCATGCGCTTTCGCCTGTCGGCGCAGCAGCTCCGCCACCAGACGTGCGTCGCCCGCGCGAGCAGCCAGATGGAGAGCAGTGATTCCAGACTTGTTGCTGGTATGCGGGGAGCACTTCCCGACCGTCAACAGAGTCCATGCAACGTCGCGATGCCCGCTGCGAATGGCCATCATCATGGCATCGTCACCTTGGTGATCCACGGCGTTGCCGAGGGCGCCAAGCGCGAGAAGCGCCGACACATAGTCTGCCCGACCCCTTTCGGCTGATATCATGAGCGCCGAGCGACTGCGCGAGTCCTTCCCGAGCAGCACAACTCGCATGTCGGCCAGATCTTGCACGATGGGAAGAGCGGCATCATGCGCCACGGCCATGTGCAAAGGCGACGACTTTGACGTTCGCGTGCACACCCAGCGCTTGGCATCGTGCTGTCGCAAAAGACGGTAGAGCTCGAGGTCACCCCGTTTTGCGACGCAATGCACTGGGGCCAAGCCGGACAAGTCGGTGGCATCGACATTTGCTCCGCACTCTATCAGCCGACGCGCGGCCGCCGATTGACCCGCCGTCAGCGCGAGTAGCAGCGGAGTAGCGCCACCACTCGAAATGGCATTCAAGTGCACCAAGTCGCGCGGCATGAGACTTGGCTTGAGCGTCAAGCCCAGCAGAGCGGGATGGTCGAGAACAGGCACGGCTTTGACGCCGCCCTGGAGCATGGAGGGGGAATAGCGCGGATCCCGCATAAGCACGCGTGTGACCGGATCGTACGCGTGGTGTCCACTGTCATGGCACGACAGCAGCACCTCGAGGGCCTCCATGTTGCCCAGACGAGCGGCGAGATGCAGGGCTGTTTCGCCTCTCGGAGGAGCGTGGTCGTCCGCCAGCCACGAATTCACATTGACTCGATAGCTGGAATCGTACGCCGCATGCTGGACGACGGGTTGCGCATCGATGACGAGCTGCAGAAGCCTTGTGTCCTGTCCGACGACGGCTTCCCGGATAATTCTGGTCACCAGATACTCCAGCGATCCGCGCCTCGGAGCTGTCGGAGTGTACGCCAAATGTGTGGCTGCATCTTTCCGCTCTCTCCGCGACGGCTGCTTGGTTTCTGGCGATGTCCTGTACTTGGCGATCGCCTGCCGCAGTCTCCGGCTCGCAGCGCGCTCTTGGCGTTTGAGCCCCTTCAGTCCAGGCACATGTTTCGCCTCCGCAGCCACCGCAACAGCCGCCGTCGATGCAGTCTGCTTCTCTTGCGGTTTAGCTCCAGATCCAATGCTTGGCGGCGTTGCTGCTCGTGGCGCTGGACTTGGGCGCGTCGCGTCCTGCTTCTTCTGCTCCTTGTGCTTCTCCTTCTCCTTCGTCAGCTTGCTCTCTGTGCCAGCATTGCGCAATGCAGTGGTCCGCTGCAGCTGTCGGTCGATCGGCTTTGTCATTGTTGGCCAGTCGAAAAACAACTTGTCAAAAAAAAACAAAGGTGTGTCAAATTTCTGAGATTTTTCAAACAATAACAAACAAAAACAAAATACAAAAACAACGACTGAGAAAGAAAAAATCCAAAAAATCCAAAAAATCACTCTTTGATTCTTTTGTAACAAAGCAGTAACAAGTGTAGACCAGCATTTCACTATCTTTATCAGTAATAACTTGGTATAATATTATACGTTTTAAATGTCTGGACGATCGTCTGCTGCTTCTGCTGCTGCGACTGCTGCGACTACGACTGGCGACGGCCGTGTCCGAACGCTGCCATTGACGCGCGGCGTGTTTGCGACGCACGCATATGCGCCGTGGTTTGCTGGAGCGCACCAGCGCAAGTATCGCAGGCAGCAGCTGCAGCACCGCGAGCAACAGGCGCAGCGGCGACTGGCGCAGCAGCGACCGGAGCAGCGACCGGAGCAGCGAGGCGGCATGGTGGCAATGGCGACAGACGCGAGCAATCCAAGCAAGGAGGACGATCAAGAGGACGACGAGGACGAGGACGACGAGGACGACGAAGACGATCAAGAGGATCAGGCCGGTGGAGCAAGTCCAATGCAACACGACGACCAGGACGAAGAGGAACTCGGGCGGAACGAGCTGCTGGAGGGCGTCGACGCGCTGGTGCGATTGCTTAAGGCGAGGCTGGACGAGGCGATCTGCAGGGAGGTCCCGCTGCCGGCAGTCATTGCGTTCGACGCGGAAGACGATGATGGCGCGGATCCAACCGCCGTGGACATGCAGGCGAGTGCATCCGCATTGCCAGCAGCACGGCAGCGTAATGTTGCAGAGCATGGGTGGGTGGCAATCGATCCCGCAGACATGCACATTAGCGTCACTCGGCCGCTCGTTGTTTCGCACGCCAAGCTCAGCCCGCTGCTGGATCGCATGCGGGCTCGTCTGCGGCACCAGCACGGCGGCATTGTGGTCGATCTGGCAGACGTCGAGTTCTTTGTCAACGACGAGCGAACGCGGACTTTTGTCAGCTTGATGGTGCGACGCGGTCTGACTGGACTGAAGCCGCTGGTCAAGCAGGTTGATGCCGTCCTGCGCGACTTTCCCCTCCAAGAATTCTACGACGAGCCCCGCTTCCATCTTTCCGTGGCATGGTGCGTCGGCGACTGCATGCCGCTCTTGCAGCGCTTGATCACTGGCTGGCCTGCCTCGCTTGTGCAGCGCCCATCCGCGGCGCTTTCGTCGCTGGCCACGTATGCTTCCGATGATGACGAGGGCGAAAGTGCAGCCAGTCAACAACCGGTTCTCTCGTTCGACGAGCTGAACAGCATTGTTCGTGCCGTGCCAATGGGTTGCTCGCACGACGCGCGTGGCTCGACTCCATCTGAAGAGTGGCCATCATTTGTTTGTTCTGCCACTGCGATAAACGCCCCCCCCCCCAAAAAAAATGCGTGTTGCAGTTGTTGGTATCACAATTCCAGTATGCGGCATTTTTTTCTTTCTCTGGCAAGTTTGGGTCGCCTTTTGATAATTTTTATACAACAAATACGATGAAAATTTAACCATCCTGAGAAGCGTGGGGCCTCGATCTCAAATGTATGGGCTGTTTTTAAAAAGGTAGAAATCGCCATGTCTTCACTCCCCATCGCGGTCCGCTGAGGCTCCTGCCAATTGTTTTCCCCTGCCCTGCAACCCCCGCCCGAGAGAAGTAGGACCATGTGTTTATGCCACTCCGGTGCATCAGACCACACCGCCGCTGTCCCGCCCGGCGACTGTACGGCCGCGAGAAAGGTGTGACGGTCAACGCAACCTTGTCGCAGCAAATCAGTGTCAGCGGGCTGCCACACCACATCAAATAATTCTTTAGATCGGAGATCGGGACAATGGCTGGTAGGGGCAGGAGGAGCCCGAAGCTGAGAGAGTGCATAAAACAGTTTCCAGCACTCGGTTTGGACATGCCATTTTTTTTTTTTTTTTTTTTTTTTTTTTTTTTTTTTTTTTTTTTTTTTTTTTTTTTTTTTTTTTTTTTGTAACCAAGTGTGCTGGAGCTAATCGCCCTCTACTGCGGCCCGATTATTGTTGGACAAGATGAACCCGCAACAGAATGTAGCAGTGGCACAGATTGAGGGCTGGGAAAAGCTTGGCTGAGAAATCACACCGCGACACAAACCGCTCCTTTTCTCGCTCCGCCCCGCCGCCCAACGCACTTCCGCTGCGCCCCCGACCCTCGAGCACACTGATGGCATGGTGTAAACCACACAATCAGAGCACCAGCGGCGGAAAGCGACGTAGGACACGGTGGTGGATATGAACGACATATTTTGGGGGGTTCACTCTACCTTTTTAAAAAAACGGCCCCGTATTTGCCCGAGCGGTAGTCGGCAGCCGTCATGCCCTGAGCGTCTGGGGCAAAGGGGTCGGTCCCAAGCTCAATGAGCGTGTCGTATGCCGCTGGAAGCCCGCAGGTCGCAGCATAGTGAAGCGGCGTCATTTGCAACGCATCACACGCGTTCAGAGACGCGCCATAGGACACGAGCAGACGAATCATTTGCACTGCCACGGTGGATGTGCCACTGGGACGCCGGCCATGCGCCGATCCAAAGTAGCCCGCGCCGGGAGAGAGGCAATTGCGAAGGGGAGGCGAGGACGAGAGTGGCGACGTGAGCGGCGGGGATCGTGGGGGTGAAAAGGACGATGGTGCATGATGGTGAGCGTTGCTCGAAGCGGGGTGCGACGACGACGACGACGACGACGACGACGACGACGACGACGACGACGTGGGGATGGCGGCGGTGGTCGGGAAGATGGGTGTCGCCAGCGTTGCGAGTGGCACACGTGCCGAGCCAGACTGGGACCGTGGACGAGTCTCGCCGCCCTCTTCATCAGCTGCAGGAAGATAGTCACGAAGCTGTGCTGCGAGATGCAGTGGCTGCTTGCCCGCCAGGTCGGCGTGGCGAGGGGACGCGCCGTGTTGAAGCAAGGCGCGTGCCACCGCAGCCCTCCCACGAAAGACAGCCATGAACAAGGGTGTCTGACCCAGAAGATCCACGGCACTAGCATCGGCTCCGCAATGCAACAGGAGCTTTGTGGTTGCGAGGGCCGCATCGTCGTCGTCCGACGCAGCCGCCGAATGGAGCGCCGTCCATTGGTTTCGCAAGCGTACAAAAACATCCGCTCCGTGATCTACAAGCAGCTCACACAAGGCCACATCGCCTCGTAAGGCAGCTGTGTGCAGAGGCGAGGACGGCGGTTGCAACAGCAGCACTCCAGGGAGCTGCGCGCCAGAGTGTTGCGATGCCGCATCGTCCAGATGCTCACCCGCTCCATTCACATGCGCACCAGCGTGGATCAGCAGGCGAGCGACCTCAAAGTGCGACTTGGTGACAGCCAGCGACAGAGGCGAGGCGCGACTGCGGTTTGCCGTGTTGACCAATGCACCCGCGCTCAGCATCTGACGGACGAGCTCGACGTGTCCCGCACTGCTGGCAAGCGCCAACGGGGTGTTGCCTTCATCGTCTGCCAAGGAGTGATCGGCACCAAGCTTGAGCAGCAGTTGGACGGCAGCAGCGTTTCCCGACGACGCCACAATGTGCAGCGCCGTAACCCCGCGTACATCCACCGTCGATGAATTGATTCGCGCACCATTTGCCACCAGGGCTTTCAGGCTATCCAAGTCCCCAGCCGAAGCCGCGGCCAAAAGAGGAGACGAGCCGTTGGTCCGAATGTCCGGTTGGGCACGGCCAGTCCCGAGTAGCAGGCGGAGCAAATCAAGACTCGTCTCGCGCCTCGAGTGCGACGCAAGCGCGGCGGGGGAAGCGATGAGCAGAGGGGCCGAGTTGGCAGCAGCAGCAACAGCAGCAGCAAGAGGAGGCAAGGCCGAGGCTGGGGCAGCCACAGGAGTTGTTGTTGGAGCAGCGGGCGCAGCAGCAGCAGCAGCCATAGCGAGTGGATCTCGGTTTGACGCTGCTCTGCCCAGTGACAGACTAGAGACAAGGCTCGTATTCGGAGAGTTGATGGAGCTGGCTGTGGGACCGACCAAAGCTGCGGATACAACAGTGGAGGTTGACGTTGCTATTGTACCATTCGCCGCCGTCGTGGCAGAAGCCGCAGACGGTGACTGCCTGGTTGAGCCTTGCCCTGTCGCAACAGAGCGCGGTGCGGTGCTCCCTAATGGCGGCCATCCTGGATGCAACGGTTCTTCGGGCATGGTTTCGAATAGAACGTGCAACGCCGTCCGACCAGCTCTATCTTGAATACTGGCGTTGGCTCCTGCGCGAACTAGATGATGCACCGAATCGCTATTGCCGGCCGCAATGGCCATGTGCAGCGGCGTGTCCAGCGCGAGAAGCGTTTGCAAGTCCACCGAAGCACCGCATTTCAGTAATGCCGAGACGAGTTCGCCGGCCAGCGCGCCCGTCTTTTTGCACGCAGCATGCAGCGGCGTGAATCCATCCATCTCACTTGCGAGGTCTGGTCGAAGCGGCACAATAGAATTGGCTGGTGGCGGGGGGAGTGGCGGTGGCACAGGTGCGGTCGTCGTCGTTGTCGTTTCCGAGGCAGCTACGTCTGCTGCTGCTGCTGTTGCAGTGGAGGCCCACAGGCGTGCTTGGGACACTGACAGGTCGCCAGTCGTCGCAGGGATGGTATAATCCGGGAGGAAGGTTGAAAGAACGCTGTCCGAGATGCACCCAGGCCGGCCACAGACACGAAGCACGACCAAAGCGCAGGGCATGAGCTTTGTGTCGTCGATCAAACGTACGAGGGCCGGGTAGCCACGTGCATCTGGCGCATTGACGTCCGCGCCATGCAGGAGCAGCAAATGCAGTACAGAGTAAATGTCCTTCATGACGACGCGCGGGGCGAACGCGGCGTGGGTGATGAGAGTGTGCAAGGGCGATGGACCACTCTGCGTCCTGCCAGAATCGCCTGCAGAGTCTTCTGTCGTGCCATTCACTGATGCGCCGCGAGCTAGCAGCAATGAACAAAAGTCTACAGAAATGGTTCTCAACGCCGTGAAGAGTGGAGGCTCGAAAGTAGAGGTGGCGCCTCCGTTGACGGAAGCGCCGTGCCGGAGCAGTCGGAGTGCGCCAGCACGTTGCTGGAATTGCACTGCAAGGTGCAGCGGAGAATGGCCACTGGAGGAAGCGTCGTTAATGTCCGTGCCGTGCGCAAGCAGGCCTTCCAAAGCCGCATCGGACTGCACGGCCGCTCGAAAAACATCCATTGCCGAAACTGCTGGAGGTATCCCACCCGATGCCGCAGTTAGCGATGTTCCAGCCATCGATGTTGAGGAAAATGCCGACGACGACGACGACGACGACGACGACGACGGTCCATGCCCAAAAAAGTGCGAGTGCACGCGCGAAGAAGTTTGACTCGGAGGCGGTGATCCCGAGCCTTGGCCTTGCCATCCTGTCGGTGACGATGGTCCATTTGGAGAGGACGACGGCACTGGCGACGACGGCACAAACACCATGAGCGGGGTCTGCGAGGCTGATCCAGTCAACGGGACGAACGAGCCGCCGCCGGTTCCTGAGCTCGCGACCATCGGATTTAGTATTGGATGAGCGCTTCCCGCGGCACTTGGAGGTGTCAGATTCACTGCTGCGAGCGACATGGCAGCAGATGCTGAGCTTGACGACGGCGGCGAGGTCGAGTGCATCGTGGCGGTGGTCGTCGTCGTCGCCACGGGAACGGGCGACGCGAACGAGATGGGATTGCCGGACGACAGCGGAGTGAAGAAGACGGTTGGCACCGGGTTTGCACGCACTGCCGCCCGGGACGAGTGGCCATGATGGTGGGAGTGTGCTTGCGACTGGGACTGGGACTGCGACGACGGCACAGGCGGCGGTGACAGCGGGCGACCCGAGACAGCGGCATTGGAATGGGAATGGGAATGGGAATTGGCAACCAGACCTGATGACAGGCGGCCAGTCGGACTCCCGGGGCTCCGTGCGAGCGACGACTGCCCTGCGAAGGAGGACGAGGAAGAAGAGAATGTAGAAGAAGAAGATGATGAAGAAGAAGAAGGGAAGGGAGTGGACGTGGTGGCAGCTGGGTGACTGCGCGGAGGCGACTGCGAACGAGCAAAGAAACCGCCGCCGCCACCAGCAGCAGCAGTCGGCGACGTGGAGCGCGCTCCTCCTCCGGCCATGGTGGCCAAAAACGACAACACAAACACCCCTCTCAAGCAAGTGAGGGCGCTGGAAGTGGACGCTTGGTAGCAGCAAAACTGCCTGACTACTGCAATTGGACGAAACTGACGAATGTGCGAAAAGTGAACAATGAGTGAGACTTGCTTGTTCGGGAAGTCTGCGCGTGCGTATGGAAACGATTTGGGAAGCGAGAAACAAGAGTGGGAAAGATACGAGGCAAGGATTGTCAATGTGTAAAGCGCTAAAAAGAGTAATAAAAATAAAAGGCGCAGTGGCATCGACTGCGAATGGATGGAGGGAGGAACGAACACGCGCGAAAAACAATAAAAAAAAAGACAAATCCGAAACTCCAGAAGCACAGAAGAGCTAGAGAGAGAGCGAGAGAGAATGGCGCCACGAACGGGACACCTCCAAAAATTGTGGATGCAAGCGAACGCTCACATCCAGCTTAGTTTTGGTTTAAGTTTGTCAGCGACAGGACCCTTCACGAAAGACGATCACAAAGGCACCAGCGCGCTAGACTCCCTGATCAAACCGAGGACGTGCCGCTTCCCAAAGCCAAAAGAAACGCAACGGCTCGTCTCCCGAACAAACCCGCGAGCGACGGCTAGGAAGGCAGGCGAGAAGCGTTCAAAGCAGCAAACACCGAGACGAACAAGTCAAGTGTGCAGCTGGATGGTAATACAAATGGGCTTTCGTTGGCCAGCGTTCTTGCATTTCCCGCCAATTCAGTTTTGGGATGTGATCACCTTCGATCTTTTCCCAAAGCATCAAGCCATGCCATCCATCTTCGGGTCTCCTGCTTTGCTTCCCTATTTGATGCTCTCTCGTTCGGACGCTCTCAGAAAACAAGCTCAGTCTGAATTGTATTTTTGCTTGACGATGGACGACCGACAGCGACGACGATCGCGGTCTCCGCCCGGTCGCCATGCATCGTCCTCATCCTCGAGCTATGCCGACCACAAGAGCAGCGACGGAGACAGGCGCGACGACCGGCAACGCGAGCCGCGACGAGACGACCGGGACGACCGAGACCGAGACCGAGACCGAGCTCGCAGCAGAGACCACCACGACGACCGCCGTCACCATGAGCGCGATCGAGACCGAGACCGAGACCGAGACCGAGACCGAGACCGAGACCGAAGCAGCCACTCGGGTGAGCGCAGCAGCCGCGCACCAGAACGGAGCAAGGCAACGCGATCGAGGTCGGCGTCGCGCTCGTCCTCCGGGTCAGAGTCCGAGTCCGATTCAGGCTCATCCTCATCATCATCATCATCATCATCTTCTTCTGGTTCTGATTCTGGCTCCAGCTCTGACTCGGACGAGTCGGATGACGGCCGTGGCCGAAAGTCCTCATCTTCGCGGTCGAGCCACCGGTCGTCGAGTAGAGCGGACAAGGCGTCGTCCAGCAGCCGCCATCGCTCAAGCAAGCATGGCAAACATGGCAAGTCCAAGAAGAGCCACAAGCATCATCGATCGTCGCACAAGCGCGATCGCCATTCGAGCAAGCACGACCAGTCAGAGGCGCGCCCGTTGCCGGCAGGCGTTGCCCCGCTGAGTGACACGGACTACTTTGTCAAGCATAGCGAGTTTCGCCAGTGGCTGCTGGAGAAGCGGAAGCAATCCTTTGACGACTTGACGTCGACCGAGTCCCGCAAGCTCTTTACGCGTCGTTTCCTGCCGGCGTGGAACGGTGGGTATCTGGACGGCAAGTTTTATGCAGGACTGACGTCCCGCGATCTCGCCTCGAGCGCTAAAACCCGGCACAAGTGGGGCTTTGTGCCCAATTTGAATCCGGACGAGGTCGATCGTGTGAGCGACACTGTCTCGTCCTTGACACGCGGCGGCGCATCGTCGAGTGCACATCCTCCTGCCTCCACCAACGCGTTTGGACGACTGATTGGCGTGCCACCGGCTCCTATCCCCGAAGCTGTTTCAGCAACTTCCGGCAGCAAGCGTCCCTACTCGACTTCGCTGGACCCTGCCGAAAGGGTGCTGCAGGAGGAAGAGGCACGCAAGCGAGCCCAAGTCGAGAAGAAATCTGAGCGTTCGGCCAACTACCAGCGCATTAACGAGCAGTTCCCAAAGACCGAGGGTCGCGAAGCCGCCATCGCCGAACGGCAAGGACGCGCTGCCCTGAAAAAGGCGGCAGAAGGTGACGCGATGGATTACGCGCCTGGCGTCAGCGTTCTCGGGGGTGGTGGATCTGACGAGTTCAAGCGGCTTCAGCAAATCAAGCACCAGGCGGACAGTCGGCGCAAGGAGGCCAAGGCGGCTGTTCTCAATGAGAAGGTTGCGGCCTATCAGCTCAAAGAACAAGCGTCCATGGCTGCGCTTCGACAGCTAGCGGACATGCGAAAGCAACAGCAGCAGCAGCAACATCCTTAGCGCCCGTGTGGAGTTTTTGTTTGACCTCGGGAAAGAATCAATAAACAAATACAAATCTGACGCAGATTTCAGTTGATGCAGACGCCGTGTCGTGCTTCCAACAAGAGTTACCAACAAAGCATCAAATCACATAAAAAAAAAACCGAAACGAATTTATCAAAACCAAGCAACCAAGCAACCGAGCAACCAAAAAACCAAAAACCAATCAAACAGCCAGACACAATTTTTGCAATTTCATTGAAAATCAAAAAAGCCAAAGCGACTCTGCTAGAGATCCAAAATCATTGGGCAACATTCGTTATTCTTCCGATTTGAGCGGAGGGAGTTCTTCGTACTCGCTCGGGGGCAGAGGCATCGGTTCGCGATGTGCTGCTACTGGCGGAAGCTCTTCATAATCACTCGCTGCTGGTGGTTGTGGTGTTGGAGGAAGAGATTCATAGTCGCTTGATGCTGTTGTAGCAGCAACAGCAGCAGCAGCAGCTGCCGGTGGTGGTGGACTGATAAGCGGTAGCTCTTCATACACTCCCTTTTGCCGGACGAGAAGCGACTCATCGAGCGACAGCGCGTTTTCATTCTCTTCATCCGCAGCAGCCGCGGCCGACTTTGTATTCTTGTTCACTTGGGCATACACGTCTGCGGTGGGCGCTTTGTTGACTTTGGCATACCCTGGATCGGAAGGGTTGACTTTGGCATACCCTGGATCGGAAGGGTTGCTTGTGCCAGAGGCGCCAGCATCTCGGCTGACTTCAGCGTAAAGATCATCATCAAGCTTGACGCCGTTTGCATCCGCCTCGGACTGTCCAGGCGCTTTTTCAGAAGCAACAGAGCTGGGAGCCGCATAGGCGCTATCCACCGGCTTGGCGTAGTTTGGGCTGCTGTACTCGGCTGGGCGAGCGTACACGTCCTCGTTCGAGCCGCTCTTCCCGTCCTTTGGTGTGGCGCCCGATTTATCCTGGGGCTGGGCGTACGACTGAGAATACGGGGACACGGCAGACGGGGCAGAGTACAGGTCGTCGTCACCAGTGCGACTCAGTTCGGAGGGCCGCGCGTACAAGTCCGTCGTATCCGCTTCTGAACTGGAAGCGCGCACCGATTGCAGAGCGACGGAACTGGGCTTGTTGGCATTCTTGGACTTGCGGCGGCGGCGCAGCAGGATGAGGAGGACCAACAGCAGCAAAAGCAGCACACCGCCACCAACGCCTGCGCCAATCGCGGCAGCGTTGATTTCAGAGCTGGTCGGATCGCCTGCCGCCAGAGACGGGGTGACGGACACCGGAGTAGCCGAGGACGGCGTTGCAGAAGAAGGAGTGGCAGAGGAAGGAGTGACTGAATGAGCCTCTGAAGGAGTGACTGAATGAACCTCTGAAAGAGTGACTGAATGAACCTCTGAAGGAGTGACTGAATGAACCTCTGAAAGAGTGACTGAATGAACCTCTGAAGGAGTGACTGAATAAACCTCTGAAGGAGTGACGGAAGGAGTGGCAGAGGAAGGAGCCACGCATTCGTTCTGGACGAGCACCGTGCCCGAGGAACAGCTGGTGCAGTTCGTCGCAGTACCGGCGCAAGAAGCGCAGCTCTCTGCGCACGACGCGCAGATCGCGTTTGCCGAGGCGTACTGGTGGGTATCGCACGACAGCGCACACGAGAGATTACTCAGCCTCACGTATGGCGTCACACAGGTCAGACAACCGTTGTTGTCGCACGAAACACAATTGCTTGAGCATGCTGGTGAAAGATGAAGTGAAAATCGGGCAGAGACACATGAATGAAAACAACCAGGAGGTGAGAAGACCTCCAGCGTCGCAAAAATAATACAGCATCCATCCGCACGTACCAAAACAGCTCGACGTGGATGTAGGCAGTTGAGGAGGGCCCGAGACGGGGTTTGAAGGATCGCTGCAAGAAATGCAATTGCTTTCACAAGCTATAAGGCACACAGCGTGAGGACTCCCAGAATGAAGGCAATTTAACATGCAGCAACAGAACAAACCAAGAAAAACGTACCACAAGCGTTGCCAATTCCGTTCACTCGGCCATTGACGCAGAGCTGTACAGCACGGAAGGCATCGACAGACGCCGTTTTCCCCGCCGCAACACAAGCTGTAGGAACCTCGATGCGCGAAAAGCCCTGCATCGGATTCCATCCATCCAGCAAGCCAATGTAAACCCAGGGACAACGAGGCCACGCCGGACCTCTGGTCGAAGGGCTACAGGTGGTCCACCCGCCTGTGGTTTGGTCGACATCCGTCCCAAATTGGTTGGTGACGTTGACAGAGTCTCCAAAATCGACGTTCACTGACGTGCATCGATTGCCGTTGCTGGTGTACGATACGAAAATGGCGACCGGGCCTTGGAGGGTTAGGAGCCCTGCAAATCCGCTCAGTTCGAGGAGTGGAGCTGCATCGGTGTCGCTCACACCCGGGGATGTGTCGTAGAGGTACTCGGTGTTGTCCAATTCGGTTGTGACAATCGAAAACCCTTCATTGTAAACTGTATCCAGCGCCTCAGCTTGGAAAATGACATCTGGACGCAAGAACCGCATCGAGGTGTTTTGTGAGTGACAACGGTGACACGCTCGAGTTGGATTTGGAGCGCAGACAACAACAACAACAACCAACCAGACGTTCGTTTTACCTGTGCTTGTAAATGCGGCGGATGCGTGCTCGCCTGCTCCCAACGAATAACAAAAAGAACGAGTGCCATACAAGCGAAGAACCACAACAATAGCAAAATCGCAATAACAAAAAAAAACCCAGATCAATCAAAACAAGCAGAGTTAGAAATCCAATGTAAAATCCAATGTAAAATCGAACAAAAAAGCCGGCAAAAGTTCCAAAAGCGGAAAAAAAAAGTTCCCAAACAACAATCCAATGTCAAAAAAAGTGATCTAAAACACCGACTGTTTTGTTGGTCATCACGATTTGTGTTTGAACTGAGCAGCAAAACAAAGCCAAGCAAGGCGTTGAATGATGATGAGATAGAGATGGAGAGATGGAGATGGAGGGGAGAGGCAAGGATGTGGATGGGAGAGGCAGACAATAGGAGGCAAGGCTGGCCAAAAGAGGGGCGGGTGTGTGTGTGTGAACTGTAGTTACGTGGTGGAAGACGTTCCAAGGAGACGGAGATGATGGAGAAGATTTAAAGGGATGGCAACGCGATTGACACCAACGACGAGAAGGAGAAAGATAGAGAGAGAGATGTGAAGTGGGAGAGAGAGAGAGAGAGAGAGAATCGAGAGAACGACTGGAAGGAACGAAGGAACGAACCATGGAGACAAAGAAGCAATGCAACCACAACGCAAGCCACGACCAACGACGACGACGAGGACTTGAAGGACGAGAAGGACAACGCTAGCGAGGACGATCGCAACGACGACGCGGACGGGGACGCGGACGAGTGCCGATGGGGATGCATCCCAACCAAAGAAGAAGAAGAAGAAGAAAGACAAAAAGAATATGAGACTGGACTTGCATTGGCACAAACTCAGACAAAGACAAACTCAGACAAAGACAAACGAGAATGGTGCAACACTTGCAAGAGCTCAGGTCAAACAGATTCGGCAGTTGGACAGTGAATTCGATGTTGAGCGACTGACTGGCTGGCTTGGCTCACTTTTTCATCCAATGCTTCCACTCCAGTAGATTTCCGTAATAACCATCATACAGTACACTTTGTATTCAATACTGTTGTCACTCCTTGTTTTTTTTTTTTTCTTGTTCTCAACCTCTACGCGCCAAACACGATGCCAGCAGCAGACCATCCTCCAACCACCACCACCACCACCACCACAAGCAGCGGCGCCTCCTCCTTCGATGCTTCCTTCGATGAGGACGACGCCGTGATGCGTGCACGCGCCACGCCATGCGCGACCATCATGCGCATCAGTGCTGCGCTCGGGGCCATCGGAGGCGGCATGTCCGGTCCCCTGCTCACCAGGCTCATGCATGGTCAGTCGAGGCGACCTCGCCCATTGTTGACTCTGAAAATTCTTTGATCTTGGTTGTTGATGTTGATATCTGCAGGATTCTCGAACACGCCGGCGCAGCGGAGGCGCACGATGGTGCTGGGCGCTGTTGTCGGCGCAATGGTCGTGCCGTACATTACCTTCCACATCTCGCCGAACTGCAGCGAAATCAACCGACGTGCATACGACTGGAATCGACGCATCTTCTAAACAAGACGCACTGATGGCGGCAGGCGAAGGGGGTACAAGGACAAGACAAAAACAAGAATACAAGAAATGGCTGAAGCCAGGGTCAAAGCGTCCGCTGTAGTGGCTCATCACCGTATGGCGAGGAGCAAGATGCCATCTTCAAGGACATCGAAGGCATGCGACTGTCAGGGTTCTACCGTCATGCACACAGATCGTTTCACTCGTGGCACTTTGCAAAAAGATGGAGGATTCGCGTTTCTTTGTGCAATTTCGGGACCGTGCACCAACACAAGAGCAATGCAAAGTTTGCGCGCATTCACCACAGCAACAGGTTTGAGAGCCGGAGTACGGAGGTCTGCGTGTGGGTAAAGCGCACGCTGGAAGCAGGTCGGTGCCTTTTTTTTTTGGCACCAGCAGCTTGCGCAATCGGTGCGTTTTTCCATCAGTTGGCGTGTCCTTGATGTAACCAATATGAATAAATAGTACCGCAACACTGTGTCTTGCGATGGTATGGAATAGCTTGGGCTCAACGTCCGAACGAAGTTCTGCGAGCCAGCAGCCTCATTGCGCCTGCTCCGGTGGCTTGTACAAAGCAGCGTGTTGGTTCTGGCAGGTTTTGTGATTCATAGCGAGGTTTGGTGCAGTTTCGCATGAGTATCGTTGGGAGTTGAGGTTTCCCGCCAAAAATCGATCCGAACGCAAAAACTCACAAGAATCGTCACAAGCGTGTCCGCGTCCGCCTTGCCATCAAGAATTCTACAAAAATCATATCAGCCAACAACGCATCAGCATGCAAGCACGGCAGCCAACTTGCTGCACAGTGGATCGCAGTTGTTGTAGCAAAAGCCACATTTTCCCGCCATTTTTTTCTTGAGTGCCTTGCTTTGGTTTGGCTTCTGCTGCGCTTACCGTTCCATCTCTTCGTTCAGCTGAATGACATTGGCAGTCAACGCATCAGCAACGGCCGCTAGCTTCTCGAGACCGGCAAGCGTGTCGGCTGGAATATACAATCCACTACCGGAAGACATGAATCGGAACTTTGAGGACTGAGATGACCCTGTCTGAGCGGACGAGAGCATTCCAAGATGACCTTAGAAAAGAGAGTTTCGTTGCGAGTACATGGAACTCCGGGATTGAAAGGGAAGGGGCTTGACTTGGACAGCAAGTTTGAATCGCTGCCCGGAAGCTCAGTCTCAACGCGCCGGTTCGGACGACACGGGATTCCAAAATACAACAACAAACAAGTCCAGAACAAAGCCACTATATGGCCAAGGTGAAGGATGCTATATTGTAAAAGTACTGTTATTGGTACAATGCCCGAAGATCGCACAGAGTATGACCAAGCGTCGAGCGCACGCTCCACAACAACAACAACCGTAAAGCGTGGGCCAATCCCTTAGTATATCGCGTTATTGCTTTCGTTCGAGTGATTGCCAAGCGTTGCCATCGGCCTTTTGGAGTCGAATTTCCACCTTCGAGCCGAGAACTTGCATCTCGCTTCCGGCTGGGTTGATTTTCTATCAATCGTGCAAATAGCAAAGCAAGCACCGGCAGAAGGAAAAAAAAGCGCACACACAGAGTGAATCGACAGAAAAGCATCAAGAACAGAAAAACGAACAAGAAACAAGAAATTGTGATTCAAGAAATGCAGCACGACACATGTAACTTACTCCTGCCAGATCAATTTCCAAGTCAAATTCGTTGACCGAGTCAAAGATGATGTGAACTTTGAGCTGGATTCGCAAAGAACGAACAGTGAGTGACAAGGACAGACTTTTGCGAATGCCGAGCAAGGGCAGAAACCTACCGTTGTCGCGTTCGCCTCAGCGTATGAAACGTCGCAATCGACCTTCTTGGCGTACACGTTGAGACTGATAGATCCACCCATCGCAAACCAGTCGTATCTACGGAGCATGGATGATAAGGTGGTTGAGTTTCCAATCCAAACCAGGCCTGCTCGCCAAATCTCCCACCGATTTCCTCAGATCAAGCATACCTGCATTTAACCTGCTGGGCAACCTTTGACTGAGCCATTAACCACCAACCGAATGGAGAGAAGGTGAGTTTTTTTTTTTTTCAAAGTCCTGTTCTGACTTCTGCAAACGTTGCTGACACGACATTCTCACCTTCACCCAGCAATGAGTGGCTGTAGTGCAGCCCTTTTGAGCAAGGAATTCGTCAAAGTCCTGTGTGCGCTTCTTGCAGCACGACCAAAACTTGGAGCTGAGGAATGACAAATCTCAAGAAAAGTGAGCTGCCCGGGTCCCCATGCGAAGCATTTCACTTGGCATTTCATAGCAAACACACAAAATGACCATACTCACCCTTCATGGAAGACGGGCGAGCCAGTATGGTGAAGACAGGGCTCGGTGAGCGACTCGACACCCGTGTACGATTTGCCACACGCGTTGTTGACGCAGATCGTGCCAACCGCCACCTTCGACTCGGCAGATCCTTGCACTGCTGCGCTCTCGCCGTTTGCACCAGCGGCGGCGACATTGGCACTGGGCGCAGCAGCAGCAGCAGGTGCGCCTGCAGCGCGAACGGCGTCCGTCACCACGAGCTTCAAGCGCTCGAGCGGCTGCGTGCTCTTGACCCATGGCTCTGGAGCACTCACTGGCGGGGGTGTCGGCGTGGGCACAACGATCTGCGCCTTCGGAGTGGTCTGTGCGGCGGCGGCGGCGGGCTGTCCTGCAGGCGCTGCCGGCTTGACGTTCGTGTGCTTGCCGCGGGTGCATCCTGGAGCGTTGAGAAACTCGCCAAAGTCCGAGTGGCGCTTGTTCGGGCAGCACGACCAGTACTTGAGCCCTTCGTGGAAGACGGGTGTTCCGTCGTGGAACAAGCAGGTGGCTTCGTCGGATGAAGACGACGGATCAAAGTCCTTCCCGCAGCCCTTGTTGTAGCAGAGCACTTTGGCCATGTTGGTTCAAAAAGGGGTGAATTGACGCGAAGTTTTGCTTGATACCGACCAAGGGTGAGTGGGGTGAGTGGGGTTGAGGTCTCGCAACGTTGGATGGCGCAAAAAGACTGAGAGTGCTGCTGCTTGTCTGCCTGTTCATGAATGGCAGAAGCGATAATAGCTACTGCATGGTACAGTATATTAGGATAAATCTTGATCAAGAGCATGCTGAAAGTCGGATGTGATGCACACGTCTCTGCTGAGATCAAACAGCCGATTGCCCATCGTCCTGTCAACCAACTCCCCCTTCCGGTCCCCCCCCCTTTTGTTTCACGTAGTCTGAAATCAAACGTCCCTTCTTGCAACACACTCCCCCTTCTTGCCCAGCTTTTCATGTTGGTGAAGGAAGCGAAACAGGTCGCCAGTCCACCCTTTTGTTCGCTTGATCTTTGAGGCGGACACAAGTAAGCCAAAAGCCGAGGAGCGCTCCACTGCCCCTCGTTCGACCCCCTCGCTTGGTTTGGCCGTGATCGGCAGCCGCTCTGCGCACGTCGCCAATGATAATGCGGTCGTCCAATAGGCGACAAGGCCAGGATGGGGTCTCAGCGCTTAAGCCGTCGGGACCTCCTCATGCTCTTTGCTCGCTTGTCTGCGCGTCGTTTCTCTGTCGCTCTTTTGTGCAGCACAGTCGCTCCGATCCAAGCAGAGGAAGTGCCGGAGCAGCAGGGCCCTGCCGCCGACTGACCTGAGCTCACTCGGGCTAAACCGCAAATAAACAAGCGCCACCCAGCTGATCGCCTCTCCCGCCTCCCCTCCCCTCCCCCGCGCGCTCACGCTCTGCTGAATGCACATTGTTGTCAAAGAACACAGTGGAAGCTGAATGCACATTGTTGTCAAAGAACACAGTGGAAACGAGCAAGAAAGCGCGCGCGCTGGGATTGGGCAGAGAGGCAACACGCTTAGCAACACACACACACACACACACACACACACACACACACACACACACACACACACACACACACACACACACACACACATGCACACACACACACACACACACACACACACATATAACATGGGCTTGAATGTTGTTGAACAGTCACAAGTTCACTTTGTACAATGCCTCTGTTTCGCATAATCATAGATGGCCACCAAAAGGGCGACCTTTGGTCTGCTTCTACTGTTGTTCTGCGTGATTCTCAATCACGCCCAGTTGGCACAAGCAGCCGTTGCATGTGGCACTGGCGGCGTGTGCAGTTGCTCGGAAACTCTGGTCAGTTGTCAGAGCAAAGCTCTCACATCCATTCCAACCGATATCCCAGTCACCACAGTGAGCCTGTAAGCGTTGAGATTGAGTGGATTGTGAATCGAAGCTCTGTCCCTCCTGATTGGTGCACGACCGATAGGTTTCTGTATGACAACCAGATAACCAGCATTTTCTCAAGCGCATTCACAGGCTTGAACGCGCTGATACGATTGTAAGCGTGTAGAGACTGTTCCTCACTCATTCCTCGGCTCACTCATTGGCGACGCCACCTGTAGGGACCTGTCCAACAACCAGATCACCAGCATTTCTGCAAACGCATTTACAGGCGCGATTTCGCTTCAAGTCTTGTAAGCAAGCAAAAATATGAAGAACCACGCAACCATGGCTTACTCGGTTGCGACGCGATCTATAGGTATCTGTACAACAACCAGATCCCCAGTATCTCAGCCTCTGCATTCACAGGCCTTACTAATCTGACACAATTGTAAGCAGGAAACGGCATGTCGAATCTCGCACGGAACGGCTCACTTTGTGTGACACTGTCTGTAGGTCTTTGCAGAACAATCAGATAACCAGCATTTCCTCAAGCGCATTCACGGGCTTGACTGCGCTGACTGACCTGTAAGCTCGCATAACGTGAAAAAGCAAACACAAATGGCTAACTCCTTTGCGACACCACCTGTAGGAGTCTGGGCAGCAACTGGTTGAGCGCTATTCCGTCCTCTGCATTCACAGGCCTTACAGCGCTAACACATTTGTAAGTAAGCAGAGACACGAAGAATTGCATGTAATCTGCTCACTTTTTCTGACACGGTCGATAGAAATCTGTACAACAACCAGATCACCACAATTTCTGCAAATGCATTCTCAGGCCTGGCTGCGCTGCGATTCTTGTAAGCTATCAAGGACACAAAGAATCCCACGCGAACGACTCACATTTTGTAACACTATCTGAAGGTATCTGAACAACAACCAGATCACCACTTTTTCTGCAAGCGCATTTGCAGGCCTGACTGCGTTGTCTCGCTTGTAAGTACGAACGCTGTTGCACGCATTCGATTTGCTTCTTACTTTGTCCTACTTGCAGGGCTTTGAATGCCAATCCTGCCACCACTTTGCCGCCTGGTCTGTTCAAAGGCTTGCCAAATCTCATGTATTTGTCGTTGGGTTCGTCTAATTTTTTGCAATATCTGAGCCCCAACAATTTTACATTTGGTGGAAACACTGTTGCTCCGCCTAGCACATACGGCTGGGTATTCACGCCTTACAGTAAGCGTTCGAGCTGACTGCTGTATAATCTCACGTGATCGTTTCACTGACATTTGAGCTGCAGAGTGCGATACAGCCTGTGCCACTTGCTACGCCGCTGGGTCCAGTGCGTGTTGCGGGACCGATTGTCTGACGTGCACTTCATCTAATCCCTGCACTCAGTGCTATGAAGGTTATCTTATGATGGGCAGCTTCTGCTTTGCATCAGCTGCGACCAACGCATCTATCGCCTCTGTCGTTTCTGACGCGTCCATGCAATCCGTTGCAAGCGCGTCATCAGCATCCATTGCGTCTGATGTTTCTGCGACTTCGGCGATCTCGGCATCGTTTGCGTCCGTCGCTACTGCATCGTCTGCCTCGATTGCATCAGCTGCGTCAGCAGCGACACAAGCATCCAAAGCCTCCGCCGCCTCTGTTGCGTCGACGCAATCTGCCTCTGTTGCATCTGTTGCGTCAGCTGCGTCAGCTGCAACACAAGCGTCCAAAGCCTCCGCCGCTTCAGTAGCGTCAGCAGCGACACAAGCATCCAAAGCCTCCGCCGCTTCAGTCGCGTCTACACAAGCTGCATCGTCAGCGTCTATTGCATCTGCTGCAAGCGCGTCATCAGCATCTATCGCATCTGATGTTTCCGCGACCTCGGCGATCTCGGCATCGTTTGCGTCCGTCGCTACTGCATCGTCTGCCTCGATTGCATCAGCTGCGTCAGCAGCGACACAAGCATCCAAAGCCTCCGCCGCTTCGGTTGCGTCTACACAAGCTGCATCGTCAGCCTCGATCGCATCTGCCGCGTCAGCTGCAACACAAGCGTCCAAAGCCTCCGCCGCCTCTGTTGCGTCGACGCAATCTGCCTCTGTTGCATCTGTTGCGTCAGCTGCGTCAGCTGCGACACAAGCGTCCAAAGCCTCCGTCGCTTCAGTAGCGTCAGCAGCGACACAAGCATCCAAAGCCTCCGCCGCTTCAGTCGCGTCTACACAAGCTGCATCGTCAGCGTCTATTGCATCTGCTGCAAGCGCGTCATCAGCATCCATTGCAGCTGATGTTTCCACGACCTCGGCGCTCTCGGCATCGTTGGCTTCCGTCGTTGCTGCTGCATCTTCAGCCTCTCGGGCGTCCGCATCTGTAGCCTCTGCTGTTTCTGCTGCTTCTGCCCTCTCCGCTTCTGTTGCTTCAACCGCATCAGCATCTGCTGCATCCGTTGCATCTTCCATTGCACAGTTCGGCGCTGGATCCCAAGACTCATCCTCGTCGGCGGCTGTCATCGCTGCTGTCGTTGCGTCCGTGACAGTCATTGCGCTCATTGTGGTGGTCTTCATCGTGTTGCGGCGCCGGCGCTCGCAACGCTCTGTCATGCGACCGAAGGACTCTGCCAGTCCCGTCATCGATCAGACGACTATTGAAATGACAATGTCTCCTCTGGCCCATTCGATTGAATCTCGCATCGAGGATGACGGCTCAACCTCCGCCAAGCTCAGCCAAAAGCAGCCAGAATCGCAGAACGCTGCCGATCCCATGTATCAGGAGGCTGAAGAAGTGACAATCTCCCAAATTCCCGATTCGATCGCATCTCACAACGAGGATGACGGTTCAACCTCCGACCAGAAGCAGCAGCCAGAATCGCAGGATTCTGCCGATCCCATCTACCAGGAGGCTGATGAAGTGACAACTTCCCTTCAAAACCATTCGGCTGGAGCACACGACAAAGCGGACATTCCCCATGCGGCGGTCGGTCAACCACAGTCGTATCAAGCTGTCCCGACCGCCCCGCCAGAGGAGGTGGTTGACGATGATGCGAGCGCGTATGTTGCCGGCAGCAATTCTCGTCGCGTTCGCGAAGGCTTGACCATTGGGAAGCACCTTGCCAGTGGTGAATTTGGCGATGTGTCACTGGGTCAAGTGCCTTTCAACGTGTTGCCCACAAGAGCTCAAACCTTGCTCGGACCTACAGCGTCTCCAACCGTGATGGTTGCAGTCAAGTCTTCCAAGGCCGACGCTGACGAGAAATCTCGCCAAGACTTTGAGGCTGAGGCGAAATTGATGGCTCCGTTTGTACATCCGAATGTCGTGCGTCTGCTTGCGGCTCTGGTCGAGTCAGAGCCCCATCTCGTTCTGCTAGAGTTTGTGCAGTACGGCGACTTGCGCACCCTGCTGCAAAAGTCCAAGCTGTATTCGCTTTGGTGGACGCACAACGAGCAGGTGCATGCCATTCGTCAGATTGCTCTCGGCATGGAGTATCTGGGCACGCTTAACTTTGTGCACCGAGATCTTGCCGCGCGCAATTGTCTCGTGGGGCCAGGAATGGTGGTCAAGATTGCCGATTTCGGGCTTTCCCGCGAATTGTCGGATGAGCAAGATTACTATCGCATGCAAACGCGAGGCAAACTTCCCGTGAAGGTGGGTTGAGTCAGATGGCTCCACTGCTGGTCGTATGTGATTCTAATTGTGTTGGTGATTGTAGTGGATGGCACCGGAAACAATGACCTTCCGCAAGTTCTCGTCCATGTCCGATGTTTGGTCGTTTGGTGTCACAGCCTGTAAGTCGCGTCATTTTCCGCTGATACTTGCTCTTGCGTCGAGATTTGACTTTTTATTGGCGCATGCTGGTAGGGGAATGCTCTAGTTACGGCGCAATGCCGTACGGCAAGATGAATGGCGCTGAGGCACTGGCTCATCTGGAGGCTGGTGGTCGACTACCCATGCCGGAGCACTGCTCAACTGACCTGTTTAGCTTGATGTTTAGTTGCTGGAACTCCATCCCAGAGCTACGACCAAGCTTTACGCAGCTCGTCAAAGCTCTGAGAAACTTTGAGGATGGAACAGCGATCCGCGAGATCGGGGCTCTGCTGTGAACACGATGTTGGAGATGTTTGACTTGCGTCCCCGCACTTGAAGAGTCGTCGGTGGATGTGTGGATCCCGAACGACATCTGCGCATTGAATATCTACAGGTTTTTTTTTTGAATCGCATTGCTGCTGGTTGAAGGGAAATCTCGTGTTGGAGGGAAGTAAAAACAAGCATTGGCAACACACAGCCGGTTGAAAATCTCCCTCGATAGGGTGTGCAGTCTACGTCCGGGTAGAAAGAGATCGCAGAGACCTCACACCGTCCTGTCCATTCAAGTAACCAGACCGTGATTCAGTCGTTTTGTTCCCTCTGCCAAAAAGTGAGTGAGTTTAGGTCAAAAAAAAAAAAAAAAAAAAAAAAAAAAAAAAAAAAAAAAAAAAAAACAACGAAAAAAAAAAAAAAAAAACGAAGGCTTTTGTTTTGATTGAGTTAGCCTGTGCAACGGGTATCGAAGCTCGCGACTTCCGCGAGTACATCTCCATTCGGACTGCAATTGGAGTGAAAGACTGCGTTGTCTGGGCTTGGGACTAGAGAGACGGGACGAGAGAGAGAGCGCGCGAGAGAGAGGGCAAGGCCAGAGACACCGTTGAAATTGTGCATTCGCCTTGAGCTCCAAAGTCCAGCCCTGCCGTGCGGCGCTGGGCACTGGCGCTCGTTGAGTCAAGTGACACCGGTTGAATGTGCATGTCAAAGTGAGACAAGCAGACGCGCAGCACAAAGGCAGCACAGCCTAGCCTTGGCTGAATGGAAAGAAGCAGGATTCGATTTTTTTTTTTTTGTATTTATTATGGACTTTGTTGTGTGAGAGAGACGAGCTTTGCCAGCTTTAGAGAGGAGGAGGGTGGGGTGTCTCTGTTTGTGCATCAACACTGCGCACTTGTACAGAGTGCGACGAGTAGTGATATCACAGCCCAACACTCGGCGCGACTCTACGAGATGGAGACTTTTGCTGATTGTCTGATCGAAATAACAAGAGAATAATCGTCGAATGCCGCTCAAAAAAAAAAAAAAAAAAAAAAAAAAAAGGCTGATCCGGTTGACAGCTGAGCGTCTCCGTTGTGGCACCCCCCTTGCAGTTCGATGCACCCGCTGCATTGAGCGTGGTTGGTTCACGCCAAGTCGCACTTTGGATGAGCGAACACACACTCGGAGGATTTGAGCGACCAGCAGCAAGTAGAAGACCAAAAAAAAAAAAACTTTTGAAAATAAAAAAAAAATCAATAAAAAAAAATAAAAACCAAAAAAACCCCACACAAAACCGAGCTCGGCTTTCACTCTCGGCTTCACACCATGCAAGAGTTCCAACCTTCGTTGCGCATGGGATTCGATTCGAGTCGAGAGAGGGGGAGGGGAGCATTTTTGGGGTTTGTCATGATTGCTGGAACATGGGACAGACAGAGTCAATGGTTTTGGCTTCGGTTTGTTTGTTGTTCGATAAGCGCTCGTGAGGCAAAGGCAAAAGGAGCGGGGTTGATTCGTCATGACCACTCATCAGTGGCTCATAGAACAAAAATGCTCATGCACATTCATCAAGACTTTGGGGGAGGGGAGGGAGGAGGAACTTTGCATTTTCATAAACCATACTCACTCACTTTGTCTCCCTCACTCGAAAAACAACAGACATTTCAGACCTTTTAGTGTGCAGGACAAAACAACCAACACTGCGCAAGCATCACAACAAAGTGCATACAAGTCGCATCGAGTACGCTTTTTGACGTTTCTATTTACTGAGAGGACAGGCCCCCGCCAAACGAACCAAACATCATCATGTCGGCGGTGCTTCCAGCAGCAGATTCAGCAACTGCGGCCACCGCCACCGCCACCTCTGACATTGCAATCCCGGATGTTGCGTCTGCCATCATTGCACCGGCCGCAGCAGGACTCGCCGCGGTGGATCCTGAAAACCAACCGCGCGCATTGGCCGTCAAATCTAATAATGTCGACGTATCCCTGTTGCACGAGCGCATAGAAGAGTCCTCCAATGCGTCGAACGCTGCTCGTACAACCGTCCACCCCATGCCGGCGCCCAAACCCGAATCTCGCTTTGCATCGTTCAAAAAGTCGCTGCGTCGCTCGCTCAAGCGATACTCGATTGAAATGAGCATTCCTGCGGTGGCAGCTCCTCCGCCGGACGCCGAAGATATCAACCATATTGCCGAGGAGGACGAGGAGGGACCGTCGGGTGACGACGACAAGCCGCCGCCGTCCCCATCGATGCAGCCATCGAGCGGCGCCGACACGCCCAACCAGGCGCTTTCGGCAGCGTCATCCACGCCCACGTCTGGAGCATCTTCGCCCGTCCCCGGTTCCGACGCTGAGCGCAAGGAGCGTGCAGGGTCGTTGCGCAAAACCTTTGCTCGGCGATTTTCCTTCACGCGACTGTCCGACAAGGAGAAGGAGAAGGAGAAGGAGAAGGAGAAGGATAAGGACGACGGCAAAAACCCCGACGGTAGCCCGCGCAAGCGCGAGCGACGACTGTCTTCCTCTTCCATTGCGTCGCTTGGTAGTTTGAGTCACGCATCCCTCGCCAGCATTGCTGGTGCAGATAATCCGGATATTCGATTTTTCGACACCAAGTTGAAAGCGTACGTTGGTTTTTGTCTTGTTTGTTGCAATCCTTGGAACGATCCATCAGGTGTCTCATCAGGTTTTTTTTTTTTTTTTTTTTTTTTTTTGGGCTCGTTTCACAGATTGTTCAAGAAGGGCGCCAAGCAATCCGAAAAACTGGCCATCATCCAAGAACTCATTCCCGTGCTGCGAGTCCGTTCGTTTGATTTTGGCACAGCTCAGTGGCCACGCCTCGTTGTTGCCGGATCGCTTTTGGAGTGGTAAGTGAGCGTGGGAGTGATTGTTTTGTTTTTGCCCCCCCCCCGACCTTTTGTTGCTCACTTTCACACTTGGCCGCTTGTTCGTCGGACGCCTTAGTTGGAAGTTTTTGTTAAAGAACGTGAGCGGATCCAGCTACGAGGCTCGTGCCTTTTACTTTCGCGCCATCGTGCTCATCATGAAGCGCCACGAGCTTCGCCTGCACGAGATCACGGATGACGCGGAGTCATTACTGCCCGACCTGTACTCGGAGTACTCGCGGCTCGTTTGGGACACCCACTCGTACGTGATTGAGCGGCTGACGCGCAAGCTCGCGTTCGTGTCACTCCTTGGATTCAGCCTTGAAGTTCTGGCCATCAATTACTTTTTGATGCCTACCCTGGCTTCGCACATTGTCCAGGTGGTTGAGCAATCCTACCAGGATGCCGAGCCAGAACTGGATGCAGAGGTGAATGAGCTTGTGGCGGAAATTCGCCACAAGGACGCGGCCAACAACACCTTCCCGCGTCATCCTCGCCGCCGCACTTCCAGCGTGTCCGGCATGAGCACCACGCTGCCTTCTACATTCGAGGGTCTGGCTCCTCTGCTGGAGGTGCACTCGGATGCCGGTTCGCCGCCTGAGTCTCCGACCTCTGCGCCCCATCCGACCACGACTGCGGCGGCAACGATTGCTGCCAATCTGGCCGCGGGGAAGACCGACTCTGTGGTGAAGTCCGCGTCCACCTCGTCCCTCCTGAGCCTGCATGCCGCCATGGCAGGCAAGACGCTCGACACCAAGCCTGTGGTGAAGGGCCCGTGGCTCGACAAGTTTAGCATTCGCAAAGAGCCCGAGTTTTTCCTCATGTTTTTGAAAACCCTGTGTCGCCGCATTGGCGAAATCAACCTCCCGACAGCGCACGGCTCGCCGTCAGGTATTGCCTTGCAGGCGGGAGGCGGCGGCGTTGGCATTGGTGGACTGGGCCCCATGTCGCCCGGTCTGTCCATCCCGACTCCCATGAGCGGTAGCGAGAGCATGCTTTCCACCTCGCCGGGCAATGCGAGCAGCCTGCTGTCAACCTCGCCATCCAACGCCAACTATCTCTCCACCTCACCGTCCAACGGACTGGCGCTCAAGTCGGAGCCATCCGACGACGGCAATCTGCTCCCACCAGGCGTGGACACTTCGCGTCGCCTCTCGCTCGGGCGGGACGACAAGAACGTTGAGATTGACTGGTTTGCCGTCCGCGGGTATTCGACTTTTCTGAAGAGCTTTGTCGCGCTGGCGCTTTCCAACTATTTCCCTGCCGATGTGCGGGAATCCATGCAGCCCCCACCGCCAATGGTTCCAACCTACTCGCAGCCGCATTTGGCACACTCTGGAGTCGGTCCTGCCGCTGCTGCTGCTGCGGCCGCCACGACTGGCGCCTCTCATGCAGACAAAAAGCCCGCCAAACCCGCTGCAGCGCCCGCCCCTTCAACGCTGACCTCCTTCTTTACCCCCGAGTTGATGGTTGTCTTTGAAAACCCGCATGTCATCAACATTGTGACAAAGGTGTTTTTGCGCCGAACCAGCGTGATTAACATTCGCGCAGTCACATGCACCATGTCCTTCATCCACGACCTCGTGTCGCACTATTGCCACCTCCAAATGCGCCCGCTGCCGACCGAGTTTGACTCTGACTACTTCCTCAAGGCCATTTCGGTGCTTTTCGAGTCGCAGCACTATGTCGTGCTGATGGCCACGCTGTCCTTCCTCTACCGGCACATGCACGTCTTCAGCGAGGCCTGCAGGCAAGATCTTACCACCATGCTCACCTCGCGCTTCTTTTTCAAGTTCTTCTTGCACTGGCAAGGTTCTGTCCGATGGTTTTTCTACCACATTCTTCTTTACCGCATGATGCCTTTCAGCCAGTTGAAGAGCATTGAGGATTTCATTTCTGTTGAAGGTGAGTTTCGTCAATTTTTTTTTTTTGTTTGATGGTTGTTGCGATTCGAGCCAAGGATGGCGAGGCTCACTTGAAGTTTGGGGTTGATTGTTTTTTTTTTGCAGCAACTGGCCCCGAGCAATTCCCTGGTGCATTTAGCAACTGGTGCCAAGCCAACCCGATGCCTGATCACGATGTGTAAGACTTCCTCTTCGAGTGTTTTTTGTGTGCTTGTTTTCTCCTGCTCTCCTTCCATCTCTCCGATCTCTGACCTGAACTCCTTTTCCCACCTTGCTAGTGCGATTGCTCGCAAAATGCACGAGTCGGTCATGTGCATTCGTGCCCGCTACACGGTGCTGGTGACGTTGGCCCGTTCGGCTCTCCAAGCCCAGCACGCCCAAAACAACCCTGCCGCGGCCACAGCTGTCACTCCCGGGGCAGTGTCACCGGCTGCAGTCGCCCTGGCTTTCGGAGCCCCACTGTTGCGACCACCAGTGTTTGCGCTTGACTTTGAGCTCGAGAACTTTTCCTACCAGGATTCTGGTTCGACCAGCAAGAATTTGGACGCACACTGTGGCTTGGCCGGCTGCAAGCTCGGCGACATTGCTCGCGCCCTGAAAGAGTACATTGACTGCCAAGCCGAGAACATTAAATGGATTCGCGAGCGCGTGAGTCAGGGCATGCTGCCGGCCGCCGAGGACATTCACCAAGCCTTCCCGAAGCTGCTGCTCAAGCTTCCCAATCTGAAAGCCGAGTAACAAACACCCTCGAGTTAATCCACTTTTTTTTTTCCCCAATCCATTGTTATTCTATTTCCTTCTCACCCGAAAATCGAGCTGTGTGTTCTTGCATTTCCTTTTTATTTTTTTGCTTGTTTGTTCTTTTGATTCTTGTGATTGCTTCATGTTGCTGCATGTTTGTGCTTGATTGGTGAAAAGAGAGAGATTTCTTAACCCAACCTTTTTATCCTAGTATTTTTCACTCTTTTTTTTTTTTTCTTTCTCAGAATGAGTTGGTTTCAGAAGACCGTTTCGCTGAAGGTTTGTTGTTACTGCTGCCTTTCTCAAGTCGCATCCCCATCCCTCATTGGAAAGCCCGCCTTTTCTCGCATGCATTTAGGCTCGACGACGTGGCTGCCATCTGATTACGAGCGAAGTGCTGCCGCATGTGCAGGAGGCGGTCGCGCGCATTGAAATTGGCCTCTGCCACCTGTTCCGTGAGTTTTTGTTTGCGCGCAGCACTCCGATTTGGCACGAGTGTTGTCAGCTGATCTCCAGGTCTTGACTCTCTGTGTGCACTTTTTGGTACCAGTCCAGCACAGCTCGGCGAGCATCTCCATCAACGAGGTAAACGGTAAACGCGGAAAAACCCAGCCAAACGATTGCGTTTTCTCAGATTGACGTGAAGTTTTGTTGTGTTGCTTTTTTTTTTGAAGCGATTGGATGGTACTCACTTTACAACTATATTGTTGCGTGCTGACAGAACGCAGATCCGGATGTGCGCAAGGACATGGAGACTGTTCTCAATCGCCTGGTTCCTGAGGTTTGGCACAATTTTGGGGAAGGTTGCGTTGTGTTTTGCCGCTCGCCAATGAACTCACGCGTGGTTTGTTGCAACATGCAGGGAGATAGCTACGTGCATGACGCAGAAGGTAAATCAGATGATGAGCAGTTGGCTTTGCAATCGCTCAAATGTTAACTTTTGCAATGTCTGATGTTCTCGTAGGTCCCGATGACATGGTGCGCATCCTTTTTGGAGCAAGTTCGCTCTCTCTATTGCTAGTTTTTGTGTTCTGCTAACATTGCCCAAATCTGTGTTGACAGCCTGCCCACGTCAAAAGCAGTCTGTTTGGCGTTTCTGTAACCGTCCCAATCACCAACGGCCGTTTGAATTTTGGCACTTGGCAGGTAGCGTGTGAAAGAGTGATGTCTGGAATCAGATGGAGTGTTTTGAGCTCATCGGGATTTTATTGAACGTGAGCAGGGCATTTGGCTGTGCGAGCATCGAAATGATGGAGGTATGGAAACCCCTGTGTGATGCTTTTGGTTTTTGGTTTGAAAGATATCCCTAATCAAATGCCTGCGTTTTCTGAAACTGGTCAAACAGGAGCGCGCAATCTTGTTGTGACGATTCAAGGCATGGCTCGATGAGCCAAAAACTGCCGGAGGCTTGACTTTTGGGCGGTCGTGTTGTAAAGCTTTTCAAACAAGTGCATTTCTACTTGGCAGGAGGCAATGAACGAAACCATTTCTCGTATTCCAGATCTTCGATTGCGATTCTAGTCTCGATTGTGGGGTCGTAGAAGGCCCTTAGCTTCCCACGGAAGGTTCGCGCCCATGTCCCTAAGCATGTCGAGGTATGACGCGAGCCTATCGGACTGCTCCACGGCGAGTTCATGTCGTCGTTGTCGTGCTCCAACAGCAGCAAATGAGGGTCTTTGTTGAGATTGGTTTCCATTGTTTGCCGGGTTGCAAGGAGTGCAGTGGCAATTGGGGCGGTGTTGATCAGCCATTTACCATGCAGAAAAACCAAACACTGAAGGTGATCTTGGTTTCAGATTATAAGTTCACCAGCATTCAGCCATACCCGGTTATGCTGTTGTGGCGGTGTGGGGTCCCCAGGGAGCTGAAAATCTGATGACCACCAGCACTTGAATTGAATTCGGTTCAAGGACCAAGCTCGACACGCGAAAGAGCCATTGTTTGAGCTCGGACACTCATCTGACCATCGATGCGCTTGATCTCAACCACGCACGCGACAAGAGCGGGTGCGACGCGCGCAGGACTCGCGTCATTGAAAAGACAAGTTTTGGCGGGAAAATTTGACGCTCAGTCTTCTACTTTCAACAACAGCCCTCATGCATCGGTAACCGTGCTTTTCGTCTGACCAAGAAGCAATTGTACTGTAGCTCGTCACAAGATTGAATGATGCTCACGTCGTGGGGCCCTTGGCAGAGCACAGACCAAGAAAGCGTCGCGGTCTCGCGCCACGACTCGCACCACGACGGTGCGAGCTGCACACCCCCACGAACCTGCACAGCTTCGCCTGCGTCCTCGGCCTCCACTCAGGAATACCAACGGTAGGGCTAGAAAAAAGCGTTGTTGCAAGCACAGACGAAGACTGACAAACTGAAGCGTGACTCGATCAAGAAGCCGCCGAGCTCTTACGTCAGCTCCTCAGGGACCTGGAGCCCGAAGCAGACGCGAATCCAATCCGCCTTCTTCCGGATGCTGAGCGCTCTCAATTCCAAGGACGTGCTGATCGCTTGCGCGATCAATTGAGCACCGGACCTCCAAACTTGGAGCGCGCCCGCCGAGCTGTTCAGAATTTGTTGCAAGAAGCGACTCAGGCACTTCCTCGGCCGGGTCAAATCATCGAATCACTGCGTATGGGAGGAGTGTATGAGCACGTCGGCGTCGTGATTGCGTACCCTGGTCAACCGTTCGAATTAGCTGTGATCCAGGTCGATCCATCTGAAGCGGATGGGACAGCTCTTCTGGAGGGTGACCCCAATGGCGTGCACCTTATTCCATTGCAGCACTTTGCTCGCCAACAATATCGCTTTCAGGGAGTTGCGCCAAGCCCTGGTACTGAACAGTACAGGCAATTCGAAGACCGCGTTTTAACGGCTCGCCAGTGTCCTGGCTTCAATTACGGATTTGTCACTGCGAACTGTCAGCATTTTGCATCGTGGGTTGTGACTGGCAGATCGGAGTCACACGGTGTCATCCAAGGTTTGCAAGCCATCATTATCGGAGTCACTGTCACCGCCGTGGGATGGCGAAATCGCGGTTCATGGGTGGCGTTTCTCGGCATTGTACTTGCTGTGACAGTCATCATTTGGTTCATTGAGCGAGCCGTCTACCTGCTTTGACTCGCTTTGACGTTGGAGGCATTCATTTGTGTTACATGCTTGATTGTACTGGTTGGTGTTGCTCTTCGGTACACCTGTTTGCTTTCGACACATGCTGCCTTTTCCTTTCTCTGATATCCTTGCTTCATCACGTGTTGATTCGGTCAATAAAAAAGATGTTGCTACAGTCCTCTCGTCCCGTTCTCAACTCATCGGCGCTCGATCTCGTCAGCCACGCTTGAAGCGACCTCGAAAGACTGGGCGTTGCATGGTCGAGCGCCGAACTTTCGTGTTTGTCTTTGCTTCCCAGGCCCACTTTCAAAATATGGGCGAACAAAAGTGAGTGGATGTGATGTGGAATTCTTAGTCGCTCTGAAGGCATACATCTGAGCGCGGAACGCGGTGGGTGACTGACCGACAGACAAACAAGGCTATGAAACTTGGAGGAAATGTTCGAAGCAGCAATCAAAGCTTTCCTTGAGCTTGATTCTGGATTCGATCAAGATAATCTTCATCATGTTACGTCCTCCCTATCGCCCCTTCCACATGCAGATCAGCTCTGATGCTTTCCCGGCGAGAAGCGTTCGTTTCAAACGATTTTGTGCGTGTGTTTGTGTGTGTTTCTTGTTGTTGTTCTTGAACGCACTCCTTTATCTCGATTTTATTTTTCATTTTTTTATTTTTCAACTTTCTTGCTTCAACCTGTTGCTCCGCTGCAATGGTGCTCGTGTCGCCGTTGCCGTTCGTGACAACGACGGGGTGGAAGCGCCAGTCACTGTCCTCGCTCGTCGGCGGCGGCGGGAGCGACGCCCCGGACAGTCCCAGTGCTGCGTCGTCCGCCTTCCCTCCTTCGTCCGCATCATCGACGTCCCTGGCTGATGCAGGGGACACGCTGTCCGAGCGCGGGAGTGTTGGACGTCGCTCGGCAGATGCGCTCAACCGACCCCCGTATCACCCGACGCCCCAACAACAGCCGCAGCCGCGTGCATCCCGTCGCCAGCCAGCGTCCAAGCCGCAGCCTGCACAACAGCACCAACTCAGTCACCACCATCCTCATCCTCCGACGCATCACACTCAGCTGCAGGCCAGGCACGGTCCCGCAGCGGCGGGTCGCCCGCACCACCGTCGGAGTTGCTCGTTCGGCGATGAGCCAATTCCGTTCGGGCCGTCTGCCGCTCCTGCCGCTACTTGCACCACCCCATCGACAATGCTGCTGGGCCGTCCGTCGCCATCCAAGTCAGCGCACGCATCGCAGCAGTCCATCATCTACGCGGGAACGCCTGCAGAGGGTGCTGGCGATGGTTGCGACGAAGATGATGATGATGATGATGATGATGATGATGAGCGTCAAGCGATCGCGGTTGCGGTGAATGGTGAGAACTCTTCCACTTTCTCTCTCGCTCTCTCTCTCTCTCTTGCCCCCTCCCCCCTTCGCTTTACTACCTCTGATACCCTGTGTCGACGCGTGTCTTGTGTGTGATCTGCAACGAGTCGACCTCCCCTCCCCTCCCCATCCTCCGCCTCTGTTTCCATTGGGTGTTATCCGGCTTCTGAGCAAACAGATCCGCTCGTTTTGGAAGCCAACGTGAACCCAACCCCGCGCCCGCAAAGTGTAAAAATCGACAAAACCCTCCGTCCGCGCACAAGTTGCGCTTTTGACTACTTTGCTCGCACTTTTGCGCAGTACAGCAAGGAGTAGGCAGGATGGCAGGGGGAAGGAGAGAGAAGGGGGACAAAAGAAAGGAAAAGCGGCAAGAGAGTGAACCACATCAACTGCAAAAGTTTACCTGCATTGGATGGAGGTGCGCGGCCGTTGGTGGTGGTTGGTGGTTGGTGATGTTCAGTGATGATGGTGGTGAGAATTTAGATCTGAACAGAAGCGGATGATAATCACGACATTGAAAAAAAAAAAAGAAAAAAAAAAAAGGAAACCAGAATATCGTCGTTTTGCAACTGCATTGGCTCATCGTTCGTCACGATTATTGTCATGACATGGTTTACTGTATTGCTTGTTGATAGGTTTAGAGCTCGTCGACGACATTCACTCAACACAGACAATCGAAAGGGACGCGGAAACCTCAACGACGTCGCTGCTGTCCACACCCTCGTCTGCACAGCCATCACCCACATTAACGTCAAAGAATGAAGGTAGCACACCTGCTCTGGAGCTGCTCTCAGACACGGATTTGATTGTGGCATCGCTCGCAGTGTACTCTCTGAAACGCTGGGCGGCTCTGTTCCCGTTCGCGCTTCCCACAACTTTGCAGCCGACGGCAACGACCGGTACTGCCGGCGCCGCTTCTAATTTCCTCTCGTCGTCCACCCCGACGCTGGGTGCTGATGGGCAGCGACACGTCTTCCGACTGGTGCTCGAAGACATGAGCGCAAGGTAACCAAACCAAACCGTTTTGGTGCAAACCCGCACTCGACACTTTTACCTAACAATGCTTGCATCGTCGTGTGCGGATGATGGCTAACACCCAATACAGAAGCCTGGTTATTGCCGCGGCCTCTACCATGGAGGAGCTCCTGTCCGACTACGAGTTCATCCGCACAAGCATGTCGCGGTTGGCGGGGACGATCAACCTTCGCCGCGAACTTGTTCCAGTCGCACCACGCTTGCGATCCAACTCTCAAAGTCGCTTCCGTTCCTCAAGCCAAGAAGATGTACTGGCGCAGACGGAACCCGCCATCCGCATGCTGCTCGACGATCCGAGAATGTCGCGGCTCGCCATTCCCGATCCCGCCGACCGACGCCACCACAGAAAGCCAGAGCCCGTCAACAATCTGTTCATTCATACCGTGGGGGCATCCTCGCCCGAGGAAAGAGACGGCTTTGATTTTGACATTTCCATTGATTCGGCGGCGGATGAGCGGCGGCGCGCGCCCAGTCGCGGCAAACGCAGCCGGGCCAGCTCGTCTTCGGCTTCTGCCACTCCGCCTTATTCGCCCGTTTCCATGTCAATCCCCATACCAATACCCACTCTTGCGGACGCTCGCCCGTCGGCAGCACGGCACACCACTTCCGACGAGACTATTTATGCATGCGGTTCATTTGGCGACAGCGCCACCACGACCACGACCACGGGCCAGTCGAGTCGAGCCAGCACTGGCAGCAACAAGTCATTGGGTGCATTTTCCTTCTTTCGTCGGCGCTCCAGCACCTCGACAGAGCTCAGTGACGCACCTTTCGTCGCTGGCAAGCCAGTTCTGCGCAGCACGCGTCCCAGCCAGCCCATTGAACCATCCGGCTCGGTCGAGCTGTCACCACCGCTTTCCCCGCAACTGCAACTGGCGGTGGGCCATCATGCAGCCCCTGTTGCAACGCGCGTGACGGAGCAGGCACTGATCGAGCTCTTTGAGCAACTCCGGCCGTACCAGACCCCCAATCCCAACTTTGCGCGAATGCTGATTGACCGGTATCGCTCGATTGGGCCATACGACATTGAAAATAAGCATCTCGGCGCAGGTTCCTTTTCGATTGTGCGCTTGGGCATGCACAGGCTGCGCCAGGAGAAGGTGGCCCTCAAGTTCTTTGCCAAGGACCACAGTCAGGGCGAGCAGATGGTGCAGCAGGAGCTGGCAATTCTGCAGGGCTTGCACCATCCCAGCATTGTCACCGTGTACTCGATTCTGGAGACTGAGCATCACTTTTGCATGGCTCTGCAGTACGTGCCCAACGGCAGCCTGCTCGAGTTTCTCAACAAGCACTGGTCGGTTGAGTTTGGGTGCACCGAGTCTGCCGTGCTGTTCAAGCAAATTGTGCTTGGCGTCGAGTATCTCCATGCCAACGGCATTGTGCATCGCGATTTGAAGCCAGACAACATCTTGCTTGGCGCCAACATGCGCCCTGTTCTTGTTGACTTTGGCCTGTCCAAGGTTGTTCGAGCGCCCAGCCAAGCCGATCCCGCGGCAAGGCATGAAAGTGTCCGCGAAAACTGCGGCACGCCAATCTATGCCGCTCCCGAGTTGATGATTGGCACGGTAAGGTTTTGGGAGTAGAATAGGGGGTTGGGTTGGGAATGAGGGTTTTGAAACAGGTTTTGTGCTAGGGTCTGACTTTCTTCTCCCTTGCCCCTCCTCTTCCTCCTCCTCCTTTGGTGGATGCTCGTTCGGCTTTTTGTTGCAATCAGACTCGAAATTTCCCGGCTATCGATGTGTGGGCGCTGGGAGTCATCCTCTTCAACCTACTGACTTGCGAAATGCCGTACGACTACGAGCCCAGCGTCATGACGATGCAGCAGCTCTACCGGAACATCCAATCGCAAGCGTTTGGGGCGCCGCTGTACGTCCCAAAGGAGGCAGAGCGGCTGCTGCGACGCACGATTGTTGTCGATCCAGAGCGACGCATGGGAGTCTCGGACATTCTCCAGCATCCATGGCTGGTCGATACTGTGATTACCGGAGAAGAGAGCATGGTTGTTTCGCCTTCCGCGGCCGAAAAAGCAGCAGACCAAGCCGTCACCGAGCTTATGGCCACGCTTGATCGCCACGATCAACAACAGTGGCGGCTCCTTCGTTCGGATGATGTCACGGCCTTTGCGCAGCGCAGCAAGGAACCCACCACTGTTGTCCGTGTCAAGTGCAAGACCATGATTGAAGCGTCCGCAGAGCGCGTTGTTGATCTTGTTAGTGATTTCCAACGGTGAGTTCTTTGCGACATTTTTTTCGTTTGTTGTGGTTGTACTGGAAGCGCAGCGCTCTCACTGTTTGAAGCCTGTGTGGGAAACACAGACGTCGTGAATATGACAACTTTACAACCAGCATCCGAGAAGTGGAGAAGGTTGGCCACCATTGCTCGGTCTGGTACTTTATGGATGAGAGCGCCTTGTACTTTAACAAGGTCACGCGTGATTTTTGCTGCGTTACCAAGCGAGTTCAAAAGGTATGGCGAGAAGACAAAAACAGACAACAAATAGAGGATCGTTGAACGCAAGGCGACTGACTCACTGTTGGACCATTTCTTCTTTTCGGTTTTTGGCAGGATGGCAAATATGTTGTTGCGTCGACGAGCGCCACGCATTCGAGTTGCCCGCCGATTTCTGGTCGGGTCCGCGGAGAAGTCTTGCCAAGCGGATGGGTCGTGGAGCCGATTGGCGATGGCCGCTGCTGGCTGACGTATCTGCTCGCGTTGGATTTGTGCGGCAACGTGTCGAGCAGTCTCATCAAGCGTATTCATCAAGGCGTTCCCATGTTTTTGGACAAGATTCGCGAATTGGCGATGAGTGTTGAGCGATAACTCGATGAGTTGTCTTTGTTTTTTTTTTGCTTGTTTTTGTTTCTGTTATTTATTGCTTTCACAAGAAATTGTGGAGGAGTGGACTGTCATTAAAGCACATGCCACTGGGTTTTCACAGCTTTTCGCGTCTCCGCTTTCAGCCGAGTGTTTGTTGCTTGTCGGCCTTGCTTTATCAACCCCAAGGCAACTAGTGCGCGAGCTGCTCATCCACCACATTCTTGATGAGCCAAATCAAACCCGGATCGTACGCAGACAGCCGAAACGCATCCTGCTCTCGTGCAAATCCAGCCAATTCCAGCAACTCGGTGCCGCCTTCAACCGACGCCACACGGTCTTGAAACGCTTGATTCGTCGCACGAATCCTGTGGTACTTTGGGTCCTTGGGGTACCTTAGAGCATTTCCCAGGTAGACTTGAAGCGTACGAAGACATTCCTGTGCACCAGCAGAGACGGCAATCTGCCTGGCAGCCGCGGTCGCGCGTTCCAGTTTGTTGAGCGATCCATACTGCGATGCAAGCTCCATTCCTAACGGGTCTACCGAATTCGAGGTTGCATCCGCGGCGTCTGGTTCATGGCTGTTGTTTGCAAGAACCATCAAGCCGGCATCGTCGTTCTGACCGTGGATGGACATGGGGCTTGCGGTAGACGAGGTCGGCAACGTAGTAGTCGGCGTGTCGTCTAATGACATGTGTACAGGTTGTGCCACGGGCGATGGCGGAGATGATGGCACCATCACACGAGAAATGACAATCGCGTGCTCGTCGAAATCGGGTGCACGCGTTGACGCTGGTGCTGCTGGTGCTGCCGCTGCTTGCCCCTTGCCAGACGAAATGGTCTGCTCGCGAGGCTGGGCAGCTTGCGACCGAGATAACGCCGCGAGGGCAGCCAGCTCCGTTCTCGGCAAATTTGAGCGGAAGCTGCCACCGCCAAGCGCAACTCCAGAGCTGCGAGCAGTGGTTGTCATGACATCTTCCTCTGTCAACTCGTCGCGCTCCCACGCATACGGGTCTGTTCCAGCATTGCCATCTGGCGGCATGTACACGGGCGCGCCACCGAGAGCGTGACCGCCATTTCGCGTCCAGTCCAGCTGCTCGGTTTCCTGTGTGAGCTGCTTGTTGAGCGCATGAAAGTCTGCATTGTGATCGCTATGCACCATGTGCGCCAGTTCGTGGATCTACGCAGAGTCCAAACAAGAGGTAGTCAGCTAAGACAAAAAAAAGTCGCACAAATCATCCATCCATCGCTTACAAGAGTCTTCTTGATCACGTTGTACTGTCGAAAGCCTGTTAGATCGTCAGTCCTCAGACGAAGTGCAATGGACTGGCCCTTGTTGGTGTTGTAGCCAAGCACGCAGACATCGTCAATGCCGACTTTGCCCTCCGGCGGCATCTCCACAAGCGCTCCGACCAGCCAATGATGCTTCTTGACGACTGCCACAATGCCTGGATCGGTCGACAGCCGCCGAAGCAGCTCCAGAGCGTCGCTAGGGGACGGATACGTAAAGTACGGCAACGACTCGAGTCTGGCAAACCCATACTCGCGCCCCAAACCGGACGAATCACGGTCTGCGAAGGGTTTCACGGGTGCTTGACGGCGCGATTGGCTGGACTGGGCCTTGGTTCGCATCAGGCGTCGCTCTTCAATCGCTTTGAGTGCGCTTCCCTCAGCTTGCCGCACCTCTTCTACGTCGGTGAGGGTGGAGCCGAGCAGCATGATTCGGTCGCCATTCACAATGCCCAGCGTGTCGAGCGACTGCTTTTCGCTCTGCCCATCAGCATCGTCAATGTCATTGCCATCATCATGATTATCACGATGCTCGTTGCGTTCGTCCAAGTCCGATCCCCTCATTGTTCGGTCATCATTAGAATTCTCCGTGGCGGTTCTCGAACGAAGCGCTGACGGAGCATTTCGCGAGCCAGTCCCTCCAGTCAGAGTCCCTCCAGTCGCCAATGCAGATGTCACGGTCGCTGCAGTAGAGCTTGTCTGGTTCGTGTCGAGGCGGCGGCCGCGCAGAATCAGGCGCTGCATGGATGGAACGACGTGGAAGAGTCGCGCGAGCTCGAGTTGCAGCCGCAGCAGCGTCGGATCGTCGTCGAGTGAGATGCTGCTTGCAGAAGGACGAGCGTCAGGAGTCTTGTCGGAAGACGACGAGCTTGCTTCGTAATGGAACGACGCGACCTGTCGCGAGAAGGTGACGTCAAAGTGGATTCGCATTTGTCAACCCCAAAAAAAGTAAAACTGAGCCTGTCCTAATTCAGCCATGCAAAGTCTTAGCTGTGAAAAAAAAAGCAACAATAAAATGATCTCAATCTTAATCTATTTTTCTTGTGCTGGGTTCAAATCGAGACAACACATTTTGCAATCCGAAACAAAGTGCACAACAACAACAACAGCAGCAACTACAGCAACAGCAACAACATCACAACAACAACGACAACAACAATGAACAGAACAAAATCAAAATCACTTCAGCAATCCTCAAGTTACAGCTCAGTCACAATTGCGCGGCTCTTGCGGCGGTCGGGCGTGACTTCTGCCGGTGGTTGGATTGGAGCTGGGACGGGTGCTGGGGCGGTCGCAGCGGCAGTCGCAACGGCGGTCAACGCCGACAACTCGCTCTCGTCGACAAGGTCGTCGTCCAAGGCGTCGCCAGCAACGTCGGCCCGGGCAGCCGAGAACAAGGGGTTGGCGCTTTCAGCCTCAATCCGTCCGCCCAGGGCACTCAAAAAGGCCGCATGCCCTTCGTCGTCCGCGTGACCAGCATACATCATGGTGCCCACGGAGCCACGGCGATGATCAATCGCCTGGGACTGCGGCGCGTGCGGTACGTCGACCGAGTTGAACTCGTCTTGATCGGGGGTGCTAGACTCCATCACCTTCATTGAGCTCATGTGGTAGGCACGCTTGTTGAACGAGAGCATGAGCTCGTCGTCATCGTTGCGATGGTGGTAGGAAGGCGTCTCGCCCTCTTCATCGCTGGAGACGTGATCGCTATCCACATCTTGCTCTTCTGGTTCCGGTTCCGGTTCTGGGTCGGCAGCGGCAATCTCTGCTGCAATCTTGCTCAAGTCTTCCTCGGAAATGGCCAGCTGCAGCAAGGTACGGCGATGCAAGTTGCCGTTCGTCGTTGTCGGCGGCGGTGGAGGCGCCGGCAACTCGTTGCTATCGCTCTCGTAGGACATGGTGTCCTCACTTTCAAGGCTGGACATGGACCCGACATGAGCATCCTGGAATGCGTGGCTACCGCGTCCCGGCGGCGGAGGCGGTGGTGGCAAGTCGTCCAAGGCCTCTTCGAACGCAGCCGAATTGTAGGAGGCAATGCCGCGACCGCCACTGCTGCTGCTGGTGTGGATGGACGCGATCGAACTCTTGTGGTGGTGGTGGTGGTGGTGAACATTCGGGGTTTGTTCGACCGGCGGAGGGGGAGGCGGCAGTAGCACCACATCCTCGTCCACCACGCTGGCGAGGCTGGCATCCCGCGAAAGCAGGTTGACTTGAACAGCCTTGTGCTCGGTGGGAGGTGCCGCGTTTGCCCAGGTGGACAGACTTTGCGTCGAGCCACCGGCACCTTGGAGAAGGTCGAGCTGAGAGTGTCGGCGCTGGTTGTACAAGTCCGTCAAGCTGGCAAACTTGGAGCCTCGCCGGAAGGGTGAAGTAGGAACGCCAGGGGATGAAACTTCGCTGCTGGTGCTGCTATTGGGCGTCGAAGGCACGTCAGGCATGACCTTGACACGAAGCGGCCTGCGCTTCGTGGATTGCCGTGCAAACGGCACCTTGCCGCCACCGCTGCCAGCAGAAGACCGCGCAACCATGGTGATCAGACCCGCGTTGGGTGCCGGGAGACCACCGCCGTGCAAAGCAGTCATGCCGGGAAGCGCAATTCCGGGCATGCTGCTCTGAGGCACCATCATCTCTTGCATGGCCAGCTCGCCAGCATGGCCAAACACGTCGGGGGCATACTCGATCAGCACGCGAATAAACTCGTGCAAACCTTCCTTTTTCAGCGGAGGGCCGATGCGCAACGCAATGTTGACAGTGTCGCTGGCGTTCTCAGCCGAAATGAGAAAGATTTTGTGGAGAAGCGACATGGTGCATTGCAAAAAGACATAGTTGCAGTGCGGAAACCGGTTGACAATGCGCTGGAGCACGGCCACCTTGTCCGCGGACGCAGTCGCCGACTCGAGGGCGGCGCTAAAGCCCGGGGGCAACTCGCCCGCGCCGGATTTGAAAAACGATGCTGCGGTGGTCGTGGTGCCTGAGCTTGGCTTGGCTTGATGGTTGGCATGGCTGGCGGGACTTCCTGGGAGCGGAGGAGCTGGCGCTTTGCGAAGCGCGTCAAAATCGCTGGCGCGCAGGCCGCTGTAGACACTATCGGGGAGGGCTTGTAAAAACTCGAGAAAGAGACCCACAAGCACACCGAACGGCAAGACGCGCAGGTCAACATCAATCTCTGCGTCGATCGTCCGCCGCAAATCGCGTACGAGCTCCAGGTTGTAATTGCGGTTGAAAATGGCAGACTGGCTTCCGCATCCCGCGTACAGCAAGCCAAGCATCTCGGCAAGTACCGGGTGGAGACGATCGTGTTCGACAATCTCGTACAAAGGCAAGCCAAACAGATTGGTTGGGATGTCGCGGGACACGTTTGCGACGGGGCTCGAGTTGGAAGGCGATGACGACCCAGCGCGAGCGCTTGCCAAGGAGCTACTTGCCGTCGTCGACGACCCATCCTCGGACAGATCCAGTGGCGATAGCGAGCCATCTCCATCCAGTACAACCCCGCTGTTCGAGCGGCGTCGTACAGAGCGACCGGCAAAGAGCTTTCCGATGCCGGCTTGCTGCTTGCCAGCTGCTGACACGTCCAGGAGGCCACCGGATGGCGGGATGACGGTGGTAGACTGCTGGACGGCACGTTGGGCACGCTGAGTGCGCGACGAGAAGGCAGCGCTGGCCCCTGGGACGCCCAGCGACTGCTGGCCTGTCGACGAATTCAACGAAAGGTCATCGCCCGGCCCGAGAGAGTTGACGCTGCGATTGCCCGTGTGCGAGCGCTGCCGAGGCGGACGCATGAACATTGGCAACTCAAAGTTGGGATCGCGCCGCTTGAGAACGAGGCGCGGTGGTGGCGCGTCGTCCTTCTTTGGCTTGGCCTCCATTCCGGCAAACACGAGCAACGGGCACTCGAACGCGTGGACGAGACGCTCTGCGCCGTTCAGGTACTCCCACAGTTGGAATTGGCTGGCATCCTCCTTGAGGTCGTACTTTCGGAGTGCCATCTCGATGGCGGCGCGCGTCGTGTCTGTATTGGTCATGAGGATGCTCTTCGAGAGCAGGGCGCCTTGGCGGACACCAAGCGCGTTCACGCTGTCGTCCAGGTGAATCTTGACAGGCCCTCGGGCCAAGGTGGTGTCGCGTGCCTTCTCGTCGGCAATCTGCTTTTGCATCATGCCAAACCAGAGGTCCTTGTCCTTGGCTGAGGCGGCCGTGAGCGAGCAATTGTACTGGGGCCAGCCCATGATGAAGGAAAACGGATCCTCTTGCTCGTAGTTGGCCACCCACATTTGCGACAACATGAGCTTGTCCTTGACACGGAACGTGGTGTTCTTTTCGACTTTGGCCACAATGAGCATGTCGGTAAAGAGCAGCAGAAACCGCTCATGTTGACCAAAGTCGGTGACAATGAAAAAGCCTTCCTGGACAAACTGGCGCGGTGGTGCGGACAATGTCAGCACGCCATCACCACCAGCAGCGGCCGCAACATTCGTGCCCGAGTTTGCGTTCGCGAGCTGTGGTTCCGACGAGGATTGCCGCCCCATCAGCTTGCCGAGCAGCCTGCCAGAGTGGGCGCCTCGAGATGGCGCGGGAGAAGAGGCAGCAGAGCCGGAGCCACCGGAGGCCTCCAAGTCGGGGGCGGGTCCATCGCTGCCACCACGCGAGCGGCCGCTGTTGCTACTACCGCTGCCGCTGCTCGTGGTGTTCAAATCCAGCAAGCGATACTGCGAGTCAATGAGCACCAGGTTGTCGCTCGCAAACATTTTCTCAATGTTGGCCATTTTGATTTCATTGTCGATGCGACGGATGGCTTCGTTGATTTCAAAGCCCAGCGTCTTGATCAATGCGACGGCGGTGGTGAGGTCGGCAAAGTCTTCGTGGTCTGCGGGCGTATTTTCGACGAGATCGTCAAGCAGCAGTTGGTAGCGTGGGATGCGCTGCACGGGCATGAGCAGCAGCGAGTCGAGGGCCGTGTTGGTGGCGTTGGCGACAGTCAAAATGCCGTTGCCCGAGATGGACGCATTGCCTGCATGGGCCGAGACGGCCACCGGTGCAGACACGACAGAGGATGCGGCAGTAGTGGCAGCAGCGGATGACGACCCAGACTTGTTGCTGGATGGCGTGGACATGGTCTGGGCCTCCACTTGCTGTCGCTTGAGGAAGGTTCGCAGCGTCTCGCTCTTTTTCAAGTACCGCTGAAGCATGACCATGGCGTGCGAGTGGTTGTTGCAGTAGTTGACGTACAGCTTCATGAATGGGCCCAGCTTGCGGAAGATGGAGCCAAGTCGGGTCTGGAGCGGATCCCACGACTGGATGACCTCTTCGAGCTCGAGCGCCAGCATGTTGTTGACGCCGACGATGGACTCGACATTGGAAAAGATGATGGCAATGTCTTCCGCAGGCAGCACCTTTTTGTGGCGCATTGGATTGAGGTAGCAAGTGATGAGTGTTTCCAAGGCACGCACGTAGGTTTGCTCGGTGGACAAGATTTCTTTGGCGATGGCTGTGCGCTTCCGTAGCTTGGAGGCGAGCGCTTCCGCCTGCGCTTGAGGATCAAGTTCGATGGTGATGCTCTCGTTGGCGGCCGCCTGCTCCTCTGGGTGGTGATGGTGGTCGTGGATGATTGGAATCGGTGACGGGTCTCGCGCGGCATTGATGGCCATTGCGGCTGTTGCGAGGCTGTTTGTGCTCACGCTTTTGGGGATGGTGCGGGAGACGATGGGGGAGACTCCGCCCTCGGGAGTGACAATAAGCGACACGGTGCGGCCACGCAAGAGCGATGCGCGGTCCTCCCAACTGCATGCTTGGCCACTGGCGGCGCCAGACTCTGCGACAAACAGGCTATGCGTGTGCATGGTGGCTCCGACGAGGGCCGTGATGTGGCCAAAGCCCTGGCGCAAGGTCTGCGATGGCAATGCAAGCACACCGACCGACTCACCCGTGGGCAGGCGGACGTGCACCAGGAAGAGCTGCTGGGCGACCGAGTCGTCAAAGTGGGTTGGAGCCGGGGCAGGCGACTCGGCCACCTTGTTGCCATTCCCACTGCTGCTCGAGCTGGGAATGTTGTTGATGGAGGAGGCCGAGCCAAAGTCCTCCAAGCTCGATGTGGCGTGAAATCCCGGTGGTGGGCTTGGCATGGCAAGATGCTGCAGCGAGAGTGCAGCCGGTAATCGCGGCGGCAACGCGTGCTGCTGTTGCTGCTGCAGCGAGGAGAGCGCGTGGAATGACCCGAATGACGCACCCGACGCAGACGGGAGTGCAGACGCTGCAAGCACGGGCGGTGGCGGCGGCGGTGGCAAATCCGCATCGTCGGCCATCTGCAGCGCAATGTTGTGCTCGCTGTTTGCAGCCATCAGCAGCGACGACAGCGACGGCCGCCGGAAGTTGTCCATCCCTGGAGAAAGAGAGAGAGAGAGAGAGAGCGAGGTTCAATTTACAGGGAGCGGCCCCAGGGGTCAGTTGGCCAGGGGGAGGGGGGGTCAAGCTTGGCCGGAAGGCGGTTTGAAAATAGATTCGCAGCCAAAGTGCAAATGCAAAGTGCAAGGACCAGAAAGGTTGTTTGAAGAAGAGCCGCGAGTTGAACAAGCTTGTACTGCTAGAGATGTCTGTATGATGAGCGGTGAGACGGAAGGGGAAGTGGAGGGGAACAGACAAAAGGGGGGGGGATGAGTATGAGATGGAGCAGCATTGGGATGAGCGTGTTGGTCCCCCCATGCAGCAACAGCCACACTCGATCGCAGTTCCCCGTGTCCGTTGGTGAAATCTGCATTCTTGTCTTGCAATGCTGCTACGATAAGGGGGAGGGGGGGGGGAAGAGTCAGTCGAACCCCGTATTCAGCCTCAGTGAGAGTGAGAGTGTTGGCTTTGCTTGGCTTGGCTGCACTCCTTCACGCTGCACTGCTGCTTCGCTTCGCTTCCTGCTTTCGCCCCGCTCTCATCACTCAAAACCCAACGTCTGCTTTGTTTGCTTTTTTTTCATTCCGAGTCGTGCGCTTTTGTTCACTTTGCAAAAAAGGCAGCGAGTTTGAAAAATAAGAACAATCATAAAAGAAATAAAATACCAAAGCTTTGTTTTTTTTTGAAAAATCGAAGCAGCGGTTTTGAATTGGAAAAAAAAAAAAAAAGAAAAAAAAAAAAAAGGATTGGAAAGTGAACAAAAGGAAGAGAATCGAAAAGACAGAAAGCGAGGTGGATGGATGCAAGAATAATGGAGAATGTTACATTAGGTTGCATTGGACGGTCCACGATGATGGATAAGTGAATGGAAAGAGTTGGGGAAGGAAATCTGAAAAAAAAAAAAAATCAAGGCAGGGGAACAACTCTCAGACAACAACAGCGACATGTGGGATGATGGAGGATGTTGCATTTGATTCTATTGGACGGTCAACGATGGATGGATGAATGGAAAGAGTTGAGGAAGGAAATGGGGGCAGAAGAACATGGTCACTTCGTATCGACCCATTTTCCTCCCTCTCGGGTAACACCGGGAGTTCGCATCGAGGGTGTTGAACACGACCGATAGCCCGTGTAGTTGTTCAAGCAATGCTGAAAAAGACTCGTTGATTCTCGTTGATTTCTTCAATGCGGATGAACGAGATTTGAGGGCGAAAGCAGATCAACGCCAATTTGCCAAATGGCATGCAACAAGTCGTGCTGGAACTTCGCGCGGTTTTTGAGCTCCATGGACTGCGTTAGCGGATGTTGATCATCATTTCACTAAATTCAAGGACTACATCCGATGAGAGCTTGCGTCAAAGTAGAACCAGTTTTTTTTTTTTTTTTCCCCTTTGGCATGTCAACGATCGATCCAGCAAAGCGCCCCCTTGGTTACAGCGACGAAGGGTTATCGGAGAAAAATCCAAACAAGCGCGCTCGGTTGGAGGATCCAGCAGCAGCAGTAGCAGCAGCAGCAACAGCTGTGCTCGTTGCTCCCTGGACAACGACCTCGTTGCAAGCCGCATCGACCGCCGCTGCTCCACTCACTCTCACAACCTCACCAGCAACAGCAATGATGACAACGACTGAGTTGGCAGCTTCAGCACCGCCCAATAGTCATACCACAAGCTCTGCCGAGACTGCTCCGGCAGTGGTAAAGCGTTTTTGTTTGTTTGTTTGTTTGTGTTCGGGTTTTTTTTTTGGTTTGTGTATTGCTCTTCCCCCGCACTTGGATGCTCTGGCCGGAGCTTCCACGGGCGGTCTTGGGCACGCACGCACATGCCGTCTCCATAGACACCGTGGACGGTCAGCAGGCCGTGTGTTAGGGGTTCTGGTTTGGCTTGGTTGTCATTGTCTCGGCTCTTTCTGCCGCCTTCCACCCACCGCACTCATACGCACACGTACGCACGCACAAGTCGAAAAGGCTAATGCAATTCAAAATTTTTGATTGTAGACCAATGACGCGGTACAACCTCAAGCTGGACCATCCACGAACCCTCAAGCATCATTGTCCACGCCAAATCTTGACGCTACTTTTTCCCAGCTTGACGGTGAGTTGAACGCGGTGAAAAGCGAGCATTTCTTTGGTGCAGCTTTCTGTTGGCTGCTTTCATAATCTGTGCGTGCGAATGAGTGCCTGTTTCTGACGAGCTTTGTGTTGGAATTTTTCTCAGCCAACGCAAAAGTGGTTCATTTGCAGCAGCTGCGTGCTCATGATCAGCAGCTGTTTGATAAAGATCGGCAGCTGCTTGAGAACCAACGTGATCAAGCTCAGCAGCTGCGTGCTCATGATCAGCAGCTGTTTGAGAAAGATCGGCAGCTGCTTGAGATCCAACGTGATCAAGCTCAGCAGCTGCTTGAGAACGAACGTGATAAAGTTCAGGAGCTGCAAGTAGATCGAGTTCGCTTTTGTAAGTTTCGCATCCGTTGCTTGCGCTCATGTCTCTCCCCCCCCCGCGTTGATATGCAATCTTGGTTGAAACTCAGTGTGAACGGCACGATATTTGGTAGTGTCTGAGATCGGATCGAGCACCAACGCAACCTTCGTAGCGCGTTTTGTCACAAAGGATCCTAACCCCACGTTGCAGACCAACCTCAGTGACTTGCGACTGCCACCCCTGGACAGAAATGCACTTCATCAAAAGTTGGAGGACGTCAGGAACGATGCGAGCCGGACTGGTCACGAAACGGACATGCATTGGGCTGTTGCCAACTACTGCCAGGCCGTCTGCGAACAAGTTGGCGCGCAACTCAACTTTCACGCTAACAGTAGCACAAAATCTGCTGATGTAATTGCGACCACTTGGGCAGTTGATCGCGTTTCTCCCCGTGCGTCTCGTGCTACCTCCGCTGGTTCTCGAGTGGACGTTCTCCTGTATTACAGCCGTTTGTTTGTCGAAGTCAAGAAGGTTTTTGCCGATGTTCAACATGCTCGTTTGCAAGTCGCCAGCTATGTGGCTCGCTCTCTGTTCAGAACAGGCGTGCCGGTGACATCCTGGCCAGACTTTCTTTACGGTCTCGTTTGGTGCGAAGCCGACACGGTCTCTGTCACTCGAGTCGATTTAAAGCAGGATGGCAAGCTCATTGCGCCCAAGGTTACGTTTGCCGAAACACGAGATCCAGAACGAGCGGTTCTTTTTGTGGTGTGGCAATCCATCCTCGCGCACCACGCCGCTGCAAAAACCAATGCACCATCAAACAGCGATGACCCGAATTCTTGGACATGCAACTTTGGTTGTACTGACCCACGCGCCGGAAATCCTGGCGCCGCAGCTCCAGGCCAGCCAGACAATGCAGCCGGCGGTGGCGCGCCCGCTGGTGCTGGAGGGAATGTCGTCACGACCAATTCCCTTGTTCTCAGTTTGGTAATGTCTCGTCTGGTTTGGATGTATCATCCGCATCATGTGCATCTTGTGCAACTCTTTTGTCTTCACTTTTCGCTTTTGGCTCTTGTTCTTCGACCTTGTGCAGACGACCGGCCCGCAACCTCTGCTCGATGCCCAGGTCTTTCATCGCGATTTCATGTTCACCGGCAAGCTCCGCCTGAACTCGAGCGAGGAATTCACCAACGTGGTGGTCAAGGTTGCAGCCGCAAATCGCAAGCCGCTCACAGAACAGCTGGCGCGAGAGGGCATGGCGCTAGCCCTTCTCAACCGTGACCGAAAGGAAGCTGCTGCTCATGGCATTCCCGAGCTGCTATCGTTCTGCACTGTCAATCTCGACGGAACCCCTGGCCTGGCGTTGGTCACGGGCCTCATTTCTGGTCACAGTGTGGACTGGATGCAGCATCAACCGTATGCGGCAAACTTTGCGTCTCAGGTCTGCGACACGCTTCGCTGGATTCATGCGCAAGGTGTGGTGCACGGCGACATTCATTGTGGAAACCTGCTCGTCACCGAGGCGCAATTGCCCAGCTCAATTCCTCAGCAGCAAGAGACTCCGACCTCGACCCTCGTGCCTCCCAAATCCCCACATCTCTCGATTGCGTTGGTCGATTTTGGGCTTTCTTGCTTCCTTCCAGCTGTGACGCGCGAGCATGTGCAGGCAGCACTCTTGGCAGCGCCTGTGACGGTCGCAGCTGCTCAGGAGCTCAAACTGTGGCTCAGACATGTCGAGGCCAACTCGTGGAGCGTGTGGCCAAGCCACTTTTACCACATTGCGCGCAGTGACAGAGTCGCCACTCCGCAAGCCGACTTTCTCAGTCTAGGCTTGCTTGCTGTGTCGCTAGAAATCGGTGGCACAAGAGTCCTGGAGCAGCGGGTCCATCTGGACGACTCTGACGACGCTGTGGCTCGTGCTCAGCGGCGTCACTTCCTGCGCAATCAACGTCACCTTCAGTCACTCCTTGAGAAACCCACGGCAACTTTGACTGAGGTTCAGAAGATTGTTGCGCTTGCAGACGACGACGTGCCAACTCCTCCGGCTCTGGTGTAACCCCTTTCTCCTTGTGCGTCGTTCAACGTGTATTGTTTCAACTACCTACTCGAAATAGTGTCTCATCCACATTCAAACGGCCCATCTATCCGCATGCTGCAAGGCGATCTGGCATTCAGTTCTGAGTGTCGGCGGGTTGCTGTTGCTCACTTTCTTCAGACCAATAAGCTTTGCCTTGCCTCCCCCCCCCTTTATTTCGCTGTACTATCGCATCATGATTTTCCAATCGCTCCCACCTTGATTGCATGACAGCTGTGCTTTTGAATCGGACATAATCAAAAAATCACTAGCAAAATTTGTCTGCGGTTCACTTTTTTTTTTTTTTTTGTTTTGTCTTTGTAAGTTGATGATCAGACAAAGAGAAGCAGAAGCGAGGGAGGGATGACCAACTCACCCCTCCCCACTTCGGTTGAGAGTCATGATCAAAACGGTGACTAGCAGAACGAGCCAGAGACAGCGAGAGAGCGGGAAGAGAGCGAGAGTGTGACATGTCGTGCTCAACGCACAGCGAAACCAGCAACAACCGCAAGCGAGGAGCAGGTCGTTGATCAACTGAGGGACAAAGAGAGCCGTGATTCAATGAGAACAAGCTCAGTGCGAGTTACAGAAGGCGTTTGATTCAAAGCAGAGTGAGTGAGTGAGTGAGTGAGTGAGTGAGAACAAGGACAAGGACGGCAGATTGAGAGAACCCCCCCATCGGTCATTACCACAACAACAACAGAGAGAGAGAGAGAGTCCCGTTCATTTTGACCCGTGAAGCTCAAAACGTCCGTACGAATGCTGTTGCAATCACCCCTCGTCTAATGTTGGTGATTCGTCAGCGAGGTGAGACGGGTGCGAGGTGAGACTGAGTTGTAGTAGGGAGTCCTTCTCACCAATGTGAGCAAGCCCACTTGGCTCTCCATCCACTCTCCCTCACCACCACTCAACATTAACACCACGCTGTTGTTGTTGTTGCTTTCCAGTGCTTGTATCGCGCTGCAATTCACTCACCTTGCTGAACCTTGCTGGCCTTTTGCATTGGACTGCTGTTTCGCTTCGTTGACCATTCAAACTTTTTTTTTTTTTTTTTTGGTTCACTTAGGGCATCCATCCAGCCTTCGTGTGAAACGCACACTTGTATAAACTCGAGATTTTTTCGAAACCGTCAGTGGTAAAATTTTGGAAACAAGGAGCAAGAAGAAGAAGAAGACCAAGATGCGACCAAAGCGAATCGCAACAGTCACCACCGCTGCTGCTGCTGCTGGACTCTCCGTCGTAGCCGCAGTCGCATTCGCACCGACGCCAGTCATGGCTGCGGACAGCACGACGGTGGGTGCTGCCGTCGGCGGGTCCGTTGGCGGCGTCGTTCTGTTAGTCGTTCTGGGCATCGTTGTCTGGCTTTGTCGCAGACGCCGGCAAGGAGACGACGAACAGCAGATTGCAAAATCAGATCAGCGGCCGAACAGTCGTCTGGCATCTGCGGACGACATTTCAAACGCGCTCGACCGGCCAGGCATGCCGGCGACGACGACGACCGCAGGGAAGAGCAATGCAAGCAGTTCAAAGAAGCAGCAGCAGCCAGAACCTGAGCTGAGCTACGTCGAGCTCCAGCCGCAATCTGGCAGTGTCAGCTATGAACCCTCGGTAGATTATGCAGAGGTCGTCCCGCCAGCGGAGGGCGCGCTGCCCCGCGACCAGCCATTCCAGCCGATTCAGCCATCCAACTACACCAGCGTCGCTCCACGAGCGATTGACTCGACCGTCAGTCCGTATTCAACCTCGACACTGGTACAAAAGCAACCAGATCCGAACGCCACTTCCTACACTGCGGTGGCACCAAGGCCGCTGGATTCGACGGCCGAGGCTTATGAGACTGTCGGTGTTGCAAGGCAGTAGACACAGGGCTCCTCTTCCGTTTCTCTTTCCGCCCCGCTCCCTCTCAGTTGTATCTGCAGCTTTGCATATGGTTGTCATTTTGGATGTGGGTTTTGGTTGCAACGTGCAGGCTACCGTTTTGTGTGTAAATGTAGCTGTTCTGTTTTGACCGTCCGTTTTGACTTGCCTTGACTTTTTTGTTTGCCATTCAAAGTTTGATTATTACAAACATCTCGATCATTGAATCTTCTTTGTCAGCACATCGGAGCGACGGTGACCAATCCAAATCAACATCATCCATGCTGGTAGCCCGAGCAGTGCCAAGCAGAGCGCAAGAATTGCCAGAGCTTGTTGAAACGCCGGGTTCTCGTATTGGAACACGACCAAGTACCGGCCCGCCGGCACATCCACCGCCATCATGTTGGGAGTGGTGTGCTTTACGGGCACGTGCAGCCAAGCATCGGTTGGTAGCAACTCGGCAATCCTGGTGCTCGACGAGAAGGCGTCCAGCTGCGTCGCAACCAGACGACAGCTCCAATACGGGTGAAACGTGACTTTCAGCATCAGGCGAACGTGATCTGGAGGGAATAGCGATGAAACGGGCCGCACTGCAGCACTTGTCACTTCCACGATGGCAGCGTACGTCGCATCCAACAGATGCACATGCTCGTCGAGGACGCGCATCCCGTCTGGAGGATGCTGGCTGTAAAACTCACTCAGGTCTGCTACAAAGGGATGGAGCAATCCATCTGTGCTGCCATGCCCTTCCGCAGCAGCGGAAAGCACCGTCCAGAACGAAGCGTTTGCTGCAAGGAACGGCCGTTCGGCGAGCAACCGCTGCTCTTGCAGAGGAAACGCCACATCCGCGCCGATCGCAGCGAGCACATCATCTGGCTTGGTTCGAGGCGAAGAGGCGCCGGAAGAACGAGCAGGCACCTGTTGCACGACAGCCGACGTTCTCGCAAACTCCAAGACCACCCCATGTTTGAACATGGGAACAATGCTGTTGACAATCAAAGGACGAGCAGCTTTGAAATCCCCTGCCACGTAACCGCCAGTCCGAACCGATTCAAAGTGGCCGTAGGACGCGCGCGGCGCATAGACGTGGAAGGCCTGGTTGGATTCGGGAAGCTCGTCCATTCCAGCCAGCAGGGCAAACAAATCTGCACCATCCTTGGCATAGGTGCGTGCAACCAGCGCTCGAATGTTGTAAAGCCGCATGTCGTCCGGTGTTGGCTGCAAATACTCGATCGGGTAGACCGAGAGCGAGTCGTGATAGCCGCGCGAGTACGTGAACAAGCCAGGAATGTCGCAGTGAAAAGGAAAGTGGTTGTACATGAACGTTTGGTCGGTGCCAAGGCGCTTGTGCAGCAACATTCTCCCATTCGGCGCAACTTGCCGGACGAGTTCGCAGGTCTCGTTCAAGAGGGTCGAGTCCGGGTACTCGAGGGTTAGTTCTCTCAGCAAAGCCTCGCGTCGCAGTCCGACAAAAGGAATTGCAACGAGCGCAAATAAGACCAAAGGTAGAATAGCGTGGGTGGCGCGAAACGAAGCTGTCCGTTGCGTTGCCGTTGGATCTCCTCCCGTCCGCTGCGTCTTCCGACCAAGAGACAAAATCCAAGAAAACGTAGCCACGAGACACTGGCTGACAAGTCGAATGCCGGCGGCAATCGAGACTGCAGCAAGCACGGCGCAGAGGTACTGAATGCCGCTCAAGTAGCGAATCACCTCGAGTTCCGCATGGAATGGTAGCAACGTAAACAGCCAGCCCAAGGTTGTCCGGCCAGTAAATAGCACCCATGTAATCGCAAGCTGGAAGAGTAGGAACAGGCCGAGTTGCAGTTTGCTGGCCGTTTGCGCGCTTGTCGCCAGTTTCAGGTTCAAGACAGAGCGCACGGCTTGAACAGTCTCGATCGACAATACAACCACCCCTGCAACACTGGCGTAGGTTATCACTGGTACAGGCGTGTTGTAGTCCAGCATTTGCCCGCTCCAAAATTTGTCGATCAGCGTTGAGATTGGGTAGCCGTTTTCGCTCTCTCCCTTCCACGGCAGTCCTCCAACATAAGGCATCTTAAGAACCATGGGCACAAGCCACCAAAGGAGCAGCGCCAATGCGATGGCGTAGACTTGCGCCAAAGGGACAACTCGGGCCAACAGCGCCGCTCGAAAGGTTGTCAAGGTCCGGTGCTGGGACTCGGCAAGATTGACAAGGCAGGCAGCAAGCACCAGTGTCAGGCTAGCAATACCAGCAAACATTCCGAAGAATACGTGGCACAGGCACGTGAGCGTAAAGCAGACGACGGTCATGGCCGGTGAGATGGGTTTTGGGGCTTCGAAAGCGAGCAAGGGAGACGATGGCCACCAACGTGATGGCGACCATGCCGCAGGTCGTGCGGGCTCCGTTGGCACACCTTGACTGGCTCGAGTTGCAAGCGGTATTGGCAGCGACGACGCACAAATCAAGCGGAACAGCGCTCCGACGACCAGCGGCAGCAGGACGGCAGCGTAGACCTGCGTGTACAAGCCATACGCCGAAATGCTTGTAAATTCTAGTCCGAACGCCCTCCAGCTGGCGAGTCCGATCGAGAGCGCTGCCAGAACGGACGATTCGAGCGGCAGCAGTCCGAGCCAGCGCGCGCCAACAAACCACGCCCACGGAACGAGCGTCCACAATCCCGCAAAACAGCACCGGAAGACCGCCATCGGAGGCATGACGCCGTCGAGCAAGTACATCATGCCCGCGACAAACACGATCGGCAGCGGCTGGTAGGCCAGGAACATTGGGTACCCGGTTGAGACGTATGGGAACCACCAGCCAAACCCTCCTTGCGCTGCTGCAGATGCGAACGCGTCGTGCTCTGGCTGCTGGTGCTGGTGGTGATAGTGCTTGAGCTTGTGATAGACAAACAGCGCCTCGTCAACATGCGAGTACATGTCGCCGCCGTTCGGAACAGCGGTCGGATGTAGGAGATACGCCCCGTTCCCGTCCACAGCCTGCCAAAACGCTGTCATCACAGCCGCTGAAATGGCCGCCGTGCAGATCAAGCCGCTCCGGATGCTGAGCGATGACATGATGATGGTGATGATGGTGATGATTGTGTGATGATGACGATCCTGGGAGGCTGTTGCGCAGATTCAGACACGATGCTTAGTAATGTGTGCGTTTTGGCATGGATGAAATTGGAGTGAGCTAGCTTCTCAGATTGGTAAATTTTTATACAGTACACAGCACACTTTCATACTACTGTATTCAACGTGGCCCGACAGACCAGCATGACTTTTCCGATCAGCTCGAGCTGGAGCATTGAGTTGCGCCTTCTTCACACTCGTCTTCCCTCCCCCTCCCCCTCTATTTGTTTCGTGATCAACCCTTGCTCTCATGCAACTCACGATGCCCTCCTTCAATCCTTATTTCCTCTTTGTCTTCAATTGCTTCATTCACTCACTCTTCATATTGCCTCTGTTGAAACCATGCTTGCTTCCGCTCGTTTTGCTGCAGTGCGCTGCTCGCCATCGTCGTCGTTGCTCCTCACCAAGAGCACCGCCGCCACCGCACCAACAGCAGCAACAACAGCAGCAGCAATCGCAGTTCGCCACTATCACGAGAAGGTGCCCCCCCCCTCATCACTCACAGGAGAGAGAGAGAGAGAACGGCAAAGTCGAACGATGAAAAGCTCAATGCAAATCCACATTGTCTGTTCTCCCCTTTTCCCTTTCCCCTTCTGATGCTCAGGTTATCGATCACTACGAGCGCCCGCGGAATGTCGGCTCGCTCAACAAGAACTCCAAGTTTGTCGGCACCGGCCTGGTCGGCGCCCCTGCATGCGGCGATGTCATGAAGACGCCAATGGAAAGGTAATACAAAAAAAAAAAAAAAAAAAAAAAAAAGAAAAAAAAAAAGAAAAAGCTCACGGCTGTTTGTTATCAGTATGAGTTTGAATTCGCTGAAGGGGGGAGGGGCTGGGGTTTGGAGGGTGTTGAAGGGCAAAGTGAACGAGCGTGCGTTACGAGTTCACAACCGGGTGAGGCGAGAGGAGGAGAGGAGGAGAGGAGGCGAGGAGAGAGGAGAGGAACGGCGCATTTTGTGTTGCTTGCTTCATGCATTGACTGTTTGAATGCAGCTGGCCGCGAAGGCAAAACAACAACAACACCGTGATTGCAAAGCGAGTGGAGATGGATGAGTGGATGGAGGAGGCAGAGGAGGAAGGGGGGAGGGGAAAGCGAAGGGAAAAGCCACATTGTTACAATGGCGCAATGGCGGCGCAATGGCGTTTGCGTGTGTGGACCCAGTCAGAAGCGTATGAACAACGCACTGACATAACTGACATGCAGCCAGCAACAACAACCCGTACACACTTCAAGCAAAACAAACAAAACTATAGGAATGCTTGGTCTAGCTCCTTCCATGCCCTGTTTCGCGTTGCAAAATACTCATGCGCTGCACTTCTCTCTCGTCAGATCATTAACGCCGCTTTCAAGACATTCGGATGTGGATCGGCCATCGCTAGCTCGTCTTTTGCCACCGAGTGGGTCAAGGGAAAGACGTTGGACGAGGCCGCACTCGTCAAGAACTCTGAAATTGCCGAGCAGCTCCACCTTCCTCCTGTCAAGCTGCACTGCTCCAGTAAGAGCATTGCTTTTTTGTTTTGCATGTTGAAGGGTTGTCTTGTTTTAGTTGTTTGTTTGAGGGGATTGGAGCATCTCTGCTTGTTCATGTTGATTTCGCAACTCTTTTTTTTTTTTTTGATCAACGCTCACTGAACCTCTTTGTCCCTTCAGTGCTTGCTGAAGACGCAATCAAGGCTGCAATTTCGGACATTCGAAAGAAACAAGTCGCCACTGCCTAATCTCGTTCAGCTCTTTTTTTTTTTTTTTTTTTTTTTCTCTTTAACTTTCTTTCACGCCTTCTTCTCCTTTTTGTCTACCCTCTTTCGTTTTTGACCTCGTTTTTTCCTCTCGTCATGTCGAATCATTTATTATCCGGGCTGTCCCTTCCTGCTCCACTTGTTGTCCTTTGTTCCCACTTTCGCAGTGCCTTTTCTGCCAAAGGGGTTTTCCACACCATGTTCTGTTCTGTGACCTTGCTTTCCTGCCTGTCATGCCTTGCTAACTCGCTTGCTTGATTGAAGTCAACCTTCTCGCGTGCTTTCAGCCAATGGCAGCACATACGTTCGAGACATTTGGCGAGTTTGCCGCAGTCCCAGCACGACAGACATGGAATTTTTTTGCGATACGCGGCTTCATGCTCCTCCACTGCATCAGTGTGTGCATGGTGTGAGTGGGCAGTGTGCAATCCGTGTTCTTTTGCTCGTGCTGCGGCTGCCGCGAATTCGCCCTCTTTCGGTTTGACGTTGCGAGCTTCTTTTTTTTTCCCCCCCCCCTTTGTTTCTTTATTTCTTTCTTCCTCCTTTTTTCAGTTTTATTTGTTGTTATTTCCTGCAAATCATCATTTCACCTCGATGCTGGCTGCATGCAGTCCCGCTGTATAAATACACTTGATGCCATCTTCTCTTTCTTTTGCATTGCGTTTTTGAAACCATTGTCAGCTCATTCTGAAGCAACCTCTTCCAGCAGGATAACCATATGATAATACAGGAATATCAGAATAAAGCATCATATGAACAAGAAAAAAAATCAAAGCGAGAAGAAACAAACAAACAAAACCAAAAAACGCGTTCAAGCGCCATTCAAAAACTGAGAAATGTCGTCGTGGGTTCCAGGGTGGGTCGCGTCGATGGCCATGGCAATGGCGGACGCAGGGGGTAGAGTTGAATGAAGTAGTGTCTCGTCGTGCTCGAGGGCGGAGGTGGCATCTCCAGGCTCGCCAGCAGCCGCCGCGCGGGCCAAGGCCGCTGCCGCAGCAGCGACCGTCGCGGCTTCGTCTTCTTCCCGCTCCAATCGCGTAATGTCGTCCAGATCGTCAATGTCGGCGTCGCCACTCGCCATCAGCACCTGATGGCGCTGCTGCTGGTGCAACATTGCCTGATGATACAAGGTGTGGTGCGAGCTGCTGGATGAGCCAGCAAGGCCTCCCAATGAGTGAAAGTTGCCGCCAACAGAGCTCGCTGGACCGTTCTTTCGACCATGATCGTCCGCAGCATCGTCGTCGTCGTCGTCGTCGTCGTCCTGGTCGTCGTCGTCGTCGTCGTCGTCGCCAAGGTCATCGTCATCGTCCTCGTCGTCTTCCAAAAAGTCCTCATCATCCAAATCTTCGTCTTGCAGCTCAACGTGCGACGAGGAGGTTGGGACGAGACGCCGTGGCGCGGCAGGAGACGACGAAATAAGGGCGGTACCGCTCAACAGCGATTCGGCTGTGAGTGTCGCAACAGAGCCGAGCTTGGCCGCATGGAGCGCGAGGGACGCCTTTCCGAACATGACGCGAGTTTGGTTGAGGAAGAGTTCGCGGTCAGAATCAGCCACCAAGCTCAGGAGTCTGTTTGAAAGCGAGCCGAGTAGCTTGTCCAGGCAAGTCTTGTTTTCGATTCCGCGATAGACTCGGAACATGTCCACGCGACTAAAGTGGAGCATCAAGGGAGAAAAGCAGCAAAAAACCACGAAAACCAAACAAGGTAGAAGCACAGAGTGAGTGACAGAAAAGCAAACAAATGACTCAACAGAAATACTGACTCGGAATAATCCTTGTAACGTTCCATCAGGTTGGCAAAGGTGGGCAAAACCTCCATGGGCGAGCCAACCGACGGCACAATCATGTAGCTACATGCGTAGGGCAGTCCTAGAGATCCACAACAACAAGAGCCGAAGGCAAGAGTCAGTCAGCATGCACCAACACGTGAACTCAATCGGATGGACTCAAAACAAGCTTACGGAATTCGTGGTGATCATCCCATTCTTTGGAAATGGAAATGACATTCAGGCCCGAAACATCTGTGGTCGCACGAGGCTCGTACGGACTCACAATCACTCCAATGAATGGCTCACGCCCATTGGACGCGAATAATGTCTGTTGTGCAACAATAAAAAGATGATGTTTGAGTGAGCACTAGCTTCCGCCCAAAATGTCTCCAAAACGTGCAACATTTCGCTCGCTGGTGCTGCGCGGAATACATTACTTGATAGTTGGTCTGCGTTTCGATGTCGCGCTTGGACGGCTGCGGCGCAAATGTAGGATGGGAGTGATACCAGCCTACGACGGACAAACCGCGCGCAGCAAAGTGATCGCGGGCCTCGAGTTCGGACGACGGGTTCTGAACCGCAAAATAGCAAAAAAAGCAAAAACAGGCAACGAGAACGTTAGAAACGAAAACCACCACTCGCATCAACTCAGAACAATGCATCCATCCTACCATTTCGCACTGCATGCCGGTGCTGTGCTGGCTATGGCAGGGGAAAGCGGTGGTGATGCTGAGGGTATCGGCATCCGCATCAAAGTTGCCTCCAAGCAGGCCAATCACCTCGGTCTGAGCAATGTGCGAATGAACGTCCATCACAAGAAGAGGGTTGCACTCGATGCGAACACGGAAGGGTGGTAGGGGCGCCACTTGCGCGCGTGCTGGGGCATGCGGAGAGAGCGACTCGAGCGAATGCTGCAAGGATGCGGATAACAGGTGGGAGAGGCTGGCGGGAGCTGGCGTCGAATACTCACGGCACGGCACCAACAAGAACGGATCCGAGCCTTCGTACTGCATGTCCTCGAGAGACGGCGTGGCGCCAAAGCCTGAGGAAGGAGGCGAGTAGATGGAATACCGAGGGTAGTTCTCTGCACCCGTGCCCTGTTGGCGCAGCGCCTTCTTGAGCAGCTTTTGCTGGGCAACCTGCGCGTGGTACGCTGCCGTCTTTTCTTGGCGTTGGAGCCGCTGCGCTTCCTTGAGATCCTGCTCGCGTCGGCGAGCTTCCTCATCGATCGTACGGCCTTCCATCTCCCGTTCATCCACCCAGATGCCGCGCTGATCGCGTACGCGGCGTCGACGAGCGCCTGCAAGCACAACCGCCGTTGTTGATCCATCGGCGCCCAGGCCTACATCGAGGGCAGTCGAGACCAGGTGGCGGTCGTCAGAGTCGGAATCCGATGCTGCACCTCCCATCTCAGCAATCACCACGCGGTCTCGTCGCGAGGAATGGTCGTGCTGGTGGGACTGGTGGTGTGCTGGAGCGGCTTTGGGTTTGGGTGCGCTGGCGGGTTTTGGGGCGGCTGGCGGCTTTGGCGCAGCATTCTCGTCTCCTCCAGCTGCCTCCAAACCTGCTCGAATCACGTCCAAGGACGGGATGGCAATGCCACCACCTGGTTTCTGGCGCACTGGCACAGCGTGGACCGCGCCAACATTGATGACCTGCGCTCGCTCCAAAAACGAGTGGACGCGGCCGATGGCGTTCACGTCGCCACAGCTTTTCAGACCAGGGCGCACGGCCGTTTGCGTCACATAGTTTGGTTTTCGGCGCTCCCAAAGGTCGATAATGTAGTTGCGAATGTGCAGGTAGCGTTCTTCCGTCTTGCCCTTGCGGCCCAGGAAGAACTCGCGATTGGCGCGCTTTTCAAACTCGCCAGCAGCGTTGCGGTCGATGGTAATCTCTGGCCACACGTCGGGAAGCTGGTCGTCCACGCCCTCGTTGCCACGATGACCATGGTGATTCAGCGCATCCTCGTTTGTATCCGCCTTGATGACCCGATGCCCGTCCGGCTGTGTATCTTGCTGTGCTTCCTGTTGCTGTTGCTGCTGTAAGTGGTGGTGGTGGTGTGTCTGCTGCAGCTGTTGCTGTTGTTGGAGCTGTTGCTGTTGCTGTTGCTGCTGTTGTTGGAATTGTTGTAATTGCAGTTCTTGTTGATGGAGCTCGTTTCGGCGCTGCTCTTCCGGATCATGGCAAATGGTGTGGCCGCCAGAAGAGTTTTTGATGTTTTTCTGCGCCGCTGCTCTGCGTACAGGAGGATGCGATACTGGTGGAGGTACGGGTGCTGGCGGAACGCTAGGGGCTGAGGTGCCTGTGGCGACGGCTGGAGCTGAGAGTGAGGCACTCAAAGACGAGGTCGCAGGTACAGCAGACTCGATGGGAGCCTCCTGCTTGACGACACCCTCCGGCTTGACGGCAGAAAATGGCGTGGAGGGTCGAGCAGGAGCTCGCGGCGAATTCGCAGCGACAGAGACGGCGGCCGCCGTTTCTGCAGCAGCCTGCTGCTCCTCTTTGACAGCAGTGGAAATGGCCGCAGCGGCAGCTGCGGCTGCAGCAGTTGCGATGGTGTCCATGTCTGTGACTCCGGCCTTCGCTGCCGCTGCACGAACGGCTTTCCACGCGACTTCTTCAATCTCCATGTGTTCGTCGTCGGTCGAGCTCGCATAGTCGTCGATATCGTCGTCACCAATATCATCCCCGTTGTCATCGTCGTCGTCGTCGTCAAGATCGCCATCTTGGTTGTCGTTTTCAAGGTCATCCATGTCGTCAGGCCTGGCCTTCTTTGCTTGCTGTTCCGATGAAATGCCGGCAAGGTCTGCTCTCAATTCCGCAATGTCCACTGATTCCGAAAGGCGATGTTTTCGTGTGTACGGGTGCTCTATCCGGTAAGCGGGGTGGGAGTCTGCAGCTTGAGAAGAAGATTGGAAGGTTGGTTGAGTGGTTGATGGTGTGGGAATGGCGCTGACTGCAGAGCCCGCTGGGGATGCAGCAGTTTCGTGTGCCACAGTCGCAGCAGAGGCTTCAGCGGGAGCAAGCGGGGCGGTGTCCATTGGTTGCGCAGCGGATGATGCAGGAGGTTGAACAGCGGTGTCGACAACAGCAGTGGTCATCTCAGGGCTGACAGCTGAGATTGGCGCAGGGACAACAATGGTCGCGGGAGCCGGGGCAGGGGCAGGGGCAGGGGCAGGGGCAGGGGCAGGAGCGGGAGCAGAAGCAGGAGCAGGTGGTCGGATTGCTGCCGCGACCGGCAATACATCATCATCATCTGCAACCTCAATATCTTCATCCGTGTCTGCCTCTTCAATGACCTTCTTCCGCGGAGGGGTTTTGCGACTGGGGTCGTCGTCGTCGGTCCGTGCACCGGTGCTCGAAGTGCTGGTTGATCGCTTTTTACGGGTCGAGGACGAGCGTCCCCGTTGCGCACTCGAGACTGCTGGCGTTGGAACCGGGGCTGCCTCGCTCCCAGATGCATCTGCGTCTGATAATGAAAGAACGACGCGTTTGTTGGCTGGGGAGGTCTCGCCTCCACCCGAACGGCGACGTTTCCGCCGGGTTGTCTCCTTTTCGTCGTGCTGATCGCTGGGGCCAGTGTCAGGTGTGTCTGCCACTGCCGTACCTGTCGATGACTTGCTACCGGCTGTTGGGCTCTTTGTCGAGCTTGTTGAGGTTGTTCGGCTCCTTCGACGCGCAGCAGCAGCAGCAGCAGGGGCAGGGGCAGAGGCAGCAGCAGCAGCAGGGGCTGGTTTCTTGCCAACACCACCACTGCTTCGGCCTCCGCTGAGAGCTTCGCTGTTCGCATCCACTTCGTTGCTTGCGTGTGGATTGCTCTGGATGTTGGCATCCTCATCGTGCTCAACCTTGACACGACCACCACGCCGGGTCGGCTTGGCTCGAGTCCGATTCGGTTTAGCAGCAACAGCAGCAGCAGCCCGTCGTCGCCCTGCGCGTGGACTTGCCTCCTCGTCGTCGCCATCGCCATCATCATCGTCATCGTCATCGTCATCGCCATTGTTATCATCGTCTTGTGCTTCTTGTCCATCGTGGTCGTGGTCGTGCTCTTCGTCGAGGTCGTCCTCACTCGCATCGCCGACCACGTCCATTGGCAGATTGCTGCGATCTCGTGTTTGGCTGACTGCCCGCGCCTTGGGCGGCCTGCCTGCTCCACGTCGCGGCGGTGGCACCTGCTGCTGCGCCTCGATCGCTGTGGCGCCCGGCGACGGCTGCAGTGGTGGTGCTGTCGGTTGAGCCTGAGCTTGAGCCTGAGCGTGCACTGGCGACGTCGCGAGCAGCTGCTGCTTCCGCTGCCGAGGCGACGCGCGATCCGCCTGCGCGTTGTCATCTGCAGTCTTTGATGCAGCAGCAGCAGCAGCGGCAGCAGCCGTCGGGGCAGTCGCAGGTACAGTCGTCGCTCGTGTCGCAGTCGCTTTGCGCGGGCTTTCTGGAGCGGCAGTCTCCTGGCTCGCAGCCGCAGCGCGCGTCAGCCGCTTTGACATTGTACAAAAGGGGAGGGGCAGAACACAAATACAAGAAAAAAGTCGTTCAGTGCCAAGCTGTTTGGTCAGAGCGGTGGAGGTTGGTTGGCAGAGCGAGCCGTCGCCCGCTCAATGCTGATAGACTGAAAGAGGACTGACTGAACATGCATATCCACAGTCCTCTTTTCATACATATAGTACAGTACAGTACAACTCAGTCCACCTTAAAAAAAGCGCAAATGGTCGCAACCGACTTTGCCATCACCGTTCTGCTGCTGGGCAAGGAGGACGTCGGCAAGAGCAGCCTCGCTCAGACCTTTGTCGAAGGCCGCCACGATCCCACTGCTGTAAGTAGTGCAACATGGTTTTCCAACCCCCCCCCCTTTTTGTTTTGTATCGCTATCCAGGTTTGGCTCGAGTGGAAGCAGCAGGTTTTGGCTGGAACGACATTGGAAAAAATTGGCTGAAAGCTTGCATTGAAGAGCTCAACTCGCGCGCGCTGCTTGTTCCACTCCACTCTTCCGCGACATTAGATATCGCCGACGGTCGAAGACATGTACGAGTGCGCGACCGAGATCAGCCCGGGACGCGTCGAAACGCTGCACATTGAGGACATTGGCGGCGGTGCTCAGCCAGCATTGCGCCAAGCTCACATCCGCCGCGCGCAGGTATACAAAGGGTCAACACTTGTTGCATTGCATGAGCATCATTGTGCTTGCATTTGCCGCGAGACCGTGGTGGAACGGCGAGATGAGCAAACCAAAGCAACGAACGCTGAGTGTTTCTGCATCCTCATCATTCATCTCCATTGGATTGGATCACTGCAGGGATTTATTCTAGTGTACGACATCACGGATTCGGAATCATTCCGCACAGTCATCAAGCTGCGCAAGGAGGTCGAGGAGGCGCGTGGGAGATCCGTGCCAATATACGTTGTTGGAAACAAGCTCGACTTGGAAGGGATAAAGCGACAGGTCTTTGCCGACGAGGTTCGGTCATGGGCATTGACCCAGTCAGGTATGAATGTATTGGCCGAGATGATTCGTTTGTTTGAGGGGGTAGGGGGTAGGGGCGGCAAAGTGGCTGTGGATTGATGCGAGCTGTTCTCGTTGTTTCTCGCCCGACTCACTCATCCCTCGTTGGCTTGAACTTGTAGCGACATTCTATGAAGTCTCGGCTCGCACGGGAGCAAACGCCAGTCAGCCCTTTGTGGATATTGCGCGAGCAATCGCAAGTACCAAGGTCGCCAAGCGCGGCAAAGTCTCGCTGCGATCGACCCTTGCTGCCGTTTCCAAGTCAACCATGTAACATCTATGTTTTGTGTGTTTTTGTTTGTTGTTGTAGCTGCTGTGTTCGTGTTACCTCCCCAATGTACAGTCAAAGCGCCAGGCGGTCTATCAGTCAGATTGAACAAACCCAAAGCAACACTGTAGATCTACTGCACAATAGCTACATCCAATATCTTTCTTTTAAAAACAAAACGGCCTCAGTCGTCATCCTTGGTTTGTTTTTCGCTTTGACTGAGACGCATTCACTCAGACCAAACGTTTGCAAACGGATGCAACGGCCGCCGCAGAGCTCAAAGCCGCCCGATCGGCCCTCAAGCAGAGAGCGCACATACTGGTCTCCACACGGCAATCACGACCGCGTGGTCGACGATGGCGACGACAAAGCTCATGCAGCCCATGATGATGATGATCATGATGACAGCTCGCATGCAAGCTCAGCTCCTGCCCCGCCGGCGTCAGCGACTGCCAACCAGACCCCGGCCTTCTTCTCGATGCGCATTGTGGATGCCGATTCATACATGACTGCCCCGGTGCCGTCGCTCGATGTGATGCGCACAGACCACGACGGATCATCGTGCCACCGCGTTCCCGTCATTCGGCTCTACGGATCAACGCCAGCCGGCCAGCGTACCTGCCTGCACATACATCGCGTAAGCACACAGCTCCTCAGAGTACCAGACGATACAACAAACAAACAAACAAACAAACAACAAACAAACAAACACCAGAGGAGAATTGCACAAAGCAGTCAATCTCAGATTTCTTGTCCTTCTGACTTTTTGTTTTTTTGTTTTTGACAGGTATTTCCTTACATTTACATTCCCTACTACGGACCAACTTCATCCGACCGCGATGTACGACAGTACTGCTGCCAGATGGCCGTTAGTATCGACGTCGCTGTGGACGCATTCAATAACACGGGATTCTCTGCTGGCGGAGATTCCACCGCCGCAAGCGTTGCCGCATCAAGGCAGAATCCGGGGCTGTCGGGACCTGGGCGACCTGCCGCACAGCAAGCTGGCGGGTTTGCCAACATGCGTCGCAAAGGCCAACATGTCTTCAAGATTGTCCTGGCTCAGGGCGCGCCATTTTACGGATATGCGCCGAGGGATCGCCTCTTCCTCAAAATCTTCCTGTTCAATCCTGCCACGGTTGGCAAGGTGGTGCACTTGCTCCAGAGTGGCTTTGTGATGGGCCGTGAGTTTCAGCCGTACGAGGCTCACATCCCGTTCCTGCTCCAGTTTCTCATCGACTTTAACTTGTACGGGATGAATTTCGTGCAACTGTCGCTCGCTCGCTTCCGGCAGCCGCTCGCTCCAGAGTGCGGCGTCAATCCAGGGCGAATCCACGACTATTGGCGACCCGTGTCTGTTGTCGCAGCTGGTGTCACGTCCGCATTTTCCGCCGAGCCGATTCCGAGTCAGCACTCTTTGTCTCACCCACACACGCCAGTGCAGACTTCCAGCACCCCTCCGCCCGCTTTGCTCAAGCTCTGGAACAGCCCAGCCGCTCGACGAGTGTATGGTCCGAGCGGCGGTGGGTCTCAGGATGCTGCTCCTCACGCAACGCACCAGTTTTCTCCGTCCAAGGCAGGCGCAACAACAGCAAGTGACGCTGCGTCGTCGTCGTTGTTGGCGGCATCAAGCCTGCCATCGCCCACCGTCTGGACAGCCGACACAATCCCCACAGAACTGCTGTCCACGCGAATGATTGCAAGACAAAGCACCTGTGAAATTGAGATTGATGCGCTCTGCTCAGAGATTCTCAACCGCCACGACATTAAAATCGCGCGGTTGACTGCCGCTTCGCAGCCAGGCACTGCATTCGGGCGCGGGAGCGTGCAAGAGCAAAATCTGGTCCAATCCCTTGCTTCCCTCTGGGACGACGAGCGAGCCCGGCGGCGCAGCGACCGCATGTCGTCCCAAATCACCCCGCCAGGAACCCAAGAACGGGAGCTGCCGGCCCCAGCCCCGTTTGATGTCCAACTTCGCCAACGCATGCATGATCTCGTCACGCTCCAGCCTGACGACGCGCGAGACATGGATGATGTGCGCGTTGGTCGCGCTCCAACGCTCCCTTCAACTGTAGTAGACACGACCATGTTCCCTTCACAGCAGCATCGAGCCATGCCTGTGGTTTTGGCAAGGTTAAGCCATGGGCAAGCCGCGCCAGGAGGGCCAGCCAAGGTGCTGTTCCACGCTTTTGAGCCAGAGACCTTTCACTCGGATTGGCGCGAGGGCGCCTTGTCGCCTCTGGGTCTCGTGCATGACTTTCCTCGCGAAGCAGCGTCGCCCATCCCTGGAATGGCAATGGGAAATGGTCCTCGCGAGTCGGCCTTTTCGCGCGTTGTCGCTGGAGCGCCAGCTCCGCCTTTCGCAGCATCGTCGTATTCCGAAGAGTCGCAGCCTCGAGACCGATTCGAGACCTCCATGATGGAAGCCGCCATGAATGAGGCCTACGAGCTTTTGCAGCAAGATTTGGGGCAAGACGGACGATCGGCTTCCGACTCGCAGGCAGCCATGTCCACCACCTCGTTGCACACTCCAGCGCGACCGCAGCAGCCCAACCCGCGCGTTGCCGCCACTCCCTCAAGTCAATTCCAGTTGCACGGCCCAGAACCGCGGATGAAACACATCCAGCCAATGCCTTCAGTGGGCATGCATCGAGCCTTGTTTCCAGAGCCGATGCAAGAGTCGTCCAATGTCCACGAAGACGACAGCGAGCCTCCACTTCCCACCAATGTGCAACCAATTGTTGACACGGCTCGCCTTGAGGAGCCAGCGGAAGTGAATGAGATGCTGTCTGTGCTGGAATGGCTCGAAGACCGGGCTCAGGGTCTCACGGAGCAGCAGCGCGAAGAGCACGCGCATCTGGCTGCTGATGAGCCCGCAGAGGACGAACTTGATGGAAATGCGGTACATGGACGCGACAACCCGAACGCGGCTGGTGACCATCATCACCACCACAGTCAATTTCCCACCAGCCTTTCAGATTCAGCTGCCGACGAGAATCTAGTCGCACAAATGTCCCAGGCTCCCAAACACCTCAAACAACCAGAATTTGCGCCTTCCGGTGCTCAGCCGCAAACGTCCTCGTCGAGATCAGCCGCCATCAAATCCCTGCCTGCAACAGATACCGACGAAATGCAACAAGTCATCTGGACCGGGCACACAGGTCATAGCTCGTCTGGAGGGGTGTCGGCCAGCGACTCGTCCTCGTCCAAAGCAGCGCGCTCTACCAACCATGCGGTTTCCATGGACTCGGCTGTTTCATCCGGACCGACCTGCTCCTCGGTCACCTCAGTGCCCCCAACGTGGGCTACATGCCAGTCAACCTTGTGGAAACCGTTGCAATCTTTGCACAGTGACTGTTGCCGTGATGATGATGATGATGACGACGCTGGCTGGTCGCCTACCCTGCACGGCTGGCAAGGCTTTGCCCACGGGCCTGACGAACTTGCACGTTCGATTCTGTCCTTCTGGTCACCCGAGCCCTCCCGATCAGGCTCGCCTCTCCAACAGGCGTTCACCGAGCGACGCAACGCAATCGACACGTTTGACCCATTCAACCCCGAGCATGTCGCCAGCGTCTGTTTCTTGTTTCAGCCTCCGCGGTGCGATTCGCCCACCCATGCTCCAGCTTCCTCTCAAGAAAGCATGCATCCAAGCTCTGCAACACCTGCTCGTCATGTTGCCATGCACGTGTCACCTTCAGCTCGCGATCCGTCTCCCGTCGCCCAGGACACGGAGGACGATGTCATCATGGTGATGGATGTTGAAGCGAACGAGCGCCGTCAGAGCAGTGCTACTACTGCAATGGACTGCGGAGGGACGGCGACCATCCAAGATGTGTACACCTTTGCGGCCAAGCCGCCGTCTCGCAAGCTTGTGCAGGACTCGCTGCAGCCAAAGTACCACTTGCCGAGTGTGGCGTACACGGAACCCTTTTTCGGCAACCCGAAAGACGTGCCGCCAGCACCAACCGTCTTTGCTGGTCGAGAGTTTCCAATCAAGTCCAATGTTGTGGCATGTCTCCCAGAGTTTCATCAGCGACACAAGACGGGGCGGCAGTGGAGCTTGTACAATGCAGAATCCAGCGCGTTTGCTCGTCGCGTCTCGACGCTCTCACATCACGATGATCACGCTTTGGAGCAGCAGCCCATGCCAGGCCGTTCGCAAGATCTGCCGAGCAGCAGTGGCGGCGACCTTGTGATTTTGAGCATGTCTCAACACTCCTTGCCGGAAGAGCGTGCAGCCATTCCATCGCGCATGCCACCTCCGCCCCGCGGCCTGGAGTTCTGGAAGGCCAAGTACGGTGCTCTGGGCCAGCTGCTGGGCGACACGTCCGTCCTCGACCAGCTCGTTGCATCGCCAGACGAGCGCGCGTTTGTGCCTGGACTCTTGCCACCTTCGTGTCTCGACGTCAAGCACTGGTTGGGGTTGCACACGGACAAGAAGCCTGCTCGGTCCGTCGCACGGCCGCCTCCAAAGTCGCTCGATACCTCTGTGATCCATGCCAGTCTCTCGCAGATCGAAGGCCCGACACCGCGGAACGAGCACCAGTTCAAGGCCAGCCCACTGGCGATCGCAGAGGAGGCTCAGGCACTGCACGGCGTGCAGCATGTCACCATCTTGAGCTTGGAGGTTCATGTCAATACGCGGGGTGACTTTCGTCCAGATCCCGAGCACGACCGCGTTGCTGCCATTGTTTATCTCCTTCGGCATGATGCCGTCCATCACGTAGGTGGCCGCGACATTCAAGGTGTCATTATGGTTGCGCCGTCCCTTCCGACAGCTACAACAACAACAACAACCATGTATGACCGGGCATCGACGGCTGGATCACCGCTGCAATTCTCTGGTCTCACTGGCTGTCGCGTCACAAGTGTTGCTGACGAAACGGCGCTGTTCATGTCGTTCATCGACCTCGTGGCCCACTTTGATCCCGACTTTCTTGTTGGGTATGAGCTGCAGATGCTCTCGCTTGGCTACCTGGTTGATCGAGCCCGCCGCTTGCAGCTGGATTTGTGCGCGCGATTAGCGCGATGCCCCACGGTACCTGTGACGGAGAGCGAGTCGGGTTCCACGAGTGCTGCTGCTGCTGCGGCTCCACCCAATGTCTGGAAACGCTCAAACGTCACTGACAAGCAACAGCAGCAGCAGCATCAACAGCCTCAGCAGCAACAACCTCAGCAGCAACACCCTCCTCCAGACCAGTCGACAAGAGGAGACGCGGCAGACGCTGCTGAAGCGTACAACTACTCACATTCCTCGGGACTGCAGATCGGCGGACGTGTGGTGCTCAATGTGTGGCGGCTCATGCGGTCGGAGATTGCGCTCAACATTTACTCGTTTGAGAACGTCGTCTACCACATTCTGCACCAGCGCATTCCCAAGTACACGTTTCGGACATTGTCCGATTGGTGGCTCGGTCAGTCGCTTGTGCGCAAGGGTGTCGCCTCCGACCTGGCCTTTCAGCGCTCGCCGTTCGCCGGCACCTCGTCCAATTTGAGTCGATGGCGCACGGTGCAGTATCTGCTGACCAAGGCGCGCCTGTGCATCGACCTGCTTGATGAAACGGACTTTATTGGTCGCACAAGCGAACTTGGTCGCATCTTTGGAATCCTGTTCGAGTCTGTGATTACACGCGGGTCACAATTTCGAGTGGAGTCCATGATGCTGCGGCTCGCCAAGCCGATGAACTTTATTCCCATTTCGCCGAGCAAGCAACAGGTCGCCCAAATGCGCGCGCCAGAGTGTGTTCCGCTCATTCTGGAGCCCGAGTCTCGCTTTTACACCTCACCAGTCTTGGTTTTGGACTTTCAATCCCTGTATCCGTCCGTGATGATTGCGTACAACATTTGCTACAGCACCTGTCTGGGGCGAATGTCGCGCGGGCTCGAACGTGCCTTTGGCATTTCGACGTTGCAAGTCCCCAAGTCGCTCTCGGCATCCATTGCCGATTCCGCCACCTTGACCCCGAATTCCGTCATTTTTGTGAAAAAGACTGTGCGAGTTGGAGTGCTTCCCCGCTTGCTCGATGAGATTCTGAGAGCGCGCGTGATGGTCAAGGACGCCATGAAACGGCTCGACAAGAAGATTCGCCAGTTGCAAGAGCAAGATGCAGCGTCAATGCCGGGCGCAGCACCAAAGACAGAAGCAAGCAATGCTGCTGGGCATGCAAAGACAGGTCAGCAGCAGTCCAGGGAAGAAGGCGGTTTATCGTCCGGTTCCGACACTTCTTCCGACGATGACAGCGATTCGGAAGACACGGGGTCTCATCGAAGTGAGTTTGACACTGACGGGTTGATTTCCGCCTCCGACTTTGGCAACGGACCACGTCTCCGACAGCTGGCTCGAGTCTGGCGATCCAAGGGAGTCAAAGCATCAGGTCGGTCTGCTGTCAATGCCGATGCTGCTGCTGCTGCTGCTGCCACCACCCATCGCTCGCAGAAGAAACCAGAGGACGCGGGAAATACATCATCCCACACAAATCCACCGTCCCACCCGTCCGCGACAACCGGGAGCCATTCCACTCGGAACAGCGTGTCGGCGGAACTGAACGAGCTCCGGGCATTGCGGCGCATCTTGAATGCACGCCAGCTTGGTCTGAAAATGATTGCGAATGTGACGTATGGCTACACGTCTGCCAACTTTTCCGGTCGAATGCCATGTGTGGAGATTGCGGACAGCATTGTGGCCATGGCCCGCCAAACGCTCGAGCGGGGAATTGATCTCGTCAACAAGACTTCAAAGTGGGGCGCTCGAGTTGTGTACGGCGACACGGATAGCATGTTTGTGCTTCTTCCTGGTGCCACGCGCGAGCGAGCCTTCCAGGTTGGTCGAGAAATTGCAGAAAGTGTGACGGCCATGAACCCAAGTCCAGTTCGTCTGAAATTTGAAAAGGTCTACCATCCGTGCGTTCTACAAGCCAAGAAGCGCTATGTCGGTGCTTCGTATGAGTTTGACGAGCAGCGCGAGTTTGTTTTTGATGCCAAGGTAAAGCAAGCAAAACGAAAAGCAACAAAAACAAAAACAACAACAACAACAAACAACAAACAAACAAACAGAAAAAGCAACTCGAAAACAATGCCGCTCCTTTTGCTTTGATGTGCACTTTTCTGATTGTTGTGATGGCATGCTCTTGCACACCCCTTTGTTGTTTGAACGTACAGGGCATCGAAACCGTACGACGAGATGGATGCAAGGCCGTTTCCAAGACGCTCGAAAAGTCGCTCAAAATTCTGTTTCGGTCGGCAAATCTGTCGCGTGTCAAGGCGTACGTGCAACGCCAGTTTCGAAAGTTACTCGAAGAGCGTGTGGCCTTGTCAGACATTGTGTTTGCCAAAGAGTTGCGCGACATTGGTGGCTACAAGGACCCGCTGATGCAGCCTGTCGCGCTGCTCTCCATCCGAGCTCGCGAGCGCGATCCGCGTGCATTGCCCCGGCACGGTGAGCGCGTACCCTATGTCGTGGTGCACGGGCCTCCTGGATCGCGCCTCATTGACGGTGTGCGGGCGCCCGAGGAGTTTCTGAACGATCCGACACTGCGCATTCATGGGACGTACTACATTACTCGCCAGATCATTCCGGCTCTGGAGCGCGTCTTCCAGTTGGTCGGAGTCGATGTCCGCTCGTGGTTTGACGAGCTGCCCAAGACGGTGCGACTCACCGCGCAGTCGCGTCGCCATCTCCAGATGCGGCAGCGCATGGCCGAGATGCTGCAGCACCGCCAGCGAGAGGCCCGCCAGCTTCAAATCGAAATATCAACCGGCGAAAGCCACGATGGAGACGCGGAGGCGGCAACCGCAGGTATCCGCGAGGCTTTCCCGTGGGCCACCAGCACCAGCAGCAGCAGCAACAACAACAACAACAACAACATGCCAAATGCCTCAAGCATAACGCTTGGTGGTGGCGGATTTGGCAATCGCCGAGCCGCCATCGGCCGAGGAGGTCGCGGCAACAAAACAACCAGCGCGGCACTGCGTGATGTCAACAACAAGACCATCTCGCAGTTTTACGCCTCAGTGCACTGTCCCGTGTGTGCTGGGATTATTTCTGACGGTCAGATAATTTGTGTATCGTGCCGCACAAACTCACAGCAGACGGCGCTCTTGTTGTCTGCGCGCATGGCTCGCTGGGATGGGAGCTCGACTCGGTTGGAAGCGCTCTGCGGGTCGTGCGCCAATGGTCCGGCAGCCGGCGACCTCTGCGTTTCGCTGGACTGTCCGGTCAACTACGATCGGCATCGCCTCAACGGAAAACGGGTCTTGCAGTTCGAGTATCAAGAGATTTTGTCCCTGCTCGACGCAAGGGCAGCGGGTGGTGGAAATGGTTCCAGTGCGCCTGCACCGTCGGTGTCAGCTCTAGCTCCTCTGCACCTTCCCTCGGAGCGACAGAGTCGAGCTCGCGATGATGATGATGTGAGCGTCAGTCATGTTATCGATGACAGCGACGCCGCGCCGAGCGTGATACCGCAAGAGCAATTCCAAGCGGTTCGCCAAGCACAACGGCCCAAACTGGTCGACGCCACCGCGCCAGACGATGATGGAGACGATCATCCAGTTGATCCAGGTCACCCCGTTTTATCAGAGGCGCAAGTCGAGTTTGCGCGGCAGACGGTCGAAAGTGCTCCGCCGCAACACCAAATTTCCGTCCTCGATAACACGAGTGCATGCATGGCCGATCGCGAGGATGTCCCTGGCCGTTCCCCCGGATTTCTTTTAGCGTGGGAGGCTTTGTCGTCCCAACGCTAGCCATGGATTCTGCTCATTCACTTTGAAACCTATGCTCATTGATTATTTATAAATTTGTATTCATTTAATCTCGCTCCCCGGACCAAAAAGTCGAGGCCGTTGGGGAAGGAATGCAGTGAATGCAACGTTAGTTCTCGCTCGGTGAGTTCTTGAGGTTGGCGCTGGCAACCAGGCTTTGCTTGGCCACATCCTCGCTGCGAGAGTAGCGGCGGAAGCGGAAGAAGTTGATGATGGCAACAACAGCCCAGGACACGGTGCTAATCCATGCGCCCGCCTGCGTAGCGAGCAGGTTGTTGTAAAAGTTGCCGGCCGAACCAGAGTCAAAGGCCTCCTGCACCTTATCCGCCAGGGTTGAGCAGGACAGGGGCGAGACAGAGTCGCACGTCGCCTTGAGGCCCGCGGTGGCAACAATGCCCGCGGCCAGCATAATGACGACTTCCATCGCAGCCACAATCAGCTCAATCAGCGACCAGCCGGAGGCGGTCGTGTCCTTCCTGCAGATCGAGACGATGGTCAGAATGGCGAAAACGGCGGCCGGTGCGAGGCAGATGATGCCTGTTGACACAACAAAAAAAGGACCAGAATAGTGATACAGTTAGTTCATAGGTCACTTTGTTGTTGTTGTTGTAGATTTCTGAGCATTTTTGATGTTTTTTTTTTTTCGGTTCTTACCGGCAGCGATGAGAAAGTCGCAGTACGTGATGCTGCCCATGATGTCGTCGAGGGTGCCCGCGTGCTTCCAGTCCGAAAACAAGATGCAGAATCCTAATATTTAATAGTAGCAAAGCAAAAAGCAAAAGCAAAAGCAAAGGCAGAGTGTTGAGACAAAGTGGGAGAATAAAAAAAAAAAAAAAAGATACAATGTTTTTGTTTTGTTATTTTGAAAATCGTAACGAAAAAATATTCATTTTAAAACGCATGCGCATACAGCGAGTTCATGAGTGTGGATAGGGATTTGTAAATTGCTGTCATTGATGCATTGTATTTTTTGGTATTTTTCCCGCGTCTGCCACGCCAGCTCCGATACTCCCACCCCCCTTCGTCGCTCCCACCCCTCGCTTCCCCCCCCTCCCCTCTCTTCGCTCTCTCAGTACTCCACCGCGTTGCACTCCCCCTCGCCTTCGTTCTCGGCTTCGTCCTCGGCTGCCCTCCCTTGCTGCCGTTCCCATCATCGTTCCTTCTTACTCTCTTACCTCCTTCAGCTACCTCTCCACTCTCCCTCTCTCCACTCTCCGTCTAGACACACTCCAATGAACAGCCATTCAATGGTGATGACTGTGACTTTGCTTGTTGCAGTGCACGTAACGCTTGCCCACTTGCGTTCTGTGACACGGTCCTCGCGCATTTCGCCCAAACCTGAGCCACACAGCGCCACAGAGAGTGTCGTTGTTGTTGGATGGTTGTGTGTTCATTACGGTTGCCAGCAAAGGTCATGTTTTGGACAGTCACGCCGACAGCGGCGGCAACGATGCAGCCGCAAATCACATTGAGAAAGTGTGCAATAAAGCGAAGCACAGCAATGAAAGCCATCTCAGAAACTAAGGAGCAAGAATCAAAAGAAAGTAAGAGTGGGCAATGCAAAGTTTAATGGAAAACGAGCTAATTCGGGTGTCGAGTGCATGTAATGCGGAAAATTCAGTGATTGACGAGATTTCCGCTTTGTCATTTCCAGTATGAACACGTCGCATCTCTGGATGAGCTTGATGAGCTTGATGAGCTTGATGAGCTTGGTGAGCTTGATGCCGACTACGAAGCGCTCGTCTTGGCAAAATTGCTTGGTAGTATCTAGCGATCTGCTGGAGTTGTGGCGCTCGGTGCGCTGGGCTCGTTGACAACCCGCCAAGGACTTGGCCGCTCAAAGATGAACAGGTTGAGCATCAGGTTGTGGAATGTCAGCGCGTTGTAGAGCACCTGACGGTCGTTGAAAAACATGTGTAAAACCGCCTGCTTTGCCACCTCGGCGTCCCGATGGGTATCGCGATAGTCCAGGATGCGCTCCATGCCACCGGGGCTGTACGTGTTCACATAGTCCTCGTAGGCATCGCGCCGAGCACTCAGATCTTTCACGTGGTCGCAGCGAGCGGTTTCAAAGAGTTCGCGCAGGTACACTTTGGTGCCGCTGCTTTGAACTCTTCCGAACTCTAAAAGCGTCGAGTAGATCCGCTGGCATCCGCTGAGCGTCTCCCGCTCATCCAGTTGCGATGTCTTGGCGGTGTTCATCGTGAAAAGAAAGTGGTGTGCTTTTGGGCACAAAGAAAAGTGGCATCGCCAAGAGAATTCCAAACTCAACAATCTCTGCCCACGGATTTTTCGCCTCCTCGTTCAAACTATCTGATCAGAAATTCTAGTACATCGAAACCGAGCGAGGGAGCAAAAGGGGAGGGGTGATGGATCACAATTCAATCGTATCACCAAAACTCTCTCTCTCTCTCTCTCTCTCTCTCTCCCCGCCCCCAAGGGCAGCAAGCCTAGGTAGCAAACAAAGGTAAGCAACATGCTCACTGAGAGTGACGCCGGGGATGCGAGTGATCCTATGGTCACAACTGAACGTTCTCAAAAAGAACGCTGCTCCCACTCTTTGTAACTAAAGCCTCCGCACCCGACAGCGCGAACTTGGCATTCACCATCCACCGTTCCCCTCTACATGGTCGATGTGTCATGCGAGTCACCTCCAAGTCACAAAGCGAAATGAGATGAATCGCAGAAACACAACAAAAACAAAACAAATCTCGAAAAGACGTCATAGCCCGTTTTTGGCATTTTTGGATTTGACCTGTTTACGTAACGCGATTCTCCACTCTCGCTCCCGTTCAAAAAGCGCAACTGACGCCAGTCTTTCCTCTTATTCAATCAACACACACTTTTTTGTGATTGAACTAACACGGCTACAACACACGGTAGCTGCATCTCACAACAAAACATCGCATATCCCCACGCACCAAAAATGCCGTCTCAGGGCCAGTTGCTGCACAAGGCTTTCGAGCAGGCCAATCTGCCGCTCACCATCACCGCAACTGCGCGCGAATTCGCTTGGGGCGCTCGCGATTCGACCTCCTTCTTGATGGACATCCGAAACACAAAGGGACTCGGCAAGAACGAGTTCAAGCAAAAGTTTGTCGCCTACCTGGGCGATGGCACCGACCTCCAGGTTACCAACGTCGATCCGGCACTCCACCAACTTGTGCTGACCGTGCAAGAGCCCGTGCGCGAAATTGTCACGGTTCGCCGCGAGTGGATGATGATGGAGCGCCGCTATATCGAGCATACCGACCGGCAATGGACGACCGGAAATCTGCATTGCCACCTGGTCGGCGTTGACGAGGGCCACTTGTTCTTCTGCGAGCTCCCAAACGTCGTCTCCACCGTGCACCAAGCTCACCAGCTCCTCCGACCCAAGCAGCTCGTTAACAAGCCCAAGACTGCCTTCAAGCGACAGGGCGAGTGGTTTTTGGTTCCCGTGCCCGTGTCGGAGTGCGCCAAAATCCAAGAAGCAGCCACACCAGTTGCTCCGGCCCCCTTTGAGCCATGGGGAAGGGCAGTTCCTAACGTTCAAACTCACTATCGCAATACTGCGCTTGGCGTGCACATCGGCCGCGGTCCCGGCCGTGGACATGTCGCCGACGAGATTGTTGTGTATGGCGGTCGCGAGTTTGCTCGTGGCAAGCTGCAGCATCCCGACCACGTGCCGCGGCATCTCAAGGACTGGCACGAAGTGCTCCGAAACCAGGAGAAGACCTCGAATGTTCTCAAGCACACCAATTGGATGGACTGAAGAGAGGAACTCGTTGTCAGTTGTCCGTTGTCGTTGAATGTTAAGGAAGGTTAAGTGTTGTTGTTGCTTCATTGTAAATAATACCAATCACCCATTATCAAGCTTTGTGGATCGAGTCAACCCAAAACAGACAAAGTGCAGCAAAAACGTTAATGCTTCTTATTGGACTTCTTGCCGCCATCAATAAAGCGGACGAGCGAGTCAATGTCGTCCATGTTGAGATTCTGCTTCTTGCTTGATGCCCGTGCTGGGGCCGGGGTGGCTGCCACTGCAGGGGCCGCTCGTGCAGTGCGAGCTGCGAGAGCCTGCGCTTGAGCCTGCGCTTGGATTTGCTACAAAGTGGTGCCACAAAAAAATGGAAACAGAAACGGGACGACCACGTCAGAACTGGTACACATCAACCAAAAAAACCAGGGATGGGCATCAACCAATCGGCACTCACCGAAACGCTAATCTTGGCAGCAGAAAGCGCCTGCATTTGCGCCAGCTGGTCACGATGGAAGACAGTATCGGCAGCATCCTTGCCAAACTGCCATCAGACAAATCGACACAAAAATTGAGCGCGAGCGACTCGGAACAAATGCGACACAGCCACAACAAACCATGACCTACCTTGGTTTCGCAAATCTTGAGCACTTCGCGTTCCATCTCGATGGCCTTCTTGAGGTTGTCGGCCAAGAACAGAGCAGAGGCCAGATGAGAGCGGCTACAGGACGAATGTGAAGGTGGGCAAGATAAATGTGATGAGCGCCCAAATGCATAGTACAGACACGTAAAGGTAGAAAATAAGTCAATCTACTCACAGCTCAAGCACTCGGTTGGAATCAGCGGCAAAGTGCGGCAAAGCATGCAAATCGGGCAGCGCGATTGACGTCGCCAAGAGCAGCCAGGCAGCGGTAGATGGCGAGCTACAGCGAGGAAACGACAGAAACAGACACCAGGATTGAGTCTTTGCGCCGAGGGCGGTTTTCAGCGCTCCAAAAACACGCCACATCCGCTCCCCCCCCCCAAAAAAAAAACCTTACATCAATGCGGCTCAGAACAGGGTGGTCGCGACCAAAGAGGACGAAAACGAGGTAGCGTCCACGCTGGAGGAACTTGAGTGCCATGACGTTGTCTTCCATTGCCTCGCAGAGCATGGCAAACTGCAAATATTGCTCAAGAATCAACGAAGAGTCCAGGCCAGCGGCACGCTCGGCGACAATCACGGCGTGCTTGGCAAACTGAAGCGTGGCGGCATCTTCGCCAAGACGCTCGTAGCATGCCGAGATGTGTCTGTGGAAGAGCGAAAACGTCAGTGACGAGGCATGTTTGTGCACGATACGCCAACGCACAATCAGGACACTCACTGGAGGATGGTCATCGAGGTCGTAGTCACAACGCCTTGCGTTTGCTCCGTGTGCAAAAGCGCCTGCATGAACATTTCAATGGCCGTGTTGATGTCGCCGTCGTCTGCAGGGAATGTGGGAGGGGGGTTCAAGGCGATGCAATGAGCAAAAAGTGCACCACCATCACACCGCCTACAACAGAACTGAATTGCTTTACCAGAGTGCAACTGCTGCGACGCGTCGTACACCAATTGGCGCACATCGGGGTTCTGTTCACAAACACACCCCACCCATTGTGAGCACGCGTGTTTGCCATCCAACCAATCTCGACATGGCACGAGAAAAAAAAAAAAAGAAAACAAAAACGTTACCTGCATGTCAATTCGCTTCACCAGGGGATAGACGTCGCGAACATCGGCGGCAGACAGCACAGGCTTTCCAGACTCGATGAGGTAGTCACGGGCTGAAAGTTGGATGCCAGTCTTGACGCAAACTGCGCGCAGCAATGGCACAAGCTCAATGCCAAAGGCAGCGCTGACGGCGGCAAACGAAGGAGCGGCGTTTTTGGCAAGATGTGCCGCAAAGTCAAAGCGGAAGTGCTGCTTGACCTCGTCGAAAATGGCCGCCCACAGGTTGGAGAGGGCAGAGGGAGCCTGCAATTCGGCAGTGGCGACTGGAAGCGATACGACCAGCGCAGCCTTGTTGGCCTTGTTGGGCTTGGACTTTTTCTTTCCGGCGTTGGCCTTGCCGTCTTGCTGCTGAGCGGCCTTCGACGAAAACAAAAAAAAAAAAAAACAAAAAACATGAAGAAACAAACCATTCGTCAGACACACCTGCTTCGGGTCTTTCGTCGAACATGGATCAACACGAGTAACACCATACCTCGCCTTGCAGAATCAGAGCGGTGGCGTCAGGGAAGACACACGACGAAGCGGCAGTGGCGACTGGAGCGTCGAACAGCGCGTTGAAAAACGATGCAACAGCGTCCGCAACAGCGTGGTTTTGGGAGTTGGACAGACGATGGCGCAGCATGCGCTTGGCCACACGAGCGATCATTTCGGAAGCAATCAGTTTCTGATCAAGACGAGCAAGGAAGGTTGTTGAGTGAGAGACTTTTTTTTTTGTTGCTGGTTTTTCCAACAAACTGCAAGAAAAGGGTTCATTCACGCAAAAATAAAAAGTCTGTACCTTGGCAAAGTGCGACGCCGACGCCTTCTGGTGCATGGTCATGATGTGGTTTAGCGCAGCGCCGAGGTAGCGCATATTCAGACCGTTCGAGTGCATCAGCTGTGTAAGCGCGTCACCATCGACTGGGAACGAAGTGCGGTTGTCACTGCGAACAAACTCGTCGGCCTGTCCAAATCAGAAGCAGAGAGAAAAAAAGTGAGAACAGTCGGGGCCCTGCTCCATCCAAATACGCACTCGACACGAAAAAAAAAATCCCCGACTCACCAAACGAAGAGTGCACGCGTTGGCAAAGGCGCCCAACGCGCGGACTTGAGCCTTCTCCTCGTCGGTGGCAAGATCTCCGAAACGCGTAAAGGTGTCGACGTTGACACGGGCTGTTTCAACCAGCGCCTCCATGTTCGCAGCGAATTTGGCTTCACGAGCAGCTTCAGCGGCGGCTTCCTCTGCCTGCTCCTCGGGTGTCTTTTCGGCAGCAGCAGCAACAGCATCGGCAGCCGCGGCCTCGCCTTCGGTTGCGGTCTTGGCCTTCTTGGCGGCAATCTCTTCGGCCATCATGGCGCGCCATGCATCGTTCGCCTGCTGCTTGAGGTGGCGCTCGAGCAGCTCACGGCGGAGGAGACACAGCTCGTGCTCCTTCTTGGGCACGTACACGGTCGGATCGCTCGGGATGGTCGAGCCGGGGGCAGGCAGCGGGGTGAGCTCGGGCATAAAGTTGACATCAACCGGAGTCAGACGCTGGGTCTCGATCATGTACATGCGGTTGTCGGCACCAAACACGCCACGAACATCAGCCGCAAGCACTGTCTGATGGGTTTCGTTCTCCTTTTCAGCCGAAGCAGGCTCGGCAGCAGCGTGCTCGGGGTCGGCAGCAGCGATGGCAGTCTCGACCTGCTTGAGGATCTTGCCGCTCGGGATGGCGTGCGGCTTGAGGCGCAGATGTTCGGCAACCTTGCCAAACAGGTCAGAGTACTCCTCGTTGTAGTTGTACATGGTGCCGTTGGGATCAAAGCCCTGGCGCAAGAACGGAGTGCCGTCCCGGCGGAAGATGCCAGGGAGCAGAGCCTGCGCGCTGACGCGGAAGCCGCGGAAATCAATCACCACAGCGAGCAGCTGGTGCAGCTTCTCGGGGAGCAGGTGGCGCAGCACCGAGATGGACTTGATGTCCAAGGCTGCGGCGGCGTGCACGGCAGCGCTGTTCTGGTTGAAGAGCTCGCGCGTGCTGTCGGGGAAGCAGAAAAAGATGTTGTTGTAAATGTACAGCTGCTGCTCGCGGGCGCCGCCGGGATTGACGGCGGGAATGTTGCCCGAGACGATTTCCTGGGCACCACGGATGGCTGCGCCAACAAAGTCATTGTACAAGTCGTTCAAGGCCGCGTCGCGGGCCAGGCGCTCGTCGGCGGTCTCGACGGGGGTGGTGGCCTGGACCTGCCATTCCTCATTCCAGTCACGCAGCTGGCCGGGGAGAGCGCTCGGCATCTCAGCGCGTGCACCCATGCTGAACTTTTCAGCGCGGAGAGCGTCCGACTTGTGACGGGCAAACGTCGGAGTGATGAACGTGTGACGCGGGAAAGCCATGGGCGCCGCCTCGTACACGGTCACGCTGCTCTTGGAGAGCAGCTCGAGCACATTGACGGGCTGGGGTGCTGGGGCGGCATCAGCAGCCGCCTCGCTAGTCTTGGGAGCCGTCTCTGCTGCTGGCACAGTCTCGGAAGCGTTGGCCTCCGTTGCCTGCTGCTGCTGCTGCTGCTGCTGCTGCTGCTGCTGCTGGTGCTGGTGCTGCTGCAGCTGCTGTTGACGCAAGTTGGCAGCCTCGGCGGCAACCAACAGCCTCTTGAACAGCGGGTAGTTGGCCTTGAAGACGGGGCTGGCTTGGCCGAGCACACTGGCGAGCGAGTGCGAAGCGAAAGGGCGAGAGTGCGGCAGGGGGTCGAACAGGTCGTCAGTCGAGAGGTTGCGGAAAAAGCCCGCTGCCGTGGCAGTAATGTGCAGAGTGAGGCCCTCTTGCGTCACAGCGGTCAGGTAGGCCAAGTCACCTAATTGATCGAGAAATGCCGACAGTCAGCGACAGATCAATTACAGGTTCATCATCAAAGACGAAGAGAGCAAAAGAACGTAAAAAGAGACAGCTCATACCGAGAAGCTTGCGGTGGGCAGGCACGGGGTTCCAGGTCGACAGGGAAACGGAAGAGATGAAGCGCTCGGCCGGAGTGACGTGGTGAGCCGGGAAGAAGAGCTTCAGAGATGTGCTGCTATCGGCCTCGGGCTCGAATGCATGGCGGGGGACAGCATGGGGAGCTGGAATGTCAAAGTTGTGAGTCGAAGTGAGTGCAAATAGGAATGTAGAACCAACCAGGGTCAGGAGCTCAAAAAAAAAAAAACCATGCCACAACACCATACCAGCATTGTTGTCGGTTGCACGAGCAGTGCCAGAGATGCGATCAAAGAGGTAGCTGGGAGCGGCAGTGGTGTCGGCCGTGTTGGCGAGAATCTGGTCCTGGATGATCTGGAGATGCGCGCGAACCTCAAACTCTGTGTAGACCTCAGGCTTGACAAGGATGGACGCGTCGGCACCAAAGCCGTCAATCGAGCCGAGAGGAATGCCACGCGGGAGCACGGTGCCATTGGCAAGCTCGAACTTGACGCACGTCTCAATCAAAAAGATGGGCTCGTTGACCAGTTGGATGATCAGGTCGTCCAGCACGGTCGTCGGCAGCGCCTGCAAGTTTTACAAAAGACCGGTGATCAACCAGAGTTCACAGAGACGCAAAGTGAGCTGAAACAACAATTCCATCCACAATCCACAGTGCATAAAAAGCAAAGAAACGAACGATCGAACGTGGGAACGAACGAAGGCGTACCATCAGAGTGATGCGCTGACCAGACAGCAGCGTGACGTGGATGGCGAATGGGGCTGGGTGCGCAACGGCATGGTCGTGCTCATCCGACTGCACAACTTCGAGCGTCGGGTCGATCGCGGTTTCAGCCATAGTGGTGGTGTGGTTTTGATCTTGCTCGATTCCTTTGTGATTGGGTTTCGGGTCTGAACAAGGCGACTTGTTTGCGTTCAAGTTGGCTTGTTTTTGTTGCTTTGGTTGGGTTGCGTTGGTAGGGATCCTTTGAGGGTCTCTCGATGGGGTCCACAGCAGAGTTGTCAATGTCTTGGCAGTCGGGGAAACGAACAGAAGGTTTTGACTGAGACAGGAGGCTTCTTTCTTGTTCTTCTTCTTGCAACGAGGGGAGTGCAAAATCACACGCTGGCAAGGGATCACAGACAAGGAAGTGCCGAACAAAGTGAGCTTTGGATACCAGCGAGTCATCGGCATCGATCATGGGTGTGGAGAATGGAGCGAAAGGGAAAAAAAGAAAAAAAAAAAAAAGAAAAAGGCACATGGCGTTTTGTATTGCAGCTCAGTTCATGGATCGCGCTGGCCTCCCTTCCCCTCTGTCGTCGTTCTGGAGCTGCAAGAAGATGGGCTGAGGCTGTAAAGTGTGGAAAAGGGGGTTGACAGACATACCCCATCAGCATGTTTGCGAAACGGAGGATGAAAGGGAGAAGGGGAAACTGGTTTTTGAGTGTCGAGCAGCGTGTTAATCGCCATCGCGCTCACTCACACACACACACACACACACTCACACACACACAACACACACACTCACACGCCACAGAGTCACCACACAACAACATAAACACAAAAGGCAGTGCATCGTGCTGCCGCAGTGAAGCGTCAGGCGATGATCGAACTGAATTGTTTGCAAGTTGGTTTCATAGCGAGATCATTTACCGACCAAAAGAAGAAAGACAAAAGAAAAAAGTACGAGTGATTCAACTGTGAAGCAGGATGGTTTGAGGGGTGTTCAATATTAATCATTCACAATTGAGCTCAAAAGCAAAAGTCAAACATGCAGGACTAGTTTCATACAAACGTGCGGCCTGTACTCTGCAAACGCAGTGCCCAGGCATCTGCCGCGTTCCATGTAAGTGGCTTAGATCGATTGGACTTGAATGCCAACGTGTCACTCATCTCGGCAAACGGACCGATTAGCAGAATGGGTTCGAGGGTATGTTGTTGGTTGTGATCGTTAACGCCGTTGACAAAATCACTCGGGAACGGAGAGGTCGAAAAAATGGCACGAACCCACAGAGATTCCAACGAAGTTTTCGCAAGCCATGCACGATACTCGTTACGACTTTCAGCGGTTTCCAAAATCGCCTTCTTGTCGGCATCCGTGAGGGTATTCGTTGGGTTGATGGTCGAATCCGTCGATGCAGCTCTGATAAGCCGAGTGGCTCTTGGCGCAAACTGACAGCCGGGCGACACGGAGCACAGCGCGTCATCCAGTTTTCCGGAACCCGTCTTGACCTGGATAGACAGCTGCCCGCGAGTACCGTTGCGCACCAAAGGAACGTGCAGGTCGATACGGCTGACGCCGCCCAGGATGATGGCGTTTGGATACTTGTCCACCAGACGATAGGCGGCTTTGCCGGAATGGGCGAGCCTGGCACATCGCCCAGTAACCAACACGTCGTCTAAGCAAGCGGGCCAGACAAAGTCCGAGACGAGGGCAAGCTTCAAGCAGTCTTTCAGAGAGACAGTTCCATTTGGGCTGCGCAGCACTGAACGTATCATGGCCCAGGCAAGCACATCTTCACACTCATCTCCCGCATTCGAGCGAGAGGCGCGCAGTTCGGCGCTTTCAATGGCGTGCGCCATGATCGGATCCCGGGCGTTGCCCAGCATGCTGGAAACAAGTTGCTCGAGGGCAATGCACACAATGTACTCGCGGTGTAGTTGGTAGGACGAAGCGACCGACGTCTGCGACTGGGCATGACTGTGACTCATGGACGGCGAGGACCCATCGATAAGCGGGGCGAGGGGTGGCACTTCGATCGTGTCACCGGGCGCGACCGGTGTAGAGCTCGCCACCGCACTAAAAATGTCAAAGCCGAGGAGAGAGCCATCGTCCTCCACCGAGCCATCGTCCTCCATGGATGGAGGCGAAGGTGTTTTGATGACGCCTACCATGAAGAGCAAACTCGAGTCGCGCAAGCGGTTGCGAATCTCGGGAGAAAGGCGGACAACGTTGCCACGGATAAAGTACTCGAAAAGCAAGCGTATCAAGCAAGGATGCTCCGGATGTTCCGTCGAGGTTCGCGGCTCCAGAACGTCCCTTTGGAAGTTGGCGATGGCAGTACTACAACCGGTGACCGCGGCGTCAGCAATACACTTGAGCAAATCGATCTGTGTGGCAGGTTTGCGCTTCCGCAGTAACAACACAAAGTCTTCAAAGAATGTGTAGAAGAAGAAATGCGGGCGGCCGTTGAACCTGTTCAAATAAGGCTCGAGGTCATTGATGTGCGATGGATCGAGGCGAAAGTAGTGTCGTAAGACATCAAACATCTCAGCGGCGCTGACAGCATGATTTGGCTCAAAGAACGACACGCCCGCGTTGAGAGGCGACGACCCGCCAGCACTGCGGAGCTGGCGGACGGCAGAGTTAGTATCTGCCGCAACGACAAGCACGTCGTAGCGCTGATCCAGCGAGTTGAAGACGAGGCGGAGGCCATAGAGCGCGTCGCAGATGAAACTACGTTTTGTCCTGTGGCGTCTGGTTACGAGCTCCTCGATGTGCTCCAGCTCGAGTCCCGATTCAAAGTCGTCCCAGTGGTAGAACAGGCCTTCGGCACCACGCAGCATACCGACCTCGTCGAACGCAAAGATAACGGGCGTCTCCTCGGAGCAAGCTGCGCGGAAGCGATTCATAACATTCTTGCAGTGCGTTTTGATCTGGTCAGGGGGCCAGTCTCCCTTGAGCCGCGCAAGATTTTCTTCGAGAATGGTAGAGACGCCATCCGAACCAAAGCTATTTTCGAGTGCCTGCAGCAACAGGACACGCAACTCCAGGTCGAGAGACAGACTGGCGTGGTGCTCATGCAATGCGTCAACGACGGCGAGCAGCCATTCGACGTGTGCAAAGACAAAGAGTCGGATGGCATCGAGCCCAAGTTGAGCCAGCTTGCGGAGGTGGAGCTTGACATCCTTCGGGACGGCGGCTTCGGAGTCGTGCGAGCGGTGCTCGTAAGCAAGGGAGCTCGCCTCGCGGTGTATGTCGCGCAAGTATCTCGTGAGACTCTCGGTTTGGGGCGTCAGTTGATCTTGCTTATACGAGAGGCGGATGAGAACGACAACGCCGTCGTCACGGAGATCAAACATGGCACGCGTCTTGCCCGATCCACTCGCCTGGATCATGACGACGATTTTGCTGCGTTGGGGGTTGGAGGTGCCGCAGCCAAGTTGCTTGGCCAATCGAGTATGTGTATCGCCGACCGTTTTGAGGAGGAAAGGATCAATGATCATGCTGCCTGTCTGGTTCCGCTTGACAATGCCAAGAGGGAGTGGAGTTTGGAGCATAGTTCCAAACTCTTTCGTCTGCGTACTTGGGTCCTGATCGCGCAGCGCAACCCACTTTTCGACGAACTGGCAGGCAAGCGGTGAGATGGTGTGATGGGTGGCACGGGTGGCACTGGCGGCGGCTGCGCGAGCGCTCAGTTGTTGCATCAGTGTGCTTGGATCGCATTGGCTGAGATAGGATTGCTCTAATACAAGTTGCACAATGGCGTCCACGTCGAACGGTTGCGGGTTGGAGGCCATGACTGTCAAACGACGATAGCGAACACACTGCTGCTGTTAGTCCCTGGTTCGGTTGCAACATCAATGCCGCACGAAAGCACATAAGCTCGTTTTTGACAGATACTTCTTTGCTCAATCTCACCTGCCAATATCTTTGGGGATGGGTTGCTCAAGACTAAGTAAGTGTGTTGTACATGTCAGTGGAAGCGAAGACCTGGACGGGAAGGCGAGGTGAGAGGGAGACGAGGAACTGAGAGGAACTAAAAAGTGAAAAAGGCGGGAAAAGGAGGATTGGACAATGCTGTCATTCAAGTGTGATGAGCCTGGTGTGATACTGGCACAATTTTCTGAAAAATACCTGTTGTCTGTCAATCAGTTCACGTTTGGTGTTCGTGTTCCGTTCTGCATGCCGGCAAGAACATTGAGTTTATTTTGCCGAAAGCTTGAGATTCTTGGATACAACGTGAATGAGCTGCTTGGACTGCCGAGCCAAGTTAGCTGTTGAAGCGACGCAGCTGAACGTCGAGCGTCTTGCATCTGACCTTAAGGACAAGGCTGCTGAGCTGGCTGCCCAAGTTGAGGCTGACGCTCGTCGCATTGAGGGCGAAGCAACAGGCTAAGGAGCGTCGCTGCTTTTTTTTGTTGTTGTTGACAACCTTTAAAATCACTGCAAGCTCAAATTGATCAAACTCACCTGTTTTGATCGATGGCGGTCTGCGCTGCTCGGCTTTGGCTTTGGAGCCTTGGGAGAGTAGCGATTGGTTTCGGTCACTCTTTTTTTTTTTTTTTTTTTTTTTTTTTGTGTTGAGTCTCTCCTCCGTCCTTCTGCCCGCTCCTTGACGCCACCGCCGCCCCCCCCACTCGCTCGCAATGAGTGGCTCGACTGCCAAGACCCGTGCACCGCGCGTTGCCCGCGAGGAGTCGCGCGACAGGCACTCCGCCAAAGGTCTGAAGTTTGCGCGCCATTCTGTCTTCTCGCGCCTTTTTTTGATCTGTTCTTTGCTTCTGCGTCCTGTCCCGGCCGCGGCGTCGATGTTCAAAAGCCCTCAACGTCCTTGCTTTGTTTTTGCTTCCCTCGCTACTAAGGACACACATCGGCCGATTCTGTCGCTCAATGTTCAGCTTTGACTGCCAAAAAAATCAAACTTTTTTTTTTTTTTTCCGTTTTGCCTGTCATTCCGGTCCTTGGTGACCCCGCTCCTGCTGGTGCTGCTGGTGCTGCCGTCCTGCTCACAACCTCGGAATTGCAGAGCCCACGCGACTCACTCTATGAGGGTTGCATGATGGTGGCCTCGCCAACCAGAAACCGACCCGAGGCAGATTTTACAGAGATCTTTTTTATTTTTTTTTATTTTTTTCAATATTTTTTGGCAAATTTTAGTCATTCAGTTTGCTTAATCTTCGGATGCGGGGTGACCATTGCCATCATTGCCTACTCCTCTGGCTGAAACACTGACGTCAAACATGGACTGTCTGAATTGCCGACCAACAGAAAAGCAACGACGCATCGATCTGCGCGACGAGCTGAACGACCTGTGCCAATGCGTGCCCGGAACGTACCGCGACCGGCTGTACTCGATCATCGAGATCCTCACATTTGCGGCAGACTTTATCACGGAGCTGAATCAGGAGAGCGTCGAGGTCAAGCTGAAGCTGGAGCAGCTGCGCGCAGAGCACCGTTCGCTGCGAATGCGTCGCTTGCTCGCGCGTAAAACCCTTGGTCTGAGCACGGTACGGATGACCACTTTATGCGAAATTGTGCATATTGCGATGTGAGGATTGGGTCGGGTTGCATCCCAAGTGCGCGGGGGCGTTTTTGCACTCTTCTTGTTCGAGTTTCTTTTTTTTTTTTTTTCATCTTCCTACATTGCTGCTGACACTGACACTCCTCTCTCTCCCCTCTCCTCTCACAGACGAACGCCGACCACGATCTCGAGCCACCACCGCCACCAGCATTGCCGCCTTTTCCAGAATGGCACGTTTACTACAATCGTCCATTCATTGAACCTTCAGCCTCCATCACAGCCACGTCGCAGAAGCAGCAGAAAGCCGGCGTGTTGACGAGCGCAGCAGCGTTGCAGCACGTTGGAGCCGGGTTTGAGGTGACATTTTCGTCGCCACCAGCGCTGGCGGCGCAAACAGGCACCGCCACCTTCGTCCCAAATCCCACTCTCGTTGGACCGAGTGGAGCTGCTGCTGCTCTTCCTCGAAAGAAGGGACGGCGCTCGAAGGCCCAAATCGCCGCCGATCAAGCCGCGGCGGCCGCCGAAGTCGCCGCGCGCTCAAATGCAAATGCAGCGGCCATCATTGCTGGAACTGCACCAGCACACAGCAGCAACAACAACACCAACCACAACCATCATGCGAATGCTGGTCATCACGCTTCGTCGTCTTTTAATAATTACCCTGGTTATTTCCAACAACAGCACCCAGCCCCTTTCGCGGCATCGCACTTTGCCAACGCTCCCGGGCATTTCGTCACGCCCTACCCGATGGACTCGTCGGCGGCTCTCATGAACATGAACATGCTGCAACTTCCTTTGGGTGGCGCGTATCCAGCAGCGGGTGGTGGTGGTGGAGCGTATCCTGCTGGTGGCGCCGCTCATTATCCATCCGCCGCGTCGCACGGACGCGCGACTGGTGGCAGCGGTCTGATGCACCTTCCCGCAGCTGACGACCATTTTGGGCTGCACGATGACCGACACGTCTCTGCGCTGGGCGGTGGCTACTTTACAGTCCAGCCAACAAACGATGACTTGCCGCCCACGCCTACCTCCGCAAGCCTACATCGCCGCAAGTACAGCATCAACACCTTGCTCAAGCAGCTGGACGACGACGACGAGGATGCGCACTTTTTATCGTCGCGAGGAGGACACGGCCCCGATGGCCGACGTCTCTCTGCGAGCTTCCACCCGGGCTCGCTCGGGCAGCATCCTGCCAATCATCACTCCAGCCTCGCCAACCACCACCAGCACCACCACCACCACCTGCCCGACGGTGGTCCTGTTTCTGCGGGGAGTGATTTCAGCACTGGCGCAAACGGGCATTCAGTCAACCAGCACCCTTCGCCCGAATTGCTCGAGGCGCTCGTGCTGCCCGCTCACAACAAGCACGGAGGGCGAAGGTTGTCCTCGACGTTTGCTGTCGCCGACGACCATCGACTGACCCACCTGCAAGCGTTGCTGGACAAGCAGATTGCCCGCGAGAAGGCCGAGGAGCAGGGGTTGAGTCTCCCCGACGACGAAGAGGGCGAAGGCGAGGACGGTGCCGATGACGCCGCGCTGGCCGGTCTGCTCATGTCGCCCTTCCCTGGTGGAAATATGCGGTTTTCAATCTCCCAAGACCCGGTGGACCAGTTGTTTTTCGCCGGGAATACGCCCAAGTCACGCCGGGCATCTCGCAACGGCTCCTTTTCCGCCAGCCACACCTCGAAGCGCACCGCATCCTCTGCCTTTGAGGACGACCCTCCCCATCACAGCTTTGCTCAGCCCCCAACGAGCATAGGGAAGCCTCTGCGACGCGGCAGCCGCGATGAGCACGGCACCAGCCATGGGTCTTCTTCGTCCTCTTCTTCAGCTTCTGCTGCTGCTGACCCAAGCACGCTTCATGCGTCCAAGCGTCACCGCAAGTCAGTTTCGTTCTCGCTTGATAATGACGACTTTCTGCCTGGACTAGAGTAAGCTGGGCGAACAAAATGAACCCCCGCTTTGTGCTTTTGTTGTGGGATTTGTTTCTGACCGTTTGAATTTTCTTTGTTTGTGCTTGGCTTTGATTGACATGTATAGCACTCCACCAGGCGGCCGTCGCAAGTCATCCATTTCGCATGCAGGAGCGCATCACACAAACAGTCACCAATCACCCTACTCCCAGTCCCATCCGCCGCACGTGGCACACTCTCTCGGTCACGGCTCCAGCAGTAGCAGTAGCACTAGCACTAGCAGTACAAGCAACCACAGCGCTGCTCCCAACCACTCGCTTGCTGCTGGCCAAGACGATCACATCTTTACCCAGCCATTCCCTGCCAAACGATCGCGCCTCAACAGCCTTCCGTCCTCGTACATGCCCGAAGACATGCTGTCAAACTACTTGTTCTGAGCTATACTTGCTTTGAGCGGTCTTGTCGATTTGTTGTGTTCATTTTTTTCTTCTTTTTGTCTTTTGTTGCTTTTTGGTTTCTGTCTTTTGACGCCCAGTTTGAGCTTTCTGTTTTGTTGTTGTTGTTGTTGGTTTGCTTTCTTTCATTGACGTGGTGCTTTTGGAGTCGAGTTTTTCTGCTCTTGTAAGCGGTACATATTTTTTTTTTCTCCGTCACTTGAGCATCGTTTGAGCGAAGAAATCGCGACAGAAATTGGCTGTCCATTTTTGAAGCGCCTTCCGCTTGTGTGGTCCCCATCTTTTTCAACCCGTTAAAAATGCATGTATTTGCAGTCATCCCACATGGCCAGCCAAGTTGTCTTGAGATGCTGCTCTCGATGGCACCAGAAAGCGAGTTTTGTATTTTCGTTTAATTTTGGGCTTCTGCAAACTTACGTCCAGTTTTTTTTTTTTTTTTTTTTTTTTTGGTTTTATTTTTTTCGGTTTGGTGAGTGTTTCATTGCATGACTTTGATCCTTGCACCCAACCGCTGCGCAATCCCCGTCATGCATGTTGCTTTCGTAGAGGAGTGTGTCATGGCCGATCGGACTTCCGACAAACGGGAAGCGCGCAAGATCTGAAAAACAGCAAAAGCGACCGAACATTGGGTTCAAAAAGAACAAAAAAATCAATCTATTCAGATCTTCCGCAAGCGAACCCATGGGTTGAACTCGGCAAACGGGCGGGCGATCCGCGCCATCCACTGCGCTGCGACGCGCGTGCATGGTGCGGATCATCGCGCTGGCCTGGGACAGATCCCGCAACGGAGAAGAACAAACAAGAAGAAGAAGAAGAACAAAAAAGAAAACAACCAAAAATTTTGATTGATGACCGACTTTGTCGGCGAAGAAAAAAAATATGGTGACGCGAAATCGGATCGGGTGCGATTCGCTTGCACTGGGCATCTGCAAGCGCGATCTGTATGCACGCGGGCGGGGTGCAGGTGGGGCCCCGGTACGCGTCGCCGATGATGCAACAAGGAGCAAGAAAAATCATCATGAAATCAGAAAAAAAAAAAAACCACACCAGTTTTTTTTGATTTTGTATTAGCGGCAATCCCTTGCGCGGTTTTCGATTGCCATGCACCGCGGTCGGTCTCGGTGCCGCGTGTGCATCACAGCTGCCTCTGCAGATTCCGCGTGGTGGCGGCGTCGTCCGTGCTGCACGATCGCTGCAAACCAACGTCACATGGGATTGTCATTTTTCTTTGCTTTTCTTTGCTCTTCTTTTTTCAAAGCCAAAACACCACAAAAACCAAAAAAAAAAAAAAAAAAAAAAAAAAAAAAAAAACTCAAAATGTCGTCATCAATAGCAAAAAAAAAAAAAAAAAAAAAAAAACTATCGGAAAAAAGAAAGAACGCCAGCACGGATTGCGACCGTCTTCTTCCCAAAGGAGGTCGGACGCGCGCCAGAGCTGGCAGCGAGAAACCCGACAGCTGGATGCGCGCAACCACCAGGATGCCATCTGGCGTGATACGCAGTCGCCCAAGTGCTGCCAGATGTTGCTGCAGAAGCAATCGTGTCCAGCGTAAACTGTTTTTGGTTTTTTCGGGTTTTTCCGGTTTTTTTTTTTTTTCCTTCTTTCGTTTTTGAATGTGTCATCGCATCATTGTCGTGACGATGACATTATAAATAATGACACTCACGCGCAAAGTGAAGCGCATAGAGCTCAGAGGGAAGGAAAGCAAGGACAAAAACCAAAAAAAGCCGCCAAATTCGACCATGTACTCACTTGCCTCTTTTTTACCCTTGCGCATTGCACAACATGGATGTCCGATAGATCTCTGAAATCACACAAGTTTAAAGTCGTGTCGTCTTCGGACCTTGCCGACACGCCAAGTCCCACAATTTAGTGACACGATCCACTCGGTCCACACTCAACACACACACAAACAAAATGGCCAGCATTGCCCAAGACGCTCCGGCAAACTCGGTGCCCGCCGGCCTGCCAACAAAGTCGGACACCATGCATGTGGGAGCAGATCCGCCCCAGCTGGCCCCAGTTGCTTCAGCCTCAGGCGCAGTGGCCGTGGCCTCTGAAATTCCCACATCGCCGATTTTGGCGCCTCGACTACCGTTCACTGACGCGCCACGACAGCAAGACGCAATGTGCGGGGCCATTCCTGGTGCAAGCGCTGCGCACGCTTACTCTGATCCAAGCGCTTCGCCCACCCTGTCGACCATCTCGCTGTCGTCCTCGTTGGCAGTGCCAACCTCTCATAACGCAGCCGACGTGCGGTACCACAAGCGCTCGTCAGACTCGTTCTCGTCCATGTATTCTGAGGCCGACGCCTCTGCCAACGGCGGCGCGTCCGGCCATCCGTCCGTCGACAACGACACAACAAGCCAGCACGACGAACCAATGGTCTCGCGAGTTGGAACAGATGCCACCACCCCCTTCACTCTGCCCTCCGGTACCGTGACTGCCGGAGCTTCCACCCTGGAAAAGTGGAGCAGCGACGCCGCCCTTTCCGTCCCAGATGCCCTGCCAACGCCGCACACGGGCACTCGACACCGTCGGCAGACGCCGCCGCACCGCGCCGCGCTCATCTACGAGCGTGACAGCGAGCATGCAGGCATTGTGTTTGGCTTCCCATCCCCAGTTTTGCAGGCTCAGAGTCAGAGCGCTGCCGGCGACGACCCCAAAGCACAACGGCGAATCGCAGCCAACCAGCACCTTCGGGTCATCAGCAGGCAGTACTGCGCGCTCGGCGATGGTCGCTTCATCACCGATGTGATTGGCGCGCTTCGCCGCTCCACCTCTCACCACGGGGCGGGCTCGAATGGCAGCAAGTTTGCCTCCAACTCGCAAGCCGCAACAACATCCACCATGCGTGATCCCTCGCGCGTCGCCCGCGCTGCAGCATTGACGCGCGCTCGCCTCGGCTACAGCGATGGTGCTTTTGGAGCCGACTCTACCCCTGACGCAGAGTCCTATCGCCCTGGCCGAGGGATGGATGCCCAAGCCCTTCAAAATCTGCCCACTGCCGCAACGTCAGTCTCGCTGTATTCTCCCGCCCGGTCTCTTCCGCGCTTCGGCGGGCTCGATAGCAACAGCTCGAGCAACAACACCAACGGCATGGACACCACCGCAGACAGTCATCTCCGGGGCGGTGAGGGCTATTATTTCGCCGACTCGGACGAAGAGTCGCCCCCAGGAGCAGGAGCGCCGCACCTCGCGCCGACTGGGCCCCATCCCTATCCCATGTTCCACGGCATGCTCGCGTACGGCGGTGAATTGAGCTCTGCCGTGTACGGAGCGAGCGGTATGGGCGGCTATGTCGCATATCCAGGAGCCGGTCACAGGAGCATGGCTGCTGGTGGAGACTCTGAGGGCGAGGAGGACGAGGACGAGGAAGAGGACGATGAGAACGACTACTTTTCAATGCCGGCCTCTGCGCCAGCGCGCAAGCGTCAGCGATCGAGCAATTCAGTGTCCTCGGTGAACTCGCAGTCATCCACGCACCGCCGCATCCGCACAGCCAACCCCAACAAGGAGTGCGCATCGTGTGGTACGCGCAAGACGCCCATGTGGCGTGACGATGCAGACGGCGTGCCTCTCTGTAATGCTTGCGGCATTCGGTACAAGAAAAACAAGAGCAAGTGCTCTGCATGCAATTACATTCCCCGCAAAGACGACAGCACGGAGATTTGCAAGCGTTGCCACGGCAAGATTGCCTCCAACAAGAACAAGCCGCTGTATGCTCTCTCTTAAAACTGCATCCGAATCATTGGGGTTGATTTGCTTTCGTTTCCGTTTTGGTTTTGGGATTTTGGTTTCTCTCAAGCGCTGGCTCTTGAGTTTCGTTTCCGGCTCTCTTGGAGCCCCCCCCCTTCCCTTGTAAATATCCGAAGCAGCCATCCCGCACGTCATTCCGTGTGACCTTCAACCCAGCTGCCCCCTCTCTCTCGCTCATCCTTCCGCACCCAGTCAAAAACAAATCCCGTTCGTTACTTATCTCTCTCACTCCTGTACAAAGATTTCGCATGAAAATTTTTGCTGGTGGTTTCTACACTTGCATTGTCGATAGCCCCCTGCCTCGGTCCCTGTGCAGCTTTGAGTCTGTCTTGTTAATTTCGCTCCCGTTGTACCCTGTATATTTTTCTCGTTTGTTTTGGTTTTGTTGTCGCTTGTATGGTCCAATTTTCCCGTTGGTCGCAAGGATTGTACATTTTGCTGTTTGTTTTTTTGTTAATAACATGTGCATTCTTTGAAATTGTATGCAAGCACAAACTCTGCGGGACAACAGAAACAAACGACAAGCATTCTGTGCTTCCAAATACTTGTACTCGCCTTCATCAAGAAGGGACAACAAAAAAAGAACGACATGGAAAAGATAGAAACAAAACACGCAATACACATTGGGGCATCACTCTCAAATTCAATCTGTTGACGGTTGGTCACCAGCCTTGATCGAAGCAATAATGGCAGCAGTGTCAGCGTTAACACTCTCATCTCCAAGCGTGTCCATTTGGCCGCATGCGTCCTGTAGTGAGCTCAAAAACTTGACAACCTTGCTCGACTCGTCTTGCGCGGCCATTTCGATGAGCATGAGCAACTTCTTGATGCCAATCCAGATGTGTGGGTTGGCTGTGCTGAAGAATGGCAGAGTGCGCGTGTACTTGTCGTAATCACGCCATTCCTGCTCGGTGAATGCGTCAATCTCCTGCAGAACACAAGATGGACAAGGGTGAGCAAGATGACCTCCACACAATAACACAAAAACGGAGAGGGCAATGCTCCTCAAAGAGGGCTCAACGTTTGATCGCAATCCAAACATACCTTGAGCACAGTTCGGACTTGGTCCATTTTGTTGAGATTGGGAACTGTTAATCGCACATCAAATGCATCTTCCAGACCCAGCGAGTTGACCACATTGGCATGGCTTGTCGTTGCAATAATGAGCAGCTTGCGACCCTGCCAAGCGAGATGGATTCACACAGAGTGAGAACGCGAACAGGACAACAACAACAACAACAGTCAACCAAAAAAAAAAAAGCGCGGATTTTCAGAAAACTCGTAACAAAAATCACGTACAGTAGGAGGGAGACGCTTGGCCAGCACGAGAAGCGTCTGGAGCACAGAGTTGGAGAAGCGAGGACCAATCGGAGCATAGTCGAGCAAACGCTCAATCTCGTCAATAATAATCACGCTGAGCGGTGACTTGTACGAGTCGTCAAAGGCCTTGGCGATGGCGCTCGACTTGGCGGCTTCCGTCATGCCAACAAGCTTTTCGGCAGACACGAGGCGCACGAACGGGAAACCTGCCTCCTGCGCTTGCAAGGCCATTTTGACGGCGAGCGCGGTCTTGCCGCTGCCAACAGGGCCCTCCAAGAGCACACTCACGAGCGGTGTGCGCGCCGAGTTTTTGACTTGCTTGGCATGGAGCAGACCTTCCGTGAGGATGCTCTATAAAAAAAATCCCCCCCAAAAAAAACACCGCCAAAGAATGTGAGCAAACAAAAAACACAAGAAGAGAGCGAGTATGTGTGAAAGCTCAAACAAAAACTCCACGCCGTGGAACGCACTCACCTGAACGGCGGGGCTCCAGTTGATGATGCCATTCAACACCATGCTCTCGAAAGAGTCTTGGTCTGCGCCAAAGGCCGACTTGACTTCGAGAAGGGCGAGCTGGAAGTCTTCGTTCGTCACCTTGAGCGCCGCCTCGGCGTCGTCAGAAACAGCGACAGTCTTGGAGGCCTTGACAAGACGGTTCATCGAGTAGGAAGCGGCGGAACGAACAACACCAGCCAGTTCAGCACCGCTGTAGTTTTTCGTCTCTGCGGCAATATCTTGGAGATTGACGTCAGTCGCAAGGCGCTCGTTCTTGCGCAACTGCGCCGTGTGGATTTTGAGAATCTCCACACGGCCCTTCTCGTCGGGCAGGGAGATTTCGAGCTGCACCTCGAGACGACCGGGACGCAGCAGCGCCTCATCGATCATGTCACGGCGGTTTGTCATGCCGATAATCAAAATGTTGTTCAGCTGCTCGACACCATCCATCTTGGAAAGCAGCTGGTTGACGACCGTGTCGTGCACTCCAGTGTTGTCCGAGCGGGCACCGCGTTGTTTGCAAATCTAACAGAAGCAAGAACGAGGGTGAGTGAAAGTAAATTGCCTTTGCTTCGTTCACCATTGTCGCGCTGACGACAAACCGTCTTTCAAAGCTTACAGCATCAATTTCATCAAAAACAATCATGTGCAAGGAAGAATCCTCGCCCTTGGATTTGTACTCGGCCTCGGCCTCGGCGAACAGATCGCGAATGTTCTTTTCGGACTCGCCGACAAACTTGGACAGGATTTCGGGACCGTTGACAATCTTGGGTTCGCGCGTCTTGAGCATCTTGCCAATTTGGCGCGCCATCAGGGTCTTGCCGGTACCGGGAGGACCATACAGCAGGATGCCCTTCACGTGCGTGATGCCCAGCTGCTCCAGGAGCGAAGGAGGCATGACGCGGGATGCGAACGCGCGACGGAAGATGGACGCAAACTCGCCGCCGAGACCACCAATGCCCATCTGCTCGAAGTCAAAGTCCGGGTTGATTGGGGATGGGCGAGCAGAGATGCGAGCCTTGCCAGTCAGCGTAATGTTCGACTCGGCGCCCTTGGTGAAGAAAATGTCCGACTTTTCGAGCAGCACGCCTCGGTTGGCCGCCAGCTGCGAGCCAGTGCGCTTGCCGGAAAGCACGCTCACATCGACCACCTCAATCTTTTGCACCTCGGCAAGCAACAGCTGCTGCTGGAAGCTAAAGACAAACTGCTGGCCGACCGAGAACACGTGCGCGTTAAAGTTGCTCTTCAGGAAGGCGAGAATCGCAGCGCTGTCGAACGAGGCCTTGCGCGTCTTGTCCTTGGGTTGAAAGTCGAGCTGGATGGTCATGTTGCCAACCACAATGTTCTTCTCCTTGTCCGGGCGGAATGGCTCGACTGAAATCTCCTTGTCCAGCTCGAGACGCGCAAACTTGCGCTGGTGGAAGGTGAAACCGAGCTGTCGATGTGGCATTGCCGGGTCGACTCTGAGGCAGTCAGATCAGGTCAAGCAGAGCAAGTCAGAATGTGTTTCGCTGTTCATTGTGGTTGCTTTGATGGTTGCAACTCGAGCTCACAGGTCTCAAGTTTTGTCGAGACAGTTTATGTGTGTGTTTGTTTGCTGTATGCGAGCTCGACGTCAGTGTATGAGCGAACATACAATACAGGAAGGTGTGTGCGTCAGCGCTTTGACCGAACAGCGATTTACGCTTCTTCCTTAAACCCCATCGTCCTTTTTTTTCTTCCTTTCTTCCCTTCGTTCTGTAATCCTGACTCTCATCTTCACCGACACACAAACCGTCGATTCGTTCGCGATTTCAGTTTCCGGCGGTCCGTTGTGTTCATGCATTCAAACGCAGAGAGAAACGGTTCGATTTGAGATCCCTTTTTTTTTTTTTTTTTTTCAAACTTGTGACTCTCGCTCGTCTCAATGCGTCGTTGTCGTCGTCGTCGTCGTCGTCGTCGTCGTCGCAGTGATGACTGGCGTTTGTTCGCAGCAGGAGCAGTTGTTGGAGCTTACTTGAGAACAAAGGAGAACTCCTGGTCGGGCGTCGGGTGGATGGTAATGTACTTGACGTCGATGGGGAAGTCGCCTGGCGAGGCAATCACGCAGTTGGTCATGGCCAGCTCGTCGCTCGGGCACTTGCTCACAATCAGCTTTGTGCTCGCCATGGTTGGAAGCGGAATGCAGAGTCAGCCAACAAGTGGAGAGAAAAAGACGAGTGTGAAGAAATTCACAAAAAATTGGAATAAAAGGACTGACAAAGGAGAATCACAAACTGAGACAATAGCTGTCTCAGCCTGGTACACACGTACAACGACATTACAACTCGGTGCTACGAATTCACATCATTGAACCAAACCAAGCATTGTAATGCAAAACATCATTCAATCGCAGTCTTTTTCATTTTTTTTATTTTTTGTTTTTGTTTGTTTCGCAATGGGCAAAGAGCAGGATTTGCTGAAGGCGTCTGCCGAGGGCGACTTGAAGACCGTCCGCCGCATTCTCGCCAACCAGACTGGCGGCGTGCTTGGCAGCCTCATGAAGAAGGTGAGCAGGCTGACATTTTGGCCACCCTTCTCTCAAACACACACACAAGCAGCAGCGAGGAAGAGACGAACTGGCCTTTTTTTTTTTTTTTTTTTTTTTTTTTTTTTTTTTTTTTTTTTTTTTTTTGGCATCATTTCCTCCACTGCAATGAGCAAAGCAGAACACTTCATAGATTGACTGTGTTGAGTGATTGAGGTGTGTGCTATGTGTCGAGTCGTGACACTGAAGGGTTTGAGTGAGTGAGTGTGAGTGAGTGAGTGTAAGAGATTGGTGTGAAGCAATGCTTTTGGTTCTTCTTTCTCGCTCTCTCTGTCTCTCTGTCTCTCCCTCTCCCTCTCCTGATTCTTCTCTTTCTGTTTTCCTCCATCGATGTTCAATTTCCCCTTCAATGTCGAGTACCATCAGTCAATCGAGTACCACAATAGTCACCGCAATGAGCCTCGACTTGACTCCATTCCCAGAATATCCCCTTTTTTTTTCTTTTTTTTTTCGATCTGCCCCTCGCTCTTTGACTCTTTGTGCTGCATGTGTGGACACGCGACGTTTGATCTCCTCCAGTTGCAGTGCTTTTGGTTGATCGCGCTTCGTCTCCAGTAATGATCTCATTCCGTCCCACCGAGCCTTGGTTGTTGGAGGAAGAAACAATCCAAAAACACAAACAACAATCAAAAAGCCAAAAAGCCAAAAAAAAAAAAAAAAAAAAAAAAATACTGTTATTGTTTTCTTTTTTTTTTTTTCTTTTTTTTTTTTTTTTGTATGGATCGTTTGCATTTGCATTTGCATTTTGACTCTTACTCACTCCGTTGCTCTAACAGAACGACGACCTCGGTGCCTTCGAAATGCCAAAGGAAAAAATCCCGCTGCAGCACATTGCGATTGACTGCCGCGACGACGACAACTACACGCCAATGTCGCTTGCTGCGCTCAACGGCCACACGGACATTGTCGAGTTGCTCATCATGCACATGGCTGGTCTCAACCGCAAGGACAAGAACGGGTATGAGAGAGCGGCGGGTTGCCATGCGCGAGACGGGGGGGGAAATTCTTAGGGTGATTCGTGAACCTGACTCCTGACTCCCTCCCCCACACACACACACACATCTTGCAGAAACGCACCATTACATCTGGTCGCTGTCCAAGGACACGGTGCCATCATGGATCTGCTGCTCGCACACCAGGCCAAGGTGAACAACAAGAACAACACGGGCGACAACCCACTGCACTTTGCTGCGCAATACGGCCGCAGCCTCCTGATTGTCAAGCTTCTCAATGTAACGCACGCTTGCCTGGGCGCAAAACCTTGATCTTTTGACTGGAGAGAGCGAGGGTGGTCTGACTTGCTCTTTTTTTTTTTTTTTTTTTTTTTTGGGGGGGGGGGTGTTCCTCGAATGCTTCTAGGCTGGAGCCGATTTGTTGGACACCAACAACGCTGGAGAGACGTGCTTGGATGTTGCTGCTCGTTTCGATCGCCGAGAGACTGTTTCCCTGCTGATTGATACCGACCCGCGCATTCTCAAGTCGACCAAGGTACTTTTTTTTTTTTTGTTGTTGTTGTTTGTTGCTTTGTTGTTGTTCGTGTGTTGCTTGCTTTTCTGCACCAGCAGCTGTCTCACCCCGTCTCTGTCTTTTTTAAAACAGTCGCTGATCGACGCGGCCACAACCGGTCGCAAGGAGGTTGTTTCCATTCTCGTGAACGCTGGCATGGACGTGAACGCCACGGCGCCCGCGACTGGCTCGACTGCGCTGCATGAGGCTGCTCGTTTCTTCCGCAAGGAGATTGTCCAGTTCTTGCTTGATCACGGCGCCGACGCCAACATCCGCAACAATGCTGGCGAGACCCCGTTTTCGATTGTCCAAGCTTATCAGCAGGCCAAAGAGAACGACTTGTATCCCATTTTCATTCGTGCGTACTTTTCTTAGTGCTTGCGACAATGTACTGTGCTGCATCAGGTGTTCATTTTGTGTGTGTATTGCTTGTGTGATTGTTTGTTTGTTTGTTTGTTCTTGGTTTGCGTCGGGGAGCAGAAGCGCAAAACCGCCCTCCAGCAATCCCCGCAAGGCCAGGTCAGGCACCCCCTCTACCTTCGCGCCCAGGCCGCCCTGGCGGTGCGCCTGTGCCCGGAGGCGCTGCTGCTCCCCCACCAGTGCCCAAGAAGCGCACCAAGCGCTTCCCCATCCTCATTCCGGCCGAGACGTGGACGCAGAACACGGACAAGTACCGCACGCTGGCCGAAGGTGCCAACCGCGCGACCAACGTGCTTCTCGACGATCCGGCCAAGTACTGGGTTGCCACCTCTGCCACAAACAACTGGATTATTTTCGATTTGGGCGTCGAGTTCAACCTCACCGGCGTGCGCATTGAAACCATCTCGGACACACGGACGCCAAAGACGTTTGACATCCAGACTGGCAAATCACTGGCCGGTCCGTGGACGGTAAGCCCACAAATCACAAAAGCAAAAAATGCAAAACGCCACAAAACACCTTTTTGGGGGTTTACGGCATTGTTACTGACGACGACTTTCATTTTTTTTTTCTGTTTGTTTACAAAATTCTTGTTTTCGTTGCAGACCATCATGACCCACAACATTGACAACAAGGGTCCGACAGACGCTGCTGCTCGTGGCGAGTTCCAAGAGTTTATGGGCTTTGACGCCAGCTCGCAGTTCTGGCGATTGATGTTCAAGAACAACTATGGCGGCTTCCACACCTTGGTCAAGCAGATTCAATTCTTTGGTCTTGGTGAGTGCTTTTGGGTTGTGCGGCGTCCTCGTGTGATTTTTTTTTTTTTTTTTGGTTTTGTTTTTCGGGGAGTTTTTGTTGGCTCACGCACATTTTTCTCGTTGCTTTCGCTAGAGTGCCGCCTCGAGTCGTGGCTCACCGCTCTTGGCATGCAGCAATACTTTGTCAACTTCCTCGAGAACGACATTTCCCAACTGACTCGCCTTGCACTCATGTCGGAAACGGAGGTCAAGAACATTATCCAACTCGCCGGCCACCGCAAGAAGCTGATGATGGCGGTCAAGGAAATCAAAGACCAAGGTATGCTTCGTGTATTTTGTCGTCACTTGCCTTTTTTGCTGTGATTCGACGTGTTGCTGAATTTTTTTGGTTTGTTTGTTTGTTTGTTTCCCTTCTTTGCTTGGCTTGCGAATCTCCACACCAGTCTGCGCGCTCACCAAGCTCAAGTTCACCAAGATGCCATGCAACCACACATTCGACATGGCAGTCCTCCCGCCCTTCGAAGTCACCGGCGATCCCGGCAGCGAGGAGCAGATTGGCATTGTGGCTCACGGCGGCGCAATTGTCGGCGGCACTTCGTTGAAGCGCCTTGTGCCCGACGGCCTCAACCCTTCCAAAGTCGTCTTTGACGACATTACCTTGTCGCCCGCCGGCACCTATCTCCTCGAAGCGCAGGCGCTTGGCAACCCCGCTGTGCTGTGCCGTCAAGACAAGCCCATTGTAGTTGGTGAGGATTCGAGTTTGTTGGCTTTTTTTTTTGTTTTTCTTTGCTGTTGTGTGATGCGTTGCCTAATAAGTACTGACCAACGCATCCTTCCTCTTTCTCTGGTTGCTTGATTTCCAGAATTCCAACTCAAGGACAACTCGGCGCTCAACTCCATGTTTGACGATCTCGACAGCATGCTCAAGTTCTAAGCAGATGCTCTCCTGCTGCTTGTTTTAATATCCGCTCTTTTATTTCCTTTTTCCATGATCTCTTTTCTGTCTGTTTCTCTTCGACAACTCTCCGATGCTGTGAGTGCGTGTGCCTTATGACTGTTCAGAAATCACCACCACTTTTTTTTTTCATCATTTTGTCCTGTTTCTCTCGCTCCCTCAGCAACATCTCTCGTCTGTTTGAGCACTCCACTGTGCATACATATTCGCCCATATTCATATTCACCTGGGCCCCAAAAAGCAGTCAGGCTCACTCTGCCTTCTTGGAATGCTGCCCTCGTTGGCAAGGCAGCGTCACACTGGGCCATCCACACCGACACCAGCCAGCGCAAATCGCTCAGTTTTCCATGCTCCTGCTGGATCCGGCATTGTGCCCGGTGCTGGCGAAAGCGACTTTCTGAGCGAATCCGACCGTTTCGACCAATTTGGAGCAAGATCAGAATCCGAAGCGCAGCAGCACCCAGCGGAGGTCGCACTAATGCATCCAGCAGTCTCAATACATGCTCAAGACAGGCAGTCTTACTCGAGAGAGTACCAACACGAGAGTTCTGATGGCGATGACGAGGACGATGACCGATTTCGCAGCAGCAGAAGCGTCGGCGATCCACCCCAGCACGAGCAGAACGAGCAAACCCGCATGCAGGCAGCAGCGCTGCACCAGTCAAGAACCCATGGACGTAACAGCTCCAGTCACATGACGCAGGCGCTCCGCCAGGGTAGCCAAGATCGCAGCACGATTGGCTGGCTGGACCAGCCGTTGCACGACGAGGCATTCACGCGCCAGTACGAGTACGCGCGGTGCCGTCGACCCTCGAGGATTGCGCACGAAGCCATCCAAACACTGTCATTCTCAACATTGGTGCCTCCTCAGCTCACAATGCCCGTGGCAGAGCCGTCGTCGTCGTCGTCGTCGTCCGAAAAGACCTCGCGCCGTGCAACTCGATTTTTGGGGTCGCTCTTGTATGGACGGCACGCGACCTGGACGTGGTGCATCCTGGTCGCTCTCGCTGCGATATGGGTCCGTCTTGCAAGCATATCGACACCAGAGGCCGTCGTGTTTGACGAGGTGCACGTCGGTGGGTTTGTGTCCAACTACGTGAAGGGCAGCTACTTTTTCGACGTGCACCCGCCGCTGGCCAAGCTGGTCTTCACCCTCTGTGCGTGGTACACTGGGTATGATGGGACGTTCGATTTCTCGACGATCGGAAGACACTACTTTGAGCAGCCAAAGCGAGACGTTTTCATTGAAGGCGTCGACTCTGCTTTTCTGCCTGAAAAGTCGCAGCCGCCATTCATCGCCATGCGCACAGTGTCGGCGTTGGCTGGTGCACTGATCAGTCCCGTTGCGGTGCTGACGCTGCGCTTGCTCGGACGCTCCTTGCCAGCCTCGGTCGCAGCAGGTCTGCTTTTGCTTTTCGACAATGCCATGCACACCCAGAGCCGTGCCATTCTGCTCGACTCTCAGCTCGTTCTAGCGCTCGCTGTGGCGATTCTGTGCTGGGTTGCATTTGCTCGGCGTGAGGTGCAGCACCCTTTTTCGCCTCGATGGTGGTGCAGCATGGTTGGCTGCGGTGTCGCGCTCGCCTGTGCAATCAGCGTCAAATGGGTCGGCCTCGGGCTGTTTGCCGTGATTGCTGTCGACCAAGGCGTAGCCATGCTCCGGGCTTTGGACCTTACCGTCGACTTGGGTCCGGGCGATGCTGGTATTGGCCGAACAAACTATGTTCAGCGCGTTCGGCACTCGCTTCGACAATCCTATGACATCGCGGACACTGCGTTGGCCATGTCACGAAGCACAGCCCCTCTGTCGTATAGTGAGCGCAGTCCGCCATCGACAGCTGCGATTCCAACTGCTGCGCGAGTATCGGCGCACCTGCGACACTCCGAGCTTGCCGTGCACGTTTGGGCCCGAGTCCTGTGCTTTGCTCTCATCCCGGCTGTGCTCTACGTGTCTCTTTTTTATATTCACTTTGCGTTATTGCCACGGCCTGGCCCTGGGATGGCCTTTATGGGTATGTCCAAACGATGCATTTCGCGTTTTTTTTTTTCGTTTTTTTCCCGCTCTTCTGACCCTGCAATAATGGAACTTGCGTTTCTTGGATTTGGACTTTGCTGCACACAGACTCTGAGTTTCAAGCCTTCTTGCAAGCGAACGGTCAACAGCAACCAAGCGTCCCCAGTGCCGAAACTCGGCTGCTCAGTGGTGCCAATGTGTCCATCGGCTTGGCTGGCAACCGCCAGTGGCTCGCCCATCTCATCCAAAAGCCGTCGGGGGATGTCGCAGTCGGTGCCAGGTTTTACGACACGTACTATGACATGTTGCGAATACCATCGTTTCGGCTCCACAGCGCAGCCGACCTCCGTCTCGTGCAGGCTGATGCGCCCGACACCGGCCTGGGCATACATCCCGGAACAGAGCTTCGTTTGCAAGCTGGAACCAATCCGCTGTTTTTGAGTATTGTGCGAGGGCCAGACGGCGACACGAGCAAAGTGCACCTGGGCGGCGTCGCGTCTGCCGGTCTTCGCACAGCAGGCTGGCGATTCGTAGATGCCAACCAGCGCGTGTTGCCCCAGTCAACCCGGGATCGACGCAAATTGGACATGTCCGCAGCGTCGCCGATCATGTCACCGGTGTTTATCGAAAGCACCTTTGCCGACTGTCGCCTCGCCATTTTGGATGATTTGTCGCACGGCAGCTTCGCCTTGCCCGACCGCAATCTGACGTGCGTTCCCAAGAACTCGCTGTCTGCAACTATGTGGAGTGTATTTGCGCCCATTCGTGTCCGTGAGTATTCTAACGCAAAGTTAGAACTTTGCTTGTTGACTCTTCCACTCACCGCTTTTTGTCAACATCACCAGCGGCTTCAAAGCCATACTTTGTCCCAACGTTCTTCAAGCTACATGCTGCGATGTGGCGTGCAAATGCTAATCTAGCCAGCACGCACTCTTACGCGTCCAAACCAAGCTCGTGGCCATTTCTCGAAAAAGGTGGGTTGAGATGTACATCGTTGAATTGTTGAATCCTGCTTTTGAATGCTCACAAACACAACCTCCTCCCGTTTTTTTGTTGCTAGGAGTCAGCTACTGGATGCATCAGGGAAGACAAATCTACTTTCTGGGCAATCCAACCGTCTGGTGGCCAGCCGCAGCATCAGTGCTGGTCGTGTTGGGCATGTGGATGGGAACATACGTGATGCTCCTCATCAGTTTTATACTGCGTCGTCTTGCAAGTATGTCGACTGGTTGAGGAATAATGCGGCACGGACAAGCCACTGACCGTTTTTTTTCTCGTTTTTTTTTTTGTTTTGTTTTTTTGTCGCCGTTCTCCAACAGCGTACGGCCGACACTTGTTTCATTCAAGAATCAATGGCTTGACCTACTGGATGAGCACCGTGTGCTCGCCCGCCACACTGCTGCTTGTGGTGTTATACATTGTGCACTTCCTCCCGTTCTACGCATTCGGCCGCCAGCTATTTTTGCACCACTACCTGCCGGCGCTGTATGTTGCAGTGCTGACTCTGTGCTCGTTGCTCGACGATGTACTGGCACTCGTCGTTGTTCGCGTCGTTCAGATGCAGCACAATCCCGTGATGCATCTCGTCACAGAGTCTGCAGAACTCCGAGATGCTCTGACGCGGTCGACAGAGCGCCGCGTGCGCATCGTTCGCTTGCTGGTGTACGGAGTTTTGGTCGCAATGGCGCTCGGGACTTTTGTTTACCTGCTCCCCGTCACGAGTGGCTTTCCCATCGACATCCCCGCTGGGCTGAAGGCACGTCAATGGCGTGCGAGCTGGAACTTTCAGTATCTTGGATGAGCTAGAGCCGTGCGTTTTTTTCTTGTATATGCTGTTGTAATATAGATGGAATTCTGAATTGATCTTGAACTTGAACTATCGTAAAAGGACGTCGACATTTTAAAAAATTACTTGACAAATGCAACAAAATCAACAAATTTGACACCACAACACGCACACGCACAACTTGACCAAGGGATTGCGTCCTCCAAGTTACTCGAGGCAGCTACCGAAGCATTTCTTGGCAGCATCGCGAGCGTACGGAATGTACGAAAGGGCGTACCTGAATAAAGACACAACGGCGCACAAGTGTGAACAACGACGCGCCAGGAGCAAAAAAAGGAGGTTGTGCAAGCTGCAGCTGACTGTCATACCAAAACATGGCACAGAACTCGCAAATGACGAAAAGAACGGTAAGACCAACGTTATGCCACTGTGTGTGGGGGGGGGAGAGAAAATGCGTCAGCAAGTCAGCACCAAACCATCGAACCAACCAAAACAACACCACGTCAAACAAACTGCTCAAAAGCCGCCTACCCAAAGCGCGGCACAGAGCGTCAGGCCAATGAACAGAATCACTGCAATGGTCGCCCAGATGCGCTTCATCTCGAACATGTTCTTGATTTGCTTGACGGGTCCGACAAGGAAGCCAGTGCTGTGTCGAACAGCGTGAGACGACATACAGACTGCGCCGACAACAACAACGAGAATCTCGCATATCGGGAGCAAGCACTCAAGGTACCTCATCAAGGACAGAATATTGCCGGCCGTGTACGCCAGCGCGAACAGGGTAATCTTGCCAAACGCGAAGGCGATCGTTGACTGTCATAGAAAACACAAACGGTAAGCATGCCCATGCTCTCGCTTCACATCCAGCAGCAACAGCAGCAGCAAAGAAGTACCAGAATGGTCAGGATGAATCCTCCTGCAAAGCATCCGACAAAGCCATAGATGCGAGTGGTGCGACTGAGCGTGACGGCTTCATTTGCCTATCAAACACAAGCAATATTGAACAAACGTATCAAGATATGCATATATCAAAGTGAGTGAGTTCACCATTGGCTCACGAGGGAGGATGGGTTGTGGAGCGAGTGCACTGCCCGTTCGGAGCTCCCGTTCTCACCGCCTCGCACACTTATTGCTGTCGTCAACCTCCTCCAACTGACAGTGCGAGGATTCGCAGAAACCCAGTACAAGTCGGGAAATGGCGACCTGTGCTGAGGCACACAGGACAAAGGCGCGAAGTTGACGTGTGTGCTTTCGGCCTTCTTCTGCTGTTGTGACCCTGCAGCTCGCTGATCATCGAACACAGACTCTGACTGTCTTGGTCTTCCGTGGCTCGAATGCTGCAATCGAACGTCGTCCGGTGGCTGGGAGGGGGGCTGCAAACCAACGAGACAGTCTGGTTTTTGAAGGTCGCCGACTTCTGGTTTAGCTCTTTGCCCCCGCCCCGGACCGCACTGAGATGGGGAGCAAAGCAGCAGAACAGCCGAATGACTCTCTCTTGATGGCCCGTGGAATTCGGGTCAGGCGAAAGGGTCATCATGGAGAATCGTTGGGTACCTCAGACAGAATGCCCTTCTCCTGCTCGTCGTTGCTCGACAACAGTCCCTTCAGCGAGTTCATTGTATGATGGGGGAAACTAAGAAAATAGAAAAACAAGTATAAAACGAAAAAACAAAGACTGGGGCAATTGAGCGGATTGCAAACTGTAATGAGGCAGACACACACACACACACAATGGCTCAGAATTGAAGCAAGCCAACCTCAACTGCAACAATCGAAGTGGGACCAAAACCATTGTTGCTTTGAAGGTGGAGCAATTGTCTTTGATACGAATATGAATTTTAATCAGACAAACAAAAGCGGTACAACGAGCTGTTCAACGAGAAAGCGAAAAAAAGAGTTTCAGTAGTCATCTTCGCCGAGGCCGTATTGAGTGCGGCCGGCCTCAGAGTACCAGCCGGCAGCGCGCTCAAACCCGTTCTTGCGCTCTTGATAGTCTCGGATGGTTTGCATGATTTCCTCGCGCCTGTTGTGCAAAAGTAAAGAGCAAAAGTGAGCAACTTCCTTCTGATGCAAGCTTAGCGAACAACTGTTCGAAACGTACGTGTTCATCACGAATGGGCCGTGCTGCACGATGGGCTCGTTGAGTGGCTTGCCTGCAATGAGAACAAAATGGGCCGGCTCCTGTGAGAGAGAAGGGGAGATCAAACCGAATGGTAAGTTTAGCGCAAAACTGAAAGCCTGATCAACAGCAACAACCGCCTTCCTTACGTCTTTCGTTGAGAAGGTGACTCCGTCTGCCGACTCGTCGTTGTCGAGCAATACCGTGTGGAAGGGCTTCTCCTCACCAGCCTGTAAATTCCAATCACGCAAATCAAAAAAGTAAGATGTCGTCGTCGTTGACGGCAAACACATCCCCGCTCCCACTGTCATACCCCCAGTCACAACGCTTACACTATCGGCGGGGCCAAAGTACGCCTTGCCCGAGATGGTGAAGGCAAAGCCATTCCAGCCTTTTGGAATGGCTTGGTTGAAGGACGAGTTGGGATCAAGCTTAAAGTCGAGGTACATGGTCGGTGTGCGCGTATACACGGCGCTGTCAATGTCCATGGACGAGCCCGCAATGACAGTCACCGTCACGCCGTCCTTGGTGGCGACCGGAATGTCCTTTTTGAGGAGCTCTTGGTAGTTTGGCTCAATCATCTTGTCTTTGCGAGCCAGGTTGACCCACAGTTGCAAGCCCACAGACTTGGTCAGCGGCACTTCACTGTGGACAATGCCTCGACCAGCCGTCATCCACTGCAAGTCGCCAGCGTTCAGGACGCCCTTGTGGCCGGCGAAATCCTCGTGTGCGAACTTGCCTTCGAGCAGATACGAGACGGTCTGAGGTCCAGAGTTTCCGCATCCATCAAAAGAGCAAAAGATCAAATGAGTGGTGAGCTTCTTTGTTTTGGTTTTCCAAGTGGATCAACAAACCGCATCTCAGACTTGGCACGGAGAATTCTTTTTTGGAGCGGATCGCGACAACAAAAAAACCACACAACGGTTGCGCGCTTACCTCAAAGCCGCGGTGGGGATGGTCTGGGAAGCCTGCTGGAGGAACGCCCGTAAAGTAGTCCAGCATGAGGAACGGATCGAGGCGGCCGAGCTCGGGGCGGCCAATCGAGCGACGCACGCGCGCGCCAACGCCTTCGCCTTGCTCAACGCCGAGGATGCTCTTGACGACGCGGCGCGAGAGGAACTTGATAGGAGTGGAAAGAGCAGCAGACATGCTTGGTGGCTCTATTGCTGGAAGTTGAGAGGAGGAGGAGCTGGCCGTGTTTGATGACTGAGGCAAGATGGATGATGGTCGCGCAATGCCAAGTAGAACAGCGAGGATCAGGATGATGATGGCGGCTGTTTGAACGAGAGGCAAGGACGCGGTGCTTTTGCTACTACTACTACTACTGCTGGTGCTGGTAGTGCTGGTGGTAGTGGTTGCGGGTGTCGCTGCTGCTGCAGAGTCGGGTTGCTTGTTGGCGGAGGATATTTTTGTTGCAATGCGAACGTTGCTTCTTTTTTTCGGCAAACCTTCTCTCTCTCTCAGACAATGAGATTAGCAAACTGAAGGATGAAGAAGAAAAAGGAAGAGTGAAAGCAAAACAAGCCACAAAAATTGAAGAGTGAAGTGCGTTGACAAATTTTGAAAAGAGCCGTTTTTATACCAATCGCGGAAGAAAAAAAGCTGTCGCAAACAAAATTGCTGAGAATGACGCGAGCCGAGAGATTTCGCAAACCACGGATCAAAAGCGAAACGGAAGCTTGGACGAGCTGCTTCTCGTTGATTCGATCGAGCTCTGTTGACTCTATGAGCCAGGATTCAAGAGCGACCCCGACGTGGACTGGACGAAAAGCGGAAAGGGAATGGGTGTTGGGCGTTTTGTCTGTTTTCCGTTTGGCTCGTTGTTTGTTCTTCTGCAAGAGTCGCTCATCTTCCATCAAAACCCATATTACTATACTCTAGTATGAATGAGCATTCGCTGCTTGACACAGCGCTGGCTGCGTGAATGATGCTAGTTGGAGAACGACGAAACAGCGGCAACCGCTTTTTTTCGTTTTCATTTTTGGTTGGTTTGTTCTTCTACTGTAGTCGCTCTTACTCCATAAAGCCCCATACTACTGCACAATAGTACAAACGAGCATCTCGCTGCTTGACTGCATGACGTTTTCCAAAGGCTCACGTTGCTGAACCAAACTAATCCTGAAGCGATTTTTGGGTCCTTCAATTTGGTGTCCAAACCGCCTCTTTTGATCTTCCGATGTGGCAACAAAGTTCACACACTGCTTCGTGAAGAATCCCCCACCAGCCTTTACCCCCGAAACCCCTCGCCCCACGTGAAAACATAAAGTGCAGTCACAAGGCACCAGTGGCTGTTGTCAGGAATGGTGCCCTTTGGTCGAAGCGCTGCGCGCGGCTGTGTCGGTTGACTCAATTGAGTCCCCTTTTCGATTGTTGTTTTTGTTCTGCTTGTTCGGTTTTGATTGTTGTTGTTTTTGTTGTTTTGAGGTTTTGAGTTGGTTTTTCGGCTTTGCGGATTCCATTCAACTTTAGCCACTTGCACCTCTCCGAACTGGCTTGGAGCGAACAAGTATTTTGGACGACATGTTGTAAGCTTGAACTGGCTGTTCGCATCAGTGAGCTGTTGTGTGGATGCTGTTCCTTGTGACATTGGCGATCGGATTCGTGCGCAAAGTGGATCATAATCGGTCGTGATCAGAAAAGGAATCGAGTTCAGAAACCAGTCCCCAAATTACAAAACAACACGAAAAAGCTACTTTGCTTTGCGAATTTTTGGTAACAAACAAAAAAGCAGAATTCCTTGAAAAAAAACAAACTGTTGGTCATCCGTCTTTATTTTGATCGAGCGCAGTCGCAGTAGCACAGCACATCGAGGCACAGGCAAAGGGGGGTTGGGGGTTGAGGCGGGGTTGGCAACTCTACACCGCACGCTCCCGACTCTCCCCGAACTCACTCACTCATTGTGTTAGGAAGTGCCTTGTGAGAATTTTCTTATCCTTATTTGAGCTGATCTGCGGGTTTTTCTTACTTGACTCCAGCTATCAGTTTCCGTTCAAACACGTTTCTCCCTCAACCTCATTAGCTCTTTGGGGAATTGTGACGTTGTGGGTGTGTGGCTGGGCCTTTTCTTTTTGTCTTTCACGGTCGCTCTTCTTCTGCGCTGGCTCTTCGCTTTGTATCTCTGCCACAAAGCCTTGGACAACGAATTTTCCATGAATCGACTTTCGCCGTTGAGTCGGTTTTTTTTTTTTTTTTTTTTTTTTTTTTTTTTTGATTCTGTCCGTGATTTTTTTTTTTTGTAATTTTTTTTTTTATTCCTGTTCGATTTGATAAGCAACTGCAAGAGAGAGTAATGACACCGTCGATAAGGGCAACGGGTGGGGGGTGCACTGGAGTACCCAGAGTGCGAGAATGGCTGGAAGACTGGTCGGATGGATGTGTAGATGTATGGATGTACGGAAGTACCTGATCTGGTTGTTTTGCCTTTGTTTGTATTGATTTTTGAGCTCACAACCGTTTTTGTAGTTCAGTAATTTTTTTTTGTTGTTGTTGTTGTTGTATTGCAGTCATCAAATTAAATTCTGTGCATTAGACAAAACCGCCGGCCGGGTATTTCTGAGGTAGGGCCCCGCTTTGAACGGGTGGTGATGTGATGTTTGTGCTTGACACCGCAATTGACACCCTCACCTCGCAATAACTCTCCGTTTGTGGTTTGAATTTTGTTTGCACGTGAAGATTACCACACCCCCAAATTGAAACCAATGGCTTGTCGGCCTTTGCTATTGCTGGCCGTATTGGCCTGCATTTTTACCGTGCCCGCTGCCGCGCAATGCAGCAACACTGGTGCCGTGGCAAATGTTGCTGCCATCCAGACTTTGCTCAACAATGCAGCCATGACCACCATCTGTCTTCCCGCACAAACCTACGCCTTCGGCTCTTCCGGTACCCCGTTGACGATCACTCGCAACGTGAATATTGTGGGCACAAACACAATCTTCACGATTGGCTCCAACGCGGCTCGGTTTTTCACCATATCAGCCAACCTCGCACTGGTCAACATTACCGGCCTGACCCTCGATGCAACAGGCTCTTCATACACAAGTCAAGGCCGGTGCATTTCCGTTGCCGCTAACACCCGTTTAGTTCTAGGGAACACCAAGTTCATCGGTGCAGCGTCGCTTCAAGGCGCGCTATATCTGACATCAGGTTCCAGTGCCGAGGGTACCGGCCTTTCGTTCTCTGCCTGTGGATACTCTTCGGGACTTTTCGGCTCTACTTCATACGGCAGCGCAGTGTATTTGGAAGGGTCGACAACATTCACTTGTACTGGCTGCACGTTCAAGGACAGTGTGAATGGATACAATGTTTACGGCGGTGCATTTTATCTGGCAACCAAGTCGTACGTTCGGATCTATGATTCAACATTCAGCACCAATGCCGCAGGCTACGCTGGTGGAGTCGCCGACGTGGAGAACAACTCTGTGTTTGAGGTTTTCAACTCGAACTTTACTGGAAACTTTGCGGATACAGACAGCAGCGGCGGTGGCGTGGTTTACGCAAAGGATGGCACCAGCGTTTGGTTCCAAGGTTGTAACTTCATGAGCAACTCTGCCAAGGGTCAATCAGGAGGCGTTATTTTTGCTGGCGCGACGGCAAACATTACCTTGCTTCAATCCACATTCACCACCAACACGGCGAGCTCATATGGTGCAATCGTCTACACTGGGACGCAACCTTCCATTAACATCATCGGATCGACATTCTCCTCCAACTCGGCGACAATTGGTGGAATTGTCTACACTGGTGGCACAGCCTCCATTACGATCAGCGGATCAACATTCACCTCCAACTCGGCGACTTCTTCAAATGGCGGTGTAGTGTACACCGGTGCTTCTCCTTCCATTACTTGCTTCAATCCACATTCACCTCCAACACGGCCAGCTCAAACGGCGGAATCGTCTACACTGGTAACACAGCCACCATTACGATCAGCGGATCGACCTTCACCGCCAACAAAGCGACGAGTGCCGACGCTGGCGTTCTGTACGTCGGAAACGGCGCCGGCATCATCATTGACAATTCAACGTTTACCTCGAATACGGCGTACACAGACGCTGGTGTGATTCGCACCGGAACCACGTCCCAAGTCACCATCACATCCAGCACCTTTTCCCAAAACTCGGCTTCGGGCGCTGGTGGTGTGTTCTTGCTGGAAGGCGCAAGCTCCGCGGTTGTTGCGTCCGACACCTTGTTTTACAGCAACCAAGCCATCAGCGGTGGAGTTTTGGATATGATTTCAAGCAACACTCTGCGCGCATCCTTCTTCCGCTGCAACTTTACGGCAAACCTGCTCTCGTCTGCGTCCGGTACTGGCGGCACAGTGTTCCGCGTTCGTAACAACCAGATTGTTGTCGTGGATACAACCTTGACCGGCAACGTTCGCGCATCGACCACGAACAATGTTGGCATGATTCAGGTGGATTCAACTGGAAGAGTCGGTGTCGTCAACTCGCAGCTGTCGGGCAACAGTGGCACCAAGCAATTTGATGCTCTTTTGGCGTCAGCTACCCTGCTGACCTTGGGCGCGAACATTACTCCATCCGGCACGACAATGATTAACGAGCCAAATCTTGCCGCGTATTGCATCGATTGCAAGGCGATCGCTCCTTTCCTCTGCACTGCTGTTCCAGCTTGCGCCTTTGTGTCCTCGTCGCGAGTTATGACACCGACATCCTTGTTGTCTTCGGCAACGCCTTCTTCTGCCACTCCATCGTCTGCTACGCCATCAGTGACGCCTTCGTCTGCCACTCCTTCGTCCGCCACTCCATCTGTGACGCCTTCGTCCGCCACTCCATCTGTGACGCCTTCGTCCGCCACTCCATCTGTGACGCCTTCGTCCGCCACGCCGTCGGTGACGCCTTCGTCTGCCACTCCGCTGTCCGTCACACCGTCTTCTGACACTCCATTGGTCGAGTCATCCTCCGCGATTCCCGCTTCGGTCACGCCGTCCTCGGACACCCCCTCGCTCACACCGTCCTCTCACACTCCCCCTGTGGTCGAGTCGTCGGCTACGCCTTTGTCATCCGATACACCAGTGTCTTCCCATACGCCAGTGCCATCCGATACACCCCTGTCCTCTGCGACACCTTTGTCATCCGATACACCTCTGTCTTCTGCGACACCACCCCTGTCCTCTGCGACACCAGATTCGAGCGAGACGAGCTTGCCTGAGGCCTCGAGCGCCACCCCTTCGTCCCATTCCGTGCTTCATTCTCAGACTCCCGTATCGTCCACCCGCGTGGCTACATACACGGGCGTCGGGCCCAACAGCCAAGGAGCATCGTCCAACAACACTGCCATCATTGGCGCGGTTGCGGCTGGCGTGGTGCTGCTCGTGCTGCTGTGCCTGTTCCTGGTTGTGCATCGCCGTCGTCGCCAAACCAAGTCAAAGCGCAAGTCACCCTCGAGCGATATCGAGCTCTCCCATCAGTTTGAGATTCACGGCAATCCGCTTGCGTATGCCACCCATACAAGCGACGCAGCGGGCGCGGATGGCAATGAGCTGTACAACAATCCGTTGTTTGCCAACCCGGTGTACGACGACCTGTCGGCCACCGCAGCCACGAAAACGTACGACGAGCTGATCGGCACGGAATCGACCTACGACACATTGGCCGGGGCCTCGACGTACGATAGCTTGCACGCCCCTGCATACGACAAGGAGCAGGAGGCCTTGTATGGCAATGTCGATGCTCCAGCAGCAGACGTTGGCCAAGCAGACTCTGGCCAAACCAACTATGCCAGCATCGTGCAGCGCGGCTCGCAACAGCTCGATCCCGTCCCGTCTGGTTCGGATGGAGGTTCGCAATCCAACTCGACTCTTCATTGATGGTGAAGATTGTGCGTGTTTTAGTGCTCACCCTGTAGATATCCAACTGCGATTGCCTCTGTGCATTGGCGATTGACCGTCTCTTGTTTTTTTCGTTTGTCTGTCTGTCGTTGTTCTCTCTTGTGTATACTGTAATTCACGTTGTTACTTTATTTTAAACAGACTTTTTTGTGTGTGATTGTTGAGTGACAGCTTCTTTGCATTGCAAGAGTAGCGGGGAATTGCAGGAGAGGAGCAGTGGATGGAATTGCACTTGTTGATTTTACCCAACCTCTGTCTTGCAGTTACGGCCATATCTGGTGGAATGCACCGCATCCCGTTCCGCTCTGCGAAGTTAAACCACCATGAGAGTAGTTAGTACTGCGGTGGGAGACCACGCGGGAATACTGCTTGTTGTAACTCCTTTCTTTTTGTTCCTGCCCGCTTTTTTTTTTTTTTTTTGGTTTGTTTGTTTGTTTGTTTGTTCTTTCTTGCATTCAAGGTTGAAGCAATTTCGCACTATGAATCCATCCAGCCAATGTATTGTAGATAGTCTAGCTCCGCCGCTTCACGCAGTTGCTTCGGTTCCATCTTCTGGCTAGCTTGTCGTTCTTGTCGCCGTTGTTCAGAATTCCATCTCATGTACTCAGTTTCTGCTTTTCCCTCACTTTTCGTTTTCATTCTTTTTATTTCTTTTCTTTTTCCCCTTGGTTTCTCAGATCCCAAATCAAATGGCAAAGGCAAAGAAGGAAACAGCTCCCACCAAGGCGAGCACGCCCATCCAGAAGCCCGCCACCGCTACCGCCACCGCCACCGCCATCGTCGCGCCATCTGCAAGCAAACCCGTCACTCCATCGTCTTCTGCTGCCGCGTCCGCCAAGCCAAAGAGCAACGGCAGCAGCACCGCGACGGATTCGAGCAAGCCAGCCGTCCATGTGGCGCCAGTCAATCCCAAGCCAAAGCAAGCCACTGCGACCACGACTGCCGCTGCAACAACGACCAAGCCAGTCACAGCCAAGCCCGATGCTGCTCAGCCGACCACTGCCAAGGCAGCTGGCCCGACTGATGCCCTCGCAAAGATGTTCAAGGTGACAAGCGTGGCCGTCCCAATCGTGCCCATGGGCATGCCCGTCCCCACTCCAAAGCAACCAGCGAAGGCTGCTGCCAACGCATCTGCTGCCACCACTACTGTTGCTGCTGCTGCTGCTACGGCGAACGGTGCGGCTCCAGCGCAGACCGAGACGAGCGCCCTTTCCAAGAAGCAGGCCAAGAAGGCGGCTGCTGCTGCCAAAGCCATCCAATCCGCAGGTGCAAACGCCGTCCAACCTGCTCCACAACTCATGGCGAGTGTCGCTGCTGCTTTCAAGAAGGTGTGTGTCCCTGCTCGATTCCTTACAGTGACAGTTTCCGCCTCTCACGCACTCGTTGAATTTTGCTTGCTTGTTGGATTGCTCACCCCTTTCCCACGAGATAGGTCACCCAAAAGGCGATCGCACAGAAAAAGAAGGAGACCCAGTCTGCAGGCAACAAGTTCCGTGCCCGCAAGCCCAATCAGGCCGCAATCGCGCGTGAGGAGGGCAAGACTGGCTTGGCTGCTGCCGTCGTCCGCAGCAAGCGCAGCGCATCCGAGGCTGATGAAGGGCAAAGCGGGTCTGGCAAGGCGACCAAGAAGGCGCGACGAGCCGACGGGGACGAGGATTCGGAGGTCGATGGTGGCTCTGAAGCTGAGGAAGATGGCGATGATCAGGACGACGACGACGAGGCGGAACGAAACGACCCTCAACGTGCCGAACGCACGCTGTTCTTTGGCAACGTGGATGTGAACGTGACAGACAAGGTGCTGCGACGATTGTGCGCGCCGTTTGGTGTTGTCGTGTCCGTCCGCTTCCGCTCGGTCGCCTTCATCAGCCCCAAGCTCGATCGCAAGGTTGCTTTTGCTCGCGGCAAGCTGCACCCAGAGCGCCACGTCATGAACGCGTATGTTGTCATGCGCGAAGCCGCTGTTGCACGGCGGGCTGCCCTCGCTCTGAACGGCACTGTTCTGGAAGGCAAGCACTTGCGTGTCGACATTGCCAGCAACTCGAACAAGCCACACGACCACCGAAAGTCTGTTTTTGTCGGCAACCTGCCCATGAACGCCGAGGAAGAGGCTCTGTGGGAGGCGTTCGGCAAGTGCGGCGACATTGCCACCGTCCGCCTTGTGCGCGACGCCGAAACGAACGTCGGTAAGGGCTTTGGCTTTGTCTCGTTCAAGGATGCCGCCAGCATTGACCTGGCCGTGCGTCTGCACGAGATTGCCGAAATTGGCGGCCGCAAGCTGCGTGTCACCCGCGCTGGCAGCGAGGCGGTCATGAAGAAGAAGAAGGAAGAGAACGTTGCTCGTCAAGCCGAGGATGCGCGACGAAAGCAGATTGCTATTGCTCGCAAGGCTGCGGCCAAGGGCTCCAAGTCGGCCAAGCTTCGTCTGTCCAAGGTGCTCGAGACACAAGGAACACTCCGTTCGCGCTCAAACGGCGCGCCGGGTGCCGCCTCCGCAGGCCAATCCGGCGGCGCTCGAGCTGGCGGTGAGCGCTACTTCCAAGGCGCTGTCGCTGTTCCAGGATCCGTCCCCAAGACCCTTCTTTCCAAGGCCCAGCAACAGCAACGAAGACTCAAGAAGGTCCGCACCAAGACGCTCACCAAGAAGTGATTATGTTTTGTTGCGCAATGGTGTTGTTGGTCGTTTTTTTCAATTACAAAAGTTCTACCCTGCGATTCATCGATTGTGTTTTTGTTTGTTTGTTTGTTTGTTGTCATCTCTGAGAATTTTTGTGGGCCACTCTCTTTTTGACCGACACCACAAACACCAACCGGTAAACAAAACCAATGTCATCGGAAGAGATTGAGCGAGTGCGCGCTGAGGCTCGCGCTGCCGAGGCTGCGCTGCTGAAGGCCATGTCTGAAGGCGGCGGCATGTCGTTTGGCTTCAATTCTCCTGCCGCGCGTGCCACGGTCGCCCCGGCTGCTGCGAGCAAGGCGACGACGAGCGAGGTTGACAACGGATCGACTTTCTACAACTCGCCCAAGCTGAGCTTTGTGGGCGGTCCTCCTCCCTCTGCTGCTGCTGCTGCTGCTGCTGCTTCGTCTGACGGCGCTGCTTCGGATGGTCGCAAGTCGCTCTCAAAGTCGGGTATTCTGATGGTAAGGATCACTGAGCCTGAGCCAGCGATTCTATGCAAGGAGTATTTGAAAAAAAAAAACGATACTCAACTTTGATCATCATCGTCATCTAACACACAAACAGCTCGACAGCGATGACGAAGACGAAGACGAAGACGAAGACGAGGAGGAAGACGAAGAAGAAGGCGAGGAGAAAGCCGAGGACGACAAAGACCAGGGCAAGGAAGACGACCAAACGGATGACGACGACGACGACGAGGCCAGCACGACCAAGGACGAAGCGCCCGCGAGTCAGACCAAGAAGAAGCAGGAAGCCGAGAACGACGATGCTGATGAACCTGCTGCTGCTGCTGCTGCTGCTGAGGCGGATCAGGAAGAGGATGATGGCGCTCGGTAAGTTGCCCCAGTAACAAGGGCAAGAATAAGGGCGAATCTCTTGTGGTTTTGGTTGATTTGGGTACCCTGCTTGTTCCACGTTGGGTGGGACGGGCGATCGAGTGAAGCGCAACTGCTACGAAAGCAGAGGACGAGGGAAGATGGACGAAAGCGGACGGACGGACGCGGGGAACGAATGAGATTCAAAATCCGAAAAGGACCTAAACAACAACAACAGAACCAAAACAAATCCCAAAAAAAAAAAAAAAAAAAAAAAATCTGAATCTAACAATTTCAACATCACAACCAACCAAAGCACTATGGAAGGTTTGAGATGGGAAGGCGGGGGATGGGGGAATCCAGCGACCTCGTTCCGGTGGGATGCGAACGACTTGAAACTCACCTCTGGAACCATCCCCGTCCCTGGAACTGCAATCATATCGCTCAATCTCTTTGAAATTTTTTGGACTCGTTTTCAGAAACACCACCGTCATGGCGGACCAGCTCGAGGACTTGTACACACAGTTTGCATCGCGCACGCAGTACCGCCTGGCGCAGAACGCGGTCGTGTCGCACAGCATCCGCGACGTTGCGCTCAACCACTCGGTGGTGCAGGCGAACGACTTTGCCTTCTCGGTCAACGTCCACGTCTCGGCAGGCGTGACCCACCAGCATGCCTCGGGTCGCTGCTGGCTGTTTGCCGCGCTGAACATGCTCCGGCTTGGCACCATCAAGAAGCTGGGGGTGAGCGACTTTGAGTTTAGCCAAAACCACCTCTTCTTCTGGGACAAGTTTGAGCGCTCAAACTACTTCCTCGAGGCCATCATCAACACTGCCAAGCTCCCTGTCACTGACCGCGAGGTTGCATTCCTGCTCGACCAGCCCCTTTCCGACGGCGGCCAGTGGAACATGGTTGCCGCCTTGATCAAAAAGCACGGCCTCGTGCCAAAGAGCGCCATGCCCGAGACGTACAGCTCGAAGCACTCTCGCGACATGAACTCGCATCTGAACGCTCGTCTTCGTGAAGGTAGGTGAACTGTCGGGCGGTGGTCTCGGTTTTTGTTTTTTGTTTGTTTGTTTGTTTTCTTGTGCTTTCGAAGTCAGAGTAACTCACCAAACTGTTGATGCGCAATAGGCGCCAAGGTGCTCCGCTCGCTAATCATCCGCGGTAGCGACGAAGAGGAGCTGCAAGACGCCAAACACGAGATTCTCTCCACCATTTGGCGCATGTTGAACATTCACCTCGGCACACCTCCCAAGAAGATTGACTGGCAATGGCAGGACAAGGAGCACAAGTTCCACAAGGATGGTGTGCTCACTCCAGTCGAGTTTGGACACAAGTATGCGGGCGCCGACCCGCAAGACTATGTCTGTCTTGTGCACGACCCGCGCAAGACATCGCCCGTCAATCGCACGTACACTGTCAAGCACCTCGGCAATGTGCTTGGCGAGCCACCGGTCAAGTACCTCAATGTCGACATTTCCGTCATCAAGGACTGCGCTCGCAAGGCCCTGGAGGCTGGGGAGCCCGTGTGGTTTGGCTGCGACTTTGGCAAAATGGTCAAGCGTGACCTTGGCCTGTGCGACAAGAACTTGTTCGATGTGAGACCGATGATTGAGCAGGCGCTTTTGGTTCTTGGCTTGTTGCTTGCAGGAGGAATAAGGGTGGCTTGGTTTTTTTTTTCTTCTTCTTCTTCTTCTTCTTCCTCTAACTTGCTGGTGCTCGTTCTAGCTTGATGGCGTTTATGACACCAAGTTTACGCTGTCCAAGGAGGACCGGCTCGTCTACCACGAATCCAAGATGACCCATGCCATGGCCTTCACCGGAGTTGATATTGCAGATGGCAAGACTCGCAAATGGAAGGTCGAGAACAGGTAAGGGCCCGTTGTACTTTTGCCAAGTTTGAGATGGCTGGAAATCTCGAGTCCGTCATACCCACGGCTGCACTTTTTTTGGTCTTTTTACGTTGCTGGGACTTTGGCAGCTGGGGCTCGTCGGACGTTGGAAACAAGGGCTACTGGGCCATGACCGACAGCTGGTTTGACGAGCACGTGTTTGAGATTGCTGCGCGCAAGTCCTTCCTCAGCAAGGAGCTTCAAGCTGCGCTGGCCACCGAGCCCATCGTCCTGCCGCCCTGGGATCCCATGGGTGCCCTGGCCACCGATGAGGCGATGCTCTAACTTGCCACGTTTAGCTAATTATTTTTTTTTTGCTTTGCTGTTTTAAGTTTTTCCATCCCTTGTGCGCAAGAGATCTGGAATCGGCTCACAATCACCCGTCTCTTGCCTATCGAGGCCAGCTGGATTGGTGGTTTGTTTTTGTTTTTTGATGTTGCGCTAGATCTAACTGTTTGTTTTTTCGCTTGAAATTTATTTTTCTCAAATTCGATCAGTGTTTCTCAGGTGTGATTTGCAGAGAGAGATGCGCTGTACACTATTCACAAATTGAATTGAAACTAGAGCAGAAATGGCCAACTTTTTCATGCGTTCTGCAGCTGATGCTCGCGATCGGTCAGCGGGACGTAGATGACACCCATGAGGTGCTGCGTCACGATTGAGCCGTCAGGCAGTTTGTCAACCTGCTCGAGTGATTGTCCGAAGGATTGGCCGACGGGGATGACGAGACGACCGCCGGGTTTCAGTTGATCCACGAGCTGTTGCACAAATTCGAGAGTCAGATTTTTTGGTTTCAAGAGGTTCGGAGGCCTACGGCTTGGTCCACAGGCTCCCAACTACGCAACAGCACACTCACACTTTGCGGGATGGTGGGTGCAGCGGCTCCGACATGAATGGCGTCAAATTGGCTCCCAGAAATGCCGAGTCGACCGTCGCCGACGACAATTTCGATTCTCCCAGCTTCAAGCGCCTCGTTATGGTGGCGCTTGAGGTTGATGAGCGACATGTTGACCAGCTCCGGGATGTGCTCGATGCCGACCACCTTGCCGGCCGGCCCAACCTGCAATTTATTTTGAAGCGCAAGATGTTGGTGTTTGTCGTATATCATTGCGGATTTAGGCTCTCCTACTGTGCACGTACCATATGAGCCATGCAAGCGCAGAGATAGCCACTGCCAGATCCTACATCAAGAACGCGCATGCCTGGGCGAAGGTGACCTTTGAGGAGTTCGAGCACATGTGCGTGCTGAACGACCGAAAGCAAGGAGAAAGGTGAGCATTGTGCAGGAGCAGCCTACAAACAGTTGTCGCCTTCGTTCGTACCATATGCGGTGCGGAGATCGTAGCTCCATGACCTGCGTCGAACAACAACAACAACAAAAGCAATACGACAACGAATCAGCATTGGGATGAACGCCAGCCCCACATTGAGCAGACCAGAACCATCCCTGATACACTCTATATTACCAATGGGTTGTGGAGAGTCTTGGTATGGTTGTGTGAGGGTGAAATCGCCTCGATCAACGGCACGCATGGCGGCTTCGACCTCGGTTGACACGATAATGCCGTTTCCTATCAAAAAACAATGTCCAAACAGCGCCAAAAAAAAAGTGCAAGCATGCTATGAGCTCTTCGATTTTGACATGTCTCAGCTTGTGCGATACGCAACAAACAACGCAACGTTAGCAGTGGCAGTCATCAGTTTTACGCTGGAGAGCATCCACGAGGCCGTCGTTGGTCGTCCCGTGCGATCGCCACGCCATTTTCAGAGATGACTTTGTGCTGCGTGAAGCGGTGTTCTGACTGGAGCAAGCCTTGGCGAGGTCGGCGGACTCGGCGGCGCTGCGGGCGTACTTGCCACTATTGCTGTTGCCAAATCGCAATTGGCGTGGTTGCAGTGCACTTGACGGTGCGATCGAGGACACGAATGCAGCGGCTGTCGATGCAAGCAGCACTATCCGAAGCGGAGTGGCGTTGCGTCGATGACCGTGGAGGGTGGCGTGAAGCACGCTGCTGCTGCTGCTGCTGCTGAGACTGGCTGAGCGGAGGAGAGAATGAGCCAGGTTTGGGAAGGGAAAAAACAAAAAAATGGAGACTGCGCTTTCTGAGCAGTATTCTAAAATGGGGGAGAGCTTTCACGCCTGTTGGCTTTGCACGATTCGGGTGTTGGTTGAGCGAGTGAAGACCAGCAGCACCCTCACCAACGACGTGATCAACACTCGCTCATACAGAAACGCGAATCCAATCAATCTACTATAGCTCTAGGAAAAAGGCAAACGTACCTGATCCAGAGCCCATGACTTTGACACAAGGATTGCCAGTTGTTCAGCCGACCTGAACCAGCTACATTCACTCGTGCAGATCCGGTACTGCAACTCTCAACTACGGATTTCTCTCAAACAGAGAGCCATCGCCAACTCAATGTCCACTCGTGCTGCAGTAATCTGATTCGTATTCGAAACGCGGATTCAGGCAATATGAGAATCGACTGATTGATCAGTCCTTTGTTTTAAGCTCCTTTTCTTTTTCTTTCTTTCTTTACGTTTCGTTGCAACACACACAAAACACGGCAACCTTCGAACAGCCGCGCTTTGACGGGGTTGTGTGTCTCTTGTGTGTGCGTGTGTGTGTCTTTGAGTCTGATTCACTTGCGCGGCGTTCGGTTGCTCTGAGGCGGGAGGAGACACAAAACGAAGAAGAAGAAGATAGACGACAGCACGAATGGCGTCCAGCGTTGCCAAAGCATCGCCCGTCAGCAACCCTGGCAGCGCCAACCAGACTGGATCCGCCAGCAAGCTGATCAAGGACCACTACATTGACATCAAGGTCGTCGAGGCGCGCAACCTGCCAGGTCTGTAACGCTGACCATAAGCATTCGCCGATTGTGATGCTGAAGGAGTGCTTCTCTCACTCCCGTCTCTCGTTCTCTCGTTCTCTCGCCACCGCGTTCGGCATTTTTCGGGTGTGCGGATCGCTTCCCTCCGTTGTTGATGCTGCAAAATCCAATCGCTTTTTGATGTTTTGTGACTGCTGCTTTCGATTGAGCGCGTTTTCGACCTTTTTTTTTTTTTTTTCTTCGTCTTCTTTTTTTCGACCTTTTTCTTTTTTGTTTCTGTTGTTGTGGAACAAAAAAAAAAAAAAAAAAAAAAAAAAAAAAAAAGTGTCAACTTTTTCGTCTTTTTTTTTTTTTTTTTTTTTTTTTTTGAACTGCGGTCTGGTTTCTGGTTTCTGGGTCGTGTGTGTGTTTGGATGGATGGATGAATGGATGAACGAGTGATTGAGTGAGTGAGTGAGTGAGTTGATTGAAGGGGATTGAGGGGGGATTGAAGCGGGAAAGCTGGGCTGCGGTCGAGGCGAAACACCAATGCTTTTAGGCTTATAAGGCAGCTTACTGGAGTCACCAACTTGGACGAGAAGGGGGGGAGAGGGAGAAGAGAGCTCGCTGGACTGGTGTGGCTGTGCAGTGAAGCATAGGACGAAACACCAGCAGAGGCGAGGCAGAGCGAGAGACAGCGGCAGAGCGTGCAGCTTGTTAAGCAGTCAGTCAGTTAGTCAGTCAAAGCCAGGTCCTGTTCCGTCAGGTCATCACTCAAAACACATCAACTCGTCAACTCAACGTCCACACCATCGAAAGTACGGGTGGAAATTGAGGTGGTGTTTCAGGGATGTGTGCGCGTTTGAGAGCGACACAAGAGGTGTTAACAGTCGCTCGGTCTCAGATTTTTGGGTCTCAGAATACTAAAAACTCTTGTAGATGGAAGCTCTGCTTTGCTCCATCCTTTCATGACACTCAACTCGATCTTTGGTTTGCCTTGCTCTTGTGAACAAAACAACAGGCCTCCTGCAATCATGCTTTTGCACGGTAAGGCTCAATCGCAACGAGGCCGGTCGCACGCCGCACATCTCTGCTGGTCGACGCATCTCGCTGGGACGCATGAAGGATGCCGCTCCGTCAAAGGGCAACTCAAACCCTTACTGGGGCACCGATTTCCACTTTGAGCTCTTCCCAGAGTTTCACGACATTTCCGTTGTCGTGTGGGACGCCCGGCGCAAAGCAGACATTCCCACTGGCCAAGTGTCGATTCCAAAGGCCGTGCTGCAGGCGCGCACAGGCCATGTGCCTGTCGAGCAGTGGTACAAGCTCAAACCCGCGACCGACGAGGACCGCTTGCTTGGAGACATTCATCTGCAAATTGTGTTTGTTCCTGCGGCCAGTAGCGGCGGCGACCAGGCCACTGCCGACGATGCCTCCGCGGGTGTTTTGCGCGTCAAGGTGCTCGAAGCGCGCGATCTCTTTTACGGCGGCCGAGGCAACAGCGGGACAATGAAGCGCAAAATCACCGACATCAACCCCGTCGTGTCTGTCGCCCTGATTTCCCCAGTGCCAGGCGCCAGTCCGGTCGAGCACCGAACCCACCAGTTTAAGGCCAACGACGCTCCGACGTTTGACGAGCTGTTTGAAATTCCCGTGCGCAATGCCGACCTGCTCTCGTCCCTCCATGTCACTGTTTTGACCACTCCGAGCGGTAAAAGCAATCACGGCACGATAGGCCCCGGCGGGACAGTCTCGTCGCTGTCTGCAGTGATTAGCCGCGGCGAAGCTGCGATGGGGCGCATTGTTTTGCCGCTGGCCTCGCTTGAGCGAGGTACAGTGTACGACCACTGGTACGCCCTCTACCCAGCCATCGACGCTGGCAATGGCTCGACACCTCCGCACACACCAGGTCTATCGCCCAGTCCAGCGACGTCGCCTCTCGCTCCGAGCTACCCTACTCCAGGCGAAACCTCTTCTGGAAGTGGCCCCACCCGAAGCAACGGGTCACCGGCCCCGCCTGGCCTGGACGAAGGACCCATGATTCGGCTGCGACTTTCCTACATTGAAGAAGGCGTGCTGCCCGTGAGCGAGTATTCCGAGTTTGTCGACTTTTTCCTCAACAATCGGCGGCAGCTTGTTTTGGCGCTTGATGGTGTGACCAGAGACCGTTCGGAGACTGGCCAGCGTATTCTCGATCTCATTGGCACCCGGCGGTTGACACGAAGCTTTCTGAAGGAAATGATGGAGGTGCAATTTCGCTCTGCCATCGGCACCACGTCCTCGATTGTCCAGAACGCCTCTCTCGCCACCAAGGTGATTGAACTGCACATTCGAAACATTGCCTTGCCCTACGTTCGTGCCGTTCTCAAAGAGCCGCTGGATGAGATGATTCTCGAAGACAAGTACTGCGAAGTCAACCCGTTCTTTGTCGACAAGACCACCAATGTGAAGAAAAACCTCCAACTGCTCGCAGAGTACGCAACGCGCGTGATGAATGCCATCATGTCTTCCGGAAAGCAGTTCCCGACACCTCTACGCCAAGTTTGTGCCGATCTGCGGCATTGTGCGGCCAAGTGCTTCCCTAGCGATCCCAACGTGCGGTATTCTGCCGTCAGTGCCTTTATTTTTACGCGATTGTTGTGTCCTGGTGAGTGTGTTTTTTTTTTATTTTGATTTCTTTGTTGCCTCTTCTTTTTTTTTTTTTCTTTTTTTTTAAGTGTGCTTGTTCGTGAATGTCCCTCTGCTCACTTTGGCTCGTTCATTCCACTTTTTGGCAGCAATGATGGGACCCAAGGCATTCCACATGTGCGCAGACTTCCCCAACGAGCGTGTTGCTCGAACACTCACGCTTGTGGCCAAGACGGTGCAAATGTTGGGCTCGCTCACCGAGTACACTGATAAGGAAAGGTACCTGCTGCCATTAAATCGCGTTATCGAGGATAACACCAGCAGCCTGAAAGCCTTTCTCGACATGGTCGCTGTTGAGCCGCGCAGCCCGTCGGCCACGACCACCGAAGAGTTTTCCGTGTCCCCTTCCTCTGGGAGCGCAAGCCTGTCGGCCGCGACTGGCTACAGCTTGAGCGTCGGTGCTTCTCTCGGCGTCTCGACGCCAGTCTTGTCTGCTGACCAGGAGGTTGCCAAAGCTGCGGCGGCTCTGTTCCGACATCTCTGGTCGCTGCGCGAGGCCATCGAGGAGATGAACGACCGGCGGCAGGTACGAGGATTGTTGTTTGTATTTTTTGTACTTTTATGCACTTGCCGATGGAGAATGCGGTCACTCAATTCTTTCTATCGCACCAACTTGACATGCCTCTGTTCATCTATTGTGGCAGGACGATCCCGCGTTCGACACTTCGCGGCAGCTTTTGCAAATCCTGGACAAGCTGTATGCGACCCACGTTGCCAACCACGCCATGGTCCGACCGCTTGCTATTGCAGGCAACATTGACTTGCGGCATGTGCAGCTCCCGTCTGCGCTATTGGACGCGGCAAAAGAGCACTCGGTCACGGTTGCCAAGGCGCGAAAACGCACCATTTCCAACAACACTTCCGAAATCCATCCGCTGGTGTTTGGAGGGGCGCAAAGCAATGGCTCTTCGGCCACCAACCACGAATCGGACGCATCCGATGTCGAGCGCACCTCGGCCGACCTGCTTGAGCATTTGACATCCACCATCGCTCAACGCATCGCGGCGCTGCTTGCCGCTGCCAATGCCGGCAACAAGGCGCAGTTTGTGAATATCGCCAGCGACGCAGAAGTCGGAGTGCTCGCCCTGCTCGCTGCGCTGACACCGCGACCAGGCACCAAAGAGACGTCGACCTCCTCGACCCAACTCGCTGCCTTTAACGCCGCTCGCGGCACGCTGTTGCAGCATGTCCAGGCGCTTCTTGATCAGGCACGCACGGCCTCGGCTGAAGCCAAGGACGCACCCAGTGACGAGGCCGCTCTCAAGCTCATGATGGCACACGCTCAGAACGTGCTCTCATCGACGCGTGAAACCGTGCTGACGCTGATTGCCGTGCCCAAGTCGAGATCTCCGTCACGCGCGCGCGCAAGCGCCGCAAACGCTGCCATGCCCGTGTCGGTTGCCATTGCGGCCAGCGCATCGAGGCCGCACGGTAGCGTTGCAAACTCGTCATCACGCTCTCCAGCCCCAGTGGCCGAGTTGTTTGATGGCGCCTCGAGCGCATCCTCTCCTGTCGGCGCGGCATCTGCGCCAACCGAGACGAGCACATCCTATGCCAGGCAGCTCGACGATATTTGCCAGGAAGTGGAACCACCGACAGGCGAGGTCACGCTCGTGTTCACTGACATTCAAAATTCCACCGCCATCTGGGAGTCGGACGCCTCTGCGATGCGAACGGCCATCAAGGTTCACAACAACATTATGCGGCGGTGTCTGCGCAGGCACAAGGGATACGAGGTCAAAACCGAGGGCGATGCGTTCATGGTTGCGTTCCAAGACCCAGTGGATGCCGCTGCTTGGTGCATGGCGGCCCAGCTGGAGCTGATGGATGCTGAATGGCCACAGGTATGTGGGGCTTGACATCCCAGAGTTGGCTTTTTTGTCGAGGTGTTTGTTTCTGATTGATTGTTTTTTTTTTGCAAACTCTCATTTCTCCTCTTCTTCTTTCAGGTGACTTTGTCGTTTGCCGGGTGTGGCGAGCAACGCACTGCCAACGGCCAACTCGTATATCGAGGTCTTCGAGTGCGCATGGGAATCCACACGGGTGATGTTGGATTTGAGCTGGACGACATCACTGATCGGTACCTTTTGTTTTTTTCGTTTTTGTTTTGCTGCTCCTTTCACACTCAGTGACTAACTGCGCTTGCATTTGGTGGGGGGATTTATTCGTTGTTGCTTTTCGCTATTCCATTGCTTGGCCAGAATGGACTACTACGGTCCGAACGTCCGCCGAGCAAATCGGGTTTCTTCACTCGCGAGCGGAGGCCAAATTGTCGTGTCTGGCGCAGCGTGGGCCCAGCTGCAGCCAAAGTTGCGCACAGAAACACTTGCACCCTTCCACGCTGCCGGAAAGCCCCTGGGCGAGTTCAAACTCAAGGACTTGGAGATTCAAGAAACGCTCGTTCAGCTGCTTCCTGGAACCCTGAGCGAGCGAGCCTTCCCGCCGCCCGGAACTGCCGCCGCTTCACCCTCTGCCACACCTGGCGCTGGCGTGCACTCAGGGGTGGATGCCCTGCAAGTGCGAGAGAGCGCAGGACACGGCGCTCCGCGGCGCAACTCAAAGTACTACGAAATGCTTCAAAAGATCTCGCCCGAGGTCTCCCCGCCCACCGGCACCGTCACTATCGTGTTTACGCACGTGGCACATGTGACGGAACTCTGGGAGGCCAACCACACGGCCATGTACAACGCCACCAAAATCCACAACGACCTGGTGCGCACGTCGCTGCGTTTCCAGCACGGGTATGAAGTGCGAACGGAAGGCGCCTCCTTCCTCGGTGTCTTCCAGAACGTTGTCGATGCTGTGCAGTGGTGCGCCATCCTGCAAATGAAGCTGGTCGCTGCCACTTGGCCGAGCGACATTCTCGACATGGAGCACTGCAAGCAGGTGCGTTCGTCCAGCGGTCGGCTGCTCTTCAGTGGCCTTCGCGTGGGCATCGGCATGCACACTGGCGAAGTCGGCTGCGAGCTGGACAATGTCACGGAGCGCATGGAGTACTTTGGGCCTGCCGTGAGTCGCGCAACGCTGCTCGGCAATATGGCAGACGGTGGTCAAATCATTGCCAGCGAAGGCACCATCAAGGCCCTTCAAGCGTGCGGTAGCGATATCACCGAGCAGCTCGAGGTGCGGTTCACCTTTGCTGGCGAAGTCGTTTTCAAGGGCCTTGGTTCCGAACGGCTGACCGAGGTATGTTTTGTTTGCTTTTGTGAGGAAGGCAGACAGGACGTGTGATTGAAGTTGCTGAAAGGCACCAGAGCAGAGCGTGCTGGTAGAAAGCTTCGTCGTGGAGGGTTGAGAAGGAGGATAGCCCGCGACCTTTGTCTCAATTTTGCGCTTTTTTTTTTTCTCTGCAAATTTGCCAAAACGTTAGATCTGCCCGAACTTGCTCAGCGGACGCCAGTTTGTTCTGCAGCCAGGAACTAGCACATTGGTCGCAGAGCGGTCGTCGTCGGGAAACTTTGACGACGTGCTGCGCGCCATCAAAAACTTTGATGCAAAGTCGTCGCGAACACCACGACACTCCTCGTCGTCCGCAACTGCCCTCAAGCCAGCCTCTTCCTCCCTTTCCGTCACGTTTGGCACTGGTTATGCCACGCTGTCATCGTCCATCCCATCTCTCGCTGCTGGCAACAGCGGCGCCATGTCCTTTGTCTGCCATGACTGCAACGGCGCGATTGGGACTGGCACCGAGTGGATTTCTGCCATCGGTCGTGTCTACCACAAGGAGCACTTTGTTTGCCACCAGTGCAAGCAGCCGTTCGGGTCGGGTCGGTTCCTCGACAAGGAAGGTCGGTTGTATTGCGAACACGACTACGAGGCTCTATTTGGCCGCGTGTGTGCTGGCTGCCACGTTGCCATCGCCTCTGGTGAGAATGCCATCAATGCTCTCGGTCGTTCCTGGCACGCTGATCATTTCAGGTATGTGGATGGTATTTCGGGTTTCGGAATTCGAGATTGAGTGGTTTTCGTTGTGCTTATGAAAGTGACTTGGTCGAATCTCTCTGTCCTTTCCCCACCCCCAGGTGCACGCATTGCTCTGAGAAACTCGAATCCAAGTTTGTCGTCCTGGACAATTTGCCGTATCACAAGCATTGCGCTGAAAGCGGGCCAGCGAACGCGTGCTCTGGCTGCGGCAAGCCAATTGATGGCACGTACACGAACGCTGATGGCCAAAAGTGGCATAACGAGTGCTTGAAGTGTCGGGTAAGGCTTTGCTCTCGTTCTTTTCGAATTTGGATTGGCGCAAGCATTTTGGCTCTGTGTCTCACCCTAACCCTTCCCCCCTCCCCAACTCTCTCCTCTCAGCACTGCTCAACTCCTGCTACTGCCACGGACATGTTCATCCAGAACGGAAAGCCCATCTGCGGCAAGTGCCAAGCAAAGCCATAAAACAGAATGCAACAGATTTGCTTGATGCAGCGGTGCCTTTGACTCCTCCCTCGCTATCTCTCTCTCAATGTTGGTCTGCTGTCCCATCCCTTATTCAATATATTCCATGTACATTGCTTCTCCACCGCAACATGTTCTCAGTCTCTGTTTTTTTTGCTCTCAGTTTTCGCCAAAATGGACATCCCGCACCTCGCGCGCAAGCAGTCGTCGCAGTTGCTCTCGACCTCGCCCAACCTGCTCTCTGTGGACGGCCAGAAGATGTCTGCATCGGCTGCGCAACTCCCCGGCAGCGCCGTGTCGTCTTCAGCTAGCTCAACTGGCTCACTGGCTCACTCGACTGGCTCGAGCGCGTCGTCCGCTGTCTCTGCCTCCGTCGCTGCGCTTCCAGTCACCTGCGAGGAGGAAGGCGACGTTTCATGCACTTCCAAGGTCTCGCGCAGTGCGTCCGGATCGAGTGACGCTGGCGCCCAGCACGCGTCCACCAAGCGCCGCACCATCTTCACGCATGGTCAGTCACCACAAGGCCTCCAAAGCCATCCCAAACACACGCACAACACAACAACAAACACCCCCAAGCAAGCAAAGCTGAGCAAACAATCAAGACGAGCTTGGTTGTTTCTCAATCCATGGCTTGGCTTTGGCTTGAGACGGGTTTTCACGCGGTGTTGCCAACAAGCCACAAGAACGGAGCATTACAACACCCCAATGCTCGTCACTCAGTGTGCAGTTGTTGTATGTGCATGTTCGAAAATGTGTCTCACTCGATGGCGCTGCTGGAAAAAAAAAATTGTCTGGGTTTTGGGATGTAGGTCGTCCGCCGTGGTACAATGTGGATGGTCAGCTCAAGGAAGCGTTTGTCATTGGCATTGCGGGCGGCAGGTACGCAGCAGCACTGGATGGATCATCCTTCGAGTGACATTGAGTATTGATTGGTGTCTAACTGCTGAAGGATGATTCACTGGACTTTTGTTTTGGGTTTGTGCTTTGCAGTGCCTCCGGAAAGACCACTGTTGCGCAGATGATTATCAAAGAGCTCGGAGTGCCGTGGGTGGTGCTTCTCTCCATGGATAGCTTTTACAAGGCATGTCTGCTGGTCATTCCTGTTGCCTTGTGAAGGAGCTCCTCTTTCTGCGACCGTGATACTCGTTTGAATTCTCACCTTTTTTGGTTGTCTCGTTTTGGGTTGGCAGGCCTTGACTCCTGCTGAAATCGAACGCGCCCATCAATGCGAGTACAACTTTGATCATCCGAACGCCTTTGATGTCGATCTGCTGGTCACGACTCTCAAAAAGCTCAAGGAGGGCAAGGTATGTTGTGATTTTGGGTTCGCAAGATCGGTGATCCCTTCAACTGACATTCAACCATAAAACCCGTCTTGACAGAATGTGGACATCCCAGTCTACGACTTCAACACGCACAGTCGTTTGCCAAACACGCACACCATGTATGGCGCAAACGTTATTGTCTTTGAAGGCATTCTGGTACGTTCCTAGTTCTTTGATTTGTCCTTTTTGTTGTCGTTGCTGTTGACTCAATCGCCTTGTTCTCGAAATCATACATGTTAGGCCTTTTGCCGAAAGGATTTGCGAGATCTCATGGACATGAAGGTACGATTTGGCTTTTTGGAAGACTCTCTGCAATGACACTCCCCTCATTGTTGCTTATTTTTGCTTTTCTCTACCCACCCAGGTCTTTGTTGACACCGACTCGGACATCCGCTTGGCTCGACGACTCAAGCGCGATATTCTGGAGCGTGGTCGCGATCTCGCTGGCGTCATCAAGCAGTACAACAAGTTTGTCAAGCCGGCCATGGATGAGTTCATCGCTCCGTCGATGAACCACGCCGATGTTGTTGTGCCTCGCGGCTCAGACAACCATGTTGCCATTAATTTGATTATTGATCACGTGCGCATGCAACTCAACGAGCGTGGTTTTCTCTTCCGCGAGAAGATCGCCACGGCTCGCAAGGACGGCCCCATGCCCGACACGCTGCACGTCTTGCCTCGAGGCAGTCAGGTAAGGGGTGTCTTTTGGACTAAGTTGCCACGTGGAAGCTGCTGTCGAGTCGCTTACGTTTGAATTTTTTTCTCGAAACCGTGTCTCCACCAACTCCCTCCTGCTCCCTCCTACTCTAGGTTCGCGCCATGCACACAATCATTCGCAACCGGGACACGCCACGCGATGAGTTTATCTTCTATTCGCAACGGCTGATGCGTCTGCTGGTCGAGTACGCCTTGAGCTTTTTGCCCTTCCAGGAGACGATCGTGACCACGCCCTCGAATGCCCTTTTCCAGGGACAGCGGTAGGGAATTGATTTATTTTGTAGCTCGATTCTGGTGAGCCATGTTGCTCATTTGGCCTCTTTGTTTCTCCCTGCTTGTTACTCGTGCCTTTTGGTTTCAGCTTCAACGGTACCCTGATTGGAGTCTCGATTGTGCGCGCTGGTGTCACAATGGAGGGCTCGCTCCGAGATGTCTGCAAGGACATTCGTCTTGGCAAGATTCTCATCCAAACCGACGAAGAGACTGGCGAGCCCCAGGTGAGGGGCTAGTGGTTGCGCGAGTGCGTTTTTGCGAGTCTGGTATGCATTCGTCTCACAAATGTATTCCCCTCTCGTTGGACAGCTGCACTACTGCAAGTTGCCAAAGCGCCTGGCCGGTGCCCACATTTTGCTCGTGGATGCTACCATTGCCACAGGTGCTGCAGCCATGATGGCCATCCGAGTCCTGCTCGATCACGACATTCCAGAAGAGAACATCATGTTCCTCTCCCTCATTGCCGCGCCGTCAGGCATCCACAACCTCGCCTACGCCTTCCCCAAGGTCAAGATTATCACTACTGAGGTTGATCGCGAAGTCAACGAGCAATTCCACATTATTCCGGGCATTGGTGAGTCAGAACCATGAATGAATGAATGAATGAATGAATGAATGAATGAGTTGAATGAATGGCCCTTCATCGCGTTGTTTGCTTATTTTGATGTTGCAATCGTTCCAACGCTGTAGGCAACTTTGGTGATCGCTACTTTGGAACGTCTACCTAAACGTCGTTCATCCCCACCAATTCAACTTTCGTGTGCGTGTTGACGTAGTAAACTTTACTTGTTTCTCTTGCCCTGCAATAGTCCATCCTCTTTACTTTTTTTTACCTCATCCATTGGTCTTTGTCTTTTCAAGTGCTTTGGTCAGTCATTGTTTCCCTATCGGTTGCCATTGACAATTTCATAGCCGCCACATTGCACTCCGACTTTCACTCCAACCGACACCCATCCCGTCCTGTCTCCTCCTCTACATCCACACCGCGCCCCCCCCCCTCCCCACCTCCCCAAATCCATGTCGAGCAGCACTCACGCCGGGACTGGGACTCCGCCGCCTGCCCCGCCAACGCCGTCGCATGCGGTGAATACGCCTGATGACACGCTCGTCCAGATGCACAAAATCCTCGTCCCTTCGCAGACCAATGCGTTCTCCATCTCGCTGCTCGGAGGCGAGCTGCTCAAGTGGATGGACACGTGCGCCTGTCTCGCGTGTAAGTCCAGCGAAACGAACAACAAGCAACGAAACAAAGCGAAACAAAGCGAAACAAAAGCGAAAACGTTACGTTACGAAAATTTGGGTCAAATTTTGAGAGATAAATTTTGCGGGTTTTTTATGATTCAAAAACGCTGCCTTTGTTGTTTTTTGCTCGAGCAGCCGAACGCCATTCAAAGCATCCTTCCGTCACAGCAAGCATGGACGATCTGCAGTTCCGTGAGCGTGTCAGGCAAGTCGTCCTCGTTCCTTGTCGATTCTGTTGTTTTGTTTTTTTTATCAATTTGGGTCACTCACGTTTGGTTTTGTTGTTTTGGTTTTTGGTTGTGGTTTTGTTGGTTTTGTTTTGTGTGCGTTCTTCTCGTTTGTGAAAATTCAACGCAGAGCTGGTCAACTCGTGCGCATTAGTGCCAAAGTCACACGCGCGTTCAATACAAGCATGGAAGTCGCGGTCAAGGTCTTCTTGGAAGATCCGCTCAATTCCGGCAGCGTTGCCATGTGCGAAGCATACTTTACGTTCGTCTCGCTGGACAGCCAAGGGCAGAAGGTGGCAATTCCAGCACTCGTCCCCGTGTCCGAACAGGATAAAGATCAGCACAGTCTTGCCTTTGAGCGTCGTCAAATCCGGTAAGGTTTCGTTTGCCAATTTCTTGTCCGCTTTTTTTAAAAAATTATTCGTCGCGCTGACGGATGTCCACCATTTTGAACACCACCCCCATGCTTTAGTCTCGATCGAAAGACGTCGATTGAGAAGGTGGCAGAAATTCTCCAAAACCAGGCAGCTCGCCGCTCTTCCATCGACATTGCTCCGGAAAATCTGTCGTCGTCGCGAACTCTGCTCGATGGCAGCCGTACCGTAGTTCCCGCAGGTCTAACCATGGTGGAAAGCTGGTACGTGTGTGGATTGTTGGTTCTCCCATTGAAGAACAGCCCTGTCTCACCCGCTGCGTCGGTTTTTTTTTTCTTTGGTTGATATGCGTGGGATTTGCTGTTGCGAAACACCACTTCAACAGGGAGCTTGTGTTGCCTCAGCATGCCAATCACCACAACACGGCTTTCGGTGGTCAGATCATGGAGTGGATGGAAATGAACGCTACTGTCTCTGCAAGGTAGGAGTCGGTTTTTGGTTGTTTTTGTGAGGTTTCAGATCTTTCTTTTTCCGCTGCGCTCAATGCTTTGGGTGTGGCAGCCGACTGGCCAAGTCCTACCCGCTGCTGGCAAGCATTGACGACATTCATTTCCTCGGACCCATCAAAGTGGGCGAGCGTATCATCATTCGCGCTCAGGTGAACAATTCGTTCACGACCAGGTGCGTACTCGACTCTTGCGGCGGGATTGGGGAGTTGTTTGATTGCCGGGTTTTGCGCAATTTAGCTGAATCCGCTTGTTTTGTTGTGTTTGCTTGAACGTCAGTATGGAGGTCGGGGTGCGCGTCGATGCAGTGAGCATTCACGATCCTCAGCCGCGCCTTGTCAACACGGCCTACTTTACTTTTGTGGCGATTGATGGCGATGGAAAGCGAGTCAAGCTGCCTCCGTTGTCGGTTGCAAACGCGGACGAGCGTCTCCGGCACGATGAGGCCATTGCGCGTCGCCAAGTCCGTTTGGATCGCAAGAAAATCCGCAGTGAAAAGGCAGAGCTCGCTGTCCATTGCACGGAGGTATGGAAAGAGAGAGAAATTGGCTTTTGTGTTGCTACTGTGGTTTGTGCGTTGATGACTCTTGTTCTGGAATTGGTTTGCGCTCACCCGTTGCTGCTTTTTTTTTTTTTTTTTTCACTCTCCCAGGACAATCTCAAGGAATTGTGCCTGTCGAACGTGTCCAATCTCACGATTCTGAAATCAACCCGCGACTGGGATGTTCTTTCGGAGCGCGACGGCATTCAGTTCATGACCAAAGACGTGGGCAACACGCTGGTCGTGCGCGTAGAGTGTTTTGTCTCGGCCAGCGCCGGCGAAGTCTACCAACTGCTCGAAGACATGTCGCTCCGCTCAGAGTGGGACAAGTTGTTTGTCAGCTACGAGTAAGGCTTTTTGACTGCCGGTTGGAGTTGTAGCGGTGCTTGTTTTGTGTTGTTTTAATTTCGCTAACTTTGGGCTTTGGCTTGGGCTTCTTTTTTTTTCTGGTGACTTTAGCACTCTTCGCAAGATTGACTCTGACAATGACATTTTTCACATCAAAATGCGCTCGCCGACAAGCCTGGTCGCGGGTGCGGCTCAACAGCCTCCGCAGGATTTCGTGTTGCTGACCTCGCGACGTCGTCCGACCGACTTTTCCAAGCACTATGTCATTGCCCATCGCTCGGTCATTCAGGAGAATATGCCTTCAGTCCAAGGATATTCCCGTGGTGAAGTTGGCAGGTACAGATGTTTTGTTTGTTTTGGATTTCTCTGGCTGATGTTGGAACGGCGATTCGTGCCACACAAGCTCTTCATCTCACTCGTTTGCACTTGTATGTTTGCCCACTTGTGCCTCCGTGCAGCTCTGGCTTTATCATCACGCCAACGGGCTCCAAAGGATCGGACAAGACCCACATTGTGTACTTGAACCAATTTGGTTCGAGTGTTCTCAGCTACATGTCTGGCGACATGATTGGCGTGTCCAACATGCTCCACAACTCGCTCGTGCGCCTTCGTGAATTTGTTTGTAAGAGTCACGATGAATGCAGAAATGCGTTGGTTTTTTGCTCTTTGTGTTGTTGTTTTTTATTCTTTTTTCTTATGCTTGTCCTCATTTTGTCCGATGCAGCCAACAGCAACTCTGTCAAACACCTGCAGGAGACCGTCCTGAACCGCATGATTGAGCAAGAGCAGCACAATGTGGACTCGTTGTCTGAGCAGTGCGATCGCTTGTTCCAGCCTCCTGCCACACTGACCGCGGTAAGGGCATCTACTCCTCAACATGGCTTTTTCGCACTAGTACTCATTCCTTTTGCTTGTATCCGATACAGGACTTGGTGGCCGCACAAGCCCGCTTGGTCGAGCTCAAGAAGCAACGAACGGCCATCATGCAAATCCGTCGCGTGTAACGTGCACAAGTGTTTGGTTGCAAGTGTGTTTGTCTGGACGTCAATCAACAAAGAACTCTGCAACTTTGAAACGCTTGAAGAGAGTCAATTTGGGATGTAACTTGATTTTGCATTATCGAACAGCATGTCAACCAAACAAAATGAAGCACATCAAAGAGACACACGCACACACGCACACACGCACACACACGAAATCCAAAAACAACAGCAAAACAACAAAACAACAAACAGACATCTGCGCAGTCAACAACCCGCGATTCAGGCGAGATTGGCGGCAACGGCGGTGGCAGAGATGAGAAGGTTCTTGAGGTAGGCGACCTCGGCCTCGAGACTGCCGACACGGTCGCGCAGAGAAGCATTCTCGCCGCTGAGACGCTGGCACTCTTCCTCGGTGGCGACGACAGCCATGCGCTTGCGGGCGCGGCACTTCTTGACCGCGTCATTGTTCTTCTTGCGCTTGTCCAGGTAGTCGGCGAGCGTTTCGCCGGCCTCGAGCTGGCGGTCGGTGGAGAGGTGCACGGCGGGCGATGCCACAGGCGACACGCGCGGAGAGCCGGACAGCGACTGCGACGCGCCAGACGAGCGAGGATCGCGGAGGGCTTCCTCGGCACGACGCTTGCGCGGAGAGACGGACTCGTCAATGAACGACATGTTGTTCTTGGTGTTGGTGTGATGGGTGGGAGCACGGCCAGAACGCTTCTTGACGTCGGCGTTCGAGTGGAGCGAAAAGTCAAAAGTCTGGCTCAGCCAAGCGGGCTCGCTGGCAAACGAGGCGCGGTCTGCGGCGTCACTAACCGCGGAATCACTAACGGACGAGGCGTCCGAGGCGCAAGGCGACTGCTTGCAAACACGCGCAAGGCCTTCAGAAGCTGCTGCAGCCTCGAAAGCGAGGAGTGCGGCATCGAATTCGAGCATATCGCTCGAGGGAAAGTCGTTGAGGTCGCCGCGGAATTGCGGGACAAATGAGGGTTCAAGCATGAGCATCATGGCAGAAGTATCGTCGGCGATGGCAGAGATCGGGGCGGTACAAGGGAAGTTGAGGATTTGCGAAGCAAAGCTGGGCTCAATGGTCATTCAAAAACTTGAACGGGAACTTGACAAGGAAGGGGGAGAAGAGGTGAAGCGGGAGACGACGCTTGACAGAAGAAAAAGAAAAAGAAAAAAAAAAAAAAAGAACGGAGCGATCTCGAAACTTGAGACTTGGGGAAGAAGAGGGGCGCTTGAAGAGCAGAAGAAACCAAATAAACACGCGAGGTAACAAGCGCTTTTTTGGCAGGAGGGAGGAGAGGTAACTGTTCTCCGAGGTAGTGCCAAAAAAAAAAAAAAAGACGACGAAAAAAAAAAAAAAGAAAAACGCTGACCGGATCTAGTGTAAAAGTCTAGTCCTCAGGATGGGGTCGCAAGATATCGAAGAGTTATGTACGGGTGCGGCAAAAGTTTGCGGTGCTTTTGCGCAACTAGAAAAAATAAGGGGGGGGACGAAAAAAAAAAAGAAAAAAAAAAAGAAGAAAAACGCGGAAATAAGAGCACGAAGTCGCAACAAATAACGGCAGCAGCAGCAGCAGTTCAAGTCTCAGAGGAAGATTAGACGGTCAAGCACAATGTCAAAACCGAATCAAAAAGAAAGAAAATAGGCACAGGGGAGAAAAACGGAAAAGAAAAGGGAAAAAAAAAATTGAGAACTTGAAGAAAAAAAAGGTTGGTCACTGCTGCTTAAAGCAAATGTCAGGTTGCGAGTCGTGGAGGGGGAGAGTAAGAGGAAGATTCTGAATCGTCACCAACGGTGTCACTGAACATGCTGCGGTAAAACGGCTTGCTCAGAAAAGGGGGCTTGCGGGAAAAGGAAGGCTGGGAAAATTGGACAAACGACGCAGGTTCAAGGACGTAGGTTTCTTGGACGTGCGCGATCTTGTACAATCAGAAGAACTTGAAAAAAACGGGGGCGATTTTGATCCACTCGAAACAAATTAGTTGGGAGATCAAAGTCGTGCTTTTTGGCGCAGAGTAGGGGGCTTTTTCTCAGCAGGTAGTTTTGCGGCAACTACGGAAGGAGGTCTACAACAACGACCGGATCAAGTGAGTGGATGTTCAGGAAAACTCGTCAATCATCAATAAATTAGAACATATTCGTCACCAAATCAATCGAGAGTAAAGGATGACTGCAGCTCTTCCAGAAAAGGGCGGATCACAAATGTACTACGTCAGAAGCGGAAAATCGAAAAAAAAAAAAAACAATCCAAATAAAAAAGCTGGCTGAGAACACCTTCCATTCGATGCTCGAGAGCTCCAAGTGCCGCCGCCGACACCGCCGCGCGCTCGCTCCCAACCCCATAATTCAAGTGAGCTGAAGGTGCTCGCGGCTGGCGTGGTGGCGATGAGCTCTGCGTTTTCGTCGGCATCTCATGACATCATCACTGCTGGCATTGCGTCTTCGGTTTTTTTCCGTTCACTTTGTGCTTTCCCCCTGTCTCCTCCTTGCCCATTCTCCCTTCCGGTTTTTACAAAGTCGAATGCTCTGTCGCTCATTCAAGCTGCACCACGCGTCAGACGCAGCCCTGCGAGTTTACAACAAAAGCGTGGACGCCACAAATGGCGCTTTTTCCGCCATACACGCCGATCGCCTTCCACCGCCTTCGTGCCACGCCACGCACGCGTATTTGACCCTTCACTTTGTGAGTTTGTCTTGCTTTTTTCACTTCGCTCACAGCAGCAACGACGGAAAGCAAGCAAACAAAACCAAAAAACCAACAGCAAAAGAATTAAAAATAAAAATAAAAGCCGCTTACTTTATTGCAACGGAAAAAAGAAGAAAAGTGTGCATTGCGCAATGTTTGTTCCAAAAAGGGTTGAATTTCCAACTCGACAAAAAAGCCAACAAAACGACAAAAACCACATCAAAATCAAAATCAAAATCAAAAGTCAAAAGTCAACAAGTCTCATCATCAACTCCGCTGTGACAGAAGAAGCTCCAGTTGGATTGGTTGTGGAAAGCGGTTGTGAAAGCTCAAAGTTTCGACCGATTCTCATTTCAACGCGACAACACCATCCTCGAATGCGCTCTCTCAATCTCGCATGATCCGTGTCAGCACTGGGACGGATGGAAGACGTTTGCTGTCCAAACAGTCTGTATTTCTCAGAATCTCGTTCTTAGCCCAATCACACGTCACGCCCTTTTCGCCCAATTGTTGTCTGAGCCATTTGTTCTCTTTCTCTTTACTTTCGCCTGTGCTGCACCCCCACGACCACGCCATAACTACAGGAAATGGGCAACGTGCTCTGCTGCTGCTTTGACGGCGGCGACGAAGAGAGCGACCCGCTCCTCAAAGGATCATCGCAATCGGGTCAGAAATCCGTAGCCTCGCGGAGACGCGATGGGACGCTGTCGCCCGACCCGCGGCCGACGAGTCCAGGGACATTGGCGCAGTCCCGCATCGACAGGGACGACGCGGACGACCAGCAACACCAGGACGACGGCGCAGAGTACACTGAGAAGCGCCTGATTGAGCGCGCCAAAGTAAGGCCGGGCCGATCCGCACTCCGCACACGCTTGGTGCTGCCCAAGCCACTGTCATGCAAGCGGCAGATTAGTTGGTTGACAATGCTCATTGAGGAAGGATGGAACTGGGAGTTGGTGTGCCGCCCCCCGTGTGACCAAGGAAACCTCTCGTGATGGCTGTCCAATTGGTCGAATCTTACGTGCTTTCTCATGCTCATCATCATCTCTCAGACCAGAATGTTGCTGAATAAGAACGCTCACCTGTGTATGTGATGCTTGAATATGTTTTTTTGTTTCCTTCTACTTTTGCCGCTTTGCAGCGCGAACAACGCACGAACGCCGTGCTGCAGGCCAAGCAACACCAGCGAGCAGATCGCGCAGCTGCATTGGCGGAGGAGCGCAATAGGAAGCTCGAGCAGCGCGCCCGACGTCAGGACGACGTCCAGCGTGACAAGGACGAGCGGCGAAAGCGCCTGGGCCTGGCTCCGAGCGGATTTGCGGCAGACAATGTCTCCATCCATTCGGAAGACAGCGTTCAATCGTTCTCCTCGACCCGCACGACCAAGAGCACCTCGACGTCAATGTCTAGAGCGAGCCAGCGATCGAATGCATCGACTTCGGCGCTGCCGGGATCAACACGCATCTCCCCAAGCAACTCGTTGCTCGACATGGAGAGCGCGATTCCCGATGGCATGTCATCCGCCGCTGCTGGCGTACAAAGTGCAACACCAGTGGCTGGAGGAGCTCCTGTTGAAGCTGCTGATCCAGACGCGCCGGAAGTGCTGACCATTGATGCTGGCATCATCCTAGACCAGGGAGATGCACAAGCAACTGACTCGAAAGCCGCCACGGAGACTGACGCTACGGAAGAAGCGGCCTTGCAGCACGATTCAACTCTGACAGTGGATGAGCAATTGGAGGAATTGCAATCGACGTTGGTCGATCCCGCACAGGAAGTGACGCTGGCCGAGCTCGCTCCTGCCCCGCACATGTTGGATCTTGCGGGTGAGAGTGCTGCAGTGGACGATGAAGCGCGTGGCGACTCGGCGGCAACGACCGAAGAAACAGTGGCTGAATTGCAGTCTTCGCTGGTCGATCCTGCCCTGGAGGTCACCCTTAGCGAGCTGGGACATGCATCGGAAGAATCGACTCTTGCACCTGTCGACAGTTCGGCGGAGCAGGAGCCGACAGCGGCAGAGGAAGAGTCGTCCGAGGCTGCTGAACCTCTCTCCAATTAGGGCAATCTGCGTCGGTCGACCCCCGCATTGAATGCCACCCTTTGTCGGCTGAACAAGATGCACATAACCACGACGAAGGTGCATCCTGATGCTACGAGCTGGCTGATTCATCTGCGATTTCGTTGCCCCAATTTGATCAACTGAGTCATTTCGTGCTAAACAAAAATAACAAATCATCGATGCTTTTTTTTTTCCGCTTGATCTGTTGGTTCGACCCCCAATCTCGATCCTTCGCTGGTGTGTGTGAAGCAACGTTGTTTTTTGCTCACTTTCAACCGCGTCTCACACTCTCTTTCGCTCTGCACTGAGCTGTTCCATTTTCGTTGATAACGGCAGTCTTTTTTTTTTTTTTTTTTCCTTTTTTTTTTCGGTGCTGACTTTGCAAATCGATCAATCATCCGCTGCACACAACCCACTCCCATGCAAGCCTTTGAGGATATGGTTGCCAAAGAGCGAGGCCTGCTCGCCACAATGCGACTCGAGATAGAAAGGTGCTTCACAGGACAACGACTCGTTTGTTTCACTTGTTATTTGTTTTGTGTCTTTATTTTTTATTTTTTATTTTTTATTTGTTTTTTTCGGTTGCGAAGTGAGATTGCAAAACCACACTTCTCCAAATCGTTCGTCCCACACCCCACCCAACCCCGCCTTCGACCCTCGCATTCACAAAACCCTCGCTCCTTGTGGGGATCGTAGAGTTTTGGGCGACCTCGTCAGCCTTGGACGATGAGTGACTCGGATTGTGCGGTTGGCTGGTTATTGATTTATTATTTTGATTTTTTTTTTTTTTTGGCTAATCTCCTTGCACTGATTCATCGGGTGAGACTTCCACGCGTTCGGGCGTTAGGATGTGTGACGGGGGGCGGGGCGGGTGTGGTGAACAATCACGCTCTTTCTCTCGCTCTGGCTTCCTTGGCCGCCCTCTGGTTGCTTGGGGGCAAGTACTCGAGGGACGTAAAATAAAAAAATTGGAAGACGAAGAAAGTGGTAGTTGGAGCACGCTCGATCAGTTAGAACAGCGTATCAGCCACCGGTTTTTGCTTGTTTCATTTTCCATACGCGCTCCTCACTGCCGGTCAAATCGTTGTTGTTGGCAACACTTTTTTTTTTTTTTTTTTTTTTGGTCCTTGTGTGCTTGATGTGTGTTCACCTCCTGCTGTTGCTCGCCCTTCGCATTGAATGATGTGACTCACTTTGGTGTCTCGCTTGTGTCTGCTTGTGCCATTCGCAGCATGTACGAACCGCCGCCTGCTGCAGAGAAGGCAAGTGAACCGAGATTCGCATCTCGACGCCCTTTTTTCTTTTTTTTTTTTTTTTGCTCTCTTCCTCGCTCCCCTCTCCCCCAGTTCAGACACAAACACACACACACATGAATACTTACCCTTGTGTTTGCTTGTTTACTGCATTGACACTCTCTCGACGACGCGCCATTTTCGCCGCTTTGGTTCCTGTTTGTATTCTGATTATTATTGGTTGCGGATTAGCGTCTCGCGGAGCAGATCGCCAAAGTCCAGGAATACGAACGCATGGCTGTCGAGCAGCGAGCACAACTGGCAGCAGAAGAGGCTGCTGAGGCGGAAGCCACGGAGGAGGAAGCGAGCACGGCCGACGGCGACGTGGGCTCACTCCGAAGTCGAGGCAGCGTGAATGACACGGATCAAGGCAGCAGCAAGCAGCAAGACTCTGGCACTCAACTCGACTTTGATACAGAACGACTTGAGACGGCCTCGGAAATCCCTGTGAGTTCCTTGCTTTGCAACCTCGAAGCAGAGTTTTACTCCCAGTGGAGGTGGAGGCGTGTTCTTTGGTGGCTCACAGTGAATTTTGTTGGGTCACTCGGCGAAGAACACTGTGCGAGCCAATGCCGCGGTCGCCGGTCAGCTGCAAGCTGCCATTTCAAAGAAGGTAGGGTGATGGTGAACCAATTCGTGCTCCCGAAACTTTGTCGCTCATTCGATTTTTCGTCCTCACTCAAACTAAAACTACAACCTCGCGCGCAGCCACGAGCAATCGAACTGTGCAATCTGACACACCAAACAGCGTCCCTCCCAATATCGTTGGCCGGACTTGAAACAACGATTGCAACGCTGGTTGCCACCCAGTCCTCACTTCCGAGCCATTTTTCCACCTATCTGACCGTTCCGAGGCTAACAGGCCTTGTCACACTCAACTTGACCAACTGCGGAATCACCGATCAAACATTTGCGCCTGTGGGGGCGAGTGCCGCAGCAGCTGGGGACGCACCCGCCATGGACCTCGGCATTTTCCAGCAAATGCCAGCGTTGCGACGGCTTGTGCTCTGCCAAAACAAGCTGACTGCAATCCCGCAATGCGTATTGCAGTGTTACACGCTGCACACGCTTTCGCTCTCGTACAACAGCATTTATTCCTTCCCTGCGAACATTGATCTCATGCGCAACCTGATCTGCCTGTCGCTCAACGCCAACCTGCTCACCGAGCTTCACCCTAGCATTTTGCGACTGCGACACCTCCGCAGCCTCTCCATTTCGAACAATCTTTTCGCCACCGAGCCTCCCGAGTACAAGCAGCTTCAGAACACGGTCGCGATTCTGTGCATCCAAGGCAATCCGTACCTGGATCCGCGAGGGGCTTCTCTTGGCGGGCTGGTACGTAACTGGGCGCCTTTCTCTTTATCTGCATTGTGTGAAGCTCGTGATTGTCGGGTTTCTTTGTGCTCACTATTACGGTACCATCGTTTCAGGCCAAGTTCAAGCAACAACTGTTGCTAGGGGGCGGTCAGCGTACGATGAATCTTTCGGGTTTGCCCGCCGGTGCCCCGCTGACTCGAAGGCTCACCACTCTGGTTAGCGAAGCGCCATCCGATGGTGGACGCGGCACACGATCCGGCTCGCTCAGAAGTGAGTCCACCACCAGCTGTTGCGCCGCATCGTGCTGACCTCCGGTTCTGGATTTGTCGCTGACTTGCCATGCTTTTGTGTGAATTCTTCTTTTTGACTGTGCTGCAGCGTCCGCAAATCGGGCGTCCGTTGCGGGTGATCTTGGTGACTATGAACGCCGCGCCGGACAGCTGCGCCGATCTTCCTCCACCTCCGTGATGGGACAGGTACTACTTTTCTTTCGTGCATAGCTTGTCGGGGCTCTTTGTTTGTTTTTGTGATCCGAAGCAGAAGACGAAGCATGTTGTGCATGTCGCTTGATGTGGCGTCTCACATTTGTACGACATTTTTCTTTGTGGTTTTTTTGTTGTTTGGACAGCACCTTGCGAATGTGGCTGGAATCGGACAGTGCACGACAGTCGCAGAATGGTTGGAATGTCTCAAACTCTCGAATCACCTGCCCGGATTCACAGCTCAAGGCTTTGCCGATCTGGAAAGTCTGAAGAATCTCAATCTCGAAGCACTCACGCAGATTGGTGTCTCGAGCAAGATTGAGCGTATGATTCTTTTAACACAAGGTGACGATCGACATCTGCGGTGGTCGGGGATTTAGTGGACGGGGATTGGTGTTTGTTGGTTTTGATCTCTGACCGTGTTTGGTTGATTGTGTGTGTGGGCTTGTTTTTTTCTGAATCTGTTGGAACTTTGTTTGTTGTCCTTAGCCGAAAAGCTCAAGTCTGCAAGACCCGAAACGCCAGTGTAGGATCACCAAGGTTCAAAGGAAAATGTTGTAGCATAAATTTTGTTGGCGTTCACTGCGCATGTTTTAATCCCCCCCCCCACCTCTTCTGTTGTTATAATCGTATTTGAGAATATTCAGCTCATGTAATTGTGTTTGCTTTTTTTATGGCTGCATGGCAGTTTGCCGCCGGTATTGCAGCGGTTTTGTTGAATTCTGAGGGGATTTTGTTTTGGTTTTTGCTTTTGCACTCACCCCGCCCCCTCTCGTTCTCACGCTGAAAAAGAAGCGCTGTGATGTGATGGCTCGCGATTTGGCGAATGGGTTGCTCATTGTAACACTCCTGGCCAACGGAACGGTAGCAAGTGCACGCTTCTGAAAAACATAAACACCAAGCTCTATATTTCCAAACGGCAGAAGGAAAATAACCACTTCTGCTTACAGGTGAATGCCACCAGAAACTTCAATGCGCTGGCCGTTGACCCAGCGAGCATCCTCGCTGCACACAAAGTTGACAACGCCACCAATGTCGTCCGGAACGCCAACGCGGCCAAGGGGCGTGTCGGCAGCAATGTGGTCCTTCACGCCGGGGATGCTAAACACATGGGCGTTAAAGTCCGTCTCAATCGCGCCGGGAGCGACAGAGTTGACGCGGATGCCGCGGGAGCCGAGCTCCTTGGCGAGGTAGCGGGTCAGGGTGTCGATGGCCGCCTTCATCGAGCCATAGGCAGAGTATCCGGGAAGAGAGAAGCGCGCCAGGCCGGTCGAGAGATTGACAATGCGGCCGTTGTCAGCAATGAGCGGAAGAAGGCGCTGAGTGAGGAAAAAGACGCCCTTGAAGTGGACGTTCAGCAACTGGTCGAAATCCTCCTCGGTGAACTCGGTGAACGGCTTGGCAAGATCAATGCCCGCATTGTTGACCAAAAAGTCGAACGTCGAGCGCTGCCAAGTGACCTGGAGTGCCGCCTTCAGCGTCTCAGCAAACTGAGCGAAGCTCTTGGTCACACCCGTGTCAATCTCGAGCGCGACGGCCTTGCGACCGAGCGCCTGGATCTCGGCGACGACGGCGTCAGCCTCGGCCTTCTTGGAGCGGTAGGTCACAACGACGTCGGCGCCGTTGCGCGCGAGCGACAGCGCCATGTTACGGCCGAGACCGCGCGAGCTGCCAGTGACGAGGGCAATCTTGTTCACGTGACGGGACATTGTGGATGTTTGTCAAAGACGATGGTGGGGTTTTTGAAAAGTATCTGTGATGAATGAGTGAAAATGGATGTGAGTTCAACCGAAGGCGGCTGTGACTGTGAGAGGTGATGGGGGGAGTGCTGCTTAGAATTCTCCGTGTTTTTGTGTGTTCGTGCGCTGCCTCCGCTTCCAGCAGACTGCTGCTGCTCCTGTGTGTGTATGTGGGTGATCCCGCATGCAACCAACCGCACAACGCTCTCGCTTGCTCTCTCAATGGCGCGCTCTCTCCAGTCAAACACTCACCAGAATCGAAGGTGATTTTGAAGAGTGAATCAAACCTTTTAACAAAGTTGCGCTTTTTAAATGGAAAACGACGTTAAAAACCAAGTACTTAAAATTTCCGCGCTTTTTCCACTGCCGACTAGCCTGGTTTTAGTCTCTGATTCGTTCATGCAGCGAACTTGCTTACGTACTCTTGCCTTCCGACTTCTCACTCACTCTCTCGCCAGAGTGGCAGACCATCCCGCGTTGCGAAGGTTTGCTCAAATCTTCCGCAGTTTTTTCCGCATCACCCCGCACTTTTCGCGCCCGTCTCCGCTTCCTCAATGGCGCCCCCTTCCCGCTCCCTCCGCATTTCGCCCTACCACTTGCCGCTGCAATCCGTCCGCACTTCTTCCGCTTGGAGGTGGGGACGCGGGAGGATGACAAGATATGGGAAAACAATAAACGCATGGAAGAACGGAATCGACGGCGAATTCGTCACCAGCGACCAGTCGCTCAGCGCAGAGATGACCCACCGCCACCGACTCAGCAGTGAAAATCGCACAAAGTTGCGTGCTATGAAGAGTGGAAATTGAAAACAGACAGACATCGACGCTGCTGCTCATTGACGGTGCAACCAAACTTGCAATCCAAGCTCAGTCTTACTTCTTTTGAATCAGATTGGCGATGTTGGAGCTCAGGCGATTGCTCAGGCACTCAAATTTAATACGACGGTGACTAGTCTCTTGTGAATAAATTGTTTGACCAGTGCGTCAAGTCCGTCCAATGCGTGCAGAAACCGCTGAATGAGGAGAAGAGCGATCCTTCTTCTCGGTTTTGCAGCAAATCCAACAAGCCTCGCGCACTTGCACACATTGTGACTTTGGATGAGCGTCCCTGAAAAGCACCAAGCAATAGAACCAGAACGCCGTCGAAAAGCAAGTCATTCCGACCACCGAAACGGCCGTCCGTCGTCTGTCGATCGTGCTGATTTGGATTGGATTTTGTCGCTTGGTTTTTCAAAGCATCGGAATCTCCGTCGCGTTACGATCCCATTCTGACCAAAAAACCGAGTCATAATCGACCGAGGATCGCTCATGTGCGTCGCACATTCTCATTCTCAAATTTGACTCACAGCATTCCCATCGCGTTTTCGGTTTGACACTGGTTTCGATTTTGGCTGATTCTTCCTCCCATCGGGACCAAACATGACAGGGACGCCAACTCACTAACACAGCACAGGGGGGAATCTGCCATCCCCGAATTTCTTGTCGGACGGCTTGACACATCGGGCGTGTGCTCGCTTGGGCTTCTGTGAAGCATGACTGTCCAATGAAAAAAAAAAACGCATCGCAGCGGTTTGTGCGTTTTCGCCTGGTCGCTCTCGGCCACCTCAACGTGATTGGTGTTGTCAAAAGCAAAGACAAAGGTGTTTTTTGCCAGCTCATCACACAGCAAGAAGATCGATCGACACAGTTTGTTTGCTTCAGCACTCCGAAAAAAACCAAAAAATCTCAATAAAAAAAAAACCTCACACATTTCCGCCCGATTTTGGCAGGTGCGATTTGGATTGTTGCAAGGTTTTGTGGCATACTGCTGCTGCTGCTGTATCTGCCTTCCTCTCCCATGTGTGAAATGAATGGTTCATCACAAGAATAAAATACCTGTGCCATGACGAACGAGCGCGGCGTCACTCAAACAGCCGATTCGATTTTCAACCCGAGCGCAGTCAGTTTTTATCCATCAAATTTTTTGTTTCATTTTTTTTTTTTTTTTCACCTCGGATTTCGGATTTTGGATTTTTTTTTCGTTCGGGTTGCATCTTTTCTGCCGCTATTGCAGGTCAGTCATCGCATTGGTACCAACAACGCATCCATTCGTCTGCCTCCATCCTCCTCCCCGTCGAAACCCTCGTCCACGCGGTCTGCAGCAAAACTAGGTGAAGGAGGGGCGAAAAAACGAGAGCGGGGCTAGAACTTTTTGTTTCAAAACGAAAAACTGTTTCACATTGCATCAACGAAAAATAAATAAAAAAATTGTTGCGCTTCGACCGCGGTTGACTCTTTTTGTTTGTTGATTGTGTTCGCTTTTCGAGCAATGCCCACTGCTGCTGCTGCTGCTGCTGCAGTGCCACGGTGAAGCGCAAGTCGCGCCTGCTGGATTTCGGGGCAGTGTGCGCTGTGCGTCATCGCCTCCCGCGTGGACCTTTGTGACCCGCGTTTGGTCTGGTCCAGGCGACTTTTTGGGCTTGGAACCTACCGTTCCAGACTTGTTTTTGGCCTAGCGGGCATTTTTTGATGCTTTTTTTTGCTTCACGTTTTTTTTTTATTTATTTCCCGTTTAATTGTTATTTTTGGGCGTTGGCTGGCGCTTGCATTGCAAATTTGATTTTTTCGCGCCTGGCTGCGGCTAGCGTTTTCATAGTGTTTCACTCGTCTAGTTTTCCCGCCTAGCCGGCGGTCTAGTTTTTATTCTTGTTTCGGTGGGTTTTTTCGCTTGCTGGCCCCGCCTCTCCCCTTCTTTGGTCCTCGTCCCCTTCCCCCCACCCCCACCCCCCAACACGTCAACCACCCCACAGCCGCTGCAATGCTTGCACAAACGGCTGTTGAAGTACGATCGTCAGAGTGCGACAAAACAAGAGGGAGTTTTTTTGGTGTGTGCTTTTTTTATGCGTTATTTTTGTTTCAATCGGAAGCGATCAACCAACCAGCGTGAAACAATCTCGTACCTTCTTTTTGTTTTTCTCCCCCGCCCCTTTCCCGCATCGATCTGCGCCTTTGGATCTGCGCCTTTTGGATCTGTGCTGGATCTGGTGGCTTTTCAAACGCGGGAAGATTGAGATGGCACGTGTTTAGTGAGGGCATGAAGGGGCATCGCAGTCGCACTGGGAACCCGCAAGAGAGGCAGGTGTCCTGAGTCACTCGCTATGGCCGAAATGCTACCTGTCATTTCGGTTTTGGTTTGTTTACGGATTGTCGGTCCTTTTTTTGGTCGTTGTTTAATTCGCTTTTCTGCTGCGGCTCTTCTCCATTCCTCCGCCATCTCTCTCAGTTCCTCCTGAGCTCTCTGCGCCCCAGAACCCTTTTTGTCGTGCTCTTTCGACAATCGCGGGGAAGGCGGGTTTCGAGATGCGTGACTCTGTGATTGCATTCTTCGGCTTTTTCTTTTTTTTTTCTTTTTTTCTTTTTTCTTTTTTTTTTTCTTTTTTTTTTTTGTTTCGAATCGCATGGATTGCATGTGCGCTTTTCGGTCTTTGTTGTGCGCTTTCGTCTTGGCGCCGCTCTCTTGGACGATGCCGTTCAGTGACAAACAGTTGTGAGAGCAGAAGCGGCATTTGTGCTGGCTCATACAAATCGAAGGACACAAACCTCGAAAGCGTATCAAAACGAATCAATAAAAAATCCATGAAGAGCGGCAAAGCAGCGATCATGCATCAAAAAAAACGCAGTTTCGCCCTCATCCATTCTCCCTCGCATCCTATCTCTCAGTTCTTTGCTCTCTTCTCTTCTCCCTTCATCTGATCTCGTTCTGAGTTGTCGTTGCTTTTGGTCATTTTCATTGTAGCTCATTCGTTGATTTCGTTTTTGTTTTTGTTTTGATTTTTTTTTTTTTTCGGTTTTTTGTTTTTTTGTTTTTATCTCGTTTTTTTTTTTTTTTTTTTTTTCTACTGTCGATCGGTTGATTTTTTTTTTCTCCTTCTCCTTCTTCGTTGTTTCCTTTTCTCTCCAAACGCTTTGTATTTGTCATTCGCAGACGCCTTCTTGACCGACTCTCGCACAATCAGCAGCCTCAGCAGCAACAACAAAACAAGAAAGCGAACTGTTTTCTTTTTCTTTTTTTTTGTCGGGAATGCACGAATTCGGCTCAACTGCCTCCTCATCCACGGGAGCATTTTCATCATCATCATCAGCATCATCATCATCATGTTCATCATCATCATCATCAGCATCAGCATCGTCAGTCGTAGTCGTCGGATCGCGCGCTCGAAAGATGCTCGGCTCGGGGCTGTCGTCGCTGTCCATGCCGCCGCATTCGACCTCCTGCGCCGCGCAGGCGTACGACGACAACGGCCCGAAATCGGCCTCGTCCATTCGCTCGGACGGCTCGACGGCATCGTCGCTGTTCTCGACCCCGCTGTCGGACTCGTCGTCGTCGTTCTCGAGCGACCTCGACATGAGCAGCAGCGGCAGGGTCACTCCGCGAACGGCGCCGATTCTCGAGCAGGACGAGCTCAACACGTCGTACTCGTCCATGGCGTCGGTCTCGTCGTCGACGTCTTCGTTGTCGGCGTCATCGGGCGGCGTTGCAACCATCCTGGCCCTCCAGCACGCAGCATCATCATCATCCTCGGCAGCAGCAGCAGTGCCCCCACGGCGACGGGCGGCTGAGCGCAACAGCCTGAATTCGAACTGTTTGAGCTCGTCGGCGCCGTCCTCCAACCGCGGCGGCGGCTGCCTGTCTCGCAGCATCAGCTACCAGGCGTTGTCCTTTGGCCCGCGGTCGGTCAGCCGCAACGGCACAACAAGCGGGTCGGAGGCAGAGCTGCTCTCGCCCGATCTTGTCGGCCAAATCGCCGGTCATAGCCACAACATTTTCTCCTTCGGCAGCCGATCGGTCTCCTCGAGCCACAGCCACAGCAACCTGCCAACCACGAGCAGCAGCCTCAGCGACCACGACCGCGACAGCCACGGTGGCAGCACCAACAGCATTGGTGGCGGAGCGTCGTCGCCATTCGCGCTGGCGGAGGTGGAAGCGTACACGGCAACGCGTCGCCGCAGCCTCAGCGTCTGCCCCCGCTCTGCCTCTGTTCCTCCGACCTCCCTGTTTGCGCAGTAAGTTTTTTTCTTTTTTTCAACCATAGCGTTTCTGCTTTTTCTTTACTTTTGTGCCTCTTCTCGCTCTTTTCTCTCTCTCTCGCTCTCTTTCTCTCTCTCTCTCTCTCTCTCTCTCTCTCTTTGAGCTGCATTGAGTTGATTCAATCGCTTTTTTTTTTCTTTTTGTTTTTATTTACTTGTTGGCTTTAATTGATAAACAGCAAACTGTTTTGTTTTGTTGTTTACGAGTTTTTTTTGTTTATCAGTTTTTTTGTTTATCAGTTTTTCGATTTATTCGTTTTCGTGTTTTTTTTTCTTTGTTTTTTCTTTGTTTTTTTATTTGTAGCTTTTTCTTTGAATTCAACTTTTCGCTTTCAATAACAACAACAACAACAACAAAAATCCTTTTCGTTCGCTAACAATCATCGTCGTTGTTTGCTATGATGACAGGCACGGTGCTGTGTCACCCATGCAGCAGCGCACAGAGTCGCCGCGCCCGATGACCTCGGAGCCGGCCGAGACGGCCAAGCGAGTCGGCGCGCGTCGGTACTCGCAGACGTTCGCGTCCGAGGAAGGACGCAACAAGCGCCATTTGTCGTTCAGCCACAACGATCTGGCCTCTGACTTGTGCAGCGCGGTCGCCACCAGCCCCGCCACGGTCTCAGAGCTGGCCGATCTCGGACTGGCACGGCTGGAAGCAAACCCTGCCGACCTGCGTCCCATGACGCAGGAGGAGATTTTCTCCTCCGAGCCATTCGGCAGCCCCGTGCGTCACGGCTTGTACCCCGTGCTGGAGAGCTCCTTTTCGGCAGCGTCCACCCCGGCACTGGGCCGCGTGTTGACGTCGTCGGGAGCAGCAACGCCGGTGACGGATTTGACCTCCCGCGTTAGCTCGCTCTTTGTGGCTCCTCGTGGCTTGGCGCCCGCTCCAATGGCCGTGGATGACGAAACTGCCGACGACAACAACGCGGCGCTGCCGGCTGTGCCCGAGGATGTGCACTTCCAGGCCAACGTCCCTGATAATCTCATCGACTTTCAGGCACTCGACCCGCTGGCCGACCGCGTGTTGCTGTCCACCAGCTACGGCAGCGGCTGTCAAGCAACCCCTGAAAACTCGGACAGCTACATGATCTCTCCGGGGCAAGCCGCCCAGATTATCAACGACTTCAACCGAGGCTTCAGCGAGTACAATCATCTGATTGTCGTTGATTGCCGCTTTGCCTTCGAGTACAAGGGTGGACACATTGACGGCGCCATCAACTGCGATGTCTCCGTGTCCACTGCAGTGGACAGCTTGCTCAACCAGCTCTTCCCGGTCGACAGCCGCCCTTATGCATACAAGGATGTCTGCCTGCTCTTCCATTGCGAGTTTTCGCAAAAACGTGCGCCCCAAGTGTAAGTAGGCCCCCCCCCCTTTTTTTTTTCCGTGTGTGTGCTGATTGTCTCGTCCGTGACGAGTTTTTTTCTGACTTTGCATGCTTGTTTTCTTGCTCTGTTTTTTCAGGTTTACAAAGATGCGCGATCGCGATCGCGCGCTCCACGAGTGGCCCAGTCTTCGCTTCCCCTCGGCATTCGTGGTTACGGGTGGCTACAAGGCGATTTACACCGAGTTTCAGCAAACAGTAAGTCGCGACGAGCTGTGTTGTAAGGCGGGTGAGGGGGGTAATTTTAATGCGGAAAAAAATGCTCACTTTGAATATTGTTTTCTTTCATTCCTACTTTGACTCTTAGGGTCTTTGCAATCCCGACAGCTACCGTCCCATGCTTCATGACGACTATGGGCGGCATCTGGCTGTATGCGAACCTCGGTGGAAGCAACTGTCGCACAACCAAGAATTCAAGCGTCATCACTCGCTCACACAAGCCCCGCAAGTCCACACGCCCGTCCTGAGTCGTGCAAGGTCTGCGCCAGTGTGCTCGAATGACGATTCTACGCTCAGCAGCAGCAGCGAGGGCGATGACGATCCGCCCCCTGTGACCCGAACGGCGAGCTCTGCTCGCGTTCTGTTCGATGACAATGAAAACCCGTTCCCGATGGCTTTGCCGAAGGCTGACTCGTTCCATGAGTCCCATCCAACTCGGGTGCTTCACGAGCGCAATGCCAACCATTGAGGTTGTTTTTGAATTATTTTTTCTTCCTTTTTTGACGAAGCGGGTGCCCCTCACTTTGTCTCCCCCCCCCCACATCTCCTCTCTCCCGTCGATTAATTCGTTTCTACTTTTTTTTTCCCTTGCTTTTGTTAATTTTGATTGTTCTTGCCTCTTTTTGCCTGGTGTTGCACCCCAGGTTTTGTGAGACTGGCTCTCATTTCTTAATACTCTTGTTGATTCGTTGTTGCCGTTAGTAGCTGGCTTATTTCAGCCCGCCGTTTTTCCTTGTTCTTTTCCTACCGACCCACCACCACCACCACCACCACTGTGTGGCCTCGTGTGCGTCAAAATACATTTTGAGATTTCAAAAGTCAATTTGCAACAATGTTTTTGTTTCAAAAAATTTACTTTGTCTTGAGAACCAATCCCAACTACGAATATCATATCAAAATAACAACAAAAACCAACCCAAAAACAAAACACAAAACAACAAAAAAAAAACAGCAGTCCAACAAGGCAGAACAAACACAACAACGACGACGACCGAAATGTCCTGTAAAATACAACAGATGGAAAGAGAGAAAGAGAGTGGGCCCTCCCCTTTTTCCTCCTCCATCCTCCTTTTCTTCTTTTTCTTCTTTTATGGCTTCATGGTGCTCGAGGAGCTAGCGGGGGCAGGCGGAGGCGGATTGTTCTTGCGAGCAAGCTTGGTGAGCTCGTCCATGTTGGGGCAAACATAGGCCGACTCGAGATACGATTGAAGCTCGGGCTTTGGCACAATCCAGCTGTAAGGGCGGTTGGCAAGCTTGTCCAGCCAGTCCACGCGACGGGCAATGGTGCGACACTTGTCAAAGTTGACCCGTCCGTCCTGGAAGAAGGTGTCGTTACCGTCATTCAAAAAGACCAAGTCTTTCAGATGCAGTGGCAGGAAGGGCAGGAGCGGCGTGGTGGTCTTCTCCTTTTGGTGAATGAAGGTGCGGTAGGCACGCATGTTGCGCGAGGGATTCATGAGGTTTTCCACCTCCTGCAGAGGCGCCAAGTACTTTTTGGGCACGAGTTCCCATGCTTTCTTGAGCTTTTGCACGGGCTGGAAGTTCAGCGCACCATAGATGGCAAAGCACGTGTAAATGTTGTCGAGCGCAAGGCAGTGGCTCAAGGCTTGCAAGAAGAGCTGGATGAGTTTGGCCTGCTCCTTGAGGGTTTCGTTCTCGCTCAGCGAGCAAATTTCCGTGGCAATCCAGAACGTCTCCTTTTCCAGGCGGTTGACAAAGGCGTCAAGATGAGAGGTGCCGGTTTGGTTTGTGCTGGCCTTGAGCTGCTCCTTGCGGCTCTTGCTCGGCCACAAGTAGTTGATGTAATCGTTGCGGCTGATGCGGGAGAAAATGTGGTGGTCATAATACGTCAGCTGCTCGGCCAGCTCCTTGGGCTCCATTTCGATAACAATTTTAGGAAGCATCTTGGACAGCTTGGTGGAGGTGCGCTTGAGAAGCTCCGAGGCATCCTCGCCCTGCAGCTTTCGCTCCTCCCACCGCTGACGCTGCTGCTGAACGGCATTGTTGATGGACTGGTAGTACGCCGTGTATTCGCCTTCGCGCAGGCCGTTCAGGAAGGTGTGCACCTGCTCTTGCAGCACGGGGTCCTCCTCGACGTCCATCCAGTGGTGTTTCATCCAGTGCAGAATCATGGTCAGCACCTTGGGCCGAGTGGACGACTTGAGCTTGAGCGTGGACGAACCTGTTGCAGACATGCCAAAAATGTCGGTTTGCGAGCCGCCAACAGCCGACGTCATCGTTGCAGAAGCGTCGCTGACGCTCTCGACCGAGCCGGCGCTTTGCAATGGCGGCTGGCCATCTGGGCCGGCAGCCGCGATTTGGGCGGCGGCCCCAGCGTTACCAGTGCCCTTGAACTTGGCGACGAGCGCCTCGAACAGGACGATGGGCTTGAGGAAGCTCTTGTACGTAAGGAAGAAGGTGTCCGAGTAGTCCACGTCCTTGTCAATGTCTTCCGTCATGCAGTCAATGAGACGCTCAAAGGTCGCCGTCATCACGAGCACTTCGTCGCGATCTGTGCGGTATGTGATTTGCGTCTCGGGGTTGGTGTAGGTGAACTCTGCGCCGGGGGCCACAATTCGGGGCAGCGACTCAAAGTCCATGGTCGCCGCGGGCGTTGTGCCAGGAATAAAGTCTTTGGAACGAGCCGTGCCAGACCCTGACGTCAAATCCAGCGCGCCAGCCGACGACTTGCGACCCTTGCTGGTGTTGGCTCGGAAGAGGAACTTGCGCCCGCTGTTCGGCGAGCCTCCCGTGCCGGTGGACGTGGTCGAGGCCGCGGCCCGCGCCGCCAGGGCTGGTTTTGTACTCGAAGGTTGCCTCTGCGCTGCCCGCGTCTGCTGCTGCTGCTGCTGCCTGCTGTGGTACTGGCAAGGCGCTACTGCTGTTGCTGGGCTGGAGGACGGGACTGCCATCGTTGCTATACGTGGGGTGGACAATGGGTGTGTTGTAGCTGGGGCTGCTGCTGCTGGAAGGTGAGGATGCTGGCCGTGACGGTGCCGCTTGGGCTAGTGCGGCCAGTCGGGCTTCCGAGCGGTTCGAGCCCGAGGTCGCTGAGCGACGGCTGCGAGAGGGAGCTGAGCGAGTTGGAGCGGGAGGAGGAAGACTTTCGTCGGAAGAAGGACGAGAGACCGCGGCGTTCCCGCTTGCTAACGCTGTCTGTGCCGCTCAGAGTGCTATTTGGGGATGATCCTGCTGACGAAGTTGGGGACGACTTGTCAGACCCAGGGTCGGGGCTAGTGGGGGATTCGCTGCCGTCCTGGCTATTGACGCGCGTGGCAGTTTGGTTGCTAATCGAGTGTGATCGCACAAGTCGACCACGCTGGGGCTCGCTCACGGCCTCGGCAGTGGCCAAGTTGCGCACAGGCGAGGCTGGCAAGCCCGTGCTGTCAAACACTGTCGAGTCCTCGTGGATGCTCCTTCGCGCGGCCATGGCCGCCTGTGCAGAGTACGAATCGCGTCTGGCAATGTGTTTGCGCAGCATCGGAGGCGAGCCCGGTGTCGATCCGGTGCGAGATGCAGCAGCAGCGGCGGCAGCAGCAGCAGCAGGAGAGGCTGTTGCCACTGTGGCATCGGCAGCGGCGGTCGCATTTGAGACTGGTGTGCTGTTATTGGCTGACGAGGAGGAGGAGGAGGAGGAGGAGGAGGAGGAGGCTGCCTCCGCGCTTGCCTGGGCGGCGTCGGCTGCAGCGCCAGTCTGCTCATCGACGGCAGTGTCTGAGAGTGAGCGCGGCGACATGGATTCAGCAGAAAGCGTCCGTTTCGGCAGCGACAGGGCAGAGCTGGATGCGAATGAGGCGGTCAGCGGGGCGGACGGCGGTGGTGTCGGGATGCCTGTCAATGATTGGCGTCCGGCTGCGGCTGCGGCTGCGGCGGCTGTGGTTGTGTTGATGGTAAGGCAGCTGCCAGACGGCGAGATGGGCGACGTTGGCGGAAGTTGCGATGAAGTAACTGCTCCAAAAAAATGAAGAAAAAAAATAAAGAAAAATAATAAAATAATAAAAATAAAAATAAAAAGATAAAATAAAAAAATAAAGTGAGTCAACAACAATAACAACAACAACAAGAAAAAACCGCTTTTTCACCACTGAAGCGTAAGCAACAAGAACCAGTTCAAAACTGATGAAGGGAAAGAGAGAGAGAGAGTGAGGGAGGGAGAGGGAGGGAGGGAGGGAGGGCATGAGGGGTGGAATAAACCAACTGAAGAGAGTGGTTTGTGATCAAACAAACAACAATACCGCAGTTTAAAAAAAAAAAAAAAAAAAAAGTCAATGAAAAATAGCAACAATCATAAACAGAAAAAAAAAAAAAAAAAAAAAACTCAAACGAGCGGGGTTTTGGAGTTGGCAAACGAAGAGCTCATCGCGTGCAGCTTGTTGAGCGAATGAAGCCACCCCAGAGAGACAGGGAGAGAGAGAGAGGACGAGGGGAGGGGAAGCAGAGCAGGAGAGAACGGTTGAAAGGAGAAAAAAAAACAAGGAATGAAAAAAAAAAAAAAAAAACAAAGAGGTGGAATTTTTCGCAAGCAACAGCAGTCGAAGTGCTGCTGCTTCAGAACGCAGCAAGGGTGTCACTGAGGCGTGTGGTGAGCTGCATGTGTGGTGCGACCGCTGCAGCCGCACAGGGACGAAGGAGACGGGGGAACAAACAAATTCCACCACCAAAACAACAACAAAAAAATATTGTTGAAAAATTGAAATAAAAAAACCCCTCACACGACCGCTGGCTCCCTGTCCCGCTCGGTCCCCGACTCTCGCTGTCCACCCGCTCTGTTAAAGGAGGACTTTGGCTAGTGCTTGCTGGTGAAGCAGTCGCACGGAGGCGAGGCAGGAGGACGTCGTCGGAGAAGGAAGCAACGGACGGAGCGAGAAAACACCCTCTCACTGCGCTTTCAGGCAAGAAAGCATAGAGAGTATCCGGAAAAAACGCCCGAAACGAAAAACCCCATACCAAGCGCAAGGTACCAAATGGTACACAACAAGAAACGCACCGAACGAAAAAAAAAAAAGTAAAAATAAAAAAAAATAGAATGGTTGCCCAAGCGACTTGACTTCAAAAAAAGCATGTCGATGCATGAACGCATTCACGAAAAATGAGAACGACGAAAGACAAATAGCGTGGAAGAACAGTCCTCCACAGGAGCAGAAACGAAGCAGAGACGAGAAGAACGGAAGCAATCAACACGACTCATCGGATTTTGCTGTTGCTCGGGAGTCACAGCCCGCTGACAACGCCCGTGGGCCACATGCCACTCCAATACATACACTGACACGGGCAGGAATGAAAAGCGTGTAAACACAAGAGACAACAGAAAAAATTCGCCGAAACAAAAAGGAGTCGGCCGAGAACCTCCACATTTCGCTATTCCACTCCCAACTGCGCTCGCAGCAAACCACGAGGCGACACCCATGACAAAGGTCGTGTGCATCAAGAAGGAGCAGCCCTCGCGACGGCATGGAATGAGCCAGAGGCTTTTTTGCTCGAAACCTCAGATCAAAATCGCTGCGGTTTCAGATACCAATAGCGGCAATTCCAAGCCCCACCCCCGTGTGAACACAGGACGCTCCGCCAATCACTTCACGGCATGGTGCAATGCAAAAGCAAACCAGGAAACCAAAGAATGTGCACGTCGCAAGAGAGAGAGAGAGAGAGAGAGAGACCGACAGTGCGAGAGAGAACCGCACGACAACAACCTACCGCATGCATGGAAATCGGCGCCGTCCAATCCGACAAGTACTTGGTGTAGGTCAAAATCGGACATGATTGGCACGCTGTCGGCTGTGAGAGGAGGGACCGGCATTGTTTTCAAAGACAAACAATGCAGGCAGGAGATTCAATCAGAATTCAATTCAGAATTTTTGAAGAGTGAGCTTTGTTGGTACTGAAAATGAATTGGGGATGGTGCGAGAACACAAATGGCACACGAGAGTGCGATGGTGGACTGCCAAGACAGGTTCACGTTGTGTGTGAACTTGGAGGCGAAATACATCCAAAATCCAAAGAAAAAAAAGTGCAACCCAATCCGTATCTCCGTTCCTCGGGTCAACGTGTGCGCAATAGCAGTGCAACGTCAGCTGTAATCCAAGAGTCACTCGGTAGGATGTTGGAGCGGAACGGACAGAAAACTGCGCCAAGTGCGAAGATGGAGTTTTGGTGCGAAGAGACACTTGTCCGACACGTGCGGGAAAGTTTCCAACGAGTGTCGCCGTTGCGTTACGTTTGGGTGGGAGCGGTGTGGTTTTCCCCTCTTCCGGGGGGGGGGGTGCACGTACCTGGGTTGAGGGTGCTTGAAATGCTGAGTGCGAGGCCATCGAGCGGCAGTGATGGAACGTATAGCAAGGCGAAACGATTGAGCAACCCTTCCAATGTCGCTGTGGTCGCTGAAATCTCGATCTGGATGCTGCGCGCCGGATCTAGGACGGGCAGGCCACTGTGCATGTTGGCGGGAGATGGGTAATGTCGAACGATCGAAATGTCAACCAAGCAAAAGATCCATCAGACTTGGAAGTGAGTGACAGAGGACACCAAGCAAGTACAAGATAAGTGCATGAACGTGAGAGATGCATGAGGTAAAAGAGGTAAAAGCAGCCCGAGCGGGGATGAAATATCAGCTGACGGCACATGTGTCCGAGCGAGAAGAAAAACATCCAGACGGAATGTTCAATCTCGAAGATCATCGCAATGGCGTTCAAAGGGGGGGGGGGCAATGGAGAACCGAACGAAAAGCCAGGATGATGCATTTCAGAGACGGCATTCATTTTTGAATCAGCAACGTGTGGAGAGGTCAAGGGGGGTGGAGGGGGTGGAAGAGGTTAATAGGACAAGATAACGGCATCAAAAAGCGCCACGCGGGGGCTCTTTGTTGTCACTCGTTCGCTCTCGGATTGGCTTCGACATGCTCCAAAAAGCAGATCAGAAGAGCAAGACCAGTGTGATTGAGGTAGGAGACCCCAAGCGAGCACTCAGCCATGTAAAGGTGTCAACTGCACATTCACTCACGTGTGTCACACTGGAGCCCCCTACCACGCACGCACACTCTCTGACTGGAATGACGATGCCGAAAACGGGCACTGAAGCACCACAAGCAACAGCAAACAGTCTGATTGGTTGCATGGGTGGCAGAGCGAGAGGCACCACGCGATTAGTGTAAATCAAGTAAGCAGCGGCAATTATTGCTTCTTTTTGGCTTCCATGTTGTTGTCGGACATTCCTTCGCTTCTCTAGTAGATGGACTACGATACTGATGTGTGTGCCATTCATAGCGTGGTTGGGGTCTGCTACCCAAACATCCTCCGCAAAGAAAGAAAGGAGCAGAATCGCCCCCCAAAAACACCTATTGAGCACGATTGGAACGCAGTGTGACTGACACACACTCATTGGCTGCCGTCGTCTGAGACAGCCCGCAGCACAATCGTCCCGCAACAGAGAACAGCAAGAGAACAGCAAGAGAACAGAGAGAAGAGAGGAGAGCATGGCAAACGACCGTGTTGTAATGCAAAGATCGATGCTCAAGTCGAAGGCGTGGTTGGATCACAAAAAGAAACAGGATCACAAAAGAACAAAAAAACAAATTCCATCGTGGCGGGTCAAGGCAAAAAAAAAAAAAAATAATAAAAAAATGTTGGAAAAACAAAAAGAACAGAGAAGGGGAGCGGGGTGTTTGAAGCTGGGATGGTGAGAGTGTTGAGAGAGAGAGAAGAGAGCAGAGAGAAGGGAGGAGAGACAGACAGAGCAAAACGGAAGAGCAGAACAAAAAGGGCGTGGAACGCAAATCCCATTCGATCGCTTTTTTTTTTTTTTTGGCCTCTGTTCGCTTCTGTCCATCCTCGCCACCCCATCGACAGACACGTATGAATGAAACAAAATGAACGGAGGCGATCGCCAAAAGTAGGAAGACGCGAATGTGCGAGAGAGCGAGAGAGAGCAAGAGCAATGTTCACACCTGGACGCAACGAGGGACGGACTGCGGCGATGCTGAACGGTGACGCGAGAGGTCTGCCCGCTGATGCCGCGCTTGAGCGTCGACTGGGTCACGGCGAAATCAACTCCGTCTGCACCCCCTGCAATGGCTGCCTCTTCCATCCGCGCCTTGGCTATCGCGGCCACGGCAGCGTCTTGGCTCGCCTTTCGCTTGCTCTTTGGCGACGAAACCATGCTGTTGGATGAAAAAAAAAAAAAATAGAAAAAAACAAATAGACTGCCCTTATTGCTGTAAGATCCAGATCAAAGCAGCAGTTGAGTCAGGATGGATGAGCAATAGAGGTGGAGTCATGGTGAAGGATGAAGGATGATCATGGTTGACACACGACGGTCGACAAGCGGCGAGTGGAAAGCGGATGGAGAGGATCTTGAAAACGGATCTTTGGATCTGTCTGCGTGACGCCGGAGTCACCCACGGCGAACGGCAAAGTCAGCACCCCCTCCGACCCGACCCGGACGCACATGTCGCGTGGACAGGAAGCAATCTGCAAGACGGAACACATCAGCGCACGCGAAGAGTCAGAGAGAGGAAGGCAGAGAGAGTCAGACAGCAAAGGAGGTGGGAAAGGGAAAGCGAAAAACCAATCCGCAAGATTCGCATCCGCTTGAGAACATTCAAAACACTGCATGACAACAGTGACAAACAGCGAAAACAACCACAATGAGCAACACGGCAGAGGGGGGGGGGGAAACAGAGCAAACAGAATCAATGGGACGATGGCTGGGAGTCCAACAGCCCGAGAGAGAACGAGAACAGCCAAAGTTCGTCCCATTTCGAACATTTCGAACGGTAGAATTCGCAACAGCAAGTGCAAGACAAGCCACCGAAACTTGTGTCAACTCAAAGCAGCACCAATCAACAAAAAGCACAAGCGTCCTTTGGCATGTCTGAGCGAACACACACACTTTCCAACTCTCAGTCCTCCCTTCTCAGTTTAGTTTTTCGCTCCAGTTACATCCAGAAGTCGAAAATGGACTCTGCTGCCACACCGATGCTGCTTCAGCCGCCACGAATCTACCCACTAAGCACGCTTGATGAATTATTGCAATGGAAGTGCCCGCGCATGCCATGGGAAGGAGCGACTACGGACGATGAAGCCGAGTTGCGAGCACCCAATCCCAATCCCAATCCCGATCCAGCGAACGCGGCCACTCTGGCAAACCACAAGAAGGCAGACGCATGGCATCGTGCTTGGGTTTGCTATGCCGCAGAGAGCACGTGGGACGCTCCGTCGACGACTGCGGGCGACGTGGACGGATTGCGGCCAAAACGCAATGCAAGTCCACCCGCGCGCCGTTCGCTGCTGGTCTGCCACGACATGATGGGAGGATACCTCGATAGTGATGCGCTGGTCCAAGGCCAGCCACGCAGCGCTGTTCGGAACCTTAACGAGCCCAGCTACAACATGGTGCATTGGCAGACAGTCGACCAATTTGTCTACTTTTCGCACCATCTCGTCACCATTCCGCCGCCTGGCTGGACGAATGCTGCTCACAAGCATGGCGTCCAAGTCCTGGGCACGTTCATCACCGAGTGGGGCGATGGGGCAAAGCTGTGCAAGACCATGCTGGCCAATCGCGACGTGATGGTGCAGGCGGCCAACAACCTCGCTGCCATCGCCCAGTTCCATGGCTTTGATGGCTGGCTCGTCAATATCGAAAACCCCATTGCCGAGCAGGACATTCCGATGCTCGTGGACTTTGTGACCCACCTCAAGATTGCTGTAAAGCGCGTCCTTCCCAGCGCTGTCGTCATGTGGTACGATTCCGTCACCACCGACGGGCACTTGTCCTGGCAAAACGCCCTCAACCGGAACAACAAGGTGTTTTTCGATGCTGCAGATAGCATCTTTCTCAACTATGGCTGGACGCTTCGCGGTCTGCGGGAATCTTCATCCGCGGCTGCCGGCTCGAGCAACTCTTCCCCGCATGACGTATTTGTGGGCGTGGATGTCTTTGGGCGCGGCTGCCGTGGTGGAGGCGGCTTCAATGTGACAGAAGCCTTGGAGGTCATCCGGGAGCACAACCTCTCTGCTGCCGTATTCGCACCGGGCTGGGTCTATGAAAACCTCGACAAGGCGAAGCTTTGCGAGCACCAGCATCGATTCTGGGCAAGTGTGGCTGCTGCGCATGGCGAGCCACTCCGACCAATCTCGGCGCTTCCGTTTCTGAGCACCTTTGACAACGGCCACGCAGATCCCTTGGCAGTCCAAGAACCACACCACACTCACGCCGCACCTTACATGCATCTCAGTGCTCAGACCGTTCAGCCATCCTTCCTTCCGTTGGTGTTTTCTCATGGCGCCAAGGAGTCTCCCAACGTGACCAAGGCGCTTCAGCTTGCCGCGAGACAGATGGGCGAGCCTTGGGGAGTAGACGCAAGTGAATGGCTCGCGAGTGTTGCGCATCCAGATGTGCTTCAATCTGCCTTTCAGAGCTGCAGGCCATTTGATGGTATCTCGGGCGGTCTTCAAATCTGTGGCACGTTGCATGCAGCTCGTATTGAACGGCCAGCGACAGGCACGGAAACGCTGGACGTTCACTTCTTCTTGCGCGATCATTCGCGCACACTCCGCCTGTTCAAGACTGACTTCAACATGGAGCTTGAATTGACTGTTGGCGTCGCCATCGCGGGAACCTTGGAGCAGCTCGACGTCTACCTCCAGCTCTTGACCGACTCCAGCGTGCAAAGCCGGTATCTTGATCTCTCGCGCCACTTGGTGCTCAATGGCCTAGAGGTGCCTGCCGGTGAAACAGTTCAGCTCACGCCCAACTCTGCCATCACGCAGCCGCGCAAGTCCGCACAGCGGCCAGGTGGCTGGACGTTGCTCGAGTTTGAGCTGGGCGGTGATACGATCGGGCGTGTCTGCGAAATGCGCCTTGTTGTGACCCCACGTTTCAGTCAGCCGTCAGCGTCAGAGGCGTCATCATCACTCGCCGCTGTGGAACCAATCCACTTTCAACTTGGCATGGTCAACGTCGCTCCAAAAGCCTACCTCTCGCAGGAGAATGCAGCGTTTGGCCTCGCGCCCGTCCAGCCCGGCGCGTTCCATTCTTGGAATGTATCCCTCGCCAGTCCCCTTCGGGCGACCTCCGATGCGCTTGGCTTTGATGTCCAGTGGCAGCCTTCGGCATGGCTCCTTCAGCGCACTGCATCCACGCCGCAGCAGCTCGCGCAACTCGTCCACGCCTTTGAAGTGGAAGCTTCATTCTTTGTTCCCGGCCAGCCCCCATCAAGCTCGGTCACTCTCGGCCGGGCGTACGCCTGGAAGTTCCGTGTTTCGAATCTGGCCATTCCCCGCGGCACGACTCAAGTGCGTGTTACCGTCCGAGGCATATCTCGCGTCCTTTCTGAAGCTGGTGCCGGCCATCTCATCATCCTCGTTTAAGTCGGGATCCAGCCATTTTTTGGAGGAGAATGATTCGATCTTGCCATTGTACAGTTACGTTCGAGTTCATAAGAACGCCCAAAGCAACAAAGAGCAGGCAGGGGCATTTGCAGTGGCTCACATCGTGTCGAGTTCATCATCTTCCAGTTCAATCGTTGCTATTGCATTGCGTGCTTATTCCAATAGTTATTTATTTTATTTTATTTTGTTTTCTCCCACAATCCAGTCCATTCAAAAAATCCACACGACCACCAACATCCATGAGTGAAGCAGCAGCAGCAGCCCCAGCAGACAGCGTCAGTTCCAAACTGTCCATGTCGCTGGACGACATTATCGCCAGCCGCCCCAAGGATCGCAAGAAGCCCGCCTCGTCCGACGCCGCTCCCGCTGCGGCCGGCACCAGCACCAGCACTAGCAACGGAGGCGGCCGTCGCAGTGGTCCCCGCAGCAGCAACAGCAGCAGCAGCACTGGTGGCGATCGTCGCGCGCCGTCCCGCGATGGCGGTCCCATCCGAGGCGATCGCGCATCCGCCCGTGGCCGCCGTCGCCAGCCATTCCCTGCCCATCGTGTGAGTGCCTTATGGAGGCGGGGGCGGGGGGGTGTTTGTGGAACGGAGGGAGGCAGGGGGAGGCGGGAAAGTTCTGCCGATAGAGAAATAGCAGAGCGGTTTGTTTGGACTGCAGCTGGGTTTGCTTACGATCGTGCTAACCAACGCGTCTATGATTGGGTATCAAAACCGTTGCTTACTCTTTTGTATGGGTTTTTTTTTGTGTTTTTTTTTTTTTTTTTTTGTTTTTGTTCTTGTTTTTTGCTTTGTCTCAACTCTGCGCTGCTGGATCGCCCCTTGCGCTTTGGACCCTCTTTGCCTACGCACTGTTTGCTCTCACGATCTTGTCCCTGGGATTAGCAACGCGACGAGTTCGAGGACGACGAGGACGACGAAGACAACTTCCAGGCGGACGACTCTGGACCGTTCGCAGCCGCCGCGTTCATCCAGGCGCCCGTTGCGATTGGATCGGGTGTGCATGGACGTCTGTCTGCCGCAGGATCCTCGTCGGAGGTCTCGCTCGTGGTCGGCAACCTCGCTGCCAACATTAACAAGAACGACATGTCCGAGCTCTTTGCCAACAACAACCCGACCAGCGTCAACATCTTCTCTGCACCCGGCTCAGACACTGTCATTGCCCACGTCGTCTTCAGCTCGCTGGCTGCTGCCAAGGCTGCCCGTGACAAGTTCCACGGCCTTCAGCTTGACAGTATGGATGAAGGGATTTTTTTTTTGATTTTTTTCGTTTTTGTTTCGTTTGTCTCGGCTGGGTCATTGTGCGCCTTCATGCTCACTTTTTGCCCTTCTTCTTTCTTCTTGTTCTTCTTGCTCTTCTTGTTCTTGTCTGAACAGACCGCGTCATGGTGATTGGTTTGATCACATCGTCGGCTTCGTCCGCACCGGCCGTGCCTCAACAGCAGCAGCACTCTGGCTTTGCCCAGCCAACCATCATCCCTGTGCAGTACGTTCTCGTCGAATGATGCTGCGCGTGTGTGTAGATGGCACTTTACCAACACTGCTTTGTCCATTTGCAGAGCCTTGGAGCAACTCTACCAGGGCTACCAGCAGCACGCCCCGACATACTCTGGCGAGCGTCGCCACAACGATCGCTCGAGCAGCCGCGGCGACCGCGATGATCGTCGTGGCGGCGATCGAGGTGCTCGTGGTCGTCAAGACCGTGGTGCCCGCCCAGAGCGCCCTGCCCGTCAAGAGCGTGCTCCGCGTGAGGCGCCTGCCAGCAGCGAGACCCTCGACTCGCAGCTCGACAGCTACTTTGCTGTACGTAGAAAGTTAACAGAGGCTGTTGTACACACTTTTTCAAGGACTCACTCTTTGTTTGTGCGGTTGTTCAGAACTGAGGTTGAGGAAGATTTGAGATCAAAGCGCAGCACGCTTCTCTTTCGCCTGGTTTGTGCGAGTCGTCCCCTAAGTTGATTGGTTTTGGTAGTGGAATTGCTTTTTCTCCGTCTTTTGTGCTTTTATTCCAAAATGCAACATAACATGCAACGTTTTTTGGTTTGAAAATGTCTTGGCTTTTGTTTCGGTCGTGTTTCGGCCGTGTTTCGGTCGTGTCTCTTGGTTTCTCGACTTGCTGTTGTCTTTTGCAAGAACCAACTTGCATTGCCATATCTCCCTTTCTGAGCTGTTCTGAGCTACAAAACGCTCTTCGGTTGATTTTTTCAGTCTTTGCGCTCCTTTCTCTTTAGTTGATCTGATCTGACCTGATCTGATCCCACAAACATGCCTACCGCATCTTCCGGCGTCTTTCAATCTGAATTCTGAATTCTGAATTCTGAATCGTCATCCACCACACCCTCTTTGTTTCTTTTCTCAGTTTTTTTTTTTTTTTTTTTCCTTTTTCAAATTTTCAAAACCACGGCTATTTCTTCTTCTTCTGCCGCCCTCACTGCTGCTGCTGCTGTTGCTGCTGCCTCTGCCTTCCGCATCTCAGCATCCACTGCACTCGTCCTCTCCTCCTCGTCCTCCTCCTCCTCGTCCTCTCTCTTCTCATCCTCATCCTCAGCAGCAGCAGCAGCAGCAGCAGCAGCAGCGGCGGTCGCTCCCACTCGTGGTCCCGCCTTCTTCTTAACTCTTCCACCTCCGACCAGCGACTCTGTGCTGCTGCGGCCTTCCAACAACCACCGCTACCGCTGCTTCTCATCGTCATCACTGCCACGCTCAGCCACCCTGCTGCAGCTGCGCTCCACTCTGGCAGCAGCATCCAACAACAGCAACAGCATTAGCAAGCAACTGCAACCCGCTGCTGCTGCTCCGACCGCCGCCGCGTTCTCATCCACTTGCTCACCCACTTGCTCATCCTCGACGCTTGCCCAGTGGAAACCCGCAGGAATGCTCGCTCTCGAACGCCAGCTGCTCGCTGCGGCATCGACGGGCGACGTCGTGACTGTGCGCCGCTTGGTCGAGATGGGATTGTCATCATCCGCTTCCCGCCTCGCACTCGACGCGCCAGACTCGCGCGCATGGACGCCGCTCATGCTGGCCTGCCGCGGGGGTCATGTCGAGGTCGTCGACGCTCTGCTGGCCTCCCGACGCGTCAACCCCGCGCTCACAAACGACTCGGGCATGACCGCACGGACCATTGCCGCGTTTTGGGGCCATGTGGACGTAGACAAGCTGTTTGACAAGTACGGCCATCACCATGCCACTCCATCTGCATCTACGACGAGTGCTGCCACTACGAATACTAACACTACTGCTGCCACAACCACGACGACAAGCTCAAGCACCTCAAGCACCTCAAGCGTTCCGCCCGCTTACCTCCCTTTGGCCGAGCACCTTCGCATCACTGCTCCCTCGACGCCTTGCTTTTTTGGCGCAAGCGACATCGACCGGTGCCACTTGCAACGATCCGACGCTGCTTGGCTGGACGAGGCGCTCCAACACTCGGCCACCCGCTTCCTCGCGTTCAGTGAAATGCGTCCGTTGCTCAAACTCCCGACCGCGAACGTTGACGACGAAGCTGCAGTGCAAAAGGGCATGCGCATCGCTTGGCTCACCCATGACGAAGTGAGCTCCTATCTCGCTCGTGGCGCGACTTGGATTCTGCTTGGCGCAAAACCGCTCGAAGTCGCCGCAAAGAATCTGCCAACTGCCTCATCGGACGACGTGCTCCTTCCCGCGTCTGCAGCAGCCGGTGCTTCCCCTGCCAGCGACGTGCTTGCCGCCGTAGAGGCCTCCTCCTCCTCCTCCTCCTCAACAGTCGATCAGTCCCCCCTTGTGACCATTGCTGCCTTGACCTCACCGTCCACTGCCGGAGCAGCTTCCGCGTCTCGCCCCGCTTCACCAAGTACTCAAACGGTGCCCAAGAAGCGCAAGCCCGTCTTTTCTACATCAGTCAAGCGCGTGCTATTTGCCATTGACGTCTCCTCCATCCAGGCAACCACCACCACCACCACAACCACCACCGGCAACGGCAGTCGACCAGCCTCACGTCCGTCCTCGCAGCCGCCGAGCCCCGGTCCGGGGTCGAGCGCGGCCACCACGCCTCTGGCGTCCGCGGGTGCTGCTCGACCACTCGCTGCCACTGCTGCTGCGCCTCTGCGCAACCTCGAGACGCCCTTGGTGCAAGAGTTCCAGCGAATGCGGCCTGCCTCGTTCTTGTTGTCGCCTGGTGATGCAGCACTTGTCGGTCAGGCTGCGGCAGTCATCGACTGGCATGCTCGCCACAAGTTCTGCGCCGCATGCGGCAGCGCCACTCAGCCAGCGGAGGCCGGGTACAAGCGCAAGTGCAGCAACGTGGAGTGTCTGTCGCAATCGGGCGTTCACAACTTTGCCTACCCTCGCGTCGACCCTGTTGTGATTATGCTCGTTCTCAGCCCCGATCGCAAAAAGGTCTTGCTCGGACGCCAAAAAAGCTTCCCGCCAACGGTCTATTCGTGTTTGTCCGGCTTTATGGAGGTTGGCGAGACCATCGAAACGGCTGTCCGCCGCGAGATTTACGAGGAAGCCGGCATTCTGGTGGGCGATGTCACCTACTACACCAGCCAACCCTTCCCCTTCCCATCGTCCTTGATGATTGGCTGCTTTGCGCAAGCCCTGTCCACCGACATTCAACTGCACGACAAGGAGCTCGAGTCCTGCCAATGGGTGACGCGCGAGCAGCTCCTTGATGCACTCAGCAAGTCAACAGACACCATGCCCACGCCCGCCCAGCGATCGTCCTCTGCCCCTCGCTCCCGCACCAACAGCGCCAGCGCCAACTTCCGGCTACCCCCTCCGTTCGCCATTGCCTATCAATTGGCCAAGGCCTGGGCACACTCGACCCAAGCCCATTTGTAGAAGAGCTGCTTGGTTTTTGGTATTGTGTCGTTCAGTTGTGTCGTTTCCTCTTTTTTTTCGTTTTCTTTTTCTTTTTCCTTTTGTTTCGTGTTTACGATTGGTCGGCAAAGCTGCTTCCAAAGTAAAAGCTGCATTTACTCCAAATTCAAAGTAAAATTGGTTGTAATTGGTTTGGTTGTATTTTTTTGTGATCATCGATCGAAACCAATGCTCCGAAAGAAACTCATAACGTGGTGGACGGAAGCGAATCGTAGGCTCGAGTCGTGGTGCTCCCGCTCGCAGCATCAGAGCCGAGTGGCGACAGGGATGCGCGTTGACGGCTTTCGTACTCGGCCATCTTGAGCATTGCCGACGCCAACTCGGTGCGGAGCAACCGCGCCGTCTGACGTTCACAGTCCAGGTCCTCGAGCACGTCCTGAAGGGACATCGAGGACGATGGTTGCTGGGACGTGGGTGCTTGTGATGCACCTTTGCGCATCCGTTGGAACAGGCCAGACGCGGCAGAGGCTGAATGGACCAGCTCTGGTGGATTGGCGGGAGGTAACGCAGCACTGGCACCAGCACTGGCACTCACATGAAGCGGATTCTGAATCGGGGCGTTGAACGACGTCGTCGTTTGCCGCGAGGAGTTCGGATGGGCGGCGGACCTGAGGAGTAATGGCGGCTTCAGGTCTAACGAGACTGGATGCAGGACTCCTGGCTTCTCGGGGCCGACAATGAGCATGCTGGATGACTGACTGCGCGAGCGCGTCGCATTGTTGGACGAATTGGACGTGGTTGTAGGAGTAGGAGTGGTGGTGGTGGTCGTGGTGGCCGTGGCGGAGTGCGTCTGCTCCTCACGCGGTGGCACTGCCGAAGCATCAAACTCGACACTTCCTGAGGCCCCAACCTGAGAGAGTCGGAACGACATCATGCGCCGACGCTGCACCTGAATGCCGTGAGACAGCATTTCTGAAGCGCGAGCGGGTCGCGACGGCAGCTCGTACGAGGCGGAAAACTCTGAGCTCTCTACCATGGACAATCCGGCGAGGGCAATAATCAAAGCCAGGCGCAACTCGGGATTGCACAGGAAGGCAGTAGGATGATACAACGCCAAGTAAGGATCCGCCTCAGCCATCGCCCTGTCCACCTGCTGCGCTAAAATTCTGCGCTCGAGGCAATAGCGAACCCAGGCCCGGCCTCGCGCAAAACCCGATCGAAGCTCTTTGAGTTGGACGATGGGCTCCAAGTCTACCGCCTGCTCGGACAGTTGCAGTAGCTGCCAGAAACTGGACTTGCCGAGGGACATTTTCAAGCCGTGGGCCCAAATCCGCTCCAAGGTCAGGCAGAGAAGTGTCACCAGCGTTTCTTGGTTGTGTCTGGTAGAATCTCGCAGCTGGACGGTGGAGTCTGCCTGGGACGATGACGCGGCTCCGCCGGGCTGGCGTTGGCTTGGGTTTCTAGTTGCGGCAGAGCTCTCGGCGCCATTGAGACCATTCGTCTCGGCTAGACCAGTCACATCCGCGTTGGCAACTTGGCCATCGTAGGATAGGCTGCGTCGGTGCAGCTTCTTCTCAAATAACGTGGTACTCAGGCCGAGCTGCTTGGCAGAACCATTATTCGGATTTTGTCCCAAGCCCAGCCTTCTTGATGATGTCTTTGCTGCCGTGCTCGATGAGGAAGAAGATTGTGAGCGTGCTGCGGCGCGTTCAAACTTTGCGGCGACCTCGGGGAAGGAGCTGGTTGCGTGCAGCTTGATGAGGCGATGAACAATCGCATTCACGGCCGCAAGCATCTCGGCACAGTACTTGTCATTGCTTGAAAGAACACTTTGCTGGCTGCTGCTATCGGGCAGCTGCTGGTAGGAACCCCTCCCTCGGAAGGAGTCTGCAATCAATCGATTGGCAGCAGCGCCACGAGCCGCTGTTGGGGTCGACGCGTCCACGCTGGTAATCGGCATGGTGGACGGTGACACAAAGCGCAGTGTCTCACTGGAGGCGGTGATAGACATCCCGGATCGACTGGCCACCTGAGGCGTGGTCAGGCCAAAGGACAGGCTGGCCGTCGCCTCGCCCTCGTCCATCTCTGCTCCATTGGCAAAGCCACCAGCGTCGAGTGCGGCGGGAGCCGACGATGCAAACACAGACACGGGCTCGAAGCCCTCCTCGTCCAGCAAGCGGCTCCGATCCTGCAAGGTGCGTCGCGGAGTCGCACGCACCGCAAATGCTGCTGCAGCCATGTTGTCCATTGCCACATTTGGAGTCGTGACGGCGATGTGGGGGTGCTGCGAAAGAGCGTCTGCATCGCTGCCGTCAGAGAGCAGAGTGTCGGCATGCTGCTCCACACCAAGGGCTGTTCCAGGGCCAAACGCTTCGGGCGGAGCGACAACAGCCGCAGCGGCTTGCGAGGCGGGTCCAGTTCGCGCGTCCATCGGACCAGAAGCGGACACACTCGTGGTCTGGGTGGACAAGAGCGGAAAGTGGCCTTTGGCGAGAGAGCGCGGGTGATTGGCAAACATGGCTGGCCGAGGCTCCGGCGCACGAAAGCCGTCTTTGCGACGACCAGAAGTAAACAGCAAGGCGGTCAGATTGTGGTCGTCGGTCGAGAGAAATCCGCTGCTTGCATCGCCACCCATAGAAGCCGTTGTAGGAGTACCAGCAGCGTTGCCACCACCACCACCACTCGCCGAGGACATGAACTGATTTTGGATGGATCCAGCGCTGGCACTGCTGCCAAAGGCAGAAAGCAACCCTCGGATGTGAATCTGATCCAGCGAGTCGCCGTCAAGACTAGGCGCCAGGAGGGGCGGTGGGCGAGTCCGCCCGACAATGGCAGTCGGTGGTGGCATCACCTGGCTGGCAGTGGCGACAGGCAACGGCTGTTGCGTGGGCGCCACCAAGTAGCGGAAGCGATAGCTCGACTTGCGCAGGCACAAATCAAAGAACTGGAGCTCGGGGCTGACTCGGCGATCGTCAATGAACGCATGGAAGGCCTGGGTGGAAAGCAAGTGCACCAAAAAGGAGCGGTCGCTGCTGGGCTTGTCGGCGACAAACCCAGCCGTGTCAAAATTGGTCAGCCAGCCGTCGTCTGTGCGAGCTGTTGCTGTCGTGGCCAAGCGCAGCATAATCTTGCGCGTGACGGAGGCGAGGGACGTGCCACCAGGTGTTTCAGAACCGTCTCCGCCCATCGACAATTGCAATGAACTGACGCTGCCACCTCCAATGCTGGGTCGACGTGTGCGTTTCCGCATGAAAGCCGCGATGGTCGAGCCACCCCGAGACTCGCCGCCCAGAATTGGCTCGGGATACAACTCTGTCGAGGCAGACATGCGGGTCAGCTCGTCCGAAGCGGTGCCCTCCAAGGCAGGGGGGTCGTTGCCAGGAGGAGGAGGATTCAAAAAGGACGAAATCATGTGCGTCAAGCTCCCAACACGAGTGCGAGATTGATCCGAGTTGTTCTGCTGTTGCTGTTGTTGATGCTGCTGCAGCTGCAATTGCTGCAGGGCGAGCCGCGACTCTGCCTCACGCAATGCAATGTCTTGATCGACACTGGAAACGCTAAAGTGACTTGGGACGCTCATGTGAGCCGAAAAGCTATGTCGTCGCCGTCGCAAGCCAGCCGGTGGCAACTGCAAATCTTGGCGGGTGCCTGGCATCGATGATGATGGATCTTGGCTTCGATCTCTTTCAGAGGAATCCTTCAATCCAGCGCCCGCCGCGTCTGTCTTATCATCCGCCCGGCCATGGACCACTGCTTCGCTGTCCACCACAAAGTCCTCGTAGCCGTCAAGCACGCCGGCGAAAAACTCAACAAAGGCCATGCGAATAACCATGGTGAGTTGTCGCTCATGGGCGTCCAGAAACGCAGCAGAGTTTTGCGCCTCCGCAGCACTGTCGCCAGAATGGGTGGCCAGACGCTCTGCTTCGACAGAGTTGAGGTGAGTGGCAAGCGTCGAATAGAGCTTTGAGTAGAGCGTCTCGTAATGAGTCAAGGGCAGCCGCGGCACGGGCTCGTCCGTCACCGGAACAATCACCGTTCCTGCGTCCAAGTCAACCCAGACCACTTGCTCGACCTCCTCCGGCGCCAGGCCGGCTTCCTCGACACTGAACGAGCGAAAGACCTTCTTTTTCTGGACCTGGCGATCAGTGTGTGCATCATCGTCGTGCATCAGGTTCAAGTTGCCGGCAGAGTCACGCCGTGGCGGAGACGTTGACGCCGACCGGGGCAGGGCCTCTGCCGATGCGTTCGCCCGGTCGCTCTCGTAGCTGTCGGACAAATTAGACGCCTCGGGCGCAACGCACGCCATTCCAACGACATAGGGCACTGGCGACTGCAAAAAGTGCCGGAGTTCAAGTGGAAGAATCGGAATAAAGATGTGCTGCCAGTGCAATGGATACAAGAGCGACTCTGCCGCCAGCACGCATGGCGACAAGAGCTCCAAGTCGCGCGATTTGAGGACGATGCGCTGTTCCGCCAGCAGGCACCGAAACAGCACGAGGACGTTATCAAGACCTGCAAGCGATGAGAAGAGTGTGCAAGGAACAGTGGGGAGTGTGAGCTGGCAGTGTGAGCTGGCAGTGAGGCGGAGTGGTCGTCGGACTCTTACCAAGACACTTGAACAACGGCATGAAGGAAAAGTCAAACAAAGGAAGCTCGTCCGTCGCTGGTCGTGTCACAAAGATGCTTTCCCGGCACTTGAACTCGACAATCTGGTTGGGTCGGGGAAGCGGGACTTCCTCCACTACTCAAAGATAAAAAAAAATCGGGAATTTTGCGAGTCGAGAGAAAGTGAGTCGATCCAGACGAATGCCCTGAATATCATGCCCACGTCCCTCATACATTCAAACTCACCAAGGTTGTGCACAAAGCATTCGAGGGGAATGTCCGTCTCCACTTCTACAAAGCTCGAATGGAGCTGGGTGAGATACTCGCGGAAGGCCGTAAAGGCCGGGTAGACGGAGGTGATGCACAAGACTTTTGGTGCAAACAATGGGGTGGACTCGTCACCAACTAGGAAGGGCAGAATGCTTGGAGGGACTGCCGCGCCATCAAAGTGCTCAATCTTGTAAATGTCACTGAGCATGCGGAGCGCAATCCGGACGTTCGGCGAAGTGACGCGCTCGTGGAAGAGCAGATTGGCGCCGTACAGCCGCGTTCCGTCCGACAAGGTCATTACGAACGTGTAAAAGACGGGCTTTCCTTGAGAACGTGAAAAGCGAATGCCGTTCGGCAGGCAGAACAACCCGAGCATCTCTGGATCAATGCAGTCGACCTCCTCCTGCGAGGATGCTGGATGCGCTTGCAGTCGATCTGCAGGGTTTTCAGACACTAGCGATGCGGTACTATCGAGCCGACGCGGTTGCGCCCGCCAATGCGGCCGACTCGCGGGATTGACTTGATCTTGATCTTGATCATCGTCGAAGTCTTGATCATCATCGTCGAAGCCTTGATCGTCATCGTCGTCGTCGTCGTCGTCGTCATCCGAGTCGGTTGACGTTGCAGAGCTTGACTGGTCTTGCAGGGACATGGAGAAGGAGGAGGACGGATGGATCGCGTCCGAGTCATCGCTCCGACGACCCGCGCGACGCCATTCGAGCGCCTGCAGCTCAGCGTCCAGAACGCTCGCATCCACGCCGATCGGGATGCCCCTGTAGCTCGGCTGCTGCAACGCAACGCCGCCCATTCCAGAGGCATTCGTGGCCGTCATGGTGGTCGTGGTCGCAGTAGCAGCAGCAGCAGTAGCCGTCGCAGACTGATGACGGTGATGACGACGCAGTCTCCGCCTTCGCCGCCTTCGCCGCGCTAGGATGGACGAGGTGACGCTCGACGCATCGTCATCCATTGCATTGGTGCTATTCTGTGACGACGCAGCAGCAGCAGCAGCATCAGCAGCAGCGTCGATGCGATGAATGTCCCGCTGGCCGTACGACGAGAGCACTGCGCCCTTGAATGCGAGGCAGAGCGGTGGCAATGCTGAGGACGACGAAGCCCACCCAGACGCAGATCCGACTCCGACGCCATGTTTGGGTGTTGCTGTTGCTGTTGCTGTTGCTGTTGCTGTGGTGAAGGTGGGGTCGGAGTGGGGCACGGGCGTCGCGGCGCTCACTGGCTGGATTGGCAATGGAAGCAGCTCGTTCGCGTCATCGAGTCCGAGCACGGCGAACTGGCGGACGAGCGGCGCCATGGGACCCAGCAAGCGATGCGTTGGGTCTGCGTTGGTATGATGCATGCCGGCGTGTGGGGCGGACGGCGTGGCAATGTTGTTGTTGGTCCCATGCGGATGCGAATGAGTGCGCGCTGGCATTACTGTGCAATACAAATACAAGACTGGAGAGTGAACCTTGTACAATGCGGATGAATGATTGAAAATGACATGTCTGAGCAATCTGAGCTCTTTAGTCTCAGTCCCAGTCTTCCTTTTAGTCACGAGCCGTTGTTTTTCTTTGTGTTTGGCTTTGGCTGCTTCTTCCTCAAACCACTCGTTATCTCTAAACAATGGACGAAGACGATGAACCCCAAGGCAGCGGCGGCAACCAGCAGTCGCAGATCGAGCTTGGTAAAGCGGAAAGCTTTTGGGGGGGGGCTTTTTTGCGCTTTTTCCAGTGCACAACCCCGCCGTCACTCCACTCTGCAGCTAGCTGTCGATATCATGTCGCTTGACCTCTTGGCTTCATTTGTTGCTCAAAGAGGCGGGGGCGAACGGAGCGTGCGTTGTTTGGCTATCGGGAGCGAACGAACGAAACAAAAAAAAACCCGGGAAAGTTTCGATTTTGGCGGGAAAAACCGATACTCACTCTGGTGTGCTGCCACACTGCCTTCATCTGCTCTGCCATCTCCTCCTCACAGACAACCGCACCGAGCAAGGCTTCCTGAGCTTCTACCGTGGGCTGCCTGAGGCACGTTGTCGCTGCTGCATGTCGTTCTGCCAGTGCTGTGGCTTTTCGCGCCAAACTTGCGTGCATTTCACTCATCTCTGTCCATGTCTCTGTCGTTTCCTTTTTGTTTGCATTTGTGTCCATGAGCAGAAGTCGGCAACAACTGTTCGCATCTTTGATCGACAGGTGAGTCTCCATCCGTGGCGCTCGCTGAAAAGGCCAGTTCATCGTTTTCTCACCTTCCCTCTTCTTCTTCTGCTTTAGGACTACTATTCGGTGCATGGCGACGATGCAGTGCTCGTTGCCAAGGAATTTTACCATACGCTTGCTGTGATTAAGCACATTGGAACAGGTACGCACGGCTCCTGATTTTTGCCAAAGAACAAGTCAGTCTCAATCATCACTCACAAACTGTGTCACTGTCACTTGTAGTGCCCTATGTCACAATGTCGCAGCTCATGTTCGAGACCATTCTCCGAGAGCTGCTCCTGTTGCGCCAGAATCGAGTCGAGGTTTATGCGCGTGAAGGCGGCAAAAACAGCAACGCGTGGGTCTTGTCGCGTCGAGTATGTGTTTTCTCTGATTGGATTTGGACATGTTGTGTGTGAGAGCATTTAAGTCTGTTGCTAATGTTGTTGTTGGTGCTTTCTTGCTTTGCAGGGCTCGCCTGGCAATCTGCAGCAATTCGAGGACATGTTGTTCACGGGCAATTCGGAAATGTCGACGTCTGCTGTTGTGATGGCCATCAAGCTGGGTGTTGATGATGGAAACAGGGTATGAATGCACACGGAGGAGATGGTTGCTCCTGAATGTCAACGCTCACTGGTCTCCACCAACCCGTTTTGTAGATGGTCGGCGTCTCGTTTGCCGACGCCACGCAACGCACAATCAGCGTCTGCCAATTTGCAGACAACGACCAGTTCTCCAACTTGGAGGCGCTCACCGTGCAAATTAGCGCCAAAGAGTGTCTGTTCACCTCGGAGGCCGGGTCTGCCGATTGCGCGCGTGTCCGCGTCGTGCTCGAGCGAGGCGGGATTCTCGTCACCGACCGCAAGCGTGCCGACTTTGCCTCGAAAGATCTGGTGCAGGATTTGAATCGCTTGCTGCGTCTTCCCGAGTCGACATCTGCTGCCTCTCTCCGTAAGTCGCGTCCAACCGGCTCATCGTGTTGGCTTTTTTTTTTGTTTTGTTTTTGCTTTGCGTTTTCCATGCTGTAGCTAACTCTTCCTCTTGTGTCATCGACTGCTTCTTTCTGCTGTGCTCAGCTGAAATGGATTTGGTGTACGGAATGGCCTCTACCGCAGCCCTCGTCAAGTACTTGGAGGTATGCAATATTTGAGTTTGGGCTTGCACTTTATTGGTTGGGTCCACTGGTTTAACGCTTGTGTCTCGTACTCCACGACCAGCTCTTGTCGGATGCGTCAAACTTTGGTCAATTCCGCATCAAGCCATTTGATCTCGGCCAGTACATGCGCTTGGATGCCGCCGCTGTGCGTGCGCTCAACCTTGTGGCCTCGCCGTTGGATGGTAAGGAAACGAATAGATTTGCAGTGTGTTTGCATGTTTGAAAGCAAGCCGCTTCTCTCAACCTCTTGCATTCTGCCTCTTCAGGAGGAAACAAGACAATGAATCTCACTGGATTGCTGAACAAGTGCAAGACTGCTCAAGGCCAGCGTTTGCTCGCGCAGTGGGTCAAGCAGCCATTGACAAACCTTGCCCAGATTGGTAAGCACGGACTTTGTCACATTTCATTGCTGGACTTGAATTGCAGTACCTAACAGTCGCGTGTCAACTCTTTTTTCCATCGCTATGACAGAGGAACGCCTGAACATTGTTGAGCTGCTCGCTGAAAATAGCGATCTTCGCGTTGCCCTTCAGGTTTGGCCTTTTGTTTTGTTTGGTCTTTTGTTGTTTTGTGCTTGGCTTGAATGGTGCTTTGAGGAGCTGATTGTGTGTGTCTTTGATTGGATGGTATTCATTTTTGCTAGGAGGATCACTTGCGACGCATGCCAGACTTGCATCGCATCTCGAAGCGCTTCCAGCGAGGAAAAGCCACATTGCAGGACTGTGTTCGATTGTATCAAGTCTGCGTGCGGCTTCCGGCACTTCGCACTGCTCTTGAGGGCTACGTCAATCATGCGCAGTACGGCGCAATTGTCAGCGAGCGTTTCGTCAACAGCCTCGGGGTAGGTTCTGCAACCCTTTGTGCAATTTTGTTTTCCACGGATGATTGTCAATGTCCAAGTTACTCGGCACTCATTCTTTGTCCTGTCGTGTTGAACAACCCCCCCCCCATCTCAGGAAATTATCGCCGACTGTGCAAAGTTGGAAGAACTGGTCGAAACCACCATCGACCTGGAACGCACTGAGCAACACGAGTTTGTCATCAAGCCGACCTTTGACGAGCGTCTTGCAGGTGAGTGTTGAGGAGTGGAAGGGGGCTGAATGATCGCAACTGACTCGTCCTAACTGGTCGCGCCGTTTCTTGTTTTACAGCGCTGCGTGCTCAATCGGACGAAATTGGCTCGCAAATCCACCAGCAACTCAATATTGTGAGTAAAGTTTTTTGTCATTTTCAAAGGCGCGTTTGCCCATTTAACACCTGAAAATGCTCACTCACTTTGTCGTCCTTGGTAGGCTGCGCGTGATCTGAGCCTCGAACCCAACAAGGTGCTCAAGCTCGAAAACAATGCACAGTTTGGCTACTTTTTCCGAGTGTCCCGCGCTCAGGAGGCAGCGCTGCGCACTTCCAAAAAGTACACCACTATCGACACCAAAAAGGATGGAGTGCGCTTTGTGAGCCCCAAGCTCCGCGCGCTGAACGATGAGTTTGCGCAACTCAAGAAGGATTACGACGACATCCAGTCGACGTTGGCGACCGAAGTGATCAAAGTTGCAGGTAAAACCTTGAGATTCGGCTGAGCTATGCAAGCCCAAAAAGGAGCGAAAGGGGAGGGTGCTGTTCTCACTTTTGCGTTTTTGGTTTTGGCAGGCGGATATTGCGAACCTTTGGAATTGCTCAATGCACTTGTGGCTGAACTCGATGTGTTTGCGAGGTAAAGACGCTGGATGCTCCCCCCGCTGTTTGTAACGAGGTACACGCTGTGTCTCATTGCACACTGTCTTGTCTTCATTTGCATCAGCTTTGCCCATATTTCCGTGTCCGCACCAACGCCCTACGTTCGTCCTGTCGTCTCAGCCAAAGGTGAGTCGTTTCGGTGTGTCTTTTTGATGAACTTGTCCGCTTGATAGACTGGAGGTTTCACGGCCATTGTGATGTGATTGAGTGCAGGTGAAGGAAACATCCGACTCTTTGGAGCCCGCCATCCTTGCTTGGAAGTGCAGGACGATGTGGCCTTCATTGCGAACGATGTCGCGCTCGTTCGCGGCAAGTCTGAGCTTCAGATTATCACTGGGCCCAACATGGGTGGCAAATCCACTTACATTCGTCAAGTATGCGTCTTTTTGTTGGGTTCCGTAGACAGGAGGCGAGGCGGTCTTGATGCTGACTTTGGTTGCTTTTTTCAATGGCTGTTCAGGTTGGCGTTGTTGTGCTGCTCGCCCAAATTGGTTGCTTTGTTCCGTGCGCATCGGCCGAAGTCTGCATTGTGGATTCTATTCTTGCACGTGTCGGCGCTGGCGACAGCCAGCTGAAGGGCGTCTCGACGTTCATGGCCGAGATGCTTGAAACGGCGTCGATCTTGAAGGTATGGAACGTTGCTACTCGTCGTGAAGCACTATCAAATCTCACGTCGTGCGTGTTGCTTGTCCAGTCTGCGTCGAAAGACTCGCTCATTATCATTGACGAGCTGGGTCGTGGCACGTCTACGTATGATGGCTTTGGTCTGGCTTGGGCTATTTCCGAGTAAGCATTGCCAAAATGTTTCGCATCTCCTCATTTGCTGGGCGATGCAATTTTTAACAAGTTGCTGGTCGCAGACATATTGCCACCAAGATCCATGGGTTTTGCTTATTCGCGACCCATTTCCACGAGCTGACTGCGCTGGCCGATACTGTCCCAACCGTGTCCAATCTACATGTGTCCGCCCTGACCGATAACGGCACGCTGACTCTCTTGTATCGAGTTCGACCGGGCGTGTGCGATCAGAGCTTTGGCATCCATGTTGCTCAAATGGCTGACTTCCCCACCAAAGTGGTTGAGGTGAGGTTTTTTTTTTTTTTTTGGTGCCTTATCCAGCTTGTAGGTTTTTGTTGCGAAAGTTACTGATGCGACTTTCAAACCTTCGTCATCATCGGCGTCGTCATCGGCTGGGGGTGTTAGATGGCCAAGAGGAAAGCGCTCGAGTTGGAAGATTTCCAAGGCCACGATCATGGCGATGATTCAGCCAACGTTGGTGGCGATGCGAAGCGCATGCGCATGATGGATGACACTGCCATTGCTGTAAGGAAGGCTGTTTGAGGAAAACCATTTGCTTTCATGTTGCTTCTGTGAAGACTGATTGTTTCAATTCCAATCAGACATGATGGATTGACGCTTCGAAGTGAGCACGCGGAAAACAATGCCATTCTCGAGCCTGTTTGATGAATACTCTTTGTCATTTTTCCAAAAATAAAGGATTGTTGCTTCGTTGAAGGCCATTGGGGGGAAAAAGTACAAATTAAAACTTCTTAACTTGAACATAAATAAGGCACTACAAATAGGCTGGACAATGAACTAACTTGAATGTAACTAACTTGAATGTGAGTAAGGCGTTAAGCTGGAGGCTGCTGCTGCTGCGTGGTAGCCGGTGCAGGCTCGGATTGGGACTTGCGAAAGTAGGTCGCAATGTCTTGGTCTCCGCTCGCACGAGCTGCAGCCCCGAGTTGGGCAGAGTCCTGTCTGCGGGAGGTGGAAAGCTTGCGTTTTGCACCGACTCCTGCTGATGGCGACGCGGAACGCCGTCGTGCAGACAAGGGCGACGATGGGGAAGACGAGTATCTTCGCAATGCTATTGGACTGGCTGCTGCTCTCGATGCCGGTGATGCGGCTGGACTTGCCGTGCTCAGAGCAGCAGCAGACTCTGTCGACAGAGTGTCAGCGATCGGAGGCAAAACAGCTCCACTTCCATCTCCAGCGGGCAGAGACGGTGCCGTCAGCGAACGACGGCTGGAAAAGAGCTTTCGTTGCGTGCGCAGCCGCCCGTTCGGAAGCAATAGATCCCCGCTGGGCTCTTGGAGTGGAGAAGGTGCGCCATCAGATCGTGGCGCGTCCGAGAGCATTCCTGGTGAGGTCAAGACGGACATGTAGTCGTCAAAGTCTGCGCGAAGCGGATTTTCACTGCCGCTATCGTCCTCGTCCGAAGACGTCCAAGACGAGTGCATGGAGATGTGGCTGGTGACAGTCGCTGTGCGAGCGAAGCGTTCTGGGGAGGAAGAAGCCGGCGGTAAACTGGACGCGGGGTTGGCAGCCCACTCTTGAGCGAGAAGCTCCGAACTGAGGGCCTCGGAAGCCAGACCACTCGGCTCAGAAGATGAAAAGGCCGCGGTCGACTCTTGCACCATCGCTGACAAAGGAGATGCGGATGGCACGAAAGCTGGCGATCCCGCGGGCGACAAGGACGCCGATAAATCCCACTCTTCCATTGGACTCGCTCGCAAGTCGTCTTCGGATAGAACTGCAGTTGCCAAATCCCGGGAAACTAGGAATTGTCGGGAAGTGTCGATACCTTCGACAGTAGCCTCTGCTCGATGCCGGTCCAAATGCCAGAATCGAACCATGCCAGGGACCGACCCCGTCGCAATCTGCTCCCGACACCATTCAACAGCTAGCTATTAGAACAGAATTTACACCGATGACAAAAATTGGTCAAGACCGCGTACCGTTGACTCGAGATTATTGGCCCAGGCTGCGCAAAAGGTGGTAGAATTGGTTTGCAGCACCCAAGGTTGTCGGTCTGGAGCATCAACCTGCAGATCATAGAGTGCGTAAATCAGAAAATGAGTTTGCTCAAACCTTGTCCGTTTAGACTCTCCCCTCTTTGCAATTGAAGGGCATCGCCTTACACGCCAAATGTACGCGTTGCCTTCGTGCGAGCCTGAAAGAATGTGTTGGCCGTCGGGACTAAACTTGGCATTCACAAAATACGACGTGGATATTTTGCGCAGCGACTGAGCGCAGTACTGCACGGCTGGTTGGTCCGGATGCGACGGCAAAAAGGTCGAAATTCTGTCCGCAGAATAAAAGGAAGCAAAACGCAGCGCACAAAGCGAACAAACGATTGTTAGAAACAACATTGGAGAGAAAGTTTTCGACGGCTCATGCATGTCGCTCACCTGCCATCAGAGCTGCGAGCAAGGACTCGCGTGCCACTTGCATCGATATCAAGGCTGGTGATGCCCTGGCCAGTTGGCACAATCGTTGCCACTGGAATCGGATGGCCTTTGAATGCACTGTAGGCTTTTCGGGCGTCCCAAATGCGCACCGAGCTGCCAAATCAAACAATGGTGAATGAGTGATGAGTGCGATTGAGTTGCCGTGCCAACAACAACTCGAAATCATCCGGCTTTTGCTGTGAAAGGAGAAAAATTCAACCAACTCACCCGTCGCATCCAGCGGACAAGATTGTTCTCGCGTCAAACAGCATCATTGCTGCAGTTGTTCCAGACTTGCGCTTGGAGTCGGGGCTCCAGTGTGCTGGACAAATCTGATTGGTTGGCGGCCGAGAATCACCCACAGGTCGCATGCGCACATCCCACATCATGACAGCACCATCACGAGAGCTGGAGAGAAACACGCCTACCGTTGTTGGAAGCAAGGGGGAGAGTGCTCGCTCGTCAGTAACGCAACACAACAGTCCTGACATGCATGAGCAGATCGAGCAACGACGTACTGGAGCTGTTGGGAACGAATCTTGCCGTCTTGACCGTCAGCGCATGACCCCGAAACAAATTGTAGTTGAGCCTTTCGAGGTCCCATAGCCTGATGGTATGGTCGGCAGATGCCGTGAGTAGCCCGTCGCCATGTTCGTTCCAGGAAATGTCGCTGATGACTTCCGTGTGTGCGCTCCAGAAAGCCCGTCCATTCTCTGTGTCAGTGGAAATGACCATTAGTTCACAACCATCCTATACTGTTCTGATTTGGTTTGGTTCATAGGAGGTCGTCGTCGAGCAGCTCACCCCAATCACTTGTCTGCGTTTGGTTGGATTTGATCAACGAGACCCAGCCGGCCTCGTCAGCCACTGCAAGCGTTCCAGACTTGGATCCTGTTCAAGAAAGCAATTCTGTGAGCATCAGATTGGGCAAGATTGGTCGATTGGGCGAGGAAACGAAGCCGGGTGATGACAAGAAAGCATCATGAAAATTTTGGCGGGAAAACCCAGTCGACAAAAATTTGGCGGGAAAAGTTACGCTGTCCAACCCGTTCTGATCGTGTGCAGAGGAGGGCGTCGTCTGTGCACTTACCAGGGCCAAAGTTGCACTCCATGGGGGCAAAAGCTCGCTCGAGTGTATCGTTGAGCGGAATGGCGTGCTCTGCCACGTCCGAGACGTACCAAGCGGGCAGAGATCGAGGCGCGAGCACCGAGGCGAGGAATCCTGCCTGCTGTAGCCCGACGCCAGCCTGCCCGCGCGACGACGACGACCGCGATGGATGTAGCAGTCCGAGCTCTCGAAGGGCGAGGCGTCGTGGCAGTCCGAGCGTTGGAGCGATCGTCGTCGGAAACGACGAGCTGAACGCGGCTTGCATAGGACAGTGATTTATGTGATGTTGACGACTGGGCTCGTGAAGATTTACAATGAAGCGTCCTAGATTGAGCAATAAGCCGTTTGCATTCTGAAGAATGGGGTTTTTTGTCGGGAAATCTATGCCAGGACAAGACGCCAGCTGATCGTGGCTTGGTTGGAGTTTGTTCAATTTACTGCCAGGTCTGGGGGTAGGTCTGGGGGTGATAGCGCTGTATTTTGCTCAAGCCATCAACAGAAAAAGCTCAGACTATCGCTTAGTAGTAGCCGGTGAGGCGGATTTGCCATTGGAAAAGACACGAGCAAGAACAGAATGATCCATTGCGCGGGTGCGCTCTTCGGGCTCTGGCACTGCTTGCTTTTGCCTGAATGTGCGGACGATCGGAGCAGCGGCCAGATGAGCTTGAATATCGTCTGCTTCCGAGCGAGATTTCTGAAATACACAAACAGTGGCAAGTGAGCATCTAAGATGTTCTATGATTCAAGCAACGCCAATCAACAAAACCAAGCGGGAAAAAAAAAACCTTGTACCTTGCTTGTGTGCACGGCAGAAGGTGCGTCATCTTCTCCATCATCAGCTTGACGCTTCTTGGCAAACTTGCGGCTCTCGACCTCGCGAATCTTTTTGGATTTGTCGACATTCTCCATGAAAAAGTTGTTTTCGCGTTTCGACTGGGCGAGTTCCGTGCGGAGGCGTTGGTCTCGTACTGCGTTCTCGTACGCTGGGTGCAACCAACACAAAAACAATGAACAAGAGACAACAGTCAGGAACTAGGAGAAACACGAATCGCCAAAAACACCATGTTAGACAGCTCACCGATTTGTTCCGTCAAATGGTGCCACTTGAACTTGGGCAGGTACTTGAGCAGCCACAAATCGTCATGATAGAAGGATGACTTTTTGCCGCCTATCCGTCCGTCAACACCGGAAACACGATCAGAATGCAGCAATTTCCACACTCGCTTTTTCGTTCGTTCGTACGGACTTGCCCTCGCACTTCACCAAAACAAAGCACAGCAGCCTGCTGACATACCAATCATAGTGCCATTGAGCGAGGCAGCAACAGACTTGGCGACACCCTTGTCGGCAAACTCAATCCAACCTTCGGAAAAGTTCTTCTTTTTGTTGCCGCCTTTCTTGATACGGCGCTTTCTCGCCTCGGGATCTGCGGTTGAGTGATGCAAGAATTGAGCGTCGTCACACAGTGCCCCCACAGCTGTAGTTGCTCGAAAACAAATTCGGATACAAACGACATTCGACATGGATCTCACCTTCTGGCTGCAGAAAGACGCGCCCGATAGCTCCATAAATTTGCAGCAAGTGGCGGATCTTGTCTGGCTTCATATGCGGCGGCACCCTGCTCAAGTACAGGACGCCCGACTTTGCGACCTTCTCGTTGAACGATTCGACCGAAGTGGCTTCAATCACTGGTCGCTTCTTGTCGTGCTTCTTTCCGCTGACTTCCGCGAGCTCCTCCTCGCCATCGCCATCGCCGTCGCCATCCTGATCATGATCATTGTCGTCGTCTTCTTGGTCTTGGTCGTCTTGGTCATCCTCGGCTTGGTCATCATCCTCCACGTGTGACAGCTCGTCCTCGTCCTCGTCCTCAAACTGGTCGTCCTCATCGTCGTCCTCGAACTCGTCTTCGTCAATGTCGTCGTCGTCGTCGTCGTCATTGTCAGAGCCGGTCGACTTGCTGGCAGTGATGGTCGGACTGCGCCCTTTGCCTTGCTGTACTGGCTGCTTCACCATGAGATTTTGCTTTGGCTTTGGTGAGCTCGCGGATCCATGACCGCGCTCTTCGGCAAGCATCTGGCTCAGCTTGGCAAACCGAGAGTCAACCTCAGCGACAGCCGGCGAAGCCGCTCCATTCGATCGCTTTGGCATGGTGATGAAAAAAGGTGTGGGCGAAAAAATTCTAAGACTGGGCCATCCAAAAACATGAACACGGTGCTTTATCAAAAAAGATTCATGATTCAATGATAATCCAGTATCAACGCTCTGATTGAAATCGTATGGTACTCATGCTGCAAAATCATCAAAACCTCTCAAGCTTTTAGTGGCCAGCGGCAGTGTACGAGGACCAACCGACTTGCTCAAGCTTGTCCACCTTGCCGAGGACTTCGCGCTCCATAGACTCTTGGTACTGAATCATCTTTTCGAGCAATGAAGGCGCTTGGACGGAGAGAATGCGGACGGCGAGCAGTGCGGCGTTCGTCGAGTTGCCAATCGCGACGGTGGCCACTGGGACACCGCGGGGCATCTGGACGATGCTGTACAGGGAGTCTTGACCATCGAGGTAGCTGAGGGGCACGGGCACGCCAATCACGGGCAAAGGGGTGATGGCAGCAACCATGCCTGGCAAATGCGCAGCACCGCCTGCAGCCGCAATGATGACCTTGATACCACGGGTGTGTGCCGTTTTGGCAAAGTCCATCATTCGCTGCGGAGTGCGGTGCGCCGAGACAATGGTCAGCTCGAACGGCACGCCAAACTGCGTCAAAATCTGGGCCGCTGCCGTCATGGTCTTCAAGTCAGAGTCAGAGCCCATAATCACGCTCACGACTGGGGCAAGTTTGAAGGTGGATTCGAGCACGGGCGAGTCTGCAAACGACGGGCCGAGCGCGCGCAATGCGGCCTGGACGTCGGGCATGAACGGGCCAGTGATGGTCACATGCCCAACCTTGCGCCCGTTGCGGACGCCCTCCTTTCCATACCAATGAATGCTAGTAGACGACGGCAGTGAGAGCGACGAGCTGCAGTTCATTTTCAACGAAAAAATTCAGAGTGAGGGGAAGCAAACAACACCTTTCACCGTCAAACAAACACGGCAATCAATTCAAACCCAATCCAGACTCTCGTCATACCTGCACAATGCCCAAGTGTTATCAAAGTCCTGGTCGGAAGAACCAGAGCCAAGCACATTCACCATGACCGATGCACCGACGCGCATCGCAGGCGAGCCAAGTGGCAGTCCCATCACGGCGCGAATGTGTTGCTCAAACTGAGAAGTGTGGCAAGCTTCGATTGTGTAGTGGCCCGAGTTGTGAGGGCGTGGGGCAATTTCGTTGAGTAGAACGGTTCCTGCAAGAACGCGAATCAACAATAAATAAATAAATACAAAACGTGAGTCGTTGATCAACATCTAACGCAGGCTGCTGGGTCTTTGCTCAACACGCATCTCCAAAGTACTCACCGTCAGCAAGCAGAAACAGCTCGACGCCAAAGATACCAGCACCGTCGAAGGTGGCGATCGCAGCTTCGGCAACGGCGGCGGCACGCGCAAGAATCTCGCCCGAGATTTGGGCGGGCGCAACAACCGTGTGGCAAATGCTGTTGCGTTGGAACGTCTCGACAGCGGGGTACGAGACGACCTTGCCGTCGAGCCCGCGAGCCACCATAACGGCAAGCTCGCGCGTGAATGGGACCCACTTTTCGGCATAGAGGCCGCCAGCAGCAGCGCCGGACAGCGAGGCGATGGCTGCATCAATGTCCTGCTCTGACTTGACGACAGCGTTGCCACGACCGTCGTACGCCAGGCACTTTGCCTTGAGCATGAGCGGGTATCCGAAACGGGCAGCGGCGTCCATGACACCCTGGCGGCCGCCCGCGACGACCTCGGCAAACTCGCCGAGCGCAATGCCGCGCGCATGCAAGTGCTGCTTCTGGACGAACTTGTTCTGGATGATTCGGATGGTCGCTGGCGATGGCTGGATGGAGCACTTGGCCGCCGACGCCTCGAGTGCGTCCACGTTAACGTGCTCAATCTCGACCGTCAGCACGTCGCACTCTGCAGCGAGCTCGGCGATGCACTCTGCGTTCTTAAAGTCGCCGACGATCTGCTTGTCCGCAGCTACAAAAACAAACAAGGTCGCAGTCGTGTTGTTGGTCCAAAAAGTGAGTGGCAAGATGGATTGAATGGCAAATGGCACTACGAGTGGGGATGGATTGAATGGATTGAATGGATGGATGCGAACTGGAGAGCACAGCCCCCAGCGAGAGAGCCGTTTCCAATGACCCAGTCCCCCAGTTCCCCCCCCCTCTCTCTATATATATCTCTCTATCTCTCTCTCTATCTAACTCTCAGTCTATCTGCATTTGCATCATGGACGAAGCCCGTCGGGTGCTGCTGCTGCTGCGGTGGTGTGGGGTCGAATCGAAAAATCCCTTCCCCCCACGAGTTGCCACCTGGCAATGGCCGACGACTCTGTGGATGGATGAATGGATGGATGGATGGATGGATGGGACCGGGCCTCACCTTGTCCAGCTGGGCTGTTGGGAGTGGGATCCAGAACAACAATGCGGACGCCCAGGCGGTGAGCGGCGTCGGCCATCATGCGACCGAGCTGCCCGCCGCCGAGGACGCCCAATGTGCGCTGAAGCACGCTCTGACGGCTGGCGGAAATCACTGACGGCGATGTGGACATTTGTTGCTGTTGAGAATATGAAAAAAAAAAAAATTAAAGAGTGAAAAGCAAGTTGCAAGTGAGTGTGTCTTGCTGTACTGTCGAATGTGGGATGGAAGAGATGGAAGGGATGGAAAGCAGAATGCACTGTAAGACTTTGAAACATTAGAACGGTTGTATGAGAAACGAAACAGAAAAACGAGTTGCACTGCTGCTCAGACTTGTTCTCAAAAGCAGAGAGGGGGGTGATGCAGTCAAACACAACACTAGCAAGGAAAAAAATACCAAAAAAAAACAGCGACAAAAACCAAATCACACACTTCAAAGTCCAAACATGTCCTCGTCCTGCTCTTCGAGATTAAGCTGGCGACGGTTTTGAGTGTTTGCTGGAGGTGCAGTTAAGAGTGTCGTCGTCGACGACTTTTTGGAAGAAAACCCACGCTCGGCAAGGAAGTCGTCAAAGTCTACAAAACATCAACAAGTAAAAAAAATCAACGTCAGTTCATGCAACTGGCCTTGAATCAGACGATATTCAAAGGACGACATACCAGCAGTCGAAATCGAGGACTGACCGGGAGCAGTCGGTAAAGGCGTTGATTGTTGTGGAGGGCTGTAAAAAACAACAAAAACAAACGGCAGTTGTCAGAAACGCACCAAAAAACCATATCCCAATCCGTTTCACCTTCACACAATTACAACATCAACAAAAAACGGTACCCACCTGCTCGATGGAGTAGAAGCACGAGCCGACAGTCTTGATGAGGCCAACTGCGAAAAAGCATCATCCTCGGCGGGTGGTGCTTGTCCAGCAACCAGGTTGGCACGCGCACTCATCGCGCCGGCAAGCGAGCCCATGGATGGTGCTTCCATGTTGTCGTCATATGTAGAACCTGCCAAATGATGAACAAAAACGAGCCACAAACGACCAATGAGGCAAAAAAATGCAGTTAACCAAGTGTCAAACCTTCTCATCAACACAATTTGTTGAACATCAACGCTCGTACCAGTGGACGCGAAGGGATTGGCAAGGAATGCAGAGCCTGGTCGCGGTGCGTCAGACGAAGCAGTGCGCGTTGCTGGCGGCTGTGGGGCGCTAGCGCTGGTGGCAAGCGGCATAGAGTCAAAGTCAATCAACTGCGGCTCCGCGGGTGCAGACGAAGCTGCCGGCGATGGTGCGTATGTTGTTGGCGTTGCGTGCCCAGGCTGCTGCTGCTGCTGCTGCTGACTGCTCGCAAACCCTGATCGCGCCGCTGGGTACGCACTCTGCGGCGGGCCATTGAATCCTTGCTGAGTCCGTTGGTGGCCCGGTGTAAGTGCGGCAAACTGACCCAACGCAGTGTTCAGCTTGTCGTTCAGACTGAGCAAGGTGACTGCAGAGTGCAAGAGGACAAGGAGAAGTGAGCGACAGTACGCGCACTTGCACTTTCGCAGCATGTTCAAAGAGATGGCCTGCTCCTCACCAATAATATCTTCATCCAAAACCTGCTCGACGAGCGCCATGATGCGAGATTGCATTGCTTCAAGCGTCTCTTTGAGTTCCTGGAGAGAGAAGAAAGTCGTCAGTGATTAACAGCTAATCTGCCGCTTCCCAGCACCAGCAGCAGCAAAACTCTTCTGGAAACAAAGCACGCGATTCATAGTGCCCTACAAGAGTGAACGACTCGATCGGCTCGTTTGGCTGCTGTGCCGACACGACTTCGCGGAAGAGATTGCAGTTCTCAGTCACCACCCCAAACTCGGTCGTCAGCTTTGCACGCTGGTGAGGCTCCAGCTTGAGTTTGAACGTCGGTTGCGGGTGTGGTTGCGGCTGAGGCTGCGATGGAGGCTGTTGCGCGCGGGAATAAGCGTTTGCTCCGGGTGAGCTGTCAGACATTGTGGCAAACCCGCCTCGGTCTGAAGGTGGCGACGAAGTCGGATATGTCGAGAGTGTGGCAGCTGCAGCAGTCGGGCGTGAAGGGGACGGCATTGCGTGCTGCATTCGTTCAGAGGGGATCAAGTCAGCACAATGTTTCCGTCGGCATTCAGCCAAACCCTTTCCCTTGCCCCCCCCCGCGCCTCCCCCATTCAACATAACATGTACGTACGGCTTGAGGTGTGTGAATGGGTGACATGGCATCCATGTCCTGGGCGGGAAACTCAATTCCCTCGTCACGCAGCTTGCGAACAGTCTCCTTGATCAGAGCATACTCGTGCTGGTGTCCCAAATTGTCCGACCACGACTGCAAGAGTTCGAGAATCTTCTCGCGCGATCGTGCCGGAATGGGGCTCTGCGGGGAAAAAACGAAAGGGCAAGGTCAGCGGCGAATAAGAGCCAAACAGCAAAAAAAAAAAAAAAAAAAAAAAAAAAAGAGATGAACGCACTTTAGGCTGCACCAGCTTGACCAGAAAGTTGAGAAACTCTTGGTTGGCGATTTCAGCATGAAACCGCTCGCCGGCGTTCTTGACGCATGCCTCGAGCAACTGTAAGAGATTTTCAAAAAGGAAACACAGCAAAAGTGAGTCGGTTACGCACAACATCGAAAACGACGATGATGCCCTCCCTGCTGGGCGTGAGACCTACCACGAGCGTAAAGTAAATCACACTGGCATTCTTGTTGCTCAGCCGCTTTTGAATGGTCTTGATGGCTTCCTTGGGACTACGGGAGTGGAGAGCAAGATTTGAGTGACACGACTTTTCTACCACAGCAGCCGCTCTCGCGCGCGCGCGCTCCTTCCCCTCTTGTTGTACTGTCACTGGCAAACTTCGACTTACCCAGTGTCAGTGTGCTTGATCTGGTCGCAAATTTCAAGGATGAGGTTCCAATCCTCGCTGGGCTGCGTTTCGTTCGTGCATCGCTCTGTCAACCGCCAAAAAGTCCAACGCCACCCGACAAGCAAGAGTGAGCGTGATGACAATGGAAATCGTCAGAGTAACCCTCCCTAGCTGAAAGTGTAAGTGTGAGTGAAAGCGGGCGAGGCTTAGATCAGAAAACGCCGAACATGTTTCGACCGTCGACGCTCGTTCCGACGCGAGACAGCCGCGGCATCGGCGCGTTGTCACGGAGGATAGTGACTCGGCTGTCTGCTCTCCGATCGTCGGGTCGGGAGAACGCCACAATGGTGATCGAAAATCCAACAACAACCAACTACGGGAACGATGAGGACGTCATCTTCTTCCGACAAAAAACAAAAAAAAAAAAATCGAGATCTCGCTGTGCTTGCATTGGCGCTCGGAATGGCGGTGAAACGAGAAGCAGCGGGCATTGTAGTGCGTAAGAATGCCCCGGTGTCGAGTGGACGGACGAAGGAGCGGCCCACCCGAATCGCGAATGACGAACGGCAAAAAAAAAAAAAAAAAAAAAAAAAAAAAAAAAAGATGGAAAAAAAACCCAATCTAAAAAGCTATATAAAATAATATGCCTTTTCTTTTCTTTTCGTTTCTCCCCCCAGCTAAAGTTTTCGTGCGGGAAGAAGAAGAAAATTGTGCGAGTTTTTCGGCGATGGTGCGCAGAACGACGCTTTCGTGATTTGGCTGAGCTGCGTGGCTGTGCGAAGGCGGAGCGGTGACGGAACGCGATGGAATTACAGCTAGAAGAAAAAAATGAAAAAAAAAAAGATATGGCGACACTTTGAAAAAAAAAAATTGTGCTTTACCAATCGCCGCAGCGAGTTTGCTGGTGCCAAACATGGGTGCTGAGAAAAATAGGACGACTGAGAGAGATGCAAGTACATTTACGGTAAGAAAAACAAAAGAGATGGATTTCGCAATATGCAGCGGTTTGGTGGAGAGCGCTGTTGAAGCAGACAGGAAGCTGAATCAAACGCAACGTCGGCCAAATTTCAGCAATCGAAAAGTCGGTCGCGACTCGGCACCATGCTGAAGCGAGTCGGGCTGAGATGGCGCGGTAACGGTTGCGTAGTGTGCTTTGCTCACTGTGACATAATGTCTCGTAGCTGCAAAAACATGAATTTGAAGCAGTTTGCCGTCAAAATTCAGCCACAGCGAAAATTAAAAACCAGCACCTCAAAAACCTACAAACGCGCAGCAGCAACGCGGATTTACAAGATTGTCAAATCGTCCACTAAACACCTCTACCACAGCCCCTCCTCTACAAATAAAGATGCACATTGTTACAGAATCACTAATGCCAAAGAATTTACCGAGAAAAACACTGCCGAGCAGGGTACAACCTTCCACTTTTCCCATCCCGCCTCTTCCACCCGCTCAGCAAAGTCCTGCTTTGTCAATTTCACCCACTCGTCATGAAATCCTAACATTCATCATATTTAGCAGAAGCTTCAACCAAAAGGGGGGCTGAATTTTGGCCGGGTGCCATCCATCAGGCAGGCCAAAGATGGGGGTTTGACTCACCATTGTTTTCTCCCCCTCACTCGCCTTTCATGTATGAAATTGCTGCTACCAGTCCAAAATGAAAAGTGTGTAAAATGAACAATAACAAGAACTCACACAAACAACAGACAACCACAAACCAACAAACACAACCAAGTCAATAACAACGGCCAAAAAACAGCCCCAGTTAACCAAAAGATTGACAAAGCGAGGAAGGTCGCCAAAAGCGAGTCAAACAGTCCGACCAAGCGTCGTCTGCCTTTAGAGCGACTCGCGCTCGCGAGGAGTGTCATCCCAGCCGTGGAAGCAGCGCGTGAACGCATGCGGCTCACGGCCACGCTTGGCAATCTTGAGGTTTTTGACGGTGCGTCCGTCTCCATTCCGCTCCAGATAGACCTACGAGGATGAAATCAAAATGGAATTGAGATGGGTCGAGGTGAGATACGAGCGAGAATAGTCACACACCTTTTGATATCAACTGCTCTCCCCTCCCATTTTCTCTCCCTCTCTCTCTCCCTGCCACAAAAACCACAATCACCATCATATCCACCCACCTGAGCACTCTTGATGGCCAGCTTCTTTTCAGCTTCACTGGCATGCGCGCCAAACCAGAGGAAGACATCCTTGCTCGTGTCGAGAATCATGACATCCTCGTCGGCAAGATCGTCCTGGCAGAAGTCGGGATTCTTTTCCAAAATGGCAAAGTAGCCGTCGGCGTTGGTGCACTGGAAGAGACGAGCCTTGCCAATGTAGTCGGCATCGGCATCATAGGCAGCCTTGCCGCCGAGACCAACCCAGAAAAAGTTTTCAGGTTCGTTGCCTTCCATGATGGTCTGGAGCGAGTAGGGCAGATCGCCCTTGATCAAGTGACCAATGGTGTCGGCCAGCTTGGCGTCCACGGCAGATGCGTGCTTGCCAATCCAAACATACACAATACCGCTCTTGACATTGTCGAAGGGCACCTTGAGCACATAGCAATGCTGCGAGCACAAGGACGACGCATGGGGCCGCTCGCAAATGGTGCGCATGGTGATGCGGGACGAGTTTTGTCGGATGTGGTACAGCATGACGGCCATCGAAGTGGCCGCAAGCTTTGACGACGCGGCTTGCTTTGCGGGAGAGCCCTTGGTCGTGCCCGTGATGGCTGCCAAAGCGGCCGACTCGGCCTTGGTCGGTCGCTGCCCGTGATGAATCACAAATCGGCCGCCAAAGTGCGAAAGGAAGGTCATCGACTCGCGCTGCTGGAAGCTGCGAAGAACACGGAGCGAGCAGCCAAAGTTGGTGTCGACCAGCTTTTCAATTTCCTTCTGGAAGGAGAAGGTAAAGGTCAGCCAACCCATCTTGTTGGCAAAGCGACCTTGCCAAAAGTAGACGACGCATTCAATTTCGTCTTCCTCTTCTTCTTCCTCCTCCTCCTCCTCTTCTTCGTCTTGGTCATCATCTTCGTCGCCCTCGCCTTCCTCGCCGTTTTCTTCGTCGTCGCTGCTGGCCTTGCCCTTGCCCTTGCCCTTGCCCTCGGCCTCGTCATCGCTGCCGTCCGCCGCCGCAGCGTCCTTTTCGCCAGGTCGCTTGACTGTGTCGACGTCATTTTCGTTGCTGTCATGGAAGACATAGTCCTTGTCCTTCCAGTACGTGCACAAGAAGACATAGCAGTCGTGGTCGTAGAACTGGCCGACCTCCTTCTTGGGCAGACGCACAAACTTGCGGCCTTCGAGCACAAAGCACTCCATCTTTTCAAGACGGTCGTTGGCGTCGGCCATAAAGTCCTCGGCCTGCTCGTCCGCCAGGTGGTTTGGGCGTGCAGTGAAGAGCGCACGAATGTCAACCTTGGGCGGAGTGTACTTGACCTCGGGACGCTCGATGGTCGCCTTGACGCGCTCCTGCTTTTGCTTGACGGTGAGCACTGGCGGCATAATGTTCTGTGCGCTGAAATCGACGGCAATGGCATCGTCCCATCCCTGGAAGTGCAGCTTGAAGAACTGGGTTTCAGCAAGCTCGAGCACCTTGATAGCAATGGCGTGAGCAGGCCGAGGCAGAATGTGCATGAGTTCGTCCGAGAGTTTCATGGCTGCAGCACGGACGAGGCGGCTCGATTTGCGCCCAATCCAGATGAAAACATCCACATGCGAGTCGAGAATGTACACGTGCGTCGATTCGAGCATGCTCTGCAACAAGTTGCCACCAGACGAGAACGTGTCCACCTGAGGCAATTCCAAAAAGCCCTTGCCCAGAGCCACCTTGTACAAACAGGATCGTCGGAAGGGGAACTCGGCCTTCGCCGGATCAGACGTCACAGCTGCGAGGACGGGCAAGTCACCAGCGGCATGATGCCCACGCTGGGAGCCGTTGGTGTGGCCGCGGTCGGGGAGCACCTGCTGTCCGTGCAGCAGAGCCCAGAATTCGTCGGGCTCATCGCCCTGGCTCACCTGGACAATTTGAGCACGGTTGCCACGCTCGTTCTTGTTCAATCGCTCTGCAAGAAGGCGAGCCTTGGACCGCTGCGTGAGCTTGGAATCGACGCCAGCCCACACGTACATTTTCAGGCCCATGTCCAACAAGAAGACCAGCTTGGTGTGCAACGAGGTGGGCAGCAATGGCGATGGCTCGGCATGCGTCTCCTTTTCGCCCCACACGCGGAAGAGGCGCGTCACATATTCCGTCTGCTCGACAATAAAGAAGCCGCTCTCCGTGCCGCCCTCAATGTAGGCAATCTCGTTATTAAACAAGTGCAAGAATTCTCCCGACTCGTCGTTTTGTTCTTCGCGCGAGACCATTCTGGAGGAGGCGAGAAAGTAGCAGAAACAAGTCAAAAGGGGTCAGAGGAGAAAAACAAACAAAAGTCAGACAATCACAACAAATGAGCCCGGCTCGAACACGCAACAACCAAACGACCCAAACGACCCAAACTCACGTCTTTGCTTCCAAATAGTTGCGCAGGTTGACCGCATGGATGGCCGCGCTGGCCTTCTTGTCCAACGACGACTTTTCGCCAATCCAGAACCAGATGGCATAGTCCAGACCACCGTTTTGCTCGTTTGTCGTCGACTTGAGCACAATGTAGCAGTCTGCCTCGTAGAACTTGCCGTTGAGCTCGGGCTCGCCCTCGATGGGCAAAAAGTTCTCAATACGCCAAACAGTGACGCCCTCCTGCTTGCCGACAGCGTCGCCAAAAATCTCACTGTAGTCAAGCTGGGGACGATCGATCTGCTCGTCCCAACGCTTGGGCTTGCGCGTCTCGACCGGCTTGTCGTCCTCGGTCTCGGGAGCCGTGTGCGCGCTCGCGAGCGCCGATTTTCCCTTGTCGTTGCTGACCTTGGCCATGCCCATGAGCACCTTGACCGTGTCAGCCTCGCGACCTTTGATGAGACCGGCACCAGTGTGCTTGACGTTGGCTGTCTTGACCTCGGTGGCCTGGACACTGATATCGCGCGAAGCGAGAATCGACGTGCCGAGCTGACCTTGCGCTGCCGCAGCCTGCGCGTCAAAGTCGATATTGTAGAGGTCGTTGACGGTGAAGCCCTTGGGCCGTGGGGGCATCTCAAAGTCGGGGTTATCCTCGACAGCAAACAACTTGAGGTGTGGCTCGAGCTGGTAAATTTGCACGGGCACGGATGAGATTTTGTTATCGTTCAGTTTCAATCGGCGGAGCTTGGTGCAGCTGCAGATCGAAACGGGGATGGCGGTGAGGTGATTGTGGGCGGCGTAGAAGAGCTCGAGTTCCGTGCACTGATCAAACTTGTCGGGCACCGTGCGAAGGTTGTTGCGATCGACATAGAGGCGACGCAGCGTGCGAATGTCAAAAATGGTGTCTGGAATGGACGACAGCTTGTTGGTCGAGAGATTCAGGGTCTCGAGGTTTTCCAGCTGACCAATAAGGGGGAGCACCTCGGTGAGGCCATTGTTACTGAGGTTGAGTCGTCGCAGCGAAGCCAGGTTGTACAGGACGATGGGAATCGTCGGCAGCGTGTTGTACGACAAGTCGAGCTCGGTGAGGTTGGAGAGTTGGTCGAGCACATCGGGAATGTTGGACACGGTGCGCTGTGTGCTGGAGAGATTGAGTATTTGCAGCGTGTTGAGGGCGCACAGCGGGCGCAGCGAGACGTGCTCGAGCGGGTTGTGGGCGAGATTGAGGCTTTCAAGGTGGGCCAGGCGCCGCAACTGCGGGGGAATGCTGTCAATCATGTTATTGGACACGTCTAGGAACTGGATATCCGGCGAGTTGATGAGCAGCTGCGACGGAATGGCCTTGAGGCGGTTGTGCGCGAGCGCCAGCACCTTCAGCGCGCGTGCCTCCAGCGCGTCGATGGGCAGGTCGCTCAAGTCGTTCCAGCCGAGATCGACCGTGTTCAAGTCCTCCAGCAAGAACACTGCGCCGGGCAATCCGCGCATGTTGATCTGGTTGCGCCGCGCAATGATCGATCCGAGGTGTTTCAGCTCGGCCAAATCGCTGGAGAGCGCCTTGAGGTTGTTTCTCGAGACCGAGATGGCTTCCTAGGGTTGGTTTATTCCCCACACACACAAGAATGGCAATAACGATGATGATGAAGGGTGAGTGTGTTGAGCGATGACAAAACAAAGAACTCAAAACCTGCCAAACCAAAAAAAAAAAAAAAAAAAAAAAAAAAAAAAAAAAAAAAAGCGATCTCTTCATCGTTTTGTCCTCATCTTTTTTTTTTTTTTTTTTTTTTTTCAATTCTGGATTGCTGCAAAAATTGAAGTGTTTGAAGGTTAAAAAAAAAAAAAAAAATTCGAGAGAAACGACACAACGGGCCAAAAAATGAAAAGGATCTGTGCGCACAAAGCCCTCGACGGGGACTGTTCATCACAGAGAAGGAGTGGACACTGACATCTCTGGTGTCTCAATCACCGTGGGCAGAAGGAGAAAAGAACGAGAGAGAAGGAAGGTTGAGAAAAAAAAAGAAAAAAAAAAGAAGAAAAAAATCGCCGAATAAGCACGACAGCGCGCTGGGCAGTAGTGGGAAGCGATTGCCGGACGAGTGATGAGTGCGTGTGCACAATGCGAGTGTTTGACGCACCAGCTTTGGGATGGAGGTGACGGTTGGCGGGACGTGCACCAGGCCGGTCTTGTTCAGCTTCACCCAGTACAGGTTGCTCAAGTTCTTCAATCTGTTGCCAAAGTCATCGTCCAGCGGATTGGACGACAGGTCCAGGCCCCGCACAAAGTTCAAGATGCCTGCCGGAGCCGCCATGGTGGTGGTGGTGGTGTGTTGGTGCGTTGTGGCAGGGAGGGGTGGTGGTGGATGTGAACAGGGGGACGAAAGGACAAAAGAAGGTCGAAGAATCCAAAAAAAAAAAAAGAAAAAAAAAAAAAGGATTGAAAGATTCGTGCCCAAGCAACAACGCGACGAGCCGTGGACGATGATTTTCAGAGACAAGATTCAAAGCGATGCAAAAAAAAGGAAGGCACATCAAAGTTTGTGCAAGCTGAGAACGAAAGATCTGATGAGAGAAAAGGAGAGAAGGAGGGGAAAACAATGCTGGAATGGCCATGCAATCTTGCAGCGAATGCAAGTAAGATCTCCAACGCAAGCTCAAGCTCAAATGCACAACATTATCATCATGCACAAGCGATCTTGTCTTGATACTGAATTTTTCGCTTCGATGCTCGATCGAGGCGAGGTGAAGGTGAGGCAATCGCTTTCACTCGTCTTTTTTCGTCACACACTGCACTTCACTGCAATTGCAAGACAAAGATGCAGCAAGGTTGGCTATTCCCCCCCTCTTTTGCGTCCACATTTCCACACAGTCCCTCGCTACAGTTACATAGGGTGTTGGTGGTTTTGGTGGTTTTGGTGGCTGGTTGGGGGTCTCAGAACGCAAAGACGTCATTCGCTTTGTCGTCATTGTTCGCCATTCGCCCTGTCTCTCTCTCTCTCTCAGAGTCGCCATCTCGCTGACTGCTCGTGACCCTGATTCTGTGTGATAGATGGCCAGGACGCGTTCGCCGCCCTTCGCCAGGAGCTCGTCGTCGCGAGCTCGTCGTCGCGATTCAAACCAACTACAGTCCGCTTGTTTCAAACGTCCAACGCATGGACGCCCGGCGGTTGTCGTCCTTCGCACGCACTGCAGTGTTGATTAGCGACGACTGGTTTTCAAGTATCTTTGAACGCATTGCAAGTATCTTTGAACGCATTGCATCGTGGATGGCGAAACCTTCTGGACCTCACGCACACTGTGTTGTGTTTGGTTTTCATCATCATCATCATCATCATCATCATCGTACAACTGTGGTCGACTCGTTGCAGTTCATCGAGGATTTCAAAGCAAACCATCCTGCAGCGCACTTGTTGGCTGCACAGCTCGTTCGATCGGATTGCGACGTCCATGCGGTCGCAACGGATCCGATGCTGGTCGACCAGGTGCGGCAGTTTGGCCTCCACACGCTCGAAGAGTGCGTGCGTTCGCGATGGAACAGCTATGACACCTCGCTCAAGGACGAGTTTAAAACTGGCGTGCTAGAGCTGCTTGCAACGGTATCCATCACATGTTTGGCATGCCAGAGTCGAGTTTGTTGGCTCAATTTGTCTCTTTGCGATCCAGGGAATGCGTTCGATTCTAAACGAGCCACTCTATATCAAGGAGAAGTTGGCGCAAGTGATTGTCGAGCTGGCCAAGCGCGATTGGCCCCAGCGTTGGCCGACCTTTTTCGACGAGCTTCCCGAACTGTCGAAAATCGGAGTAAGAGTTTCCCTAAAACCCGACCTTGTCACGATTTTTTGCCCTTCCTTCTCATGCTCATCTCACTGATGCATCAATTGCAAAGCCATTCCAAACGCTGGTAACGCTAATGATCTTGCGCACTCTGGCACAAGACACGATGGAGTTCAACGACGATTTGCCGCTCGATCGCAAGCGTGACCTGCACAACGGCATGGCTGCAGCCATGGATAACATCTTCCCGTACTTTGTGGACATTATGACAACTCGGTTTTCCGAGTACTCGCTCTACATGCAGGTTTGGTCCTGTTGTTGTTGTCACACCTTTTTGCGACATGGACCCAGTGCTCGCTGGTGGACTCACCTGAACTTTCATCCTTGGCACAAAATGCAGTCCGGCAACGCGTCTCAACCCGAAGGCGAGATTGCGTTGATTCTCTGCCGCGCGGCATTGATGGCCATTGCAGCGTATCTGCCGTGGATGAAGTCTACGTATGTCCTCCTCATCTTGGTCTGCCAGTTTCCTTGTCACGCTCTCTCGTACTCACGCGTTTTTTTGATTGCTTGCAGAGGAAGTGTCGCTTGTCGGTTGATTCCTTTGCTTGCCTCCATGCTCAACGCTCGCAGCGGCTTGGATTTGGTGTGTTTCATTTTCGTGGTGTCGCTAATCATCATGAAGACTCTCGTTAGGATTCTTTTTGCTCACCATCCGTGGTGCACCTTCTTCATTGCACCCACAGGCCGTTACAGAGTGCTTTGGGGCGCTGGTGGAGCGACATGTTTCGACGGCCGAGCGCATGTTTGTTTTGGACATTTTCAATCACATGGATTCATTCGCCGCTGTGCTGGCATATGCGAACGCGACTGGAACCAACGAATCCTTTGTTCTCTTGAAGCGCGTGGGTCAGGTAAGTGAGAATGGCGGTTGGTTGTTCAAAAGCGGCTCGTGTACTGACTTGGCGCAGATTCTGTCGGCCTTGGCCACGGAGCAACTCTGCCCACTCATCAACTCGGGTTGGAAGGTTGAAAACATTACCTACGACCTGACACCGTAAGTTCTGCGTTGCTGAATGCAGACACGTGAGTTCCTCCCAGCTCATTTCTGTTTGATGGTTTTTGTTCTCCGCGTTATTACAGGTACCTCGGATTCATGCTCGAGATCACCAATCATCCCAGCTTGATCCTGAGCTCTTTCACCATCCCAATGTGGCTGGCTGTCATGCGTCACAAGGTCATCCGACTTGTAAGACAATGGGTTTGGTTTTGAATTCAGAGCGCTTTTTGTTTTTGCAATTCGTGCTTAATGGCTTGCGATTGGCAGAAACCCGACTTTGTTGCGTGCCTTCCGTCACTTGTGCAAGCGTTGGGCATGCGCTTGCGAAAGGTACGCGGTTCAGTGCAAGCAACAAACCGCATATTGTACGATTGGCTGTTATTTTTGCTCGTTGACTCATGAAATGCTTTGCGCTTGACATGGCGATCGTGTAGACCCCACCGTACATTCACGATGACTTTGACCGCGCGTCTGACCACGTGCAGTTCTTCAGCGTGGTTCGGAGCCGTACCTCAGAGGCTCTGCGTTTCCTGTCCGACCTTGCGGTGAGTGGTGCAAAAACGTACGGTGCTAGATCTACAGAGTATGGTGTCGCTCTTGGCTCACCTGCATTCTCTCTCTCCTGCAGCCTGAGATTGTCATTTCCACCTACGTGTTTGGACTGGAAGAGGTCATGGCGAGCCCAATCGATGCGGGGAACGCGACGGGCCTCTGCACATCCTCCTCCCCCAGCGGCATCACCTGGGACGCATTGTACTTGTTTGGAGAGAGTGTGGTGCGCAACTTTGACATGCACGCGGCTCGCGACGCCAACTCTTCCGTGGGCTCTGCGGTAAGCGCCGTCGCCCGAGGTCTTGTTCGGGGGAAGCGTTGGAGAGTTGGATATGAGACTGACGTCCGCCACATCCTGTAGCAAATTGTCAACCAGCTGATGCTGGCGCTCAAAGGTGTGACAGAAGAGCTGCTCATGTACCAGACCAATGATCCCCACATTCTTGGCAAGGTTTTGAGTCTTCTTGGCGTGCACGTTTGCATTTTGCTGCATGCACCAGAGCTCGTTCCGATGCTTCTAGCAAAGGTACGAGTCGCTTTGAGTTGTGGAATGTGATTTGCGCGCGTTTCTCATGCATGTTCTCGAACGCACTGGGGTTCCATTAGATCATTGCGGGTGTGTCGTTCCGAGTCGAGCCTCTGCCTGCTCGCTTGGATGAGGAGTCGTTGATGGCTCGTCGCCGCGCATGCGTTGCCCTTGTCAAGCTGTCGTCTGCGGCGCCCGAATTGCTACTGGTATGCATTGGCGATTGCATCACGCCAATCGTGTGTTTTTTTTTTTGGGTTTGAAATTGTTCATGTTGCCAACTCTTTTTTGCCATTGCTTTGTGCTCTGCATCAGCCACACTTTGACGGAGTTCTACAGCAAGTCCAGCAACTGATTGCTGATGGACAAGTGAACAAGTTTGAGCAAACATTCTTGCTCGAATCGCTCGTGCTTGTCAGGTGAGAGGTCACGTTGTGATTGAATGGCTGTTCCATCGCTCACTGACCCTTTTTGTTGCCATCAGCAACACGGCCAATGATGTCAACGCACAAGCTGGGTTCTTGGCCGGCATTTTCGCGCCCATCCAGCAACAACTCAATTCGGAGACAATGATGCAGGCGTGCAGCTCTCCAACCGCCTTCCTCACGTTTCTGGGCTTGCTCAATTCCGACTCGAGCCTGAATCCGGAGGGGTGGCATGTGTCTCAGCAAGGCTTGATCAATCGCGGCGAATATCTGACCATCTTGTCCACGTTGGCTGCCGTGGCGCGGCGCATTGCAGTGCCCGCCGACCGGCAGCAAGATGTTCTTGCGTACTACACGATGCTTTGTGGGGACGTTTTCAAGACAGCCGTACCGCATTTGCTTGCCATCATTCGGTGAGGAGTCGGTTTTTGGCCGTTGGTGTGACTTTGTGATGTGTTGTCGTTTGCTCATCCGCCTTGATGTATCGGGTCTTGTTTTTGTAGAACCCTTCATCTGATGTGGTCACCTGAAGCCATTCCTGCGCAATTGACGCCATTGCTCGAGCCGAGCGAGAGCGAACGCGATTCGTTGATTGGCCTTGTTGCCGACGACGAAGAAGACACAGATGACGAACAGCCCGACAGTCAGGCCGCGGACTTGGATGGTTTCCGTCATTGGCTGTCTTCTTTGCGCGAAGTGACGTGAGTGCTGGCGCTTGGCGAGCTTGTCCTCGCTTTTTTTTTTTTTGGATTCTGGTCGCTAACTTCTTGACTTTTTTTGTGGTCAATCCTGTCCTGCTTGACTGCCACCCTCAGATACAAGTTGCTGGCGACCGTGTTTGAGAAAACGTCAGACATTTATACAGTCGCGAGCTTGGACCGAGTGCTGTTTTCTTCCATCTTTGCTTACCTCGAGACGATGCAAGTGCGGCACATGCGAATGATGATCAAGTTCTTCCTCGCGCCCATCAACCGCCATTGCCCGCCACAAATGCAAGGGGAGGTTTTCCGGGCAGTGCTCCCTCCCATCTTCAAGTACATGCAGGGCCGCCTTTCCGCCGAGTGGGCTGATTTGACCAATCAAGTCACCAACGGCAGCAGGTAAGCTTGCAAGTTGACGTGCGTCAATTGGCACGGAATGTGTTTTTCGAAAAACGGCGCTAACGGTATTTTGTTTTGTTTTTGTGACGCTCGCAGCTCGCTCCTGAACGAAGAATCTGATGAGACGAATTTGGAAGTCTTCCGCAACAAAGTTCTCCGTGAGCTGACTCGCGAATATATCGAATACATGGGAAGAACCTTGTTCCCGCGAAACGAAGGTTTGTAGATTTTGCTGCCGAAATTATTGCTTTGGCGAACCTGTGCTGACCGAAGAATGCATCTTGTCATCACAGACAACACGGGCTTTATGCCATCCGACTTGGCCATCGAGCTGTTCTCGCAGCCTGTGAGTCGCTGGTTTATTTTTGCTGTTCTCAAAGCCCTTTTAGCTCATTTTTTTCTTTGTCGGACACATTTGCAGGAGCTGGCCGAAACATACCTGCGAACATGCATGCTTTGCATTCTCTGCGGAGATACGCAAGCTTGCCACCGTGCCGTAGGCTTTGCTCTTCCAGCATTGCCGCTTGTGCTCAACCAGCCCGCTTTGGTTGAATTCGTTGGTGGCGAGTTTTTCCAAACCGTGTTGCAGGTGAGTAAAACTTTTTGTTGTTGTGCTTGGCTTTAGGTTTTTTTTTTGGGTAACACTTGACTGATTTGTCAAAATTACTCCAGGGCATGATCATCCACCCACAGCATGGCGATACCGAGGCCGAGCTTGCGACCTTGGCCGCCCGAACCTACGTTTTTACTTCCGACAAGACCAATCGTTGCCGAGAGTCCCTTACTCTGTTGCAAGACGTGACATTTGATGCTATCGCGGTATAGCGTTGGTGCTTTGATTTCGAATTGTGGTTTGCTGCCCGAAAATGCTCACACTGTTGTTTCGGTTGTTGAGTAGATGCTCGATCAGCAATTGCAGGTTGACGCGACCGACAAGGCGCAACGGGAAGTGTTTCGCCGATTTCTTTCCTCGTTTGGCGTAAGTCGAGCGCTGTTTTCAAGATGCACTAACGATTTTCCTTGAGTGTCTGACTCATTTCTGAGCACTCTTTTTTGCTTGCTTGTTTTTTGCTTTTCTGAATTACAAGGTCGGAGATACGATTACGCGTCGTCCAAAGATCTTCTCGCTTCCCGAAACATCCTTCTTGCAACCCGCTCCACGCGAAAAGTCGACCTCTGTTTTGGATGACGAGGATGTTTTTGACTTTAGCTTGACGTCCTTGTTTGGGTCTGCCAAGCGTTGAGAAAGAACGAAGATGTTTCTCGCTCGAGCTGTCTTCTTTGATGTGAATCGATTAAAGTTGTTGCGAGTGGTATCGAGAGTATTTGTTCTTGCGACACGTTGCATTTCAAGACGAGCATACAAAATCTACTCAAAGCCTTGACCAGACACCAATGCCTCGTTCTTGGCATCAGCTGCAAATCACACACACACAAAAAAAAAGAGAAAGCAACAATGAGCCATCGGCGGAAAGAATAGCACAACTTTGCAGATTCACGAACGACTTACTTCCGGCCGGAACGGTGTGGCCAAAGCCAACTTGACAATCACGCAGCGTGCAGCCTGCTTGAATAACAGCATTGGTGCACACGACGACCGACTGGAGGTTGCAGCTGCCAACAACCACAAAGAGACATAACGAGTCAGCGAAACATACAGGCCAATTCCGAGGAAGAGCAACCCCTAGAACAACATCCAACGACATACCCATCTTGAACAGTAACATTGTCCATCAACAAGCAGTTGACAAGTTTGACGTTCGCGCCAATCTTGCACTTGCTGCCAACGATAGTCTTCTTGATGAGCGACTTGTCGCCGATAACAACGTCGTCCTTGACGATGGAATCGCTTCCTGTTTGTGCTCCGGGCCGATTCGGCGCCACGCTGGGGCTTGATTGGGGTTCTGGCTTTGCGCCTTGGAACTCGAGCTTGGGGGGCTGTTCAGGAGGTTGGTCAAATGAAGTTGTCAGGCAACGATACAAGGGAGTGTCGCGGTGCAAACGAAAAAGTTGCTTACATTTCGATTAATCTCCAGGTATGATGCCAGAGTGTTGACGCGCGCGCAAAAGCCGTCCTTCATCTGGAAAACATGGCAGCGAACAGCGTCGCTTGTGTCGATCGGGGTCGAAGACATCGAGTATGCATGCTTGTCGTTATCGTCAAGAATGGCATACGCTTGAAGATCTGGAGCCAAGCAAAAACAAGCAGTGAGAAAGCTTTAAAGAAAAACCAAAAAACAAAAGAAAAAACCACAGCGCAAATCATATCTTTACCAATCTCATCGCTGGGAGGATCCACAACCTCTCGTCGCTTGCGACGCGAAAACTGCTTTCGCACAAGGAACGGGATCAACTCGCCCTTGATGGCAGAAATGTGCTGGTGTCGCTCCTCCATCAAGAAGTCGAGAATCCATCGCCGGAAAATGTAGAAATGGCCGTCGAGCAGCTTTGTTGTGACATCCATTCGAGGATATCTATGCAATGAGACGGATAGCCACCACTGTGTGAGCTCACAGCGCAACTACCAAAATCCAATCCAATCTTCAACTTTCAGCTTTTCCGAAAAAGCCTTTTCGCGTACCGCATCAGCACCGCCTTTCGGATCTTAAAGTCCTCGTCTACGTCTGCCTCGGCAGCAAAGTACAGCAGTCGCTTGGACTCGGCATCAATGCCGATAAAGTCGCGAGTGCCTTCGTCCACGGGCGCCTTCTTGGCTTTCGCGTCGGGCAGGGGAGCGTCGTTCACGGGAGGTTCCGCAACGAGCATCGTCACGGACGCGTCTCGTTGGCGATGGAGGTCGGCAATGAGGTGAATCGGTACGTCGCTGATGAGGTCGCAGCTGACAACAATAAAGTCTTTCTGCAGAAAACCAACCAACAAACAAAAACAATCAAAATCAGGTTGGCTTGTGTGTTTGGATCGCCTCGGCCAAAGCATCTGTGGCCGGAGACCACTCGCGAACTTGCCTTGATCTTTTCGCGAATGATACGCAACGAGTCGGCGGTGCCAATCTCAGCATCGACGCCAATGACTTCGGGCACAATCTTGTCCAACTTGCACTCGTTGATGGCATTGTAAATCTGGGTGGCCCAAGCGCGCTGCGCAACCACGATAATATCTGCAAGTGACGTGTTTGTCATTCAAAGCATAGTTAGTGTTCATCACATCCATCAACGTCGACGGCAAATGTGAGAGAGTGTGTGTGGCGCTGATGCAACCGCATCGCAATCGCCCCCAGTCTCGACCTCTGCTCCAAATCGAATCTCCCCGCTTCCCCCCTTCCCCATCACTTTGACCCAATCCCACCCTCCATCTCAACTCTCACCAAGCGTCGCTGCCATGCCATTTGTTGCTGCAATGCACCCCCAGAGTGCAACCTTTGCGCTCCATCCTTGCCCCCTGCTCGCTCGAACAGGATTCGCACCATCACCAACACACGAGCCTCCCAACGGTCAAGTTTTGACCACCGAGTGAGGTATATCGTGATGCGGCGGTCGGGTGCAGGGACGGTCGTGATGCATCTCGGCCACCATGCGTCGGAAGAGAAGCGAGATCTCGGCCTCCTCTTCTGGTCGCTGGGGTCGGTGGGGGCAGTGCACCCCGCGGCAGCACTTGCCTTGGAAGCCGGTGCTCTCGAGCAGCTTGAGGCTGTGCCAGATGAGCGGGCGGTTGGCGACGGGCAGCAGCGCCTTGGGAATGCCCTCCGTCAGCGGGTACATGCGCGACCCAGAGCCAGCCGCCATCACCACGACTTGGAACTCGGCCATGACGGTAAGGATGAAATGTAGACTAAAAGCAAGCAAGAATCTACAATGCTCAGAATTATTGTTGGAGCGATAAAGAGAGGGGAGAACGTCAGCTATTTGTAAAAATTGTAATTGTACTTTAGAGAACAAAAGGCAAGATGCAAAAAAATCTCAGATTGGAAAAAGGGAGGATGGTGGGGGAAAAAAAAGGTAGTAAGATTGCATTGGCATGATTGCAAAATGCCTGGAAATAGGGGGAAGGAAGCAATGAGCTCGAATCAACAAGCCCTAACGGCATCCCTTGACCCTGCACCACCCTCAATTGTCACGGTTGAACAGACCCGAAGGAGAGAACCAGAGGGGGAGTTACTTGGCGCGACCCTTGCCCTTGCCCTTCTTGGCAGCGGCTTCGCCCTGTTTGAGACGGTGGGTCGGAAGACGTCAGTCAAAATCGAAGCGCACACAACCAATTGACACTTTGACACTACTCAAACGTACACCGTCGTTGGCAGCAAGTGCGCTGGCACCAAAGACCTCGAATTGGAACTCGCCCTTGGTGGCCTTGTTAATGTCAGCAATGAAGGAGTCATAGTCTAACCCCAGTGCAAATTGAGATGGAGTGAGTTGTTGCAGTCAAGCCAAACCGCGGAGTGAGTTGTTGCAGTCAAGCCAAACCGCAAAAGAAAAAAAAAATCCAACGTTGGACTACTAACCTCCAGGAACGACCGAGATCTCCATGGTGCAGCCTTCACCGTTGTAAGTTTCGCCCTTCTTTTGGACCCACTTGTGCACGACCGTCATGGCGGATCCCAGGTGCTTGTGGGGGACTGCGGAGGAGCAACAAACAAAATGAGTTACAAACAGGGCGCAGACCAACTACCGCTGCCATTCTGTAGCACGTACTGAACAGAGTACCCTCCATCTCCATCTTCTTCAAAGGAATGATCTCGACCATCTTTTTGATAATGTCGTGGGCCTGGCGGTCGGCTGGGACTTCGGGATCGATGCGGGGCTGCACCAAAAACAAACAAACAAACAAAAAAAAAAAAAACCAAACAAAAAAAAAAAAAAAACCGAATCAGGTCAGTCCACGCACGACCCCGAGAGACAAACAAGCAAGAAAATGCACCAACCTTCATCTCGCCCAACGCGAGTTCGATGCGCGTCACTGGATGCGGGAGGTTGTTGGTGGGGTTGACATAGTACTTGTGGATGTACGAAACTAACCAAGGCACATGCATGAAAACCATCGCATCCCATCCATCAATGAGTAAAATACAATGACGATCGGCTTCACCATCATTGAGCATCGTCCTTGAATCGACGACGACGCTCGTCGATGATCGTTACCAATCTCTGCACGTCGCTTGTCTGTCTTCTCCTTGCGCTCGGCGGCAGTCTCGGCGACCTGGCCCTTCTCGCAGATGACCTTGAGGCACGCGTCGTTGTCCTCTGTGCCAAACGCACCTCTGCGCAACAAACCAGCCAAGGCAACGGTGACGATGAGTGCGAAGCATCCCCAATGCATTTCCAGCCAAAAACGCACGCAGCACTGGGACTTTTCCATCCCACCCCAATCCCACCACCCAAACACAGGCCACTTGTTTTCGCAATGCGTTGCGTAACGCCATTTCAAGTGACGCAAAATAGAAACGGGGAACATGGATGGCAAACGTTCGCACTCGCGTCATCAAGGAATGGAAGTTTTCATCGACCAGCCACTGACCACTCCGGCCCAATCCTGGACTCGGAGAGCGACGGAAACAAACAAAAAGACACACACACACACACACAGGCGTGCCACTTACGCAAGATCAGCGGCGTTGGCGCGCTCGCCCTTGGAGAACTGCTTGAAGACAACGTCGACGAGAAGCACGTCCGACCAGCCGAGCTCGCCCTTGCGCCACTTCATCACATTGCCGGGGCGGCAGGCGACCTCGAAGGCGTACTTGCCGGTCTTGTACTTGACCAGCTGGTGGTCGCTGCCGGCAGACATGGTTTTGTGCGACGAAGGTATGTCCATATTGGCTGATTGAAAGTGGGATTTCCGTTACTCAATCACAAAGCACACAACGAATGTTGAGCAGAAGCAGCGAAAAAATAAAAGAAGGGGGAGTGAAATGTCGTCAGCTTAGCGATAGCAGCAAGTAGTCGACCATAGTGGAGGAACCAAACCGAACGTGGAGGAAACAGCGAGGAGATAAAAAAACTTGTAGTGTACATTTCGTGTTGTTACAATGACGAACTGGATAGCGGAGCAACTTGAACAATGAAAAAAAACACCTCCACTACGGCGATCAATCAGATAGATCAATGACCGCGTCAACTTGCTTTCGGAGGGGGCTTTGATGGGGCTGGCTGCGTT